GGTCAGTCAGCGCCCGTCTGCAGCGTCTGGTCACCACGCTCACCCAGCAGCATTCCTGCACTGCAGAACCAACCAACACACTCACACACACTGAGTTAGATGATGTCATTTCCTGCCTCAGGGGCTCCTGCTCTTAACCTCATGGTACACAGAGCAGCAGACGGTATCTCAAACATGACTTAGGTTAGTCTTGATCTGATACCCGTGAGTGTTTCCTCCTGCAGCAAACCGCTCCACACTGGAACGCCCATCGTTTTCATTTCTGATTCCTAAAAGTTTTGAAATACTTGCCGATGAATTTCTGAGGAAAGCTTTGACAGCTGCAGCTTTAATCTCGTGACATTTCTTACGCTTCATCAGCTTCAGCTCCCTTAGGATAATTGTGCAGGAGAGAGCTGTCAGTCCTGCCTGTTATCACGAGCCGGCAGGACTGACACATGGAAAACTCAACGACTTAATGCCTCACAGGAGCCTCAAGTGCTCGGCGCTCTGAGAACGTGATGGGAGGATGCTGACTGATGGGTGAACTTGCAGCTCTGATAACTCCTGTAAACGTGAACACCGCTCACAGCTGTTTATTGTGCCTCTGCTGCCATCTGCTGGTCAGTAGGAGGAATACTTTTTTTGTTGTTTTGTATGATATGGACTAACTGAGTCTGAAAAAAAGATTACATTACAATGCTCTTATATGGAAATCACATTTTTGGTCAAATACTTAATACTATAAAGAAATACTATATGCTTTTTAACATTCAAATTTGCAAATGTTTTATATAACGAATTTTGTTCTGCTCTGCTTCTCTAAAGTTTATGTCGTAGTATAGTATGATAAAGATGCCAGTGTAGTATAATAAAAAAAAGTATTGTATGATAAAAATACCATAGTATAATATGTTCAAAAATGTCATAGTAGAGTATGATGAAAATGTCATAGTATAGTATGATAAAAAAAATGTCATAGTATAGTATGATAAAGATGTCATAATATATACGATAAAAATCATAAATCATAAAAATCATAAAACATCTGGGACGTCAGTGGGATTTCATGAGCTGTTTTGTGGAGTGGATCTTAAGGACATGCCTTAGTTCACAGACATGTAGGACAGTGAGAGGATCTGAGCTCTCTCCAGACTTGTTGCACTTCCTTAGACTTCCAGGATGTTTGATGGTGAAGTGATTCAGACTCCCAGAGGAGGAAACAGAAGCAGACGCTTCCTCATGGATAAAAAAAGAAATCGGTAAATTTAGACGATTAGGGCTGTTCGTTTTGGTGTGTATGTGTGTTTGTGTGTGTGTGTATGTGCATGACCTCATACAGGGATGATGAAGGACGAAGACAGTGAGCAGGTCAAACAGGACATGAGGGGGTGGATGTGGGTCATGGTGATCTTAGACAGGAAATGCTGCAGCAGAGACAAAGCAAAATTTTATCTCATATAGATTTAACCAAACCTGAGAGAGCCAAAAAATAGTGCAGGTGAAGGCAGTGAAATAGGAATTATTTGCAATATCCTCTTCCAACAGCAGAGGGTGTTATCTACATCCGATTGCTCTGGTAGGATGTTGCAATAAACATTTTTTATCCTACTAAACTATAACTTTTTTTTAATCATACTATACTATGACATTTTGATCATACTATTCTATGACTTTTGTTTCAACATACTATACTATGACATTTTTATCATACTTTATTGTGACATTTTTTATCATACTATACTATTAAATTTTTTCATACCAAACTATGCGATTTTTTCATCATACTAAACTATGATATATTTATCATGCTATACTATGACATTTTTCTGAAAAAACTATACTTTGACATTTTTTATCAAACTATTCTTTGGATTTTTTGAACACATTTTATTATGACATTTTTAATCATACTACACTGTGACATTTTTGAACATACTATACTATGAATTTTTTTTATCATACTATACTATTACATTTTTATCATACTTTTCTTTGAAATTTGTTGAACACACTATTTTATAACATTTTTTATTATACTATACTATGACATTATTTTAAACATACTATACTTTTACATTTTTATCATACTATACTATGACATTTTTTAAGCATACTATACTATGACATTATTTTTCATACTATACTGACATTTTTTAATCTACTTTTCTTTGACAATTTTTTTAACTTTATTATGACATTTTTAATCATGCTATACTAAGACGTTTTTTGAACATACTATACTATGACATTTTTTGAACATACTATACTATGACATTTTTTATCATGCTATACTGTGACATTTTTCATCATACTATACTATGACATTTTTTAACTCATCATATTATGACTTTTTTTGTCATGCTTCATTAAGACGTTTTTTGAACATACTATACTATGACATTTTTTGAACATACTATGCTATGACATTTTTTGATCATACTATACAATGACATTTTTTTGAACATACTATACTGTGACATTTTTAATCATACTATACTATGTCATGTTTTTACTTTTCTCCAACATTTTTTGAACACACTTTATAATTAAATTTTTTATCATACTAAATTTTGACATATTTTGAACACACTACATTAGGACATTTTGTGAACATACTATACTATGACATTTTTGATCATACTATACTATGACATTTTTGATCATACTATACTATGACATTATTTATCATACTATACTATGACATTTTTGAACATACTATACTATGACATTTTTTGAACATACTACCCATTGACATTTTCAATCATACTATACTGTGACATTTTTTAGACATACTATACTATGATTTTTTTTTTTTACTATTCTCTAACATTTGTTGAACACACTTGATATGATAATAAAATGTTATTATACTATTCTTTGACATATTTTGAACACACTACATTAGGACATTTTGTGAACATACTATTCTATGACATTTTTGATCATGTAATTCTATGACATTTTTTATCATACTATACTATGACATTTTTGATCATACTATACTATGACATTTTTTGAACATACTATACTATGACATTTTTTATCATGCTATACTGTGACATTTTTCATCATACTATACTATGACATTTTTTAACTCATCATATTATGACTTTTTTTGTCATGCTTCATTAAGACGTTTTTTGAACATACTATACTATGACATTTTTTGAACATACTATGCTATGACATTTTTTGATCATACTATACAATGACATTTTTTTGAACATACTATACTGTGACATTTTTAATCATACTTTACTATGTCATGTTTTTACTTTTCTCCAACATTTTTTGAACATACTTTATAGTTAAATTTTTTATCATACTAAATTTTGACATATTTTGAACACACTACATTAGGACATTTTGTGAACATACTATACTATGACATTTTTGATCATACTATACTATGACATTTTTGATCATACTATACTATGACATTATTTATCATACTATACTATGACATTTTTGAACATACTATACTATGACATTTTTTGAACATACTACCCATTGACATTTTCAATCATACTATACTGTGACATTTTTTAGACATACTATACTATGATTTTTTTTTTTTACTATTCTCTAACATTTGTTGAACACACTTGATATGATAATAAAATGTTATTATACTATTCTTTGACATATTTTGAACACACTACATTAGGACATTTTGTGAACATACTATTCTATGACATTTTTGATCATGTAATTCTATGACATTTTTTATCATACTATACTATGACATTTTTGATCATACTATACTATGACATTTTTATCATACTATACTATGACATTTTTTATCATACTATACTATGACATTTTTTGAACATACTATACTATGACATTTTTCATCATACTATACTATGACATTTTTAATCATACTATAATATGACGTTTTTTGGACATACTATACTGACAGTTTTTATCATACTATACTATTACATTTTTATCACACTACAATATGATATTTTTTGAACATACTATACATGACATTATCATACTTTTCTTTAAAAATTTTTGAACACACTATTTTATAAAATTTTTAATCATACTATACTATTACATTTTTATCATACTACACTATGACATTTTTTGAACATACTATACTATGACATTTTTAACATTATACTATGACATTTTTTATCATACTATACTATTACATTTTTATCACACTACAATATATTTTTTGAACATACTATACCATGACATTATTTATCATACTTTTCTTTGAAATTTTTTGAACACACTATTTTATAACATTTTTTATCATACTATACTATTACATTTTTATCATACTACACTATGACATTTTTTGAACATACTATACTATGACATTTTTTATTTTACTATACTATGACATTATTTTAAACATACTATACTTTCACATTTTTATCATACTATAATAGGACATTTTTTATCATACTTTTCTTTGACAATTTTTTAAACTTTATTATGACATTTTTTTATCATGCTATACTAAGACGTTTTTTGAACATACTATACTATGACATTTTTTAAACATACTATACTATGACATTTTTTTACCATTCTCTAACATTTTTTGAACACACTTTATAATTAAATTTTTTATCATACTATTCTTTGACATATTTTGACCACACTACATTAGGACATTTTGTGAACATACTATACTATGACATTTTTGATCATGTTATTCTGTGACATTTTTATCATACCATACTATTACATTTTTATCATACTACACTATGAAATTATTTATCATACTTTTACTATCTTTTACATTTCTTGAACCCACTAGATTATAACCTTTTTTTATCATACTATACTAAGAAATCTTTTATCATACTATACTATGACATTTTTGAACATACTTTTTCTATCACTTTTTTTTATCATACTATGACATTTTTTTGAACATACTATACTATGACCTTTCTTTATCCTACTTTACTAAACTATGACAAAAAATATTTAAACATGAGCTTATATTGGCTCCACAAAGACTACTGATAACCACAGAAAAACAATGAATCTGCTATATCTACAAAGACTTTATTTTTATCAAATTTTAAGCAATGTTGTCAAGTCAGCTTTATTTGGAGGTGAAAACGACAAGATCTGGTTTCTAAGGGTCACAAATCTGGTTAGACTTTAATACCACAACAGAAAGTGCAGTTAAGTGACGGTGGGAAAGTTTATTGTAAAGGTGCATTTCATTGAACACGACAAACAGTGAAAAACACACCTTTCAGTTCAGTGACCTCCTCTGTGAGAAAGAGGTGAGTCTTTGGTGTCACTCAGGGAAAATAAAATATCACAGAACACTGAAAACATACAAACCCCACAGGTTCTCCATTATTATCGTATCAAACAGAGATATTTACAAAACGTACAAATATTGTACACCCATTACAGCTGTTAGTGTGTCTTAAAAGCCAGTTAAACAGGCTGTAAAGAAGAAAAAGAAGGTAAACATTAAAGTACATTGTGCAAAAGTACTGTGTCCAAAGTGCTGGTATGTACAGAAATGTGTGTTTTAATTAGGGATGCACACTTCTCGAGCTGTTTCTCCATTATCATGATATTTTCAAAACCATTTAGGTCAACACCAATACTGATACTTTCATAGTTTTTTACAGTAAAGACCACAGAGTCCTGACACTTAAAAATACTCCATACAGATCTTATATTGGAGCACATAAGATGTCACATCAGTGGGAATTAACTTCCTCAGCTATTAACTACAGCTACCGATGCTGTGCCAATTATATCATGCACCCCTAGTTTGTGTGTGTTTGTAGAAAAACTTTCTGAGGAAGAAGCTGCACAACTGTGGGCACAATAAACTGCTGTTAAAAAGATGTAAACGAGAAATTCAGCTGCATTTAAACATCAATAAGATCAGCCTCTGTGAATCTTCCTGCAGGTACTTGTTCTTGTATAAAGTCCTTTCAGCTTAACTTACAGTTTGTGATGCTTAAAGCATCCTCAAATGCGCTGGAGCTCTTAACTGAAGAGAAAAACATCTTTGCTTTTTTTTTGTTGTTGTTGTTCAGTGGCCCTAATCCTCTTCCAAACACTTGCATCTTTGTCAAATCAGAAATACCAGAAGATAAAAAAATCAAACATATTGATTTAAGTTATTGACTTAAAGGTCAGATATTATGCAAAATTCACTTCAGAATGGATTTCTAACAACGTTTATCCCCAGCCTGTCTACAAACCTCGCAAAAGGAGAAAAGTTTATCCTCTCCCTCTCTTGCTTGTTTCACCTATCATTGAAACTATCGCCTTCCATGACGTGATGTAAGTCACCTTGTACCAACACGAACAAAGTAAAAATGAAAATATGATGACGCATAATATTTGTAGCTAACTGTTCAGAAACGTCCTGCTGCAGAGACAGAGTTGGAATCTCTCCAGGAGTCTCTCCTTCTGGATCAGACTCTGGATCAAACTGGTACGACTGGACCACAGCGCTTCTACATCATACCTAGTCATACCTAGCACTCTGTGTAAACATTAGTGCATGGTAACGTAGCGTAAGCCACACACTATACTATTTTTCTCTGAATAGAAACTTTGGCTGAATAATGACTATTTGACCTGAAATGTTGAAATGCCTTGCTTACACTTTTATCCTTTTAGCTTCGTTCTCAGAAATGATATTTTTCATTACTCTTATGGATGAACCATGGGCAGTTAACACAATGTCTTAATGAAGTCACTTTCTCGTTAGTAAACACAATGATGTAAAACAGCCAAACACATTAGGTGCCAAAGAGATCCAGAAAAAGCACAAAATCAGCCTTTTTCAGTTGAGATTTAGTGTCCGTCTATTTTCCTCACATGCTTCTTCTACTCAAAGCTGTAAGTGAAATCCTGCTCTTCAAAACCAGCAGATTAAAGTCTGACTTTCAGCTCTATATGTACAAAGATACGAAAGTTCAAGTCCAAGAAAATAACCGTCAAACTCTTATGTCTTGTAAACGAGTGGTGATGTGTCCTCTGTTAGTGCGTCCAGCCTTTAGGAGATTTTACAGCTGTTTCTGCATGTTTGTGCAGACGGACTGAGAGGCGGCGGTCTGATTAGTCTGGGTTTTTTCAGCAACGCTCCTCCAGTCCTCTTGGTGGCGCCGTGGTGAGCAGTGGCGTTGGCGGTGACAGAGTAGGAGCGTCCGTGCATCATGCGAGCGTTGAGGCCGTTGGCCATAGAGAAGGACTTGAGGTGAGACTTGAGGGTGAGAGGGAGGGGGAGTTTATCCACCAGGTGAACAGGTGTGCAGGAGACGATGGAGCGGCAGCAGAGGTCCTGGAGACTCAACACTAAGAGAGAGAGAGAAGAAGAGCTGCTCAAAATGACCTGAACTACTGCTCCTGAGGTTTGATCTGCAAACATGATACTTACACCATTTATTCATTTTAATTATTATTATTGTTATTGTTATTATTATTGCTGTTTTTATTATTATTATTATTATTGTTGTTGTTCTTGTTATTATTATTATTATTATTATTATTATTATTATTATCATAATTTTTTCATTATTTTTATCATTATTATCATTATTTTATTATTATTATTATTATTATTATTATTATTATTATTATTATTATCATCATCATTATTTTTTCAGTATTTTTTATCATTATTATCATTATTTTATTATTATTATTTATTTATTATTATTATTATTTTATTATTATTATTATTATCATTATCATTTCTATGGTTCTTGTTATATTATATTATTATTATCATTATGGTTATGATTATTGTTGTTGTTTTAGTATGATTATTATTATTATTATTAATATTATTATTATTATGGATAATAATGTGCACAAAACAATGATTAACTGATTTAAATAAACATACATTTCCCTATGGTGCAACATTATTGTTATTATTTTCTAACTGTTTCATAGTTTTTATGCAAATATTGACTGTCAAATAAATAAAAATGAGTACATAGCTGAATAAAAATCTTAAAAAAAAACAAAACACAGCTATCCTTTTCTTTCATTTTAAAAAATGGATTTTAGTAAAACTGATCACATGACACCAAATAAGGAGCTTCGTCGTGTTGCCTTTTATCATCCAGCAGAGGGCAGCACATGCCAGACGATACTCAATTCAATGATAGTTTACATGTGGAGTTCAGAGACATGCAGATTGAAGACACTGTGATATCTGTGTGACTTTCTCCTTTTCATGTCACTTTTTTATTACTTTGTACAAAAACTTTTAACTCCCTAATCTAACATTTACTGTTTTAATTGTACAAGTTAGATTAGACAGGTTCTCGTGGGCTGACCTTTGTTGGGTCTCCACAGCCGCTCCATGCCGTGTCTCATCAGGACGATACGAGCGAGTTCAGTGAACGACTCGGTGATGTTGAAGTTACACAGCGGACTGACCTCGAAGAAGGTGACGCCCAGCTTCTCTGCGTACACCTGCGCCTGCTCTGTGGTTACCTGACGCTTGTAGGCCAGGTGGAGACGATTCCCAACAAGGATCTTGGGCACCCCAGGTGCATGCTGGGTAAACAGGGAAGTTCACATGTTAGATTCAATTTAAAGACTTCAGTACTGGTTAAAAGTCTGTTTTTGTTTGGAACTTGACTTGTGTTTGTGTGTGTTGGTGTTCTTGTAAGTCCATTTTTGTGGGGACCAACACTTAATTATTAAAAAGTGGGGACACCTTTGATTACTGGAATTCAGACCTGGTATTAAAGGGATATTCCGACGTAAAATTAAGTTAGGGTCAAACACACCGTGACACCGAGTTAGACAAACTTTGCCTAAACTAGTGAGACCTCAGGCCAGTCCATTACAGACTATAGCGGAGTTTCACAGCTCAATGAAGAACATTTATGATCATTTCTTTATTATTTCCTTGAAGTAATAATCACCATATTAATCATTTTGCACTGCAGACGCTGTAGTTCTTCTGCTAACAAAGCATTTGTTTTGTTCTACTTTCAGTGACTTATCCACATATTACTCTTATTTAATCCAACATTAAGTGGACCCTGAAAAGCAAAAATCCTCGAATGAATGTGTAAATGTTCCAGATAGGACCCGGGTACGTTCTCTGATCAGAGAGTATCTGTTGTTGAAGTGCGGGCCTGTTTCAGAGCAGCTTTGTCTGCAGCGATGTGTGGGTTGTTGTTGTTGTGAATGTAGCTGACTCATTCAGAGAGGAGCCCAGATTGTCTGTTAAATAACAACGTGCTGACTGGAGTAAAAAAATCACTAGAGATGGAACAAATCAACAGAAACAATCACGGTCCGAGTCGTAGAAACACCGACGTGAAGACAGACAGACCGACCAATCACTGACCTCGTCTATCTCTTTGATCCAGCGGTCGATCCCATCGAAGGACCAGCGGTTCGTTATGTCGTACACCAGAATAACTCCCTGAAAAAAGAGATGATTTTATGAATTAAAATCAGTAACATGAGGCAATAAGATGTGTTACCCGCATTTCCACCACATCCTGAACGTCTACGAAAAGGTCGTATCCTCCGATCTTCTGCAAGAGTTCTATTTTTTCTGGACGCCGGAGCATGGCGGATAAATTCAGCACAGATTAACCCGTGCTGGAAAGGAAGTCGGGCACAGACACAAAATAAAACATCCGGCTTCTTTTCAAAATAAAACATTCCGTGTTTCAGGAGGATCGTATTTCACACCATGCAAACGGGCGGAGACGAACAAGTGAAAGGATTTTAGACGTCATTTCACCCAGATGACACCATGGATGAGGAGATGCTGATTCTAGAAGTCTAGAAGTAGATTTCCTCCTCTGGAAGGACACAATCTAGTGCTTATATGTCTATGTGTCTGTCTTTAGAGAGACAACTCGTTATCGCGTGATTACACATTAATCCGCAGGTTCTTGTGAGTTTTCACGATTCCTGCCATGAAATTCGCCTCACAAATAGATCCGGTAGGAATTGGCGTATGCTGAAATTTGCTGCCGTTCCGGATCAGAGCCGTTTAGGATGTGGTGGAAATCCCGGGTAAGAGTGTCCAGAACCAGAACCAGAACCAGAACTACGGGGATAAACACAGTTTCTAATGATTTTTATCTTCCCTTAGTTGATGCATATAATGAACAATAAAAGACAGCTACATCAAACTAAATGAATCTATAATAAATAAAAAATGAAAAACAGAAGGATATCGATGATTAGATTTTGATTTAGACATTATTTTGTTTAATCTGATGCTGTTTCATCTCTTTGGACAGAAGCCCAGGATCGGACTCGTCACCTGGACGGTTACAGCAGCAGGTGGATGTGCATCACGTCATGATCAAGTCACACAAACACAGACACAATAAAGATTCATGATCAGCTCTGAGCCTCGCCGTGTCGATGGTGTCACTGTTGCCATGGCGATATCTCCTCTGTACTCACTAAAAGCCCGGCGAGCGCTGACATCAACACAACTTCATTCAATGAAAAGTGCTTTTCTTTCTCCCCGCTGGGAACATAACAAGGGCGGTCTGTGGCTGTTTGATGTGTGGGATGAATTTCTTCACACATCCACTCGCCGCTCAGCGTGTCTGAGGTCAGAACAACAACACCGCCACGAACTCTAAGGAGCTTTAGATCCAGGACAGGGGAGGGGACACAGAGCCTGTCTGTTAAAAGCATCTCACATGGAGGGCAGCGTCATCTGGTCTCAGAGGTCACAAACAAACTCGAAGAGGTCCGAGGATGTTAGTAAAGCATGGGCTGGACCAGGATCTAAGCGAACTCGGGGGTACGAGCTCGAAAGCTAAGCTAGAAATCAGCATGAAGGACCTGGAGAGGAAATAAGCAAAACCAATCAGGTTGGAGGAGGTGTAGAACGGCTTCAGGGCTTCCCTCCTGGCAGCAGCTTCAGGAGGGAAGCCCAGACGGCCCTCACCCCGGCCACTTCCACCAGCTCCTCCTCCGGGGGGATTCCCAGGCGCTCCCAGGCCAGGCGAGAGATATAATCCCTCCACCTGGTCCTGGGCCGGCCTTGAGGTCTCCTCCTGGTGGGACATGTCTGGAACACCTCTAATGGGAGGCGTCCAGAAGGCGTCCTAACCAGATACCCGAGCCACCTCAGCTGACTCCTCTCGACGTGGAGGAGCAGCGGTTCTACTCTGAGCGCCTCCCGAGTGTCCGAGCTCCTTACCCTATCTCTAAGGCTGAGCCCGGACACCCTGAGGAGGAAACCCATTTCAGCCGCTTGTATCTGCGATCTTGTTCTTTTGGTCATTACCCAAAGTTCATGACCATAGGTGAGGATCGGCACGTAGATCGACCGGTAAATCCAGAGTCTCTCCTTACGGCTCAGCTCTTTCTTCACCACGACTGATCGGTTAAACGTCCGCATCACTGCTGACGCCGCTCTGATCCGTCTGTCAATCTCCCGCTCCAATCTACCCTCACTCGTGAACAAGATCCAGAGAAACTTGAACTCCTCCACTTGAGGCAGGACCGCCCCTCCGACCTGGAGAAGGCAATCTACCTTTTTCTGACTGAGGACCATGACCTCGGACTTGGAGGTGCTGATTCGCATCCCAGCCGCTTCGCACTGGGCCACAAACCGCCCCAGCAAAAGCTGGAAAACTGGTTGGGAAGGGGTAGAGTTTACAGTCCTCAGATCCTGCCTACCCCACCTTTAAGTTTGAGGAGTTTTTGTAGACCAGCTAGTCTTAGACCCAAAACTGGTCTCAGAAGTTTCAGGGAGGGTGTCTGTGACAGAATTAACAACCTTCTGGCAGCAAACTCAAGAGGGCGGTGAACGAGACGCCGTTAGAGCAGATAATGACGAAATAAGCAATCGTTGAACTGGAGCTGTCCGAGGTGCTGAATCGAGGAAGGGTTTGAAGAAGGTAAACCTGCAGAGAGTCCAGATCCAAAGACATGAACCTGAAGGACAGTGGTGCTGGTTCCTATACCCTCCTTTATTTAGTAAAACCTGTGACAGGGTTAAAGAAGTCCAGGTTCAGCTGTGAGTGAAGGTACCTGTGCTCCTCTGGAGTAGGATCTGAAGATGGTGCAGAATCGACCCTGTCCGGACGTGTCCCTGAAACACAGAAGACACATTTAGGAGTTAAATCGAAGCTTCTTCACCTTCTGCAGACTCTGAGATCGTCAACATCTGACGTCCTTGTCACAAGCAAGACCTGCTTTGTGGTCTGAACTTGAAACCTGTTGATCTGGACTCCTGTCTTTGTTGGTCTCGACCTGAGGCTGGATTTGATAAGAGGGTTCTGCTTAACCTTCACTGTGATCTTGACCCGTGTCCTGATCGGAATATCCCTTGAATATCACTAACTGTTCTGAGGTCTGATGAATCAACATCAAACACTCTTTTGGAAAGGACAACTGGACTTACTTGAGACGTTTCGGCGAAACGTCTCAAGTAAGTCCAGTTGTCCTTTCAACGAAGAACTAGAAATCCTAGATTCTGCGTCCTGGTCTTGACTGAGGTGTGAAATAACTCTGAATCGGACTCAGAGGTTGTTGTTTTGGATCTGTTTGTGGTCGGACTTGTTTTGATTCTCTCTTATGATGTTCAGTCAGGACTGTGTTTACAGAGGAAGTCCTCAGACTGTCCTGCAGAGACACGCTCGTCTGAGTCCACAGAGGAAAAACAAAAGTGTCTCCGAACAGCAGTGCCGAATACCAGAGCTCTGTTTTGATTGGCCGGCGCGGATGCTCGCTGGCTGCCGTCCCGCTGCTGCTGACCCAGACCAGATACCAGGCGGGCTGCCAGCCCGTACGCCAGGTGGTCCAATAAAACCCGATCAAATCCACAACGATGATGATCTGATCCTGAGAGAGGCCGTCTGTTCGAGCGGGCGGGCGGACCGAACGAACGAACGCTCGCCATCAGAGTCGGGAGAGAGTGTGACCATGAAACCAGAAAACCAGTGTGTGTGTGTGTGTGTGTGTGTGTGTGTGTGTGTGTGTTCATGGAGCTGGATTTACTCAGAGTGTGTGCAGCCTAGGGGGAGGCTACCACACACACACACACACACACACACACACACACACACACACACACACACTCACACACACACACACACACACACACACACACAGAGGCCTCTCAGAGGTATTTTTAGAGCTTTTGCTCTTAGCCGAGTCAATATTAAATTATTAATCTGAAACTTTGTTTGATGTTTAAGCGGATGAGACGCTTTAGCTGTGTGTGTGTGTGTGTGTGTGTGTGTGTGTGTGTGTGTGTGTTGTAAGTGCCCTATAATCCCTCCCACATCGTCCTCTCTCCGCAGAGATCTCAAACACAGAGCTTTAGATCTAGCTCCTGTTTCTGTTCTTATTCGTTTCTTTTTGCTCTTGTTTGTTTTTTTGTATTTTTCAGGACAATCAGACAAATTAATTCGTCTTATTTTCTGAATCTGTGCGTCAAAAGTCTGCAGAGAGACGCTTCAGTCACCGTAGAAATGACTTTTCTGTGAGTGAGCGTCGTGTTTTTAAGAAAACGCTCTGCACAGATTTATCACCCGACTCCTGTTGGTACGGTGGCCCTAAAGGTCAACCACAAGATGAACTTAAATCATAAAACAGAAAAACAGAGATGTTTTCAGATGAGAGGGTCTAAAACCTCATGTCCCCCTCAGGCTGCGTCACCTGAACCAGCTCTTTATCCCGTCAAACAGCCTCACATGCTTCCTGTTTATCTCCGAGCTCTCTCCCTCCGCAGAAACAGCCTCTCTGCTGACGGTCACATGATCTGACAGAAACAGAGCGGGGGAAAAGGACGAGCGCCGGGCCGCTCTCAGGAGGATTTTTATCAGGAGGGAGAAAAGAGAGAGAGAGAGAGAGAGAGAGTAAAGTGAGCACACACCAGAGCTGCAGCTTGACTCTTCGCCCGTCCAGGAGGATGGTGGTGGTCTTGTAGTCGATCCCTGGACCAGAAGAAAAACAGAGCAGCTGTTAGGATCCTGAAGATAAACAGTGAGAGGAGAAACACGAGTGTGGCAGGAGGTCAAATATCCGACAAGAGTTTATTTATGAAACATGATAATTTTACACTGAGGCGTAAAGTAAAACAAGAGCAGAGTTTAAAGGAACGATGACTGGACATAAAACAGGTCGACACGGTGAACAGCTGGTGGAGTAGTTATCGTCCATTTATCATTATCGAGGTGAACTGATCAATATATCGGGATATTGATTTGAGGACACATCACCCAGGCCTAACTCATAGCAGCAGTAAAATCATCGACTCTTGAGTGTTTCTAAAACCGTCTCACTGGAACTTCATCTGAACCTTCAACACTGTAGTGAAAAAGAGTGAAATCATCCACGTCTTCAGTGGGAGGCCGAGGTTAAACAGTGTCACTTTAAAGCCGTTTCACAGGGATTAGAACCAACAACCCTCAACCTCCAAACTAATGTTTCCTCTGACAGCAGATTAAGAAAATCCACCGCTGGAGGCTTCAAACTAAGACGGGCGCAGATTTACCTCAGAATATCAGAGATTTGTACCAGCTTTACAGGAAGACACACACACACAGAGACACACACACACACACACACACACACACACACACACACACACACACACACACACACACACACTCTCCTGATTAGCTGTTAATATCAGGCTGCTGTCACAGAGTCTCCGCCGGGAACAAAAGCAGCGAGTGGCTCGTCTTTTTTATTACAGTAATTATCAGGAGCTGTCTGCGAGGAACGACTGCGCCGTGATGCTTGAACAAAGGCTGACACACACACACACACACACACACACACACACACACTAAAACACACAGATATGTAGGTTATGTAAATGCTCTTCTCGACTGCTCTTTGTTGTGTCTTGCTGAAAAGCTTCCAGTTAAACCAAAAGACAAAGACACTGCTGATTATCTAAAACCAGCAAAACCAGTTCAACTAAAAACCAAACTGGTCTCACACTTTGGCCAGTTACAAGTTACAACAGATTAATCCAAGGTTTATGCAAAGTGTGTCAAAGTCAAACCAGCTGTTTTAGATGCGGTGGAAATTGGGGGTAACTCTCTTTTGGAAAGGACAACTGGAAATCATAGATGCTGCATCCTCAGTTTTAAACAACATCTCCAGGTTTAGGAGCAACATCTGCGTCCATCCAGACTTTTTCAGAGAAGACCTTCATATGATCCCAAACCACATTCAGCAGCATGGCTCTGTAGGAGAAGAGTCCTGGACTGATGAATCCCTGAGTTGATTAAAACATTTGGAGCATCATGACCCCAAAAACAGGACCAAGGAGACCCTGAACTGTTGAGAAGCTGACTCCAGAACCTGGTCTGATTCAGCTTCTGATTGTTTTTTTTACTTTACTTCCAATCTACTAGAAAACCATCGTTGCATCAAAGTGAGCAGCAGGTCGGTCAGCTTGGCTCTTCTTCTTCTTCTTCCTTTCTAAACACGATCGTAAAATCTGAGAGAAGAAGAAGAAGAAACAGGAGCTGACAGGAAGAGACGGAGAGAAACAGAGCGAGGAGAAGAGGAGGAGGAGGAGGAGGAGGAGGAGGAACAAGATGTGATGTAATCCTGGAGTTATTCTGGGAGGAGGACAACACACCAGTACAACCTACACACATATGTTCAAGTCATAACACACACACACACACACACACACACACACACACACACACTCACTCGCTCTCTGGCATGCATGATACATGAGGCATCTTGGGAAAGTGTTGTTACATAAGAGGAGGTCGGAGCGCTGAGGTTTGTAGACACACGTCAAAACCAGAAAACTGAACAGACTGGAGCTGCCTGCTGGCTCTGTGTGTACAGTATACATTTATTTATGTGTGTGTGTGTGTGTGTGTGTGTGTGTGTGTGTGTGTGTGTGTGTGTGTGTGTGATGAGGGCTGCTGCAGAGGTGGTTAGTAATGCTTACAGTAGCAGAATTAAAGGACCAGGTCACTGTTTTCCAAGATAATCCTGGATTATTGGAGCGTAAATGATCTTTAACCAGTTTGATCCGTTTGTACTTTTCACCACAATAAGAACTGAGAGTTTTTATCTGAATAAAACAGCTGAATCTGAGGTGAATACATCCTCCTTTTCCCTGAAATAACCCTTTAGCCTCTAACTCATACCTGCCAACACTCCCGTATTGTTATTTCTCCCGGGACTCTCCCGTAATTTACATGTTCCATTTTCATGCATTAATCAGATCACGATATTTGTCCAAAGTTTCCAGAAAACCGAAGATTGTCGAGTGTTTCTGCTGAGCCTCACAGGAAAACAAACGTGATATAATGTATACTATCATATCATATCCACCATACAAGGTAACCCCAAAACTGCCCGGCACGCGCCTCAAAAAAATCTCTCTGATTTTATCACCCAAATTTTGGCAGGTATGGTCTGACTATCCTACCAACAGGGGTTTAGAAAACGTGTCTTTACCTCTCAGATCTGTGCCAAAGTGAATACCACACCTCTCCATGTCCCAACAACTTTTCATTAAATAACAGATGTCCTTATACTCCATTTTAATGCTCTAACACTTATCTTTATAACTCTATTAAAGGATTTTTAAACATGTAAACAAACTGAAAACACTTCAAGTTAAAAAGAAGTCTGAAAAAAAGACTTGAACATGATCCCAACCTGAGCCCATCTACATACATAGATTTCTGCCACCTGTTGGACACAGGCAGTACTGATTCACATGAATGGTTAGCGTTGGTGCTGGCTGTACTCACGTAGAAAGCATAAAGGCTAATGAGGTAAACGGCTCAAGCTCGTGAACCCAGTTGTGATCAGGGAGGTTTTTTTAGCGGACTTCTCACCGGCATCAGGCCAAAAAAAAAAGGCTAAACAGCGCCCCCTTCTGCAAAAGTTCAGCTTTGCCATAAGGTTCAACCTACACACGGTTTTAGCAAGGTAAAGGTATCGTACCAAGACCTGCGACAAATCCTTTTCATACAATTTCAGACTCATGATCCGGGTCAACCCCTGATCACATCCATGTGCTTATTTTTCAACTGCAGTCATAGCGCCACCATGTAGTTACTTGAGGAACTACATGGACCTTCCTTCAACATCCACGTTAAGATTAAACTGTTAAATTTGACTTTACTCACAGAACAAACGTTGAAGCTCATCAGGTTACAGATTCTGTTTTCAGAGCGTCACATAAAAAACAAACTCAAATGTTTCATCGGAAAAAGAGAAATCGCAGTTTTCATACAGGCAGAGGTCAGAGGTCAGAGGTCGGCCATCTTTACCAGAGGTATCAAACATCCACAGGATGAGTCAGCCTCTCCTGGCAGCACCGACAGCATCTCCACTTTCTCCGTCATTATCCCCCCGCTGAGCCGCTCTCAGCACTGTCACACACACACACACACACACACACACACACACACACACACACACACACACACACACACACACACTCGGCCCGCTCTAAGTGTGGATGTGTTTTTGTGAAGTTACACAACCCCGTAAAGACGTTACAAAACAGCTGCTAATGGATGTCGGGGACAAATTGTGAACGAGCGATCGGCCTTAATGTGAGTAATTATAAACGCTTCATTAAACGCCATCACTGAGACTGTGAGGCTGTCTGTGGGTGTCCTTGTCCAGATCCGATCACCGCGTCCCCCGCTCCGGGTTTGGCATCCTCCTCCTCCAGCTCAGCCTGTAATAGCAGCTCTTCTCTGGACTTGGATGAAGAGCAAAGCCCCCCTCCAGGTCAGACGCCTGTGGCCTCCACAGTGTTGATCCTGCTCCAGCCGGGCCTGCATTCATCCCGCACCTCGCCACAAAACTCCCTGACAGGCAGGCGGCCAACCACAGCTATGTCTCCGTCTCCCGTCAAACCTCCTATTAAAGGAGATGACCCAGAAACAGCAGACATCAAGGCTGCGCTGCTCCGACTCAGCCAAAACAGCCTGACGTGGGCCTGGAACTGTGTCGTCACCGGCGGGTGGAGGACTCCCATCAACGCCAAAACAAGGACGGAGGATGTGAGGGGGGACGCTTTTTTAACAAGAGGGGGATTAATATGGTGTAACTCCTAATTGGCCAAAGTGTGAGACCAGTTTGGTTTTCACTGTTCCTTCAGTTGAACTGGTGAACAAAAAAAAGGTGACGGTGAATCTCAGAGCTTCTTTTTCAAGTCCAAACAAAAAAAACAAGTTTTCCAAAAACCTCCAACAGTTTTAAAAAAAAACAACGACTGAAGGAGAGAAAAGTCCAGGAATGAAGGAACCAAGAGCAGAGGAGAACAGACGACCATCCATCCAACCATCCAACCATCCATCCAACGATTATCCATCATCCATCCATCAACATCCATCCAATAATCTATTCATCCATCCACCTTTCCTTTACTCAACCATCCATCCATCCATCATTCATCCATCATTATCCATCCATCCATCATCCATCCATCCATCATTCATCCATCCATCCATCCATCCATCCATCCAACGATTATCCAACATTCATCCATCAACATCCATCCAATCATCTATTCATCCATCCATCTTTCCTTTATCCACACATCCATCCATCGATTATCCATCCTTTATCCATCCATCCACCATTTATCATCCATCTAATCATCTATTCATCCATCCATCCATCTTTCCTTTACTCAACCATCCATCCATCCATCCATCCATCCATCCATCATCCATTCATCTATCATCTATCCCTTATCCATCCATCCATCCATATTCCATCCATCTATCCTTTATACATCATCAACCATCCATCATTTATCCATAATCCATCCATCCCTCCATCCATTCATCCATCCATCATCCATTATTGTTGCTTAGTAACCTGGTAGACTCTCTTCTGTAGTGATCGTCTTTATTGATCCCTAAATCTAAAATCAAAGCGCTGACCTTCACTATTTTTGTGTTTTTTTTTCATTGACGTTAATTTGTAGTTTTAGTCCCATCGCCGCCTGCTGAGCCGGAGAATCCTGCCTCCTGATTGGATCAGATTGGAACAGTCCTCAACACCAAAGAACACAGGTTCAGGATCATGAACCACCTTTAAGTGTGTAGAGTGTTCATGTAGAGTTCAGAATAACTCCTCTGTTCACAGACGGACTCTCTCTTAAACTCTTCTTCAGCCTCGTCTCGTCCTTCAGGGTCACTCCGGGGTCAGACTCTGGTTTTCCTGCTGCTGCCTCTCTGTATCTCCGACCTTTGACCCTCCTGTCTGTTGGTTATGTCAGCGGTCTGATCGAAGCAGAGCGGCTTTTCCCGCCCTCTCACTAAGCTGCTCTGGATGTCAGCTAAATGTCTGAAATATTAACGCCGGATTAATCCTCCCGTGACGATCCGCTCGTCTCCTCCGTCACAGAGAAGCAGCGACGCGCTCGGATTAAAGCGAACAGTAAAACCTGACTCACACAGAGATCAGCTGTCGAGTATAAAACACGCCGACACGTGAGGGTGAACGGAGGATTCAGGACTTTAAATTAAAAATACTCTTTAACTGTGGAGCAGAAAATTAACCTCATGTTTCCTGAGGTTTCAAACATCCAAGATAAAACACTTCCTGTCAAATAAACGACTTTTTCAGGAGATTTATAAGTCCAACATCTTCGTCCAACACATCCCATCAAACAACGACAGGTCACATGACAGGAGGAAGTTGTTCCTGATGATAAACCACAGAAGTAATCATGGCGGACAGAAGACGGGACTGTCCCAAACGCTCATAGATCAAGAAAACAACATGTTCACTTTCAGTCAAATCCACTCCGTCTGTGAGACCGGCAGCTCTCTGAGTGTTTCTGTGATATCAGGAGTTTTTCTGTCCCACTGAGACGACAAGAGTATTTCAGATCCTGATCCAGATCCTGATCTCTCAGAAACAACGATCATCCCTGAGGATTTATTGATTTATCGTATTTTGGTGAAAAAGTCTCATTTCTCTTCTTGACTGAGGATAACAGATTAAAGTCGCCATCTTTGTTTTAGTCTGTCAACCAGTTAGGAGCTTCATCCACAATCAGCTGACCTTAACCTGTCCAATCAGGAGCCAATAGTAGATCATGAGTAAAGGATGGATGGATTATGGATGGATGATGAATGGATAGATGGATGGATGGATGGATGAATGGATGCTGCTGAAGGAGACGCTCTGGTCACATGACCCATGATGTTCTCTCACAGCTCCTAACATGACACAGGGGTCAGTCCTGTCCCTGCGATAGTCTGGACCATGACACGATCCGCCGCCATCGTCCACGCTAACCTCAGAGATCTCCACAGATCAGCTGATCTCAGGGAAACACAGAGACCACGATGGAGCCTGAGGACCCCACAGTCCAGAACAACAGGTCCAACATGAACTGTACATAGTCACTGTCAGCCTGGAGCTGCAGACATCCAACATGGCCGCCGCCGGTGTGTGTGTGTGTGTGTGTGTGTGTGTGTGTGTGTGTGTTACATCATCACCAGTAATCTGTGTGTGAGGAGCTGAGAGCAACGACTCGTCCTGGCCGCCCTCCTGCTGAGCGAGCGTGAGTCATGAGCATCTGCCTGCCAGCACGGGTTTATTAACATGACAGACACACACATGTGCACACACACACACACACACACACACACACACACACACACACACACACACACACACACACACACACACACACACACACACACAGTCAGGGTTTTTAATAATAAGAGGAAGGTACGATGGGGAAAAAGTTCTTCTCCAGCTCAGTTTTTTGAGATCGATTCAGGCTCAGGTCACAAACTCAGACTTTGGTGGATCAAATCTGCGTTTATCCGGGAACACGTTAACTTGAATGGTTACGATCGGAGGATACGACCTTTTCATAGCCATTCTGGATGCTGTGGAAACTTGGGGTTACTCTCACGCAGCACAAAACAGATCCACAGACTGTGGTACCTTGGCAGGAGAGGTTTCAGAACACGAGGAAGGAACCACTCAGTCAACAGGGGGCGCTAAAGTCAACACAAACAGAAAGCTGATTCTCCGCTCAGATGTTGAACTCTCCTGAATCAGCAGAATTGTGTTCCCTGTGAACTCAGAGCTGTCGTCACTGAACTGAAGCTGAAGGTGTGACTCTCTGATCGATCAGTGAGAGCGCTCACACAGGTACAGAGTTTCTCCAGACGAGCAGAGACATGTCCGAAAAATCTACATGTGAAGACGACAACGACAACGACAACGTCAGACTGAATCAATCTGAGAGTCTGAACCAGCCTCACCCTCAGAGACACAAACCCACCGGTCTAGTCCTTCATTTACCTTCAGGTTTTAAAAACACAGAGAGTTCCTGATAACAGAGAAGACACGTGTTTTCACTGATTTATAAAACTAGAGAGATCGATCATCCGCTGAGACACAGACGAGTCAAAAACTTCAGAAAAAGGAGGGAAAACGCCACTCTATAACCACAAATAATGCTCAGAACAGCACCTAACTTCATCAACAGGACATATAGGGTCACAGACATAGTACTAGACACCAAACATCTTTTTAACTTTGACTCATTTCTTTAGCAAAGAGACTAAACACAACTCACCTACTCTCTTCCTGCAGCCGCTTGTTTGTAGAGAGACCTCAGGCCAGTCCATTACAGACTACAGCGGGGTGCCGCAGCTCAAGGAAGAACATTTATGATCATTTCTTCATGGAAATACAATCAGACCAAACATTTTTCTCTGACAGAAGAACTACCGTTCTTAAAATGATTAATATGGTGATTATTATTTCAAGGAAATGATAAAGAAATGATCATAAATGTTCTTCCTTTAATTCAGTCGATGAAAAACTTTGTTATCGTCCGTCAGCTGTTCGGACTGACCTCTCTGAATTTGACTTGTTTATTGTAAACTCTATAACTGAGGTCTTGTAAACTTTACAACTTCATTCTTGCACATTTGAGGTTATTTCTGTAAACTTTACATTTTTATTCTCAGTTTCAAAATTTGAAAATGTAAACAGGTTTTCATCCAACTGTTCCTCACACTGTAAAACCTCACTTTTATTAATGTGATACTTTATGACTGTGAACCTACAACTTTAGATTTTAGCTGAACTAGTTTTCTCCTGAGAGTTTGAGGGAATTTGCGGCTTTATTCTCATAAATGTGACATTATTCTTGTAAATCTATAACTGATGTTGGAGACTGAGGGACCTGTGGATCAGTGAGATGTTGTTCTGAGATGTAAAGGTGAGTTTGTGAGTATCTCTGCTCTGCTCGGTCTGTTCAGACTCTCAGTGAGGGGGACTGGGAGCTGTTCCAGTTCAGAGTGGTTTATTTCAAACTGGGATTCTCGCCAAAGTGTCTCGTGTTACCTCAGGCAGGAACAGACCAGTTATGATCAGTTTGTTGTGTTTGTGTTGGTTTTCGTGCTGAAAGCTCTCATTCTCTCTCTCTCTCTCTCGGTTTGATCAGCTGCTTTTCACAGACGGAGCGTCAACTGTGCGTAAAAACAGGACGTCCACGTGCGTTTACCCCCAAAATAACCTGACAGGTGGGTGGATTATAAATAAATAACCTCCTCACACACTGACCCGTCTCACACCCTCTCTCCCCCCCTGACTCACCCATGTTGTATCCGTACGGGGACTCGCTGGCTCCGTCCTGCAGGCTCGCCAGGATCTCTCCCTTCCCCACATCGCTGTCACCCACCAGCAGGAACTTGAGCAGGAAGTCGTACGCCCGCGCTGGACTGCTTCTGTGGCTCATCCTCGCGCCAGATGACAGCTGCCGTGTCCCATCATGGGATGAGACCCGGCTCCGAAGACCCTCGAACCCCCTCCGCGCCTCTGCTCCTCCAACAGTCCTGTCCAAGACGAGACGAAAGGGACGCGTAGAGTCCGCGTCAGTTACACGTCGGTTAAAGGTTCTCCGGGATCCAGGACCTGATATTCCGTTTGTTTACATGCAACAAACAGTCAGGTCACCTGGTTCAAAGTGAGACACGGAGAGCTACAAGTGAGCAGCATGAACTGAACCTCCGGCAGCTCCCAGGAGACGAGGTTCCTACTCCTCTGTGCCAAACGCGCACAGGACGCGCCGCACTTTTACGCACGAAGGTGAAAATCCTCCGCAGACGCTTCAGTTTCTGCTCCCGGACTGAGGAAGAGCTGACGGATCTCTGCTCCCCGTCCCTCCGCCTCCCCGCTCCGAGGAGGTGGTGTCTCGGGTTGGGATGGAGGAGGAGGTGGGGGAGGTGGGAGGCTGACTCTGCGCGCCTCTGATTGGCTCTTCCTCCGAGTTGCCAGGCCAACCTGGAGCCCGGACCTAACGCTGGCGACGTTCATTCGCTCCCGGAGTGACGTCAATAACCACAGGATGAGCTGAACGTACTGTTTCCGGTCTGTGCCTACAAAATAAAAGCCTAAGAGTGCAGAAATATTTCATAGAAGCTCCTTTAAAACCGTCTAACATTTTCAGTTTATCTCAAAGGTGTGACGAGCAGATCTGTCGACTTCTACTCCTGTCAACTCTTCTTGAGAAGCTGGAAGAGCAGGATTGTGGGTCTGCTGATCGGTGAAAAACAAAGTCCACCTCTCAGAAATATGCTTTGTGTTCTTCTGCTGCCCCCTGGTGTCCAAACACCCGTGGATCAGAGGGTGAATAGATGCTCAATACTGAACCAAACATCACAGGCAGAACTTTGAAGGGTTTAAAAAAGTTTATAAAAGCATGAATATTCAAATAAACACCTCTTTATTCAAAGCTTTACTTTGTTACTGACTTTACAGATGTGATTCAGTTCAGGATCTTCTTCTCTAAAGCTGAAACAAAAACTTCAAAATCAGAGACTCGACTCGGTGTCGCCTCTTAGCGTTGGTTTTAAAGTTGAGAGTCTTTGTGTCAGACTGTTCTCACACCTCATGAAAACCTCCAGGTTCTGTTTCAAACATCATTTATTCACTTTGTCAGTCTTTGACAGTCGTCCTCAGTAAAGTGAGACTCTGTCTGACTGACATGTTCAGTCCCGGGCTCCAGAGTCCCTGATCACTCTGAGTCCGACCGTCTCTGTAAGAAAACACACATCAGTTCAGTTTCTGAGGTTCTGACTGTTCTCCAGACCCTGGTCTCCCTCTGATCTTCAAACCAGATCAGGTTCTCGGTTCAGCGTCTTGGTGACCCTCTCTGGTCAGTTGTAGCTGTATCCGGGCAGAGGCAGTTTCTGACCCTCCTTGGCCTCGAAGAAGGTGTAGGACAGGATGATGGTGTCCACGCGGGCCATGCGGGGGTCCTCGTCAAACTCGGGGTCGATGTAGAAGAAGACGGGCATGTCGACCTCCTCGTGAGGGTTCAGACGCTGCTCCTCGAAGCAGAAACACTGTAAAGACACGACACAGAGGTTTGAAACGCTGCAGATGAGTCCGAAGAAGCTGAGCTGAGAGAACCGGGGCGGGTATTTATTTGGGGATGATGGCGTGGAAGTCACAGACCGGGAATAGTTATTCAAAGTCTGGTACCAACAGGATTATTGAAACTTAACGAGGCAGAAATTCATCCTTTTATGTTCATCTACAGGTCACTCTTTCATCTTCTCTATCAGTTAAAGGTGGAGTCGTCAGGATCTGAGGAAGTTCCAGTTTTTAGGAGAAATCTTGAACGTAAACTCTACCCCTCCTCCCAACCAGTTTTCCCCTCAGCTCCTCCTCTCCCCTCCCTCTCTGCTCCTACTTTTTTCATGCGCTTCCATAGGAAGATCAGGACACTTTTGTTGGGTTTTAGCATCAGAGGAGAAATCCCCACCTCTGCCACCCTACCTGAGCACACCTGCTTGGTAGTACCAGTCTCTGGATGTACCTGGATCTTGTTGAAGTACTGCCCTGCCTCAAAGGGGACCACGTTGTAGGTGGAGATACCAATGATGGGTTTGTCTGTGGGGTTCTTGGCTCTGTAGAAAGCCAGCGCCGTCTCACCTGGAACCACCTGAACGACAGATTAAAGAAGAATAAAGGTTTTTTGATTAGCAGAGGAGCCTGTTCAGAGCTTATGATAGTGAGAACAGGAACAGGTCCACGCAGAGACTCAGAAACACGGATGATTCTCTTACAAAAATCTCCGTCTGCTGCGGTCTGAAGTTCCACTGCATGCTGGCGTGTCGGTCTGCGTTGAACGAGACTTTGATGATGCGGTCCTTCACCGGCGTCATCGTCTCCACCTGGTCTGCATCATGACCGGCCACCGCCGTGCCGCCGAGCCCTGAGGCCTGACACACAAACACACACAGGTGTCACACCTGTTCCAGCTCTGACAAACACAGAGGGGAGTTTTGGTTCCTCACCTGACAGTACAGCCTGTAGAGCGGCACCGCAGCGTATGACAGCCCGATCATCCCCACCCCTGCAGCAGCGATGTACGTCAGCACCGTCTTGTTCCTGGTTTTCCACTCCTCCTCTTGGCTCTTCGTCTTTCTGCTCCGACCCTTGGCGCCTCGGCTCTGAGCGTGGAAGCGTAGAGGAAGTCTCCGTCGGAGGAAATTCTCAGCTTTAGAGTGCAGCGTCCTCTGGGAGTCGCACCTGATGCATCGTGTCAACGACACCTGAGGGCAGCGCAGGGACGAACGCAGAAGGAGGGGGAGCAGCATGGCTGGGACTGCAGTCAGTCTGCACCTGGAGCCGGGTCAGGCTGGGCAAAATCACCTGGACTGCAGAGAGAAGAAAAATTACTCACAAAAAAAACAACAAAATAAACAATTCTTTAAAGACACTTACTCATAGTGTAGCAAAATCGTAATTTTTTTAACTAAACAATTCCTGATAATACACTGTCTAAACAATGCAAAAGAAAGCAAATACATTGTTGTCTCTGTTCAACCAAACCCCATTCACAAAAGCTATAATTTAAGTCCGACTTGATTTCCCCGCTAGTATATCAGTATATTGTGATAAATTAATCTGTTCTCCTCTTATCTAAAATCACTCTTGTATTCGGTGTATGTATACACCTAAAGGTAGCGCTTGTTTCAGTAAAATCCAGATGAAAATAGGGATTTTTCTTTAAGACGGACTATTACGAAAGACCAAGGAGGACCGCTGGATCCACTTCTTTAAACAGACACTTGAGTTAAATTTGGTCTTTTCTGTCAGTCCCATGTCAGCCGAAGTTTAAATAAAAAACTTTTGTTTTGAAAAACAACCTTACGTGTACAATTCGATGTGTTTTAAAGCGCTGAGTGTCAGAAATGTTTTAATTCTCAACTTTTCAGTCGAGATTCCCTATTTAACCATGAATGACATTTAGTCAAAAGTTAAGCCTCATTTGCAAAGGCTTAACGAGTTGAAATTAAATTATTATTATTTTAATCGGTTGCTTTAATACACGTTATTAACTCATCTTACCAAACAGTCTGACCTACAACAGCAGGAGTCACCGGCTAAGAGTCCGGAATAACGTTAGCTTAGCATGCTAACAGACTTATCAAATACAAACGTTGTCTATCTTTTATGACCGATAATCGATAAATGATATTGATTATTACCTTCAAAGTAAGATCCACTGACATTAATTACAGAACAGCAACACATTACCAAACATACTACACGGAAACACGCATGACAGTTGTGCAACGCGGAAATGGCTCCCCTGTGAACACGACGACGAGGTTCCGCAGGTTGTCGAGTTTAGTTATCGACCAATATTCGGTTTCCAATGACCGAGACTGGGAATTCAAAAACTTCAGTTATTTTAAAATACTACTACTACTACTACTACTACTACTACTACTACTACTACTACTACTAACTAATAATAATAATAATAATAATAATATGATAACTGTGTTTTTATAGCATAAAAACATCAGTACATGGAAATACAAACAAATAAAAAACAAAAGCTCAGTTAAAAACAAAACCTCTGATTTGAAGGACAATTTTATTTATCATAAGAAACCCAGACAATACAAGAACCCTACAACATAAAATGAGACCATGAGGACTAAAATAAACAACATAAAATAAGAAAGAAAAAGAAATGCAATAAAAAAAGGGGGGTAGAAAGCAGGAAACAGAATAGTAAATATAAAAAGACGATATTAATAATGATTAAAAATATCATAATAAAATAATAATGATTGTTATAGTAATGATAAAATGGAAAAACAATAATGAGCAGGAAAAAAACAATAAAATCAATAAAAGGCCTTAGGTTTAATAAGAAAAGATTATAAGTAAAACAAAGGCTAAAAGGGCAGTAAGTTTAAATAAAATAAAGCGAAAATACGTAAAAGGTAACAATAACTAGTAACAGTTAGTGCTGACTTTGGACTGTGAGCAGAGAACAAGCTGGGTGGACCCTCTACTCTTTATTAATATGGAGTTAATGTCAAAATGAATGTCTTATTTTGACAATAACCTCTCTATGGAGCAGCATCCTTGATTTCCCCAGAGGATGTTAAATTTTGCCTCCACTTTGTGTTTATTAACCACTGACTGTATTTTACAGTTTATAGTCTGAATGTGTCCTCAGAGACAGATTTATCTTTGGTCAGTTAATAGGATTTGTTTTTGGTATTTTTAAGTCAGATTTAAAAACTCACTTTTACAGACTTGCTTATATGTGATGCTTTTCCAGTGTGTGTGATACATACATAATACAATGTATTATGTATTGGTATAATATATTGTAATAAATTGTAAATATAAATACTAAATATCATATATTGGAATATATTTCCTAATATATAGCATGATTTTTCCATCATTATTATTATTATTATTATTATTATTATTATTATTATTATTATTATTATTATTATTATTATTATTATTATTATTATTATTATCATCATTTTTAATCGGGTCCCCACTCTTATGAAACTGGGGTTATACCAACATAATGTTTTTACATGAATGATGTGTTATTTCTGTCTGATGTTATTATACTTGGTACAGGGTAAATGTGTTAAATGTAGGGGTTTTTATTTTGGTTTGTTTTTGTTTGGGGTTTGTAACTGTGAACCTGGAGGTACGGTGGCCGTGCCGGGTCAAAAGCGCGCTCTCCGCTCGTTCAGAGGGGCTGTAATGGAGGGGGTCACAGTCGGCCAGGTATTTGATGCGGAATGCATCCTCAGCAAACGGCCGAGAAAGGTAAGAAATCCCCGTTAAACGCTCCGTTTGGACTCTTCTTTCCCCGGGACTCGGCTCACAGTTTCTCTCTGACTGTTTTTATTCTCTTTTTTCAGGGGAAGTTTGAGTATCTGGTCAAGTGGAGAGGGTGGTCGTCTAAGTAAGTAGCTAGCCTGCTGCGTTAGCCGCCGCTGCTAACGACACAACATGAAAAATGGCTTCAGACAATGAAGCTGCTCCTCCGGGTTAACGGACCTGCTGCAGGGCTCCGAACCGGGCAGAACCCTCAATAACAGCGGGGTTATTACCGACACAGGGTCCGAATAACACAGAGAGAATAAAGCAGACATTTTACATCCTTAGTGTTCGGGTTTAGCTGATGCTAGAACCAGAATCAGACCAACACAAGCGACGATTTGATCCTCCAAAAACTGGACCAGAACCACCAGAAAATACACGGATGGGTTCTGATTTACATGTTTAATGTAGAGTGGATGGAAAATGTAGAATAACCGCGTAGTTACAGAGAAAACCGAGTGGATTAGACAGCATCAGCTGTGTTTACATCCACATTCACACCTCTTTAGTATTATTATTATTGTTATTCAACTCAGTTCTGAAGACCAAACACATTTTCACATAATGAAAATAATGATCATTATTTTAGATATTTTTAACAGACCATTCATACAGATCAACACTTGAGAATCATTAATCCTAATATTTAACCATTAATAAACATCTTTACTGATACATCATTGTGACTGAAAACAAGAGAAGAATAGATGTCATACAAAAAAAAAACAGATAAACTTCAAAATTAAACCTCAGTCTATGTATTATCCGTCCATTCAAACTAGTAAACAAAAAACAAAAAAAACGAGTCAGTATTTGTTTATTTGTTTTTCTGTATAACCAGAAAAACAAATAAATCAGAGCAGTTTAGACGCCCATCAGCTGTGTTTACATCCACATTCAGACCTCTTTATTATTATCATTGAACTGAGTTCAGTCTGAGTTTGTTTTTAATCATTCACCACTTTAAGAAGCTTCTTTTAAAAAAAAATGTTTTTTCTAAAGTTAAAAACTAAAAACTTCATGAATGTAAATAACGTTGAATTTCTTTTTCTATAAGATTTTAAACTTGTTGGAAACAAAATATGTTAATTATTTTTTAAATATATTAAAAAAAAAAAAGAGTCACAATATAAAGACAAACTGCAAAATTATCATAGGAACACAAAGAATTTCCCAAAATTACAAATTGCAAGATTTACCATGGACCCAAAAATATCCTTAAGACAAAAATATTCAAAGAAACAAAAAAGAAAAAAGGAAACATGAAAATATTAATAAAATAAAAATATGTATCCGACTGTTTTTACCCTGTTTAACCGTTTTTTTTTTTTTCTGGCGTTTCAGGCACAACAGCTGGGAGCCAGAGGAAAATATTCTGGATCCGAGGCTGCTGGCAGCTTTCCACAAAAGGTGTGTGTGTGTGTGTGTGTGTGCGTGTGCGTGTGTGTGTGTGTGTGTGTTTCTAGAGCTGCTGTTTGTGTGATTGGATCAGTAAGCGGATTATTCATTAACGATGATTAGGACTGTGGGCGATGTATCGACATAAGAAATACATCGATATATTTTTTAATGAGTTATGGATGGGACCAAATCACATATATAGATATACAGATATTAGATGTTGTTGTTGACAGGCTGGTGTTTCTCAACACGTTCACAGTCTTGTGCAACTGGTTGAGACCGTCAAGAAGATAAGAAAGGAGTAGCTTTAATTAAAAAACAAAGGTACTCCTGTGGTTATAGAGTATTTATGTTTATATTTTATTGATTATTGAACAGCTGAGCAGAATTTCATACAGTCAGGTTAAATAGAAATACTCGTGACGTGTCATATTTGGCTTTCACTTTGCAAAAACAACATCAGGATATATATCGTTTATTGATATTCAGCCTAAATATATCAGGATGTGACTTTTGGTCCATGTCGCCCAGCCCTAACGAAGATCAATTTAAAAATCAATTTAAAAAGAATCAAAATCAGCTGATCAGTAAAATGTTCAAGATTCTGCTAAAAAAAACAGAAAATAGAAGAGTTATTATCTTGTGGAAACAGTTTAATTATCTGATTCACTCAATATAATAATCATGTCAGTACTTTATGCGCACAGGTTATCTTGACTAAACATCATTATAATCTTGTTTCACGTGTTGTTATCTTGAGGGAAAAAGTTCAAATCTTGTGCAAACAAGTAAGTTATCTTTTGTGCTCATTATCATCTTGTTGGGGAGAAATTATTATCCTGCTAGAACTAGATAATCATCTTGAGTGAACATGTCAAAAAGTGTTTAATTTGGTGCAAGTTACATGATTGTGCTCACAAGATAACATGTTCCAACAAGATAATTGAGCACACTTGATATTTCGCTTATTGGAACAAGATCATGATTTAACATGAACAAGATTTTTCTACTGTAAACATGGAAAGATCTTCCTTTGGCCAACAAGATTGTGACTTTTATTCTGCAAGATAATTGTTAACATGAAATAATGATCTTGTAGAAACAAAGTCATTCCTAAACTGTCCACACAAGATGACGAGATCAGATCTTGTTCCACGAAATGATGTAGAAACAAGATCTTTAAGTGTGTCACAGTCATTGAATTGGATCTCTGACCTCTTTAAACTCTCCGGGGTCACTCCGATATTTTCAGACATTGTTCTGATTTTAAAATCCGTGCGGATCCTGTTGGAGCGCCGTCTGCCCGTTAACAGGATGTTTGTTTGTGTTTCAGAGAACAAGAGCGAGAACTTCTGTTCCAGAAGAAAGGGAAGAGACCTCGAGGACGTCCGCGGAAGATTCTGGTACGTCTCCTCCTCCTCCTCTGCGTCTCGTTCTAAACTCTGAACAAACTCAAACTCGTCTTTTTCTCATCCGTCCTTCTTCTTTTTTTTCTTCTTCTTTTCAGCCGCCGGCTCCTGCCGTCACCAAAGACAGCCGCTCTTCCTCCTCCTCTTCCTCCGGGCTGACATCGTCTGCCTCCTCCTCCTCTGAGGATGAAGATCACAGTAAGAAGGCCAAGTCCGGCCCCCGCGCTCACCCCGTCCCCCAGAAGAGGCCTCAGATCCTGCTGGCCAAACCAGAACCTCCACGGAAGAAGAAGCGGGGGAGGAAGCCGCTCCACCCCGACCTGAGGGCGTTAAGACAAGCCAAGAGCCGACCGTCTGCTCCGCCTCCTCCGCCGCCCCCTCCCCCGCCTCCTCCACGCCACCACCAGGCGCTCAGAGCACCCAGAGATGAGCCCCGCCCCGGTGTGAAGAAGCCCCTGCAGCCCGCCAGCTTCACCTACACGGGGATGAGCCGGAGCTCCAGAGAGGACGCCGCCGCCGCCCAGACCTCCTCCAGCTCCTTCTCCCAGAGCTCCGCCTCCAAATCCGGATCCCTGAGCTGCATCTGGACGAGCCGCTCCATGTCCCCCTCCTCCTCCTATAAAGCTAGCCCCGCCCCCCACAGTAAGAACTCGCTGTCCGAGCTGAAGCGCTCGCTCTCTGAAACCTCCGGCGGCAGAGACGGCGGCTTCAAAGCGTCTTCTCACAAACAGGGGGGCGGAGCCATGGGTCTGCACGCCGGCTTCGGAGGAGGACAGGCGGTGCAGCGCTCGTCTCTGAGTCAGAGGAGGCAGGACGGCGTGGGGGGTCAGGCCGGGTCGGCTCAACACAAACAGCAGAACTCCAGCCTGTCCAAACCGGCGTCCTCCCCAACGCCACGGGACCGAGCCAGTCAGGCGCTCAGTCTGAGGGCGCTCAACCTGCAGAGCGTCAGCAAGACTCCGCACGGCAGCAACGCCACCGCCTCAGCATCCAGAGCGAGTCTACGGAGTGGCGCCATGGTGGTCAAAGCAGGAGGCGGGGGCATGAAGGAGACCCGGACGTCCTCTGGAGGGCAGCGCTTTGGCGTGTCAGTAGGCGGCGCCGCAGAGCAGAGCAGGACGAGAGACGACAGAGGGAAGGAGACGGCGGGCGGCCGGCACGAGGACAGGAAACACGGCCTCAGCTCGCAGACGCGCAGCCTGAACGAGCTCAGCACGGGAGACTCAGACGAGAGCAGCAGCAGCGAATCAGAGCACGGCGCCGCTTTGATCCCAAACATCAGCCGGCCCAGCCTCGGCGAGGACGCCACGGAGTCTGACACAGAGACCGACTGGAGGCCGACCAGGAGCCTCCTGGAGCACGTGTTTGTCACGGACGTCACCGCCAACTTCATCACAGTGACGGTGAAAGAGTCGCCGACCAGCGTGGGATTCTTCAACGCCAGAAATCACTGAAGGACGTCTGAGACGAAGCGAGGACACGAACGGTCCCACAACTCTTCTTCTGCAGCGCTCAGGGTTCCTACGCCTTCACGCCCACATCCACACAGAGAGACTCGCACAAAAACGGCGCCCGGACACTCAGATATCCAATCAGCTGACGGTCCCGCCGTTTATGTAGGAACCCTGAAGTTCAGATCCTGTTCACACCTGAAACCACCGCGCAGTCTGACTCTGAGGAGGAAACCCGGTCCAGAGTTTCGGTTTCACTTTGAGATCTTGGCGCACAATCGAGAATATGTCGGTCCAACAAGATAAGAACTCGTCAGTGCAGAATAGTAACATGTTCTCACAAGATATTGACGTTGTACTTGCAAGATATTTACCCGTGAGCACAGTTTAACTATTTCCAACAAGATACTACCTTGTTTCCACAACATAACCTCGTGGTTTGCAGGTTAAATCTTGAATCTTCTCATAAAAAAAAAGATCTTTTCTGAACTACATCTTTATCTTACGCAAACAAGATAATCCTGTTTTAATCACAGTTACGGAGCGATGGACCAGGTACAAACTCTCAATAATCTGTTAGCAGCAGAAGATCCGGACTCTCACAAATCAGGCGTCCTGGTTATCTTCAGGAAACGGTGGAGTTACGACTAACAGGCGTGTTTACATTCTACAGTCGCACAGGTACAGAGACTTCCTGCTCTCTCTGTTTAAAGGAGGGGCTGCATTTAAAGGGACATTCCGGCATAAAATCTATTTAGGGTCAAACACACCGTAACACCGAGTTAGACCCCCCCCTCCAGAGATGAATGTTGCCGACCGCTTGCTTCTCTAGTTATACCAACTTTAGTAACGACCGCAGGATAGTAATACAGAGAGCCACGCCCTCAACCAAAACGCCACTCTATAGCCACAAATAATGCTCAGAACAGCACCTAACTTCATCAACAGGACATATAGGGTCACAGACATAGTACTAGACACCAAACATCTTTTTAACTTTGACTCATTTCTTTAGCAAAGAGACTAAACACAACTCACCTACTCTCTTCCAGCAGACGCTTGTTTGTAGAGAGACCTAAGGCCAGTCCATTACAGACTACAGCGGGGTGTCGCAGCTCAAGGAAGAACATTTATGATTATTACTTAATGAAAATGATAAAGAAATGATCATTAATGTTCTTCCTTGAGCTGTGTCACCCCGCTGTAGTCCATAATGGACTGTCCTGAGGTCTCACTACAAACAAGTGTCTGCTGGAAGAGAGTAGGTGAGTTGTGTTTAGTCTCTTTGCTAAAGAAATGAGTCAAAGCTAAAAAGATGTTTGGTGTCTAGTACTATGTCTGTGACCCTATATGTCCTGTTGATGAAGTTAGGTGCTGTTCTGAGCATTATTTGTGGCTATAGAGTGGCGTTTTGGTTGGGGGCGTGGCTCTCTGTATTGCTATCCTGCGGTCATTAGTAAAGTTGGTATGACTAGAGAAGCAAACGGTCGACAACATTCATCTCTGGAGGGGGGGTCTGACTCGGTGTTTGACCCTAAATCAATTTGACGCTAGCATATCCCTTTAAGAGTTGATCACAGGTTTAGGGATGTTCAGACGGTACGTCAGCTCTCATAATTGTTTTTTCAGAGTTGTATTAACAACACGATTAAAACACTTATTAAATAATTAATCGTAGAGCCAGATTATCTACGCCGCCTGCTTTTTTCTTCAGAATCAGAAGCGCAGAGTTAAGTTTAGATTCTTGGTACAAACGGTTTTAAGTTGGTAAAATAAAATCCAGTGTTTGATCCGGTTTCCTCCCGGCGTTCAGCCTGTATTTATTAAATAAAGGTGTAAACGGCGCTCTGAACCTTCAGATGGATGTACGTACGACTCCACCCCCCCAGTGCCTCAGGTTCTCCACAGACGCTCGGCTCGCCGCCTCGTTTCCAGATGGATTCGGAGTCTCTGAAGACGAGCGTGAACGCTGGACTCTCCTCCAAACTCGGACCCGTCTCCTTCAGTTGTCGTTGGACCAAAGGTGTTTGAATGTGACTGACCCGGTGGTGTTGTTGGTGTTTCTGATGGTTTTCTTGCACTACACTCAGTCTAAATGTAAGCTGACTCCCTCTTCATCTCAGAGACATTCCTACATCACGTATATTCACCACTTTTATAACAGTTTCATACGTGTCTCGGTGTCTTTTGGAGGTGAATAAGTGTTAATTTATACTTGTAAATATGTTTTTTTTTTCATGTGATATCTATCTGGTGCTCATGTTTGGCTAACTAGCTTCAGATCTGTGCAGCCTGTGTGCCTCTCTGACGTTTTCAAGCTATTTCAAATAAACCAGAATGAATAATCACCGATGGTGTCGATGATCTGATGTGCTGCTGTTTACAGCTCAGCCTGCAGGGGGCACTGTGGGACTGAAACCAGCTCCACCTGTTTGTATTACATTTATATTAATCACCTGGAAAATTCATCAGTTTCAGATCCTGATCACATGAACTATCAATCTTTATTTCAGCTGAAACTAATTTTCTAATATTTGATTTCATTGGCTGTTATATTTAATTTGTTTTAAGTGTTAAAGGAGAAAACTAATGTCTCTGCATCAGGATTTAAAGCACCAGTCAGTAAATTTAAGGTGGTCCTCAACATTGACTTCATTAATATTTAATAACCTCCATATTTAGGAAAAACTTCATCGCAGTTCAAAAATATTTCAACAAACCGAATTCCCTAAAATCCTAAAAACAAACATTTTAAAACATTTCACATAATTTTAAACTATTTCATGATTGCAAAGAAAAAAATATGATGATAGAAAATAAAACCAGGTAATGATACTTTAACTTGATTTAATCAATTCAAACCAAAAATAATGACTATGACAAAATGATTACTAATAGATAAAAAAAATTCTAAAAGTTAAAAACCTACAAAAAAACTTCATAAATGCAAAAAACATTTTTCAAAATAAAATGTTTTGAAAGTTTGAAAAGTTTTGGGGTCATTAGATTTGTTAGAAACATAATATTTAAACTATTTTACAAATAGAGTCTCGATATGAAGACAAACTGCAAAATTATCATAGGAACAGAAAAAAATATATTGCAAAATGCAAAATTTACTGTGGACCCAAAAATATCTAAATGACAAAAATATTTAAGTAAACAAAAAAAGTTTTATAACAAATTTTTGTTATAAAAATTTGTTATAAAACAAAATTATAAAGTATATCAAAAATGGAAAAAATCATTTACAAAAGTGAACTAGTTTTTTTCTAATGAGAAAATTATGAATAAGAAACGTGTGAAAATTATGTAAATTTTGATGTGTTTGGTCAAATATCCTCTCTTTCATTTGGACAAACAGTTGCCCTTCAGGGCCACCGTACTAATCTGACCTGCTGTATGTTGTTTTGATTTAATCTTCTTTGAGACGAAAGAGTTTTAATCGTTTTTACGTCTTTCTAAATATCACACAAACAAACTTAAATACTGTCTTTAGCCAAATGTCCAGAGAGAAGTCAGTTTGCTGCCCTCTGCTGGAATTTTGTTATTTTAACCAAGAAAAAATACTAAAAACATAATGAAGAGATTTTCAAAATAAGAGCGCAGATCACTGACGGTGACACAGATTAATGAAAGAATAAAAGAATGTGGAGGTCAAAAGGAGCGAACAACTATAAATCTAATGTTAAAGGTGTGTGTGTGTGTGTGTGTGTGTGTGTGTGTGTGTGTGTGAGTGACAGCAGCTATCATCCCTCTGAGCTGCAGATTCAGTGATTTATGGTCACTGAGGAGGAATTTTCCCAAAATAAGTTTGAGTAAACAGCAGCGACAGAGAGGCCTCACAGCAGCAGCAGCGCTCGGATAAACACTCGGAACAGTGTGAGGCAGTGTAACAGCCCAGAGAGGCTGCACACACACACACACACACACACACACACACACACGGGAGAAAACACCTTTGCATATGCAGGTTTACAGTATTTACTCTTAATCCTCCAAAGTACACAGTCTGAGGATCTTTTACTGAACTAGTTTGATTCTATTATATTCTATTAACTTCAATTTTTAGTCCCGCCCACATCTTCCTGTCAATCATCTTATCTCAGGTTATTATAATGATGCGCCCTCTGATGTGTTTGAAGTGTGCTCTGAGAATAACATGATTTTCTGTATTAACACCATCATCCATGTTTATGGTGCGTTTCTGAATTTGATGCACTTTCTGTTACTGTTGAGAGAGAGAGAGAGAGAGAGAGAGAGAGAGAGAGAGAGAGAGAGAGAGAGAGAGAGAGAGAGAGAGAGGAAACAATGTGGAGTGTTTGTCAGAGAAGCTCCTGCACAGAGTCTGTTTGGTGTGTTTTTGTCTGTGTGTGTGTGTGTGTGTGTGTGTGTGTGTGTGTGTAGGCGACCTTGGCGGCGGCGGGCCTGGCGGTGGGCGGCTGTAGATGCCGGCTGTCTCCTCACACCTCAGTGGAAACGCTGAAACATCTCAGTGTGACATCCGACTTCTCCCACTCGTCTCACCTGTCTGAACCTGTGCTCAGTTTGTTTTCACAGCTCCATCACTGCCGTGTGTGTGTGTGTGTGTTTCTGTGTGTGTTTCTGTGTGTGTCTGTGTGTTTCTTTCACGCTCAGTGAGGTTTTCTCTGCAGCATTATGACCTACAGGATCCTACGGGATAAAAACGGTGAAAGTTTGAGGAACTTTAGATCTCTGAAGATGTCAGAAACACACAGCTGGAGTCTACGATCATGGACCTTATTGAAGAAACAGTCAACTCAACAGTTTAAGGAGTTCTCAGACGTGATTCAGATTCTATTAGTTTGAGATTCGGATTTTAAATCGTCGACTTTATCCTGACTATCTTCTCATGAGTTCAGGACTCTTTAAAGATCTTATTCTTACGAGTGTTTGACTTTTTTCTGCTGACTTAAAGGTGTTGTAGTCAGGATCTGAGGAAGTTCTAGTTTTTAGGAGAAATCTTGAATGTAAACTCTACCCCTCCCAACCAGTTTTCCCCTCAGCTCCTCCTCTCCCCTCAAGCCCCGCCCACAAACAGACGCTCCTGCTCGCTCGTATCATTCCAATTAAATTCAGATATAATGCAGATAAATACTTCAGATCATTACAAATGGGGCCCAGTCAAGGTGAAAGTCAAAAGCATTGGTGCTACTGTAGATGCCAACAGACTACCAGCAAACACAATGTTTGCAGGACTTCTACAACGAGGATAAAGTGACATAGTCCAGGACCCGAGGGAGGACAGTTTAGTGATGGCGCTACAACACGCTACAGCAGGTCCGTTTGACAAGAAACACTTCTGTTACAGACACTTGTCTTACTTTGTTAAAGCGGTTTACCTGTCCAGCAGAAAGGTTACAGGGTCACGAAGATCCCCAAGCGTCCCCCATCGTTTATGTCGACCCGGCTTTTTAGCTCTTGTCCGGTCTACCTCCGTTTTAAGCGCCCGTTATTCCTCCAGAGTCAACATTCATGTCATTGTCTTCATGCACCTTTACTGAGGACTGTGTGTGTGTGTTTGTGTGTGTGTGTGTGTGTGTGTGTGTGTGTGTGTGTGTGTGTGTGTGTCTGTGTGTGTGCGGAGCTTCCTCTTGATTCCAGATCAAACAGACTGTGGTGAACCATTAATGAGTCCGAACATCTGAAAGTGAAAGTCCAGAGGAGCTTAAAGAGGGAAGATCAGAGAGACCTGTGTGAGAGGAGAGGTTACACACACACACACACACACACACACACACACACACACACACACACACACACACACACACCAAAGCAGAGCTCGACCTCGGCCTGAGTACCTGTCCGTCCTGAAGCGATAAGAGTCTGTTTGAAACCTCTGAATCCTCCTCGCCTCCACATGGTCACATGACCCGATTTGCGTGAACGAATCTTTTTAGTGAACTGATTCTACTGATTCAGTGAATCTAAAAGAACTGCCCTGCCCATCGCTAGTTGATAGTGAAGATGAAGATAAAAATAAAATTAAAATAAAAGATTTGGATTTAAGGAACTTCAGACGTGGTGAGACAAAAACATGATCTGAATAAATACATTATCTTTTAAACTGTGGGACTTCATACCTGGTTTGGACAGAAATATGCAGTTTAATCATCATTATGGAAGTTAAACTGATTGAAGACGTTATCAGACTGAAGCTCCTCCCCCCTCAGATCATAGAGCTGATGTTAGTAGATATGAAACCTCCTCTGCTGGACTCTGAGGGTCCGACTCAGAGTCAAGGACGTGACGGAGGATCTACATCAGTGAAATCTCTCGCATGAAAACTCTTTGAACCTGCAGCAGAAAAACTCATTAAGATTCTTTGAATGACGCCAACCTCCTCCTGACTCTCTCATATCTGTCTGTGTCTTTCCTGTGATGGTACGGAGGCCCCGGAGGCTCAAACCGCTGCAACTGAGAAAAGAACAAGTAGATTCAGAAAAGCTGCAGAGAGCAAAACTGACGTTCGCTAGCTTCCTGGTTCTGCGCTTCTATTGGTCAATTTGACAACAGTCGCAGTGTAACTACATTAGCGGTGCGTTTTTATTTGTAGTGCGTTAATTTTTCTCTTTATTTAAAACTCTTTATTTCTGGAAAACTTCTCTGACTTTAACTTGAGCGTTTCTCTGTTGTGGGTCTGAGTTTTGGTGCATTCTTATGTTTTCAGGTGCATGTTTATGTTCGAAGTGCATTTTCAAATATGAAGTGCATATCTCATTTATTATATTATGGTGCATTTTTTTATTTATCATTCTGTTTTCTGTACTTACAGTGCATTTCTGTCATCCATTTATGCATCGACATTAAACTTAACTTTAAACTTGTCATTGATTCTACAGTTGTTGTTTTTTTATGAATTTGTGGTGCATTTCTGATCTTGTGGTGCATTTATGAATTTGTTATGCACTCTGCATTATTACTGTGTTCCTGTATTTGGATATTCTTACCCTTATTTGCGGTACATTTCCATGTCTGTCTGCACAATTTTGAGTTATTGGTGCATTTCTGATCTTGTGGTGCATTTCTGAATTGTTACTCCGCTACAGTTTTAAATTACTGGTGCATTTCTGATTTTGTGGTTTGCATCTTGAGGTCTTTTTTCTGCTTGATTTCGTCCGTTATGATTATCGGAATTTTGTGTTTTGCGTATTTGCTTGTAGTTAACTGCGCTCACATATCCAAGGTGCAATTACGCGGCTTGTTATGCAGTCCTGAATTTGCGGTGCATTTCTGAAATTGTCAGGGTTAAAATCAGTGCACAGAAGATGTTTTTAGAGCGTTATTGAGGTAAAGGGCTTTTTTGTATTTTCAGCGCATTCCGGATTTTGTGGTGCATTTTTGCATGTTTTGGCATTTTGGTGCAATTGCTGTTGTTACAGTACGTTTGTTTATGTATTGTATACATATGTATTCATACATGTATGTTTACTTATGTAATATAGTAACAGTAATAAATGCTCTCTCTGTGTTTTTGGAATTGCACATTTATCTGAATTTGCACCTCGTCTGAGTTGACGGTGCATTTCTGTATTTTTTCTGTATTTCTTCATTTTCAGTCAGTTTCTGTTTTATTGGTTTTAAAATCATGTCTGACTTCTCGCTCTCAAACCCTGAATCTTTGGAAACTAAAGTTCTTCATAATGAACCAGGAGAGTCTCGTTGGTATTTTAGACCAAATGTCCCTTTTTTATTTGACAGCATCGTCTAATTTGAACATTTGAGGTGAAAAAATCTCTGAATGATGATATTTGGTCTGTTTGGACACGTCTTAAAGATCAGTGTCAGATTTGAATCATTTGGATCCTCCTTTTATAAATACAAAGACATGAAATTAAGATGCAAATACAGTAGATTTGATTATATTATCAATAATAATACTGACCTCCCTTTTATACAAAGTTCTGTCATCAAATAAAATAGAATAAAAAAACATCAAATATACACTCGGACCCTGGACAGTGCTGCCCCTTTAGAACAGTCTCTGACTCTGAATGAGTTCATCGTCTCTTAGAAGGAAGAAATCAGAGTTTCTCGGACTTTTCTGAATCTGAATTTGTCTGTAAAGTTGTTGTATTAAGGTATCCATGAAGGTGTGTGTAGGTCCCTGTGCGCAGCCGCAGTGAGAGGCTCTCAGTTGGGACAGGAGCATTTACACTCGGATATAACGGGGTACTGAGCAGGTATCCAGCCGCACCTCAGACCCCCCTTTTTCTGCTGGCAGCGCCATCGCAGGATCGTAAAATGAGTCGATTTGGCAGGTTTGCAGACCATCCCTTCAGGGACCGAACAAGACCGCTTATTGTAGCAGCTCCCCACCTTCACGTAGCGCGGCCAGAATCTGCTGCCCAGGTCGTTCCATGCGTAAACAACCGGGCACAGCGCGTAAGACCACAGCCACAGTTGCAGCCTTCTCCGGAGCTTCTTGCTCGGCTTCTGCTTCTTCCCGTGCTGGACCTCGAACTCCATGGCCCGGATCTCTTTGGGCATCGCTCCGGAGAGCTTCAGCCGGAGGTCCGCCTCGCTCAGCTCCTCGTTCCCCGCGTGTTTCTCCTCCGGCGCGGACACGGACATGAAGTGCGGGTCGAAGTGGCTGCCCAGGGTGCTCCTGAGCTCAGTCTCGTTCAGGTCCTTCTCCCTGGGGTCCAGCACCGGGTCCGGGTCCTCCTTTAGGTCCACTATGGGCAGAGTGTCACTGGGGATGGGTCTGAGGAGAAAGTAGTGTTGGCACATGCCCTCCTCGATCCTGAAGCCCACGGAGAGAACGAGAATAACCACAGCCAGGAAATAAGAGGACTTATCCATCTCCTCGGGGCTCCAGGTCAGACAGATTCAGAGTTAATCCACACAAACTCGAACCCGGGTCGTCCTCCGAACGTCTGTCTGAGGGAGGGTATCCAAGTGTGAGCGCAGAGCGCGCTGACGCACCGCTCACACCGGGGGAGGAACCGCGGCGAGACGCGCTCCGAAACTTTCAACAACTATCAGACAGCTGAGAAAGAAAGAGGGGAGGGGGAGCAGGAGAGGGTTTCCATGACCCGGGACCCCGCTGGAGAGAAGAGAGACCGCCTCAGCCCCGAGCCGCCCCGGTCAGCAGGTCCCGGTCAGACAGCAGGTCCGCGCAGCCCCGCAGGTCTCCGCTCTCAGTCCGCATGTTGCTGCTGCTGCTGCTGCTTCTGGTCCTCCTGCAGCCGAACTGAAGGCGCCTCTGGCTGCAGCCAAATATCCAACAGGGCGGTGATGTAAGCCGAGAAACACCCCCCCACCCATCCCCATCCCGCTCAAACACACCGTTTACGCACAAGCACGCGCACATGAGCGTGGGCACGCTGATGAGGAATAGATGAAAGAGTGATGGAGTGAAAGTTCGAGCTGATAGAAACAGGAGAGAGAATAAAGACATTTTCAGATTTCTGGGGATGCTCTGATTTTATACCTTATAGTCTGGAAAACATTTGAAAAGTGAAACTTCCTCTTAGATTTAAGGTTTTAGATTTGGGGAAAAAGAACCAGGAGATAAGAAGTCAGGAGTCAATTGTCTAAAAACAGATGAACCAAAAATCGAGGATTGTGTGGAGGTAATGATGGAGGAGGAAAACTGTCTGAACCAGAGACTGAGGCTGAGCGGAGAGAAAGTCCAAGAGTACCAGGATCCAAATCCAAATTTTCCAGAAAACCTGGACATGCTGAGAGAAGCGTCACTAAAACTGGTTTGATGGTTTTTTTATCAACTTTTTAAAGCAGAAAATAAAATAAAAAAGTTAAAGAACATCCGATCAGATGTTGAAACTAGAAAAAAAAGATGAAGAAGATCAAGAGGAACAAACAAAAATCACTGCAGTAAAAACAGACAGGACTCTGGAGTGGAAATCACCACATGGGCTCAGAATCACTTCAAAAACCATCAACTGTGAACAAAGTTCGTCACTGCATCTACTAATGTACCCGCCGATCGTAGCTGATCGTAACCGTTCAAGTTAATGTGTCAATTTCCAGCGGAGCACGCCACATAAATTCAGCACAGATTAACCCGTGCTGGAAAGGAAGTCGGGCACAGACACAAAATAAAACATCCGGCTTCTTTTCAAAATTTAGGGTCAAACACACCGTAACACCAAGTCAGAACCCTAAATCAATTTTACACCGGAATATCCCTTTAAGGAGGAGGGACTCTGAATTCAGAGAAAAACTTTTTGAGGCGTAAAAAGTGTAAAAAGTGTTTTTTAATATCAGTGTGTTCATAAACGGACCGGTGCGGACTCAGACTGAGTGTTTGAAACGGTCACACTTCATTCAGTCGGTCCGTCAGAGACCAGCAGCAGCAGCAGCAGCAGCAGAGAGCGCTGGTATGTTTGCACATGTTGTAAAAGCTGAATTATGAGGCTGATAAAAAACAACTCTTGTCTGAAACACTAATGCAGAAGAACTCTGGGAGATAAAGAGCCCACTGTGCAGGTCTGGACCGCACTGAGCCCGGGACAAACAGGCCCTGAATGTGTGGAGCTGGTTCCTGTGGGGTTAATGTGTCCATGCGGGGCTGTAACAGAGCAGTATGTGGTGTGACCTGAGACCAGCAGAGCCTCTCTGTACTCTCTGAGGGCAATTAGTGAGACAGGAAAAACTCATTTACAAGATCACATCACAGACCGGGGGCAGAGGGGAGCGCTACCGGTCTGTGGACCAGGACACGTCCCAGAGATCCGACACTGTCCCATCAGCAGAGAACCAGAGAGAGTCCTCTGAGAGACGAGTCACAGAGAAACTGAGACTCAGCCTCAGCTGAAGTGAAGCCCCTGAGATTTGGTCTTTAGTCTGGTTCACATTTTGTTTTTATATGATGTTGATTCAAAGAAATATAAGAGTGTAAAAAGTGTGTCAACAAGACCCAGTGTCCCCTATTTCATGGGTGTTAGGTGGTCCAGCAAAACCCCAAAAGGAGCTTCACTCAAAGTTCGAGATGATGGAAATCCTTTAGAGACTCAGTCCACATCAGAGGTTGTTGTACCTTCAGGACCCGGTGCCGACTTTTCCTGGAACCTTAAAAGTCCTCAAGGCCTTCAAATCCATCCCAGCATGAACTGGAGTCCCCCTGGGATCCTCCTCTGACCCTGATCTGGAAGTGAAGGATGAAAGGTTTACAAAGAGACAGGAAGTCTTATCTGAGTCGCCGACTTCCTCTCCACAGAGATATGACAGTTTAGCGGCGCCCGTCACACACTGTCACGTCAGCGGGCCAGAAAATTACCCACAAACAGACGGACAGACAGACAGACGGCTGAAAATAGAGTCCTGCATGTGAATCAGTCATTCTTATGGACCCAAAGAGGTTCTGACTGAACCGCAGAACTTAGAGGACTCAGTCAGGAGATCTTTGCAGGAGAAGCTGAGAGTTTAGAGCTCGGACTTTGAAATAAAACAGCTGATGGTGAAATCACGAGGAGCTGCTTTACTAAAAAGCTCGTAGAGACGCCGATGTTTTATTGGGCACTTCTCAGGGACACTCAGAGACCTGCAGCTGCTGCCCTGGTTTTCACCTGGAGTTTAAAGGGATATTCCGTGTAAAATCAAGTCAGGGTCAAACCCACCGTAACACCGAGTTAGACCCCCCTCCAGAGATGAATGTTGTCGACCGCTTGCTTCTCTAGTTATACCAACTTTAGTAACGACCACGAGACCTCAGGCCAGTCCATTATGGACTACAGCGGGGTGCCGCAGCTCAAGGAAGAACATTTATGATCATTTCTTTATGGAAATACAATCAGACCAAGACGCTAAAGCGGAAGAACTACTGCGTCTGCAGAGAAAATGATTAATATGATGATTATTACTTCAAGGAAATGATGAAGAAATTATCATAAATGTTCTTCCTTGCGCTGCGGCACCCCGCTGTAGTCCGTAATGGACTGGCCTGAGGTCTTTCTACAAACAAGCGTCTGCTGGAAGAGAGTAGGTGAGTTGTGTTTAGTCTCTTTGATAGAGAAATGAGTCAAAGTTAAAAAGATGTTTGGTGTCTAGTACTATGACTGGGACCCTATATGTCCTGTTGATGAAGTTAGGTGCTGTTCTGAGCATTATTTGTGGCTATAGAGTGGCGTTTTGGTTGAGGGCGTGTCTCTCTGTATTTCTATCCTGCGGTCGTTAATAAAGTTGGTTGGCAAGCGGTCGGCAACATTCATCTCTGACTCGGTGTTACGGTGTGTTTGACACTAAATTTTACACTGGAATATCCCTTTAAGTGGATTTGAAGTCCAAACTGAGTCCCCCTGGAGTCTCTCTCTGTGGTTTTCCAGATCCTTCCATCTGTGTCGGACCCTGAACCCGCTGACAGCCTCAGGTGGAGCTGGAACTCTTATCACAGGTAAATGGCGAGCTTTGATTCGCTGCTGACACTTCGACACGGCTACATTCCTGCCCGACAGTTCTGACATTCTCACGATACCTTCACTCGCCAAACAGAACCTGGGATATCTGAGCTTCCCTCACTTCCAGCAGAGACTCACGGTCCAAACCCGGAGGGAGCGATCCGGCGTTTTCAGCAGCCTGAGACTCGGAGGTTTCTGACTCTCATCCAGACGCCTGACTTTGGTTTTTTCCATCATATCTGGAATATTTCTGGTCAATAAGCCGTAAAAGTGAGAAATTCTCGGAGGTCTTAAACGTGACTTTGTGGACCTTCAGAAACCCGGGTCAGTGTTTTGGTTCTGAACGGGGTAAAAACGTTACGTCAGGTTCAAGTCCAGCGATCAAATCCACTTATCATCAAAAGACTCATGCTGCCGTTAACGTTTTCCACAGACTCACACACACACACACACACACACACACACACACACATGTTCTGAATCACTCTTTCCTTTGATTTTCTTCAGTGCGGCGGCGGTGATACGGCCCAGCGCCGTGGATCAGTGGCTCGTCCACTCCAGTGTCTGATGTTAGTGTACCGCCGCGTTAGCTTAATCTTAATCGTGAATCAGTCGGGCCTCCCAGGACGCGGCGCAAACAGTCGTCTGCTCCGATCGTGACCCGGTCAGATAAAAAAAACAAAAACTGTTTGTTGTTTCTGTAATTCTCCTCCACAGCGAGAGCTTTGATGGAGAGACAACCAGAGCAATTTGGACGCTCCATTTGGGTGAGAGGGCTTCAAGGTGGCCGAGGCAGGTCAGAGACACACACACACACACACACACACACACACACACACACACACACTGCAGCAGAACTATCATCTCAAACAGTCGCAGGAATGCGTTCACCATCAGACACCGACGGTTTGACATACACAGTGTTTCTCCTACCTTAATTGCACCGCTCCTGAAATTTCACATGATCATTAATATCAATGCGCCACTAATGATTTCTACTCGCACTGTGTGAGCGCAACAACACACAATCTTATTTTCAACTTGTTTTGAGTCTTGAACAAGTGGATCGAATCCTGTTTTCCATCAACGTGAAAGTTAACGTTCAAGCTCAGACATGATCTAAATAGCGGGTAGCGCGGGTAACGTAACGTAACCTCAACGTAACAGCGTAGCTCCATGAGCGGCAACGGCAAACAGTGGAGGTAACAGCGAAAACGCCCCACCCCCGACACAGAATCGCTAGGGGAAACGCTGCATACAGTCAGAATGATCTCACAGTGATAATAATGAGTAACTGACATCTCATCGTCATGGCAACGGTACAATATAACAGGATGAAATGCAGCAGGGGTGTTATATTTCACAACAACGTTCAGGATTTAGTACTTGGTGTATGGTTGTACCTGCAGTTACACCTCCAGGACACTAGGCGGCAGTGGTGTTTATTTTAACTGAGACGATTAAACGGGCGGACAGAGAAGGACTGGGTGATCTTAAGATCGTAATCAGTGATCATGATAAATTTCAGTTCGATCACGGTTATCAGCTGTGAGCTTATTTACTTGATCAGTTTAGCCAAAACTAGCGAAGCAGCCACCAGACCAAAGCAATCAATCGTATCGTCGACAATTCCATAATCTAATGTTTACATTTGAAGACGTCTTCGTTATCCCTGAAGGGACGATTTGTTTATTTTGGGTCTTACAAAAACACTCAGGACTGTAAACTAGCTCACTGTATTATTTAATATTTATCTACTTTTGTTTTACGGTTGAGTTAAAATGTTTTTTTATACTTGTCTAAGTTTATCTTATTTAATTTGCTTTGTTATTTACTTATGATCATAAAATGTTGAACTAATCTCTAGTTTCTTTAGTTTTTAATACAGATGCTTTAAAAATGTCAATTGAAAAAGAAATCGTGATAATAACCGAGATTGGATGGTACGACAAAATATATCGTGACCATTTTTTTTTTGCCAAATCGCCCAGTCCTAAGACAGAGACACATTAGCAAAGACTGGAAATAACAGACAGCAGTATTTATACATCTACATTAAAACTACAGACACAGAGAGGGTCTGTGTTTGAGCCCTGAATCAGGTCTTAAAGGCTCTGATGAGGTCATTCAGCAGCAAACTAAGACTGAACTGAACCTTCAGACCTGAAAATGTCTCTAAAGTTTGGATTTGTTGGTTCAGAAACATTAAAAAAATGATTGGAGCAGATTTTCTGTAAATCTGATTCCTGTTGGTCATGTGACTCGGACAGATTTCCCTTCAGTCTGCGCTGAATAAACGGACCTGAGTCCAGTCGTCCTGCAGCGATCCTGTGGTTTGGCCCGGCGCTCCTGAACGCTCCAGCGGGAAAACTCCCCGCCAGCCGTGGTGTGAGATTCCAGTTGGTTCACACCCTCCCACACGGCGGTCTCAGCCTGCCAGTCAGGACTCGGGGCAGCAGAGCGGCGGATTCCTCAGACACCTCCAGACTGTTGGAGAGGCTGCAGGACCAGAACCAGCTGACAGGAGGGGAAACTAGAAACTCAGAGACCACGAGTCAGTTAGACCTCACACACACACACACACACACACACACATACACACACACACACACACACGTTTACAGCTGTACAGACTGAGGAGGGGGTCCCTTTAACGTTGGTACAGGGTCAGTGTGAGCTCCAAAGGCTGTTTGGGATCATTTGAAGGTCTTCCCTGAAAAAGTCTTTGTCAGCAGATGTTCCTCCTAAACCTGTAGATATTGTTTAAAACTGAGGATGCAGCATCTATGATTTCTAGTTCTTCGTAGAAAGGACAACCTAAGGCAAAACGTCTCAAGTAAGTCCAGTTATCCTTTCCAAAAGAGAGTTAGATTTTGATCCATCAGACTTTAGGACAGCTCACAGACAAGTGATATTGCGCCCATGCGGTGACTCCAACTACAGAGTCCTGAAGCTCTTAAACCTGGAGATATAGTTCAGCATTACTGGAGTCTTCACGGATGTTCAAAGACAACTTTTTTAACCTATTTGTTTCTTACCTTATAAGACATGTAATAACATTAAATTTGAGGTCGATTTTTCAGAAAACAGCTTTAACTTCACTGTTTTTAACGGTCAAAGAGCTTCAGCTCACAGGTAACTTCACCTGTCTCGCCCCCTTACAGCGGTGTCACATGACCTCTGATTGGCAGAGCTTGACTCACATACCCAGAATGCCTCAGATATGGAGGAGGATGTGGTGATGAAAAGCGACTCATGAATCCTGTGTGACTGTCTGCTCCTCTCTCAGTAAAACTTCATCATCATATTAAACTCAAACATCATCCACACGTCTCTCCGATAGAAGACAAACTCTCAGGTCTGAGTGCACAACATCCACATGAGACGAAGTTTAATCATGTCGTTAAAATACATCCAACCGTGTGAGTTCAGAGGTCGAGGAAACACTGGAGCCTTTTCCTTCAAATTATAATTAAAAAAAGTCTTTTAGCTGCAAATAAATAAAGTCCAGAGTTCAAAGTGAGTCCTTCATGAAGTCCAGGGTCCGAGATAAAAATGCAAAAATATACAAACAAGATGGATCAGCACATGGTGACAAAATACTGGAGATACAAACAAACAAAGAGGAAAGAATCAGTTCAAGAGCAGGATCTGTCGGACATATTCGACATGTCGGGAAAACACGAAAAAACGTTTTTGTAGCCGTCTGTAAATCCACGAGGATCTTGTCGTTACTAAAGCTTTGATGAAAAAGAGCGACAGTGTAAAATCGCTGTAAAAGTGAAGCCAAAACCTAAAGAGCTCCCCCTGCTGACTGGCTGCGGTACTACACAGCCTGTCCCCTCCATGTAAACAGATGGGACAGGAGTTAAATAATCGTAATTGACCAATAAGGCTCCTGCAGCGCTGTGTCGAGGAAAACCAAGAACACAAGACTCAGTGAACTTTGGACGACTGTGAAGTGACGTCATGTCAGCTGTCCTTATATGGACTTCCTGGCTTCTTACAGGAAGTTTCTACATGCTTTCTCAAAGATGTCCGATTCATTTACACGTGTGTAAATCCACATTTGTGCATCCGTGGGTTTTTAGTTTGTGCTCAACAGTCAAAGTTTGAAAGGTTTTTTGTTTGAGTTTCGGTCGTAACATGAACTTAATGTGATCAAAACCAAACGAAAAGAAAAGGCAGTAATGAAGAAGAGAAGTTTGACAAACAGGTATGAAAATTAAAGGGGGAGGAGTTTAATACTTTGAGGTTTACTCTCTTTCTGATAACTCTCACTCTGTGTGTCTAACTCAGAATAAAGACTCATAGGGAAACAGCCAGCCTGACTCTGTCTTCGTAAATGACGATTCGATCACGATCTGAATTTAACACTTTGTTGTTTCTTCTCTAAAATAGCTGTTAAGCAGCTTCCTGTTGCTGCTGCAGCAAAGTTATCTCCACTTTGAGTCAAATAAAATGAAAAAACAGGAACAGGACGAGCATAAAGACAGAAACTTAAAAGGATAATCCGGCGTAAAATTAACTTAGGGTCAGACACACCGTAACAAAGAGTAACGAGAGATGAATGTTGTCGACCGCTTACTTCTCTAGTTATACCAACGACTGCAGGATAATGATACACAGAGCCACCTACTCTCTTCCAGCAGCCACTTGTTTGTGGCGAGACCTCAGGCCAGACCATGACGGACTACAGCGGGGTGCCACAGCTCAAGGAGGAACATTTACACACGTGGACAAAATTGTTGGTACCCCTCAGTTAAAGAAGGAAAAACCCACAATTCTCACTAAAATCACTTGAAACCTACAAAAGTAACAATAAATAAAAATTTATTGAAAATTAAATAATCAAAATCAGCCATTACTTTTGAATTGTTGATTAACATAATTATTTAAAAAAAACAAACTAATGAAATAGGGCTGGACAAAAATGATGGTACCCATAACTTAATATTTTGTTGCACAACCTTTTGAGGCAATCACTGCAATTAAACGATTTCTGTATTTGTCAATGAGCGTTCTGCAGCTGTCAACAGGTATTTTGGCCCACTCCTCATGAGCAAACTGCTCCAGTTGTCTCAGGTTTGATGGGTGTCTTCTCCAAATGGCATGTTTCAGCTCCTTCCACAGATGTTCAATGGGATTCAGATCTGGGCTCATGGAAGGCCACTTTAGAATAGTCCAACGCTTTTCTCTCAGCCATTCTTGGGTGTTTTTGGCTGTGTGTTTTGGATCGTTGTCCTGTTGGAAGACCCATGACCTGCGACTGAGACCAAGCTTTCTGACACTAGGCAGCACATTTCTCTCCAGAATGCCTTGATAGTCGTCAGATTTCATTTTACCTTGCACACATTCAAGACACCCTGTGCCAGATGCAGCAAAGCAGCCCCAAAACATTGCTGAGCCTCCTCCATGTTTCACCGTAGGGACAGTGTTCTTTTCTTCGTATGCTTGGTTTTTGAGTCTATGAACACAGAGTTGATGTGCCTTACCAAAAAGCTCCAGTTTGGTCTCATCTGTCCAAAGGACATTCTCCCAGAAGCTTTGTGGCTTGTCAACATGCATTTTTGCAAATTCCAGTCTCGCTTTTTTATGATTTTTTTTCAGCAGTGGTGTCCTCCTTGGTCGTCTCCCATGAAGTCCACTTTGGCTCAAACAACGACGAATGGTGCGATCTGACACTGATGTACCTTGGCCTTGGAGTTCACCTTTAATTTCTTTGGAGGTTGTCCTGGGCTCTTTGGATACAATTCGAACGATCTGTCTCTTCAATCTGTCATCAATTTTCCTCTTGCGGCCACGTCCAGGGAGGTTGGCTACTGTCCCGTGGGTCTTGAACTTCTGAATAATATGAGCCACTGTTGTCACAGGAACTTCAAGCTGTTTAGAGATGGTCTTATAGCCTGCACCTTTAAGATGTTTGTCTATAATTTTTTTTCGGATGTCCTGGGACAATTCTCTCCTTCGCTTTCTGTTGTCCATGTTCAGTGTGGTACACACCTTTTCACCAAACAGCAGAGTGACTACTTGTCTCCCTTTAAATAGGCAGACTGACTGGTTATGAGTTTGGAAACACCTGTGATGTCAATTAAAGGACACACCTGAGTTAATCATGTCACTCTGGTCAAATAGTTTTCAATCTTTTATAGAGGTACCATCATTTTTGTCCAGCCCTATTTCATTAGTTTGTTTTTTTTAAATAATTATGTTAATCAACATTTCAAACGTAATGGCTGATTTTGATTATTTAATTTTCAATAAATTTTTATTTATTGTTACTTTTGTAGGTTTCAAGTGATTTCAGTGAGAATTGTGGGTTTTTCCTTCTTTAACTGAGGGGTACCAACAATTTTGTCCACGTGTGTATGATCATTTCTTCATGGAAATACAATCAGACCGAGACGCTAAGACAGAAGAACTACTGCGTCTGAAAAATGATTAATATGGTGATTATTACTCAAAGAAATGATAAAGAAACGATCATAAATGGCTTTCTGCTGTTTTTAATAAAAAAATGAAAAATAATACGATTAAGACAACGCGATTAGAAATTAATCGCGATTAACTACCAACACATTGTGAAAAATCATTTGTTTGACAGCCGTAAATATTTTTCAGTTTGTTTTGTGTTGATATGAATGTAACTTCGCTCAGACCCTGACAGGCGGTTTCCCGTTACTTTGAGTCTTCATGCTAAGCTAGGCTAATCATCTGCTGCGGCTGGAGGGTGGGGTTGGGTGTAGGAAAGGAAAGGTGTTGTACTTCAGTGAAAACTGCAGAGTTTGTGCTTCACATCCAGACAAGAAAACAGTCAATTAATTCTTCAGATTTTTTTTTATCATCAACACTTTTGAGGACGTGAAACGGACCTTTTACAGTCGATACTGAAAGAAGCTGCCACAGTCAAGGCCCCACTGCGTCAAAAACAGACTCCATTAGCTTTTATTCCATAATTGCTCTGTGCAAACATTAAAAACGCACCGTTAAAATACCGTGCATACATGTGGAGGAGGACCTGTGCATGCTCAAACTGCCCTCGGACTCACCAGCCGGAGTCGAAGATTTTGGTGCAGCTTGTTAGAAAAGAAAAAAACACAGCAGCAGCACGACAGAGACAAAAAAATCAACACAACAGCACAACAAACACTGACATGTGAGTCCGGGGGGGGGGCAAAGTGCAGACAAACGATATCCTGACCCCCCTCTGACCCCGGACGCCGTCATGCTGAACAAAGAGGCACAAACCGGACACGAAGCTTCAGTCCAGACGAACAGACAGACAGCTACAGACGACTTCATGCCAAAATACAGACCTGACAATCCACCAATCAGGAGAAAGACATCTTCAACCTCAGACTACAAAAATACTCTCAGTGGTCTGTCTTTAGTGAGCGAGGGGACAATCAGACATATTTAATATCATCACCACAGGTTCAAACCCGACCACAGTGGGAGCAGCTCACGGACCCACAGATTCACTCATCACAGGAGACCTCAGACAGAGGGAGGGACGGACCGGGCTGTACATTCACTTCAAGTAAAGAATCCATAATACTCTGGAAACCATCTCTTTAAATTCAGGGCTGAGGGTTCGACTAAACGAAAAGGTTTTATTTGTACAAGTCACAATCGAAGCTTCTGTTTTTTTTTTTGGTCGAGTCAAAGTGTGCAAAGTTCCTGTTCGGACGAGCAGTGCTTGGTTTGTCGTTGCATTGATTATTTTCTTTGTAACAGTCGATGCCATGGGTGCTGAGGCTTGGTGGAGTTGAACCAGCAACTTTAGATTAGAGTCTGAGGAGAGGTCACGCACAGCATGTTGTCACTGCGGAGGAGAGAGAGAGAGAGAGAGAGAGAGAGAGAGAGAGAGAGAGAGAGAGAGAGAGAAAGATTTTTATGAAACCCATCAGCTGAAGTTCACGTTTCCAACTACACTCAGAACTTCAGGTTTGTCTAATGTTGACAAAATGCTGCTTTTCAGTGACGAAGTAATCACGGCATCGTTTAGTTTGTTTAGTTTTGACTAAACTCTGTCCAGTGGTTAAAAAATTACCTTAGAGGAAGGAAAAAGTGTCAAAATTCATCTTTTAATTTTAAATATACTGAATGGCGTTCCACAGGGGTCCGTACTGGGTCCAATTCCATTTATAATTTATATTAATAATCATGAAAAAAGTTAATGATGCAAATTTAGTTTTATGCTAGTGACCAGAGGAGGGTAGTCAGGGATCGACAGTGCGACCGTTTCACTCACATTTGCGACTAAAAATAGATGTGTGCGAAGTGTAAAATGTATTTAGGGTCACATATGCGGTGAAGTTAGTTTTAGGTTGGATATTCGACGAACATTCACTGAGGTTTTACGGTGTCTTCTCACTCTCCACAGCAGCGCGGTTAAATCTACTCGACACCCTCACTGTCAACGTCGGTGTTGAATAAGGGACCGTCAATAAATTACCGGTTGATGTTCTCAGAAAAGGCTGTTGTCTTTAATAGCTTTAATGTCATGTGACCAAAACACCTAAAATTGATATCATATAATAGTAGTACTAAGGTCGGAAAATAAGACAAATATTATTTGATCAATTTTCATTGTTCCCCTAAAGTTCTTTGTGCTCCTTACTTTTTTAACGTAGGAGCTCATGTGAAAAAAGTTTATGTCCAGCCCTGCTTAGAGGAAGGAAAAAGTTCACTCTTTAATTTTAAAAATACTGAATGGCGTTCCACAGGGGTCAATACTGGGTCCTATTCCGTTCATTATTTATTTTAATAATCATGTAAAAAGTTCATGATGCAGTTTTAGTTTTTTTGCCGTGACCAGAGGAGGGTAGTCAGGTGTTAATCTGAAACCTTTAAATCAAAGATTATGTTTTATTTTTACATATTTTACATTATTAGTGAGGAAAAGCGAAACAAAGCCGACATTTTTACGAACAACAGCCTATCAGGGTTCAGTAAAAGGATTGGTATTTCTGTCTGGACCAGTAAGGACTGGACTTAGGTAAGGAGGAGGAGTCAAACTGACCTGCTCACCTACAGAGTGCTGCTCAGGATCTCTGACACCTGGGAGTTCGTTTGGTCGTCTGAGTCCACTTCCTGGGTGGCGGCTCCCTCTGACTCCTCCCCCTCTTCTCCTGACTCCACCTGAGCCACGACCACAGACACACCTGCGGCCGTCACCTCGGGCGTCTTCCCTCCTCCCCCCTCCTCCCAGCCCCTCCTCTCGTGGCCCGGGGACAGCTCCTTACAGGGCTCCACGAAGATCCTGCGTACGTGGGGCCGCGGCTCTCGCTGTCGGCCCTTCCTGCTGACGTAGGTGGGGGAGGGGCTGTCCCCGGGCGGAGTTAGGTCCTGGTCCAGCTGCTTGGTGTAGACCCCCTCAGATAGAGACCCAGTGAGACTCTCTCCGCTGTGGCCCCTGAGCCAGCGCTGGGGCCCGCTGAAGTACTGGCCCCGGTGGCTCCTGGAGAGCAGTTTGCGTTTGGCGGGCGGGTTGGCGAGGGTCCTCAGGGGGGTGATGCCCTCATGGTGGCTCTTTGAGAGGGAGAGGCCCTCCAGAGTTTTGGTGGTGTCGGACAGCGAGGGAGAGTGGGGGAGGGACAGGGGGAGGTCTTTGGTGAACCTGGGGGAGAGAGGGAGGGAGGGGGAGGACGGCAGGGTGGAGGTAGAGAACGGAAAGTGCTTGGAGAGGGAGGGGGAGTGGGGGAGGAGGGGGGAGGAGGAGAGGGGAGCGTCTTTAGACTTCGGATCCTTCGCCATGGGAGTGAGGGGGGGGTCTGCAGGGGGACAGACGCTGTACCTGGGGGGGCGGACAGAAACCAGGATCAGAGACTCGGACTCTGAGGTTCTAACAGGTCTCACCCGGGATTTCCACCTCCTCTCATGAGTCTAAAGTCGGTTAGTAAACTGTTTCCACCACTTCTCACCTGAGCTCGTGGATCTGGAGCACATCTGGAGCGCTCCCACCCAGCGAGTGCACGGCCTGCTGGGAAAAATCCTGTGGGGGTGAGTAAAGCAGGTCCAGGTCTCGGGGGCTCAGGGCGTCGCTGGAGTCGTAGTCGCTGTCTGTCGGCAAGAAAACCTCCGAGGATCCGTCCTCGTCTGAGCCGAGCAGAGAGTCTGAGGGAGAAGTTTTTATTAACGTCAAATGTTCACGCTGTCGCCGAGTCATGTGACACAAACAAACGGGCTCTGATGGACGTTAGCGACTCACCGCTGACGGCTTTCCTTCTGCGCAGCTCCGGTGACGGGGAAGGTGTGGGCAGGTAGTCCATGTTGGAGGAGGTGGAGTCAGTCTTCTGCTGGCTGGGGTCGCTTTCCGGAGCGTTGGCGTCCACCAGACAGGTGATGGGGGCGCCGCCGTGGGGATGCTTGTAGCGAGCGTACTGCAGAGCGTCTGTGATCCACCGGAGGTCACGACGCATCTCGTCCAGCTGCTGTAAAAGGGCGGAGGATAAACGGTTAACTCGTGTTTACAGCGATCGCACAAATTACCGCAGCTGAACATCCCGGAGCTGCAGCAGGTCCAAACACGCGCTGAAGAGCGAGCGTCCGTTCATCACCACCTGGGACTTTAATTTCATTGATACTGACCTCTATTAAAGGTTGGAGTGTGTTATGAGAACATGTGAGTGTGTGGGAGAGAAACCGTCTGAGTGTTCGCTTTTGAAGAGAACGAACTGTGACAAAAGTTAAGCAGCAATTAGCCGACTGTCTGACAGAAAGCAGGAGCGCCAGACACACACACACACACACACACACACACACACACACACTCACAGCGGGGAGACTGACAGGGGCGATGACTCGGCTGGAAAGAATGCCGAGGCTGCGATGGCGGAGCGAGCGCGCAGAGAGAAAAACACGGAGGAGATTCCTGCTGGTCCCACAGAGGGAGGCCTGAGCTCTGTTTACCAACAGCAAACACAGCGGCGCTGGTATTTTCCTTCAAACATTCACATTATTCAACCTGTCTGCTGAGAGTCTGCTGCCACACACAGCTGGAGTTTATCTAAAGGTTCAAGTGTGATGTAAATAACCCACGGCGGTTTATGAGGTCACATGACCATAACGGCGCGTTATCTCACTCGTTATTCTGACAGTCATCAAAACTGTGGGCTGAGTTTGATGATACAGCTGAGGAAGACATCACTCTGAGGCGACTGTCGCTAACTGACCTGTCCCAGAAGCTAATTTTTTTTGAAGGATGGTAGAAGAAAGTCCCGCCTCCTTCGTCTCTGATTGGCTAGAAAAGCTGGAAACGTCATCACAAGCTCAATCCAAACACGGGCTGTCGGCTCTGTACATCCAACTGAACATTATCGCACTTCTGAATTTCCTAACCCTAACCTGACAGACGATGACGTTTCAAAGCCATAAGGAATAACCAATCAGAGCCCAGCACTTCTAGCCAATCAGAGGCGAAGGAGGGCGGGACCTTTCCCTACCACCCTACAAAAAAAAAATTCACTTCCGGGACGGATCAGGTAGGAACAGTGACTGAAGTCAGACTGTAGCACCGCTAACGTTAGCATGACCGGCTAACACAACACGCTACAAGTCCAAAGATAGAACTGGCGAAATTTCAGCTGATGCAGAGGGGCGCCATTCTGGATTTGGACTCAGGAGACCGGAAGTTTCTCTGAGTTTACGACGACGATCACGTGGTGCATGCACTATGTTTGCTGTCAGCCATGTTTTTTCGGCCATGTTTACTGAGGTCGGCCTGAAGCAGAGGGCAGAGGTGATGCTGATATGATCCACTGTGTGTTTCCTGCAGCTTGTGTGTTACAGGCGCCCTCCTGTGGCGATCAGAGGCGGTGCAGGACTGATTAACTGATAAATAATAAAGAGATGATTCGATGAAGAGACATCGCAGGACCGGAGAGCGGACAAAGGTTTCAGACTCGTTTCCACGGTCCTGCTGTAAAAAGGAAAATTCGCCGCCTCCGTCCGCCTCTGTGAACATGTAGTAAAGAACTTTCCGGAGCAGAGACACATCTGCAGCTGGTCAGAGTCTGACAGCAGCGTCAGGAGTCAGATACACAGACTGATACTCGCAGGTTTCCAAGGACGACCTGCAGCAACAGCAGATCTCCCTGCTCAGCGTCACTTCCCACAGACCTCATGCCGTGTTTTACGGTTTTGTGTTGCGGATCACGCATCAGTTCCCGACAGAGTTCACTCTGCGTGACGCCAGCGTGAAGACGAATGCCTCCAGAAGATCATGGACAGACTCAAGCTGTCACTAACACACGATCCTCTGGAGAGGAGTGTGCTGGTGGATAATCCCTCCAGAACTTTGGGTCAGACGCACAAATTTCAGCTCTCAGATGGAGTTTGAATAAATGTGGTTCAGACTCAGAAACTGTGTTTGACTAAAACTGTTTTATGAATTCACTCAGACCCTGAACCCATCTGCTTTCTGTCTGTGGACCCTCTGAGTATGAACGACCACTTCTTTAGGATGTCAGAGACGCCGACGCACAGGAACAGAAAACCTACAGCAGAGACTTTCTTCATCGTCCATCAGTGAAGGCTTGACATTAGCTTAAAAAAAAAAAGTCACAAATTAACACAGATATGAATTTACTTAATATTATTTATTAACAACAAATTAACAAATTGCACATTAGCACACAGCAAAAAGAAGTCAGACTTCTATGTAATAAAAGAAAAATTAGGTAACAGCAAAACAGGATTGGAACGCTGGATCAGCATCATTCATCCGATATCCGATCCAGTTAATATAAATTGTCAAAATCGGAGCTGATATCCGATCCAAATATCTGATCGGTGCATCACTAGTTCTACTGGGACTTAACTCTCATCTACAGTTTGTTGGTCTAGGATCAGTCTCAGTTTTAGTGGACCTGGGTTGTGTGGAGGTAGAGAAGTTAGCAGGAGTAGATCTGTCAAAGGTAAAAAGTCCAGATTTATCAGGTCTGGTTGGTTTGGTCTGTAAAATGTTCTTATTCTCATCAGTCTTTTTAAGAACAATCTAATGAACTTAGAGATAAAAAAAAAAAGGTTTGGTTAATGGACTGATGAGAAGAGCGACATTAAACGACGTGAAGAGCAGAAAAATAATGAATTTGTAATGAAGCTCATTTATCATCCTACACACACACACACACACACACACACACACACACACACACACACACAAGGTCTCCTGGTTTTAGTAATAATAATAATGTTTTCCTGTCTGTGTTTTTATCATTTCTAACAGCTCTGAAGTTTTCATGTCAGTGACAGTGTGAGGAGAAACCACACGTGTGCAGACAGTCCTGATCTGTCTGATGAACATGTGGTGAGTCTAAACAAACTGTCCAATTAGACGGCATCACGTCATCCTAACCCACTTTCACTGTAACACTCGTACACTCACACACAGACGGTGTCAGGACCTCCCAGATCACATGATCTAAGTGTGTGTGTATCTCAACTTGTTTTTCTATCTGTCTGAGGACTGATACAAAATCGGCACCATGAATGTGGGGACGTTTAAAAATGAAACTTAGTGTCCTAAAAAGTAAAGACATTTTTCAGTTCCTCAACAAAAAATTAATGAAAGAAATAATTTTAAAAATGACCTTTTAAAAATCGTATTTTTAATGGTGGGAAAATATGAGACAATTCCGGTTAATTTAAGTTGATGTTTTCAGAGGTAAAGGATATTTTGAGATATTTCAGAGGCAAGGTTTTAAAGATCTACTTAAAATATTTTTTTTAAGTTAAAGAAGAATATTTTCATTCAACAGGTTAACTTGGATAAAATATTTAATACAGAGGAGACATCAAAATTCAAAAGGATGAGGTTTTATTGAAAGCTGCACTATTTTGTAAAGACGCACATTTTTCTACAACTGGAGATTTCACGCTTAAAAAAACACTTTATTCATTTACTTAGAAAATGTGAACAGTTTTTTGAATAAATGAATTAAGTTAGGCCTTTCAAGAAGACTGGGAACATTTTTATTAAGAAATTAAATTTGTGTTCAGATACAAGTTTTGATTTTCAGTCACATTTGTTTGTTGGACCTTGTAATTCAACATCTTTTCAAACTAAATAAGTTTTAATAAAAGAAAAAAACTGATGACGGAGAGTTTATTTCAACTTTTACACTTTGAGAGGAATTTTCTAAAATTTCAGCAGATTAAAAACTGAAGGAAAAAAGTTATTGCTCAGCTGTGAGACATTTCTGAACATTTTAAGAGCAGTCTGAAGGTCCTCACAAGTATAGAAGTCCCTGTGTTGACAGACGTGGACCTTCTCTTCCTCTGCTCTTCACATCAACATTTTACTGTCTCTCACTAACACACACACACACACACACACACACACACACACACACACACACACACATGTGCTCTGATTGGTATTATTTTTTCCCCTGACGTCCCCCCTCCCTCTCGGAGTAATTTGTGGTCGGGGGGCTGCTTTTTTCCGAGCATTAAAACGGCAGACAGAGAGCCAGACAGATTGTTACACACACACACACACACACACACACACACACACGGGTCTGGCAGCGTGCGATCGGAGAGCGCCTGCCCGTGTGGTTTTGCGGTGCGTCTCCATTAACGGCGGCGGTGACTCTTCACAGAGAGACGAGTTTGCTCTGGTACTTGTGGACTTGTGAACTTCTTTAACCCAAAGAAAAACAAGCAGTTTAACGGCTAATGGTGGCAGCAGTCGGACTTTATGGCATCAATAAACGTCTCAAAGTGGAGCGCTGACTCTTTGTTTTCACGCTCGCTCCTTCTTTAACGTTTCTCTGTCTGTAAAAATAAATCAGCGATGATTAAAATGAGATTCAGTCTCTCATCGTTTTGAAGTTTTCTGTTCTGCACAGAAACATTCACAGTTTCTGACGGTCCAGGTCTGACTTCATGGATCTAAAACCACAGACGGACTCCTAAAAACTGATCCCAGAGCAGCTCCTCTATCGAAGAGTGAGTCCGACACGTTTCAGTCCGTCTTTTACACAAACAGGCAAAGATCGAACATTTCTAATCTGACGAAGTTTGGTGTAAACTTCTCTCATGTGGTCAAAACAGAAACTTCAGGAAGTGTTTCTGTAATTTCTTCTACGTTTGCGTCTTTTCTTTGACTCTGCAGAAAAAACTTCACCATGATCGGACGCCATGATTTTGTTGTCATTATCGAGGAGGACACTGTTCCAAGAAATCAGTGGCACTTCGGACGGGTGGTGGAGGCCACCGAAGGACCTGACAGATTGGTCCGCCAGGTCAAGGTTCAAGTTGGAGAAACTGAATGATCGCTTCGGCCACCAGCAGACCGAGTGTTTTTAGCGAGTTGAAAATCATGTTAGGACAGCTTTTAGTGTTGCCAAGTTATTAATCCTAACATGATTTGGTGGCCAGTTAAGCTGGTTATTCACATTCAGGGTCGGCACACCGACAAAGGGGTTAAATAGTGACGTCAAATGGCAGTTTGTCACACGAAAATGATCGGGTTGTTGTAGAGAGAGGAAAAGATTAAAAGTCAGTGTAATTAAAGGAAAGTTGAACTGAGGTTTTCCGACTGTCTGTGATAATTAGCTCGGCGTTTACATGTACATACATACATCTGGGGTCGAGTACAAGAGGCTTTTTTGGTCCAGTTTGCACCTTTTGTAGGCGAAGAGAGGCAGGTAGTGTGAAATAATTTGAGTGGCGTGTTTTGTTTGCGATCGTGCGTGGTCTTGATAATGTCGGGGGAGAAATTGTTTTGAATGTTATCATTGTGGTTGTTTTAATAGTGAAATTGTGTTTAAAAAAATCAATTATTTAAGTACTATTATGTATGTTTCTAGTTTCACAGTACTGGGAGCAAGGAATAAAGAAATACAGACTGTACCAGTTGAACGCGACGCCGTGGTTTATTGATACTGAGGTCTTTAACATTCATGTTTTATTCATCGTCACACAAACAGCTGTTCACGATCAGCTGTTTCAGTGCACATGTGTCCCTTCTGTGTGTGTAAAACAGGAGGTGCAGGTGCGGTTCCTCACCTGGATGTAGTCCAGTATGAGCTGGTGTCTCTGTTTGGCCGTGGTCACCTCGCCGTCGGTGATGGCTTCTCGTAACGCCTGCTGGGTGATGAGGGCGTCCAGGTCGAGGACGGAGGACAGGCGGCAGTACAGACTGATGAACTTCTCTTTGTAGGTGCAGAAATGGACTAAAGAAGAAGAAGAAGAAGAAGAGTGTTTTTTTACCTGCTGATATAAATAAAGTTTTCTTCTTCAGCGTCTCTCTTCTTCTTCTTCTTCATGATTTCATCTTTATTTATAACGGCGTGGTCGTCATAGTCCACGGTACGAGTCCAGACTGACAGAAATCTCAAACTCTCCGCGCTCAGATTTTTTTTCTCTGGCAGAAACTTGAATGGACTCTGGCGTCTGATCAGCAGCTCATTTGCACGTTCTCGTCGTGTTTCTCGCCGCTCTGTGAGGGTTTTTTCAGCGCCAGGAGAACATCTCGCTCGCTCTGAGCTGTGAGCCGAGTCCTCCTGCCGCACGAAAACCACAACTTTTGGATGTGAGAGGACGGCGAATCAGGACGAGTGAAAGTCTGAGTGAAAATGAGTGAAAATCTGAGAGAGGTTTGGTGAGAGCGCTGAGATTCACGTCCAAGAGTTTCATTCAAGGAGGATTTGTGTGTGTGTGTGTGTGTGTGTGTGTGTGTGTGTGTGTGCGTGCGTGTGTGTGTGTGTGTGAGTTACCGAGCTCAAACATCTGCAGAGGAAGGTGGAGGAATCCTGACAGCGGCGTGTAGGGGTTGGACTGTCCGGGGGCGGAGCAAACGTTGTCGGCGGCGGGCAGCAGCAGCAGGAAGGAGACGCCGTGACCGAGCTCGACCACCTCCTGACTGTAGAGACGGAAGTGACGGGCCTGCGTACAGAAGGTCAGAGGTCATCAGCGTTACACCAGGAGGTCAGACCAGGTCAGAGGTCAGAACCGCTCCAGCTGTGTCAGAGTGGGCGTTACCTGGTGCAGAGGTAGGTTGATGTGTTTCAGCAGAGACTTGATGGCCGTCTGCAGCTCATAGTACAGTAAAGGGGCGTGGCTCTCCGGCCTTGGCCCCGCCTCCTCGCCCTCTTTATCTCCTGCAGCCGACAGCGTTTGGATCCAGTCCCACTCCTCCCTGAACAAAACCGGGACACAGACAAGAACTCTGGAGAACATGACGGACAGTGTAGACCTTCTACCCCCAAAAACAGGGACAGGTTCAGGCCGGGGACTTTAAGATCCAGATCTGATGAAGAAGCAGTGAGAGAGAGAGAGAGAGAGAGAGAGAGAGAGAGAGAGAGAGAGAGAGAGAGAGAGAGAGATGGCGTACTTGGACACGTTGCCGTTGTCCCGTATTCGGGTGTGACACAGCATGTTGGGGGTCCTTTGGGACACGAGGACTCGGATCTGGTCCACAGAGCTGCTGAGCTTCAGGTAACCCAGGTACAGACCCGGGGCCAGCCGGTTCATGCTGCGCCGCTGATACGCCAGGATGTCCTGCAGGGCGGAGACAGAGAGACAGATACCTGTGCGGTCAGAGGTCAGAGGTCCGTCTGCGTTTGGGTTTATCGCTCTGACCGTGGTTCTGAAGGTTACCTGGATGGTGATGATGAGGATGTCGAGGGCGTACGGCTCCTCCGGCGTGGACAGGCTCTTCCTCTGGCTCTGAAGTTTGGTCACCTGCATCCACTTCCCGTTAAACAGCGAGTGCTGGCTCTCCGTGTCCCGGATCGTCACCAGCAGCACGTTCCCGTGGCGGTCTTTGATGGGCTCGTAGTGAACGCGGCCCAGGTTGTGAGTCCCGAGGAGGCTCTGCGGGGACAGAGACCCTCAGGATCCTGGTCTTTAAAGATCTTTTATTTCTGATGTAATGAAGTAAAGAGCGTTTTCTGCGGCTGACCTGCATCTGTCCGGCGGCGGTGAGCATCTTGTGTCGGGCCTGCAGGGTGGAGGACGACGACATGGACACGGACATGCTCTGTCTCAGCCACCGCACGTCCTCCCACATACAGGACAGCTACAAACACACAAACAGACACACACACATGCAGACACTTATTAAACTTTAGGGCCTCATAAAAGCAGCGTTCGGGGGCGGCGGCGGTCGGATTCAAAAACACGTCTGAGATCCAACCGAGACTTCACACCTGATCCTCTGAAAAACAGGAGACTGCAGCTCCGAGGGGAAAACCTGACAGAGAGTCAAGAAAAGCTTCACGGCTGGACCAGAGATGTCGATTCAGGCTGTTTCATTTCTATCTAACGCAGATTCAGATCATCTGTTATACGTGGACACGGACGGTTTTACAGACCATCAGGTGGTTTTTGTCCCTGAGTATGAAGCTGAAATAACAGTTGTACATTCTTGAGGTTTTTGTTTTCACAAATCTCCAAGCACTCAAAGTTCTGGTCCACGAGATCCACACTGTTGTCAGAATCAAGACTGAGTCTATTTTGGTTTAACTTAAAGCTCCAGTGATGATGTTTTGACATCTTTAAAATTAACTCAAATTCAAGTTAAGTTTTTTTTTATGATGATCTACAAAAGCAAAGAGCTGATCAGTGACATAACGGATCATTTTTAAACCATTAGAGCTCGAGCCTACGCTGCAATTTTTGCAATTATTTATATCAAACATAAATATGAGATTTTATCATATTATACTAAACTATGATTTTTCAACATACTGAACGATGACAGTCTGTCAGCCAACCAGAGGAGGACCATGACGGTCACATGACTGACAGACCAATCTGGTTATTGATATGCTTCACCTGCACTTTGTTTGAACACCTGAGTGTTGATCGGTACCTTCGTGAACCAGAGGAAGTCCTGCATGAGGGAGCTGCTGTACGAGTCGTCCACCTCCACGATGGGGATCTGGTCCTCCGCCGTCACCAGTAGACTGTCTTTGTGGTAGAACACGGCGGCCAGGTAGATCCCCCTGAACACACACACACACACACACACACACACACACACACACACACACACTGGTGTTAGACTCACGGAGGACTCCTTTCAGGACCCTGACTCTGACGGATCTCCGAACCTTTTCAGCGTCTTCACAAACTTGTTGGAGGAGTTGAAGAGATGTTTCAGACTCCTGGAGACCGACTGCTTCCTGCTCGGGTTCTGCAGCTTCGAGGTGTCTGAGAAGAAGAAGAAGAAGAAGAAGAAGAAGAGGAAGTTTACTCATCTGAGAGAAACCTGGTTCTGATGGATCAGTTTTTAACGCAGGTCCAAACACTTAACATGTGGTCGTTCTTCCGTGTGTTCGGGGTCAGCGGGGTCGGGTCACTCTCCCATGTTACAGATCTGACTTCCTTATCTCCCTCGCTCGCCCGCCTATCTCTCCCCCCTTGTGAGGACGGCGGTCTGTGATGCCAATCTACAGACCACAGCGGCCTTTTTACTCCGGCTAATTAAGCGTCACATAACGAGCGTCCTGTAAACAGACGTCTGCGGAGCTCGCCATTCTGACTACAGACAGATACACAACCACGACCAACGCCGCCACCGCCGCAGGGTCTGACACACCTTTAACCCTTAAATCACCTTTTAGAGGCTGTCAGAGGAAAATCTCTGCGGCAGGTCGACCTGGACGTCATCAGGACGCCTCCAGCTTCACACACACACGCACACACAAACACACACACACACACACACACTGTGGGCTTGTTATTCCAGCAGCAGGTCGAGCTGCTCTGTGCGGCAGTAAAAGGCTGCTGTGTGTGTGTGTGTGTGTGTGTGTGTGGGGGGGTGTGTTGGAGGCTAACAGAGTCTGACAGGTGGATAATGTGACAGCAGCTGAACGTCACTCTGAATAAATAAAGACAGGAGTTTTGGTTGGAGACGCTCGCAGCTGATTAACGAGGTTTGGTTTCGGCTCGCCGCTCTGATGTCTCATTAATGTCTCTGTTAGAGTTTGTCGTCTGAGCGCCGTCGCACGTTCATGAAACATTCATAATGACAGCTGACAGGGAGGCGGACAGGTGAGAGGAGAATCACACAAACACACGAATCAGCGAGTGTTTTAAAAAGTTTGTTTCTGCGACTTTCAGAAAACTCCCACTGATCACACGCTGAAGGTTGTTGTTGTCGTCGTCATCTGTGCTCTAAAGTACAGACAGGGTCTAACTGATAGATGATTACACACACAGGAGGTGTTGTTGTTGTTAATCAGGTCTAATTAAAGACATGCTAATTAGGAGAAAACATGAGACTGCTCCTTTAAACAGATCTCAGTGACAGTCAGCTGAACTTCTTCAGATCGTTTTGTTCTACAGAAACCAGCCGAGAACATGACGCTGTGTCTGAGTGTGTTTCTCTATCCGACCACACAGCCTCCTGTGTGTGTGTGTGTGTGTGTGTGTGTGTGTGTGTGTGTGTGTGTGTGTCCAACACACACATCATAAATTAAGAGATCCAGTCACTAATGGACCCTCAATAGAGCCGGCTTTGTACCTCTCTGATTAATTTCACACATTTATTTCTGGCACAGAGGATAAGTTGTGTAAACATACAGCCTACACACACACACACACACACACACACACACACACACACACACACACACACACACACACACACACACACACACACACACACACACACACTGTTGAAGGTATACATTACATTCATAAACATTCAGGGTTAACGCTGAATTGAGCGAGCTTTCTTTACATCGAGTTAAAGACATGAAGGATTTTTACTTTTACACTTTATTTCTACAGCTTTGAGAAAAACTACAAGGATTTACTGCTGAGTGTGTGTGTGTGTGTGTGTGTGTGTGTGTGTGTGTGTGTGTGCGTGTGTGTGCGTGTGTGTGTGTGTGTGTGTGTGTGTGTAGTATATACAGAAATATGTGTGTTTGCACTGGCAGCGGCCCAGGTTACATCATGTCTCAGACTTTGACCAGGTGAAGGTGCGTTTTCTAAATGACCAAAAACACAATTAAAACACATTATAGTAGTAAACCTTATCATAATATGTCATAATAACTTCATATCATTTAGAGTATGTTATCATATAATAGAGTATGTATTATCATATCATATAGAGTATTATCATATCATATAGTGTATATCATCATATTATGTAGTGTATATTATCATATCATCATATCGTGTAGAGTATATTCTTGTATCATCATATCAAACGATGTTTATTATCATGTCATATAGAGTATATTATCATATCACATAGTTTATTTTTATATATAGAGTTTATTATCATACATAGAGTTTATAATCATATCATATAGAGTATATTATCATATATAGAGTATATGATGATGTCATATATAGTACGTAATTATATTTGGAGTATATTATCATATATAGAATATATTATAGTATCATCATATCATATGATGGTTATCATCATATCATATATAGAGCATATTATCGTATCATATAGAGTATATTTTCTTATCATTTAGAGTACATTTTTATATATAGAGTACATCAGCATATCATATAGAATATATTTTCATAACATATAGAGTATATTTTCTCATCATACAGTGTATATTATAATGTCATATAGAGTTTATTTTTATGTACAGAGTGTATTATCATACATAGAGTTTATCATCATATCATATAGAATATATTATCATGTAATATAGAGTATATTATCATACATATAGTATATAATCATGTCAGTATATCCTCATATCATACAGTCTTAATCATATAGAGGATATTATCATATCATATATCAAGTATACCCTCTTGTCATACAGTGTTGAACTGCCTGATATTGAGGCCGTATCGATCGTGTCCTGTCTTCTTGTTTTTGATGCTCTTTAACTTTTTTACTGACTAATATCTTATAATCATGTCTGCTGGAGAACAGGTCGACCATCACAAACTTTACTCTGATCACCTGCTGAGGTTTTCCTCGACTTCCTATCTGAGGTTTAAAAAAACACCTAAACTCTACAGCCTGAGTCTGAACACATCTCTGCCTTTTATTTGAACATTCACAGGATAAAAAAACTCTGACAGGATAATTTAGGAGACTTTAAAGAAGAGAAACATCAAAAAACTGTCTGAGAGCGACCTTAAAACCGTTTTAGCGCTTTTACGCGTTAAAGGTTCGCAGCTCTTTTAGGAGAGGATCAGACGCCGACAAAAGGAGGAAACAACCTTTAGAGACTGAGAGGGGAGCTAAAGTACCTTCAAGTGCTCTTCTGATCGATCGCAGTTTGAGAAAAACGCCGGTGACACTGGCGTCCCACTGTGTGATTTTAACGGTATTATACTGTCAGGAAAGCACTTACCCACAACACTGTTGTTCCCACCAGCCCTAACGCTGGACATCGCCACATTCTACCGCCATCACGCTGCTACCAACTCTGAGATCGAGTCACAACCTGCAGCTGTGGACCACTTCACCTCAGACTGCTTCAACAACCCGGGTCAGTGCAGACACAGACCCAGGACCTGGTACTGGGTTCTCCTGGAGGGCTCGCCAGGTTTGTTTTGGGTTTTTTTCCTAACTCTGCATCTGTCCGTAGACAGCAGACCGAACCACGTCACACCCCGCCCACTCAGATCGCTGCATCGATAATGAGGCTGCGCTTGGGATTGATTTGAAGCTTCAGTTAAGATCTTGTTCAGAAGATCTTGACCTTCTGTTTACCCGCCATGTTTCTGCTCTTGATCTCATGTCGGCTGTTTGATTTGATGAGCTGGAGTTTATTTATCTCAGAGAAAAACAAATTCAGACAAAAACTTCAGGAGAAGTTTTAGAAGTTTTTTTAAGGTCCTCACCTCCGCAGCAGTAGTGCGTGTGCGTCGCTCGGACCTGCTGCAGCAGACGCTCCATGGCCTCGATGTGGCCCCGCCTCCTGGGCTCCCGCCCGTCGCTCTCTCTCCAATCTGAAAACAGGAATGAAGGAGAAACAGCTCTTTAAAAATCAGGATGGACAAACTGACATGTCTGAAGACGACTCCTGAATTTGACCGGATTCAGTCGTTGGATTTATTCACCGTTTTAAGGCTGAAAAACAGACGAGTACAAAAACCGCCCACGTTCACTTCCTCCACTCTGATCATGTGAAAGATGATAAAAAAATAACCTCTTCTTTCTGATAAACTGAACCCTGTCAGTGTTTGTTGACCTCTGGCCTTTGCTGTAGCACCACCATGAGGCTGACAGAGGCGTGTTTGATTATGTGAAACATCTCTACAGGCTGGAATAACAGCTTTCAGAGTCGTACTCATGTTTTCACTCTCTGTTCCCTTTTAACACCCACACACACACACACACACTCAGTCCTCTGCTTTTGACATATGCGCACACACACACACACACACACACACACACACACACACACACACACACACACACACTCAAGGCCGCGGTGCTTGAATGTGCAGAGAGAAAGAGAGTCGTGACGGGCGGATGACTCTGCTGTTCCAGCCCGAGGACCTCGAGCTGAGCGAGAACATTAACGACAGGAAACGCTCAAACACGGTGAGGTTCGACTTCCTGTTTCAGACACAGAGGAGCTTTATTCTCTAAGAGTCCTTGGATCCTCTGGTCCTGTTTCACAAACCTCTGAACCCACCAGAACCAGAGCCTGCAAAGATGGACCACATGACAGCTCAACACTCAGTCATGACACTCGAGAAAACAGAATTATCGTCTTATTCCGATTAATGTGGTTTTGGATCATCTGAAGGTCTTCCCTGGAAAAGTCAGTGTCTGGATGGACGCAGATGTTGCTCCTAAACCTGGAGATATTGTTTAAAACTTAGAATGCAGCATCTAGGATTTCCATCTCTTCGTTAAAAAGGACGACTGGACTTCAGTTGTCCTTTCCAAAAGAGAGTTAGGTTGGATGTGTTTGAGGGAAAGAGGAGTCTGAAGAACTTACTGGAGGGAGCAGCAGACGGAGGGAGGGAGGAGGCGGGAGGACCCCAGCCCCTCATGTTATAAGCCGACACTCTGACGTAGTAAAGCCGACCCTGTGAAGGTGCAAACACAACGACAGGTAAGGTCCAAAACAGCTGATTCAACCTGTGAGCAGAGGAGACAGGACCGACTGAGTGAGATTCACTGATCATGTATGATCCTCCTCAAGCTGTCTGTGATCCTTCTTACCTGAAAAATACAAGTTTTTTAATCTTATTATTATCTTTAAAATTATAATCCTTCTACACTTAACTTTAACTGTAATTTTAACTCACCTTATTCTACGTTTCTCTGTAATTTACTCTGTCTGTCTTTATTGTCCTCTCACAAATTCTTTGGAGTTTGGAGAAGACACTGCCGAGTGTTTCCGACTTCTTTAAGGTTGGTTTATTTCCTGCGTTGTAAAACTGTGCTTTTATTTTGAAATCCAGAAGTTATTAAACTGAAGCGGTCAGTGAGTACGACCTGAAGAGACTCGAGCTCGAACCTTGATTTTGGTTCTGAATCTTTGAATTCAGGACCCGTTTTTGTGGTCCAGATCCAGATCAAGAACTGGTTCTTTCAGCCCCCAAACAGATCTCTGAAGAACCAGTTCGAGTCTGAAAAGTTGGCTCTAAACAGAGTCGTCTGCAACCAACAGATGTTCTCCTTCTCAGCAGAAATACGTGTGTTAGCCTCTGAGTTTGAGCCGAGCCGGCGTGCTGTGTGAGAGTTTTTGGACTTCAGGTCACCTATTAACAAACAAAACGAGTAAAACCTGGACCAGAGGAGGATCTGGTGTTTCTGTAGACGAGCTAGTGTGTGTGTGTGTGTGTGCAGCATCACTGTGTACTCTGCGTGTGAGGAGAGGAGACGGTGCGGGGGAGGAGGGATGCTGCTGTTACCGTGGTGAGCCCGCTGATGATGCACTTCAGGCTCTGCAGATTATCCAACACCGTCTCTCCAGCGAGAAGAGAGAAATCCTTCAGGCAGCTCCACTCCACTGTAACACACACACACACACACACACACGTGCGCGCACACACACACACACACAGGATAAGTACCCGCGCCCTGTCAGCGGTAAATGTTGGTTTTGTCTTTTATTAAAAAATCAATAGTTCCTCCTGAGACGAGGAAACCGTCGTTAACCTTCTGAGCTCAGGACCTCGGGGTGTCTCTGATCGTCTCCTCCTCTCTGTCTCTCCATCTCTCTTCATCTCTTTTTACACATCTCTCTCTCTGTTAGAAAATACCGTGTTCAACAGCCTGTCCTCTCTGAGTCCTGGTTTCTATATTTAGGAAACACCTGCAGTCATCAGATACGAACAAAGTCTTGAAAAGTGGAGGTTTGATCGTCCTAATGGCTGTGAAGGATTTGTTGAACAGACTCAGAGAGTCGTTTCAGAGCCTCAGCTGGAGTTAGTGATGAGTTCAAGCTCCTCTTTATTCTCAGAACAAACAGGATTTTAAAATGAATTCAGTCGGAGCCGCCTCCACACACGAGGCCCAAGGGAGACGTTTGAAGATGGGTTCAAATATTTGAGATTTAAAAAGCATGAAACAAAGAAGAGCTGCACTGAAAAGACGATTCAATTACTCTGTAGGCATCACTACAGGCTCATTTCACGGACGACGTATGAAAACAGACTTTATTAACTCATTAAACGAGTTTTTCCTGCGGATCAAAGTCGGAGGAGACCGTCTCAGATCAACTGTTGCTTTGTCTCAGGGACCCCAGAGGTTTGCAGCAGAAACAGCGTTTAGCAGCACGAGCTGAGTTTGTCTCTTTTTACTGCATCATAACCTCGGCCAGGTCTCTCTTTGGGACTAACCTGGTTAAATCAAGGTTATGAAAAATACTGCTGGATCAGGGAAACTGTTTCATAACCAAAGCAGAGAAAAAGACGCTGCTCAGACCTCCTCCAAGAAGACGACAAAGACTTTCATGAAAGTTGGTCTGAGCCTGGAAAGACAAGCGCGAACGTCAAACCCTAAAACTGACTGACAAGTCTGCGCTTCGATGATTAATTAAAGCCATGGCTTTAAACCGTACAGAGTATCCTCACATCATGCTCACAGCATTAAACATTTATATAGAGCGCCCTCTAACTTGGTAACAGTGTTAACATTTATGTAGAGCGCCCTTTTACTTGATCATAGTGTTTACATTTACATAGAGCGCCCCTCACATCGTGGTCACAGTATGTACATTTATATAGTGCGCCTCCACGTCATGGTTACAGGGTGTACATTTGTATAGAGCGCCCTCACATCTTGGTTACAACATTTACATTTATAGAGCGCCCTCATGTCTTGGTCACAGTCTGTACATAAATATAGAGCGCCCTCACATTGTGGTCACAGGGTTTACATTTATAAAGAGTGCCTTAACATGGTGGTCACAGTATCAACATTTACATAGAGCGCCCTCTAACTTGGTCACAGTGTTAACATTTTTATAGAGTGCCCTTTTACTTGGTCACAGTGTGTACGTTTGTATAGAGCGCCCTCACATCTTGGTTACAACATTTACCTTTATAAAGAGTGCCCTCTTACTTGGTCACAGAGTTAACATTTACATAGAGCGCCCACACATCTTGTTAGAACATTTACATCTATATAGAGCGCCCTTTTACTTGATCATAGTGTGTACATTTATATAGATCACCCTCACGTCTTTGTTACTGTGTTCATTTATATAGAGCGTCCTCATGTCTTGGTTTCATCTTGTTATCCTGACAAAAACAGTCTTTAACACATGGTTTTTAGAGTGACAGAGTCGCCCTGTCAGACATCTATTGTTGCTCAAACACAAAATAATAATTTGTAACTCATAGATCTGCACTTAAAAACCCATAACTGTCACTTTAACTATGTATTTCCTTTTTATCTGCAGAGTTAATTTCCTTTAGAGTTTATTTCTTTTTTTCTCCTCCTGAAAGACGATGAACTTAAAAAAATGATGTATTAAACGTTATTATCACCAATCACTGAGAGACAGACGAAGGACGTCTCTGAGATCTCTATGAACAGAGCCATCATACACAGAAACACGGATTTAAATGAAACTCACTCACGGTCAGACAGTGATTTTGAGTTACTATAGCAACAGCATATTTGACTCGGTTTATATCCTCATCGTCCTTTAAAGGTTCAGAAAGGACAGAGCTGTGATAAATGGATTTATTTGAATGTAAATGAACAGACTCTCTCTCCAGATAATCAGAGAACCTTTGGAGGACTCTCATGGACCGGGTCATGAGAGCGATCCGACATGTCTGCTCTTTAAATGTGTGTTTTGTGTGTCTCTGTGTGTGTGTTGTTGTGGGTCTCCTCACCTCTGTATTTGGTCACCACGGTGGAGTTGAGACACTGCGGCTCCTGGAAGGTGACGGTCAGCGTGGTGCTACTGCTCACGCTCAGACGGACCATCGACGGGGCCTCCGGGGCACCTGAGCAGGGGCCAAGAGTATCATCAGAAAGATTCTTAACAGAAGAGGAAAGAACCGAACCAAACCGGACCTTTTGGTGGAAACGATCCGGACCTGAAGTGACCCTAAAGCTGCCAAACTCTCTACTTAATCATTTTAATTCATAAACACAGTCGGTGGTGTACTGACGTGCGTGCTGAAACCCCGTCTTCATGCGTTTGTACAGTTTGCTCCTCCACTCCCACGCCCTCAGCTGTTTGTCTTTCTGACACGCCTCCAGAGACAGACCGTCCCTCTGCGCCTGAGCCGCCAGGTCGGCCGCCCGCCGCTCCGCCTCCACCACCAGAGAGCTCAGGTGGGCCTCCCGACTCTCCACGCTCACAACTGCGACACAAAACAGGAGACAGAGGAGACAGTTGGGACACTTGGCGACGCAGACGATCAAAATCAGGACAAACACTGAGAGATCATGACGACATAAAGAAAACAGAACAGGTCCGAGTACGGAGCCCTGAGGAGCGCCGGATGAACGTGGTGACTCAGATGTTGGGAGTTACGGAGGCTGGGTCTGATAGAGGACTTTTTTTGGGGGGTCTGTAAGGTTTCAGTAGAAGTCCAACCCTTCGAACTCCTAGCTATATTTTTCTATTTTTGGTTCGCAGACAAGCAGGGAACTTTCTCGCCTCTTATTGGACACTACCGTCAAAGGAACAATAGAAGAAGAATATGAGACCATGTAATTGGTCAAAAGTTTGACAGAAGAAGTACATAGTATGCTTAGTATACTTAATTTAGTATTTAGTATGGAAGTATGCGATTTGGGACACACCACTTATCAAACCCAGAAGACATTAGCGGCATTTAGTGTTAGCTATCTTTTTTTTTATCACAACAATCTGATAAATAATCCTGTTTTCACCGGTTTATCACTGTGGATTTACCATCAAACGTCTCTGATCAAACACCTGTTTTTGTGGCTGGATTGTAAACCTTGTGGCAGGTGTAGAAATGTCTGAAAACCCTTGATAGATCGCCAAAAGGATAAGCTTTTGAACGCTTTTTATCCCGTAGAGATACACGGTATAGTTCCTGAGAAACTGTAAATGATATTAATGGTGTCATGTGGGATTGCCGGCGATCCAGCAGCGTTCTAAGAGTTAACAGAAAACCACAAATCTAAAAAGTAAAACTGAAATCAGCCAAACGGCGTCAGAGGAAGATCCAGCAGCTCCAACCTTCAGTGTGCCTGAAGAGAGGAGTGTGTGTGTGTGTGTGTGTGTGTAGGAGTGTGAGCAGCAGGTTCAGCTCCGTCAAGGCCGGGAGAGGTGAAGGTCGGACATGTTTCACAGCAGACAAAGAGCGACGCTGCCGAGTCCACGTGAGAACACGACAAAACACTTCAAGACCATAAAAGGAGCAACGCTCGACATCACCGAGACGAGGAGGAAGAAGAGGCAAACACACACACACACACACACACACACACACACACGAGTCCACAGCCCCCCTGGTGGACAGTGAGTGTGCTACAGGAGGCATGCTGAAGGCCATTAAAATCAATCAACTTTCTTTCTCTCATACTTCAGAATTTTCCTTTTTGTGATCGACCTCCATCAGTTGGTTGCCGATGGTAACAGCAGTGTCATTTCCTTTACTGCTCGCCATGTCAGAACCCGGCTAGCTGCTAATGACAGCTAATTGGACAGGTTGTAAATTAGCCGCAGGGACACAGGAACACACTGTCTGAGAGAGAGAGATAGAGACAGAGAGAGAGAGAGAGAGAGAGAGGACGAGACTGGAGGGGGGGCTAAATATAGAGCCACACTCACTCCTGGAGGGGCTCCGGGGTCTCGTAAATTAATACACACAACAAAGGTGAGCTCAGGAGACACACACACACACACAAACACACACGTGCAGAGTGGATAGAATTAATATTTCTGATACGATCTTTAATCTTCACAAACAAACGTGAATTTAAAACTGAAGGATAAACAAACTCTGAGTTTGTTTGGAGTCGGTTTAACTCCTTTATTTCACACACAGATTATTCAGCAGTTTAAACTTTTATTTTTCATATTTCTGCTTTTATTCATATTCTGGACTCTCAGGGATGTTTTAAATTTATTCAAAGATAAACTGTGATGATTAAAAAATAACTGCAAAGATATTCAGAAAAAAGATGAAACACGAACACAATTGATGAAATTTTATGACCTTCATTAAAAAAAAAAAAGTCCCAGGTTTGAAACTCAAATGTCTGAAGTGAAAAAAACAATTTTCACCGTCTACTTTTTAATCCTGGTGACAGTCATTATCGTTTTAATTCCCTCTACTCCCCCAGAGCTCATCTGTGCCCCTCTATTAGAATAATTACAGTAATGATAAGGCTCTGCTGCTGCTGCTCTCACGTCAATATCAAATTACTGAGAGCAACAATATTTTATTAAACCTATAAGAGTGTTGAAATCTCGCTCCGTGTTCTGAATCTTTAATTAACCTTTTTGGTTTTTTCAGTTTGGAGAGATTTTTGGATTTTGTGAGAAAAAGTTTTTATTAAGACTTTAGGTTAGTATACAGGATTTATTACATACGTGGGGCTTTATCATAGCGCAGCTCTCCTGGAGAACTCGCCAAGTTTTAAAGTGATTACTAATTTTCATTTTTCGTACATGAGCAGTAGGGCTGGGATGATATGCTTTTCTCTCAATTCGATTTTTGTACGATTTTTTGGATGCCGAGTCGATTTAAATTATGATTCTACAATATTGTCGATTTCTTGATTTTTGAGGTCCTTTCACACTGGGAGCGTTTTTTTTCGTGCGATTATTTCGGACGTCAATATTTTGACAGTATCCTGTCAAGACAAGCGTTCACATCAGCGACGTTTTCCCGTCCTGCGATATTGCAGCATTTATTTTATCGTCTGACCAATCAGATTGCGTGTTGTTGCGATGTCAGATTCACCAGTACATCCAACATGGCCGACCGGCTGATTGTTTACGTGTCAGAGAACAGAGTGATTTTTGATAAAAGACACAAATATTACAAAGATAACGACCTGAAGGATGACTTGTGGAGAGTCATAGAGTCGGATTTCTCATATGACGATGGTTTGTGTGCTTTAACAGTTTGATAAACGTCTTTGTTTTAACTTTCATCTGTGCTAACGTAAGCTAACGGTTGTTACTATAGTTTCATGTGTTTATCTGGTACTGGCCCCGACTCAGTACATGCTATCATGACAGACAGACATCTCAACACTAGAGTCTAATCAGAGCTGAAAACACTCAGTCTGCTGTTGGGGCAATCTTCTCGTTTCTAAGTCGCAAAATCGCATCGTGCTTGATGTGTACAGTCAGGCGCCTCAAAATTCGCCTCAGAATATTTCGTAATTTCATGTCGTATATTTTCGTCGTTCCCGGTGTGTAAGAATCTTGCTGCATTTTTAACATCAGTCAAACAGTTGAATGATTGTCTGCTGATTATTCCAGGAACCATTTTTCCCTAAAAATACATATAACATATAAGTCAGTTTTTAAGATTTATTCTTAAATTTGAAAAAAAAAAAACGATTCTTGAATGAAAAAAATCTATTTAAAATTGGAATACTTAAATAAATCGCCTTTTCTCCCACCCCTAATTGAGCCGACGTCCTGAAGCCTCAGACACATGTTTACTTTATCCTGAATATGAGGGCGGGACTTTCAGTCTGTAATGGAGATTTTTACCTAGTGCCCACACACACAGACACACACACACACACACACACACACACACACACACACACACACACACACACACACACACACACACACACACACTCTGTGCTGTCAGGCTGGTTGATTTACTTGGCACTTGAGGAATGACATAAACAGAGCGCGGCGCCCCCCTCGGGGAAAACCGACCCTCTGTTTACTCTCTGTTTGTTTACAACCGTGGGATTGTACCGCCGCCCAGAGTCCCCACGCCGCCGTCAGGAGAACCCTCGCGGTCCCCCGCCCCCCCACGATAAATCACTGGGCTGTAATTGCCTCGGCATTACATGCATCATTGGAACAGTTAAACCATTAAACGACAAACACTGTTAAAGCTGGGGCGCACGCAGGAGGCCCCACCGCTGTAAAGTGGTCACTGTTTTACCCCCTACACACACACACGCACACACACGCACGCACACACACGCACACACACACACACACACACACACACACACACACACACACACACACACACACACACACACACAGACCACCTGTCTTTGGAGGGTTCAGGAGTGTTGGTATAAAACTTTAGGTCCAGTGTGAACCTCTAACGCCGTCCCTTCATACGTATTTATCAAAACAGAGTTACATCAGCGTCGCCATGACAACCAGCGTAAACAATAACAGCCCTGATCGGTCCACCTGTAAATGAGTTTGGGGGTCTATAAGACTGAAAGGTCAGACCAGACTGATGAAAAACGTGCAGAGCCGAGCAGACGATCAGAGATGAACAGAAATACAGGAATCACACACACACACACACACACACACACACACACACACACACACACACACACACACACACACACACACACACACACACACACACACACAGAGCTGCAGAGGAGGACAGCAGATAAGAGCCGGTCCTGATAACGGAGCAGAACCTGGGTTCAGATCTTCAGTAAAGGTGAAATGATCCTTCTACTGTGTTTGTGGTGGAGAAGCCGACAAAGTGAGCAGACAGTCCAACACCTGCTGATGTTCTTCTTCTCCTCCGATCAATAAACACTCACAATCAGCAGAGCGGCTCCTCTGTTCTCCTCTGTTCTCCTCTGAGACATTATTCACAGCTGAGGCTGAAAAAGTTAATCAGTCTGTCATCTACAGCTCAGGATTACAGACGAGTGAAAGGAGGAGGAACAAAAAGACCAACTGTGTCTGTCTGTCTGTCTGTCTGTCTGTCTGTCTGTCTGTCTGTCTGTCTGTGCGAGTCTTTCTTTCTTATCTTCACACAAACAGAAATAAGAAAAACAGCAGCACGTCTTTTTCCTGCTGATCCAGGTAGAAATAAGACTTTTATTTGAAACAGTCGCTGCTCAAAACCTGGACGAAGAAAATCTCTCTATGGTTATTGTAAGGATGCAGAGCTCAGGTCCACACGAAGGGTCAGTTTGACGAGCTTTACTGGTTGCAGATCCTGGTTACAGCTTCATCAAGTGTAGCAAAGAGTGGTCTAAGACCGTTCGAGTATATACAGCGGTCCACAACTCTAAACATACTGTTGATATTTAGTTGACCCTAAGAGAAATCCATGTGAGGTCAAAACAAACACCAAAAAAAATCTAACACCAAAGTGTCTGAGGTATCTGAGTGACACAGCTCCAACACTCTAAAGGCTGATATGACGGGTTAAAGAAACTCATCCTAACAGTTATCTTGGAACTAAAGAGTCTTTCCTTAACGGTGAATTAACCCTTACCTGAATTTGTCAGGCTGATCAGAGCGTTTATGAAACGTCTTTGTCAAACATGATCGCAGCAAAAAGGAGGCGGAGCTGTCACATCTTTAGTGCTCGTGAAAAACCGCCTGTAAGGTCATGATTTCTATGTTTTCTCTGTTTTCTGTGCAGCTGATAAAAAAGGAGCAAACACCGAGAACACAGCATTTAAGTGTACGGTGAAATGTTGTGATTCTCCATTCAATTTCAGGTCCTGCACCCACGCTGGTCGTAAAACGGTCTGTGGTCAGGTGAGACTGATCTATGGACGCCAAAAGACGAGGACACCCTCACTGCTGTCTCCTCACACACCAGAACAGTTGTGTTCCTTTCGTAATATTGTCGTCAACAATCCTTATCACGTGACGAAAACGAGACGAGACGAAACGTAAATGGTGGTCTTGTGACGATAACTATAACTAAATATATAACGCAGTATTGTTGACGAATAAAAAAGAGACTTAATGTGGTTCATAAAATTAAAACTCGAGACGAAGTTGTTCAGTCGTGTTGTTCTTGTTTTCTGTTTCCTCTGCAACGTCACTTCCTCAATCCCCTAACTCACCGTATTTTTAGATGCGGGGGGCAAAGACGTTTTTGGGTGAGTTGGTGTCATGGTCGGGTTGTTGGGGAGGAAATGAAGAAATAATATCTGGACAGACTTTAATTTCAAACAAGTGGAAAACAAAAAAGAGAAAAAGGGGAGAAATGCGACCGGGAAAAAGCCGAGAAAAACAACATGAATCTAAAAAGACATCTCGAGGTCCTCCATGCTGAACGCGAGGTAAGTTAAGACATTGATGACAGCCAATGAGGAGAATAAGCCCCGCCCCTCTCCGGCGTACTCACAGTGCGGACTCTCCTTGGCTCCGGCCTTCAGCAGCAGCTTGGCGATGGGCGTGTTGTTGGTCATGATGGCGATATCGAGCGGCGTCAGGCCCTGGCTGTTGGGCGTGTTGAGGTCCAGCTCCTCCGCCGAGAACTGGTACAGGAGGATCTGCACCGTGTCCAGGTCCTGCTGCTCCACCGCCTCGAAGATGCAGTCGCTGCCCTGCATGGTCTACGGAGGAGGAGACACAAACAGACTCTTAGAACCTGCAGAAGATCTTCCAAAGTTCTGCGTGGAAACTTTTCCCCGCTCTGGAAGAACCTTCAGAACTTTGGGGTGAATACATTTCTGTAAAGTTTCCTCCGCTCAGAAAAGTTCATAATGAGCGGGAGAAACTCTCAAAAAGAAGAAGAGAGACAAACATTCAACTTTCAGACATGAGACTCATCAGAGCGCGGATGAGAACGCCGTGGTCATAAACCTCCTGACTGATCCGGATCAGTAAAAACAGGCCCACTAAATACTGATCCAGGTTCTGATGGTCCTGTTTCCCCTTTAAATACCATTAAAAAACATTGTTCTGAATTTAGGTCCATTTATTACAGTCAAAAACTCCTGACAGGACCTTTAATAGAAGTTTCCCTCTCAGTCCTCAGAGATAACGCCATCGTTACCGTGACGACCACAAACTTTTCTTGGTTTTTATCAAATGTGTGACGATGCTTCTATTTACCGAATGTTAAGACCAGAACGGTCCACACATTTCTTTTGTCTGCAGATGACAAACAGTGATCTGTAGAGAAACTCTCCATTCCTGTAAATATCCGTCCTTTTTTCACACAGACAGAGCGGTTTCAGAGAGACGACAGCAGCAGCAGGAGGAGTTTGTTTTGTCTTTAAAACCTCCGACAGTCTTTGACATTTACCTAAAAAATCGCCATCTAATTTCTGTGCGGATAACGTTTAATCGATCGATCATTGCAGGAGCTGACGTGGTTTCATGTTCGATTTCTGCACGTGTTCGGTGGAGGATAAAAAAGAGAGAAAGTCCGAGTTTTTCCTGCAGATCTGAAGCCTCAGGTTCTGTTTGAAGCCTCTCCTCATCATAGAAAGGTTGAATATAGATCCAAACATCCTGTCCATATAGATCAGTCGCTGACCTCTGAGTGTCCATCTGTCCTATAACTACAAAGACTGCACCGCCGCACACACACACACACACACACACACACACACACACACACACACACACACACACACACACACACACACACACACACACGGACAGGTGAGGAGATTCAGCTGCAGGTTGTCATGAACGACTCCATCATCCTGGATTCAGCTCTGAGTTTGACCACAAACATCTAAACCCCAAACCTGGGCCTGTCTGGGTTTTCAGGATCTACATGGACTCAGGATGATCTCCCACCTTCATACAGGATCCATATTTAGCTCGTTGTTCCGTGTTTGCTCCGTAGAGCAGCGTTGGGTCTCTCGTACAGGATCAGCGTATTTGTATTTGCTCAGTATAGAGGAGACAACACACTCACAGCAGGTTGTTTTTCCTCTCTGTGGTCGATTTCCTGATAATTCTGATATAATTCAGTGACTGTTGATCCTCGACTGTCTGTGAAAAAGCTTGAAGTGATTTTCCAGTTTGTGTTTTTGCAGGTTTCCTGGTGTTTAATAAAGTAAACTCTGTTCCTTTCTGCTGTTCCCTTCAGACAGAGTTAGCAGGTCAAAGTCCTGTTGGGTCCACATGGATCAGGGATCGACCATCAGAATCTGTGTTACTGATAAATCCAGAACCAGGAAGGATTTCTCATCTACACCAACTGATACACAGTCAGGAGTTCACATAAGGTGTTTTAGTGCGGTTTTTCATGCTTGACTTCCTGTCTGAAACGATCTCTGTGTGGAATGAGCAGCAAAAACCGACTCACCGCGTATCTTTAGCAGAGCTGCTCTCGGTGCGACGCTGCGACGGAGCTGATACTCGTCCTGTACGCTTCGCTGCTTTGATTAGAATGGAAACCTATTTGCCACGCTCCAAATACACATCCTGGAGGTTTTAGCCTTCTGACTGAGCAGATCCCAGTTTGATGACCCGTTTGTTCACATCAGAACCAGGATTTTCTAAACAGACTCCAAATACAGAGTTTGGACTCCTCTCTGCTACACCTCACAGCTTCTGGTTTATCTCCTCTATCGTATCGTAGATTTCATCCTGTTGTATCCTGTTGTGTCATGTCTTGTCTTGAAGTGTCTTGTTCCAATTAATCTTCACTGAGGAAGGTGGAGACTATCCTAAAGAACATGGATCACCCACTTCACAACACCCTGATGGACCAAAGGACCAGTGGTGGTGGACGGCTCCTCTCTCTTCGCTGCAGGACAGAAAGATCCAGAAGATCTTTGGTACCAACAGACATCAGACTTTATAACTCTTAGATAATTTTTAGAGACATATTATGTGAGACAACAGAGAATTGAATTTCCCTTCAGGGATCGATAAAGTTCTTCTTCTTCTTCTTCTTCTTGTTACTTAAACGTTTGTCTTTCTTTCCGTCTCCTTTATTCTCCGATCACAAACTCCTGATTGACTCTTATTTATAATTTATACTCCAACCTTTAGTCCCTGACAGATTTAATACTGTACTTCACATTTTTGGTCTCTTCCTCTTCCTCTCTCCCTCCTCTTCCTCTCTCTTTCATGTCCGCTCTGTAAATGTCACTCACTCAGAGGACGACCTGTAACACCGTCGGTCGGGATGAACCTGAGCGACAGGAAGTAGAAGGACATGAGGAGTAAGAGTCTCCTCCTCCTCCTCCTCTGAAGAAGAAAATAAATCTGAATCCTTCAGAGCGAGGATGGACAGAGATTTCATGACGTAACCATGAAGCTCTCGGGTCGAATCGTAGGACGTGAGAAGGGCGAGGACGAAGAGTTCAGCCTCTGGAGACGAGGATGTTAACGGGATTAGAGAAGAGCCAAAGCAGATCTGTATCGATCCCTCCGTGTGTCGGACACATGGACCCGTGTCTGAAACGAGTCACAGGAACCTGCTGCTGGTTAAATCTCTGATCATCATTAAAAACTCAGTAAACCGACGAATGAACCAGGAGTTTCTAAAATCGTTAGTTTTTCTGTTTACGGGATCGTGACAGCGTTCAGACCTGAGATAAAGAGACCGCCGTTCACGTGGTCATCCACCGCGTCTGAAAAAACCTCTGTGTGTTTGTTTTATTTTTCATGATCACTTCAAACCCTAAATATCCATCAGCAGAGTCCTCTGTGAGGGAAAATCCTGATCCTGAACCCGAGTCCAGAGGGGCTGTGGGTCACCCTCTGACTGACTGTTATCTGCCGGTTCTGGAGTCGCCTCTTTACCGTCTTTCCGGGTCAGAAGTTGAAGGTTTCTCTCATTCTTTAACGATCAGCAGAAAGACGTTTTCCTGCGGCTTTCGTTGGACTAACACGGCGACCCTCAGATCCTTCGGGTTCCTCTGAGCTGCTCTGCAGGGGCGTGTCCAGACTTTTGGACCTGGGTGGCCCACCTGGAGCTCTGACATAAGTATCTGTTCCTCTGGTTGATTTAGTACGATTAAGTATTAGTTATGAGGAGCTGCCAAATGAGCTTTTTCTGCCAATTTTTTGGGCATTAATAAATGAAAACAGAATCAAGATTTTGTCAAATATTAAAAATAAATATTAATTGAATTATTTGTGTCAAAATTGTTTGGGAAAATGTGTTAATTTGTCTCCGTAAGTTGTTCACATCAAAAGTTATCTCACTTATATTTGGATTTTTGAGTTGGAGTTAAAAATGAAACCTTTCGGACATTAATTCAGTTTGGTACCTGGAATATCCTGGAAATTCAAACTTCAAGAATAAAAAAAAAACCTTGGGGGGTTGTGCGTGGACCCCCTATTCCATCTAGACTATTACCACTCAGGGTCCAATCAAGTCCACCTATCTGGACTCACCGAGGCTTTGCGTAGGCGGTCCGTCTTGCTGAAGAAGTAGGTGTCTTCGAAGGAGGAGGTGCTCCCTCGCAGCTTCTCCGACAGGTTCCTGTACAGACGCTTGGCGGCGCTCGGGGAGGCGGGCCCACCGGGACACTTCCTGGTCTGAGCCAGCTGCAGGTTCTGCATCTGCTGGGTCATGACTACCGGGAGGCGTCTGAGAGGAGAGAGAGAGAGAGAGAGAGAGAGAGACGGCTGTTAGTTTTGTCGTTATGAAGGACTGAAACCTGCAGAAGAAGAGAGAAGAAACCTTCACCACAGAGAGAGAGAGAGAGGGATGATAGAGAGAGGATATGAAAGTGTAGTTATGAGGAGAGAGAGAGAGAGAGAGAGAGCTGCTAATGAAACACACACTGAAATCCTGGGAGCTGAGCATCTCTCAGCCTCGTGTTTCTGCTCCATCGACTCCATCACAGAGAAATGTAAAATGTGAAAACCAGCAGGATCTTAATGACTCGTCTCTCTGCTCTCGCTCCGTCACAAATGATCGCTTCATTCTGTCGTCCGGAGAAAATATGACCCCCGCCGTCAGCCCCCCGTTCTTCGCTCATCTTCAACAACACGCTTGGACAATTTCAGCGCGTCAGTGAAATGACAGGACTGTCCAAAGTGTCCTCAGTGGGAGCTGTGATGGAGGACAGCGGGGTGAGATATAAGTACTGTGATCATTCAACGCCTCAGGAGCAGAGAGGGGGGGTCTGAAATCCAGATGAAGCTAATGGTCTGGAGTCAAATCGATAATCTTTATAAAATAATAAAAGGATGCAGCAGCCGCTGGGATTTCACACTCTTCGGGTTTATCTGCTGCATTTATTTAGTCTCCAGAACTCTGGAGAACACCGACTGTTTCCACGTTTTAAAGGTTCACGACATCCATACAGAGTTCAGTCTGTGGGGGGGCGACGACGACACTCCAGCCCACTAACGGTCCCTGAAGGAGTCCCTCAGGGGTCGGTCTTTGGACCACTCCTTTTCATCCTCTGAGTCATGGTGCTGCGCCGAGCAGCGCTGGATTGTTTAAATCTTAACTGACACTTTTTTTCAAACTCTTAAATGATGATGTTGGTTGTCACGGCGACACATCATGTCACTGTTTATTGATTAATTTGAATTGGTGAGTTCAGCCCGTTATTAAACATCATTAATAAAGAAACAAACTAAGAGACTTCACTGGTAAATAAACATTTTTATTTCTGCTGGAAAGGCTTTAACATGGGGCTCTATGGGGACTGAGTCACTTTTGGGACCAACCTCTGGTGGACACTTGAGGAACTGCAGTTTTGGCAGATGTCTCAGTCCTACCTTATGTTAAAAAAAGACCTCTTGGACTTTACAAAGTTTACTGACATCATTTTTGTTTATTCCGGGGGGATCTGTTTGGTTTTATTTCTATATTGTCTAAAGTCTGACGTGTTTAAAAAAAAAAAGTGAAACAAAAAAAAATATATATATATAAAGACTCTAAATAAAGGCTAATTTTTACTGGAAAGGTTTTAACATGGGGCTCTATGGGGACTGACTGACTTTTGGGACCAGCCTCTGGTGGACACTTGAGGAACTGCAGTTTTGGCAGATGTCTAAGTCCTACCTTATGACTCTAAAAAGACTCCTCTGACTTTACAAAGTTTACAGACATTTTTTTTGTTTATTCTGAACAGATCTGTTTTGTTTTATATCTATATCTAAAGTCTGACAACAAACCAAAAAAATAAAGACTCTAAATAAAGGCTTATTTTGACTCTACGGGCTCCAAGTGACTGAGTCACTTTTGGGACCAGCCCCTGGTGGACACTTGAGGAACTGCAGTTTCAGTGAGTCGTATCCTGGTTCATTTTCTGTCTTTTGTATAAAGATGGTGAAAAAAAACACTCATTATCTTCTTTGTGTCCTGATATGAAGCCCCTGACGTTCATCCCGCTGTAGCTGCAGGAAACACACCTGCAGGGTCGCTCATTAACGCTCTCAGACGATGATTGCTGCTTCGGCTGATTGTTCTGCTCTCACTTCATCAGGACTCAGGCGCTGCGGCTGATTGGCTCTTAAAATCTGCATGAACGACCCTCCACAGCCGACAGCGTTTCATTAAATCTGAACACAGTTTTTGATCCACATTCATGCTGAACCAAAAACATGATATTGAGGCTGTTGAGGAGGTTTTGTATGTCCTCTTAAGGACGTTTCCATAGAAACAATTTACTGTCTTTAACCATGAACACACAGAAACTCTTATACTCTGTTTGTGTTCATTTATTCCAGTTTGGAGCTCATGTGAGTTTGAGGACAAACGATGTTTATTCAGCATTTACAGGGACAGCTAAACACGATAACACAGAGAGAGAGATTGAGTTAAAGAAGAAGAGACTCTTCTTCTTCTGTTTTTATTTTACCGTCATTTTCTCCACTTTAAGTTTTCTGGCTGCAAAACCTCCAAAATAAAAGTCCTCAGAGTCGGGTCACTGCTCTGATCCACTACACTTACTTTAAATCACCACAGGGTGGAGCATGAACAATCAACTTCACATCCTGCAGTCGTCTCATAAAGCATCTCGATTTCATTCAACTTCTCTTTGAAACGTCAAAGGTTGAAATTTGGAAACAGCAACCAAAGTCAGTCCTGACTGTGTTGAACCTGGTCTAACATGTTCCTCCTCTCAGACTCGTTAACTCGGAGCTTCGTGTCGGAGAGGAAAGGAGCTGATTGGAGAGTCATTGAGTCTCTGAAGAAGCTTCAGAAGCTGTGAGGTCGTGACAGCGGCTCATCACGAAGAACAAATCAGACCTGATCCAGTTTTTCATTCTTAGATCGGTAATTATCCTGAGTCTGAAGATGGACCAACAGAGGGGCCTAAATCCTCGGTACGGTGGCCTGTAAGGACATCTCAGACTGAGCTGGACTTTATCAGACTGCTTCACATCTGCTGTGACTCCATGAGAGGTAAGATTCACTGCCTTACTCTAGCCTCCTTCTGCAAAGACCAAAACCAAGACTGGATGGTCCTGGTCTTCTGCTCTCAGGCATTAAAAACAGACAGGACTCTGGAGTGGAAATCATCGCACGGTAGGGCTGCACGATCGTTTGAGCATCGCCATGGCAATAGTCACATTGCAGACCCTGCGATGTTGGAGGTGAATGAACTCATCTAATTTCAATTATAGACCAATCACGTTCGTTCGTAACTCAGTTGCCAATCAGACTAGCCTGCCAGCCATCAATCAAAACCAGAGAGGAGGAAACCACGCCCCCACACATGGAGTGAGTCGCTGGCGCTGTCGATGTTGTGCCGAGAAACTCATATCCACCGAGAATTACTTTGGGAACATTCCTCATCACTGTTTAGCCCCACAAATAAGAACTGTATGGGTTTGAAATTGGACATTTTCATGGACCACTCGACTATAAGCTGTGCATGTTTTGAGAGGTGCATGCAGTTCTCGGTGGGGATGTGTTTCTCGACACAACACCAATAACAACAACGAATGCAAAATGAGTAACGAACAAGAGAAAAACATTCACTAAAAGATCAGTGCAGGTTAACTGTCCTCAAGATTTCAGCAAAAAGTGAGATTCAGGTTTTAGTAAAATTCCTCTATTTTTTAATATCGCAGAGTTAAAAAAAAACGGCAATGTTAGTTTTTTCCAATATCGTGCAGCCCTATCACACGGGCTCCAAATTTCTCAAAAACAGAAGAGTTCATCACCACATCCACAAACCCTGAGAAGAGGAAACATGAATAAAGCAGACGAGGAAATCTGTGTCTAAAAAAACAAGAAAAAAAACAAATGTAAGTTTATTTAAGTCTGAGGTCTTCGTCTGTGAAGCCGTGTGGAACAGCGCTGAATATCAGGTCAGTAAATGACTGTTCTCCCTCTCTCCCTGCTGCACAGTTTATTATGTTAATCTGTGCAACAACTCTGGGATTATTTAATTAGTCAGCGGTTGGAAAACGAAGCACCTGTTATCTAATAGCTGCACCTGCAGACAGGAGCGCCGCGCATGAAGCTGCTCCTCTAAAGTCCTCATGTTCACAGCTGTGTCCGCTGAATCCACTCAGACATCCCGTCTCATTATAAGAGGAAATATCTGCTGTGTTCAAGATAATTGGGTTCAGCTCACAGATTGATCCAAATATCAATCCTCCGACCCTCCCCCACATCTGCATGTCCTGAGTTTACCGCGGCGGAGGAGGAGGAGCTTTAAACGATTAAAACGGACAAACAGCTTTAGTATTTTCGCCGTTCAGTAAATCCACAGGAGGCATCGGAGGAGAGTGTTTCCTGAAATATTAACGAAGGAGAACAACAAACTCATTTTCTTCTACAGTCGCTCGATATTTAACGGCTGACTGTGACTTAATAACGCCACCCTCAGGGATGGAGAGCGGACCTTATATTAATCCAACATGGTGGCTGATGATTAGCTCTGATTACGGCGAGTGTTTAACACGCCAGTCTGCAGAAAAAAAAAAACACTCATGTAGCTCAATTCTCAGTTTAATATTAACGTGTCCAGAGGGACGTCGATAAGTCTCTGATGAAGAAACTCCTCCCTGTGAGTGAATATCCAATCACTACCTGTTTGTTGTAGTGGGCGGAGTCACCGTCACTAACTTTAAACTCAGTGTTTACTCTTGTTGCCATGGCTGCGTTAGTTTTGCTTCCTTGTCCCTTTGCAGTTATCGTTTTAATCCCAATGCTTGAATGTTGACAACGCCACATTAGTGCAGACAGGATCTTCTGGCTCCTCAGAGGATCAGAAAACCAGGACAGGATCCTCCTCAGAGGATCAGAAAACCAGGACTTCACTGACCTTTGTTACATATGTGGATCAGGGTAAAAATCAGCCGGATTATTGTGCAGAGAGAACCTGCTGAAGGAGCCCAATGTGATAATCCTCAGAGACACATTCTGAACACACACACAATTATCTACACACTAATAGAGACACACACTGAGACATCTACACACTCATAGAGACACACACTGATACATCTACACACTAATAGAGACACACACTGATACATCTACACACTTGTACACACACATCAAACACAGTGCATCCACAGGATTGGACGCAGGTACTAAACTCATATCTGCTTCAGGTCAGCAGGTCAAGCTCAGGAGTTATGAGACGACAGGTAACCATGACGACGGCACAGACAGGTTTAAGTGACACTTCTGTTCTGATGGGGTAAGACTTAGTGACAACCTCCTGCGCTTAAGAATGAATACAGAAAAACAAAAACTGCACTTCCTCAAGTGTCCACTAGAGGCTGGTTGTACAGTGAGTCAGTCCCCATAGAGCCCTGTGTTAAAAAGAAATAAAGATGTCTACAGCCACTGTAGATATAAAACTGCTAGATTTACTCTTTTATTGACAACAGAAACAACATATGATATTAACACTGAAACAGACCGGGGACTCTTTCTGGACTTGTAAACGTTAACTCCATAAACACTCACCAATGACTCTAACGGCTTCAGCCTCTCTATTAGCATGCTAATGCTATTTCTCCTTTTTAGACACACAGACACCTGCCTCCTCTTCCTTCTCCTCCTAACACAGATATCACCTCACAAAATGGAAGGGTATGATGTTGATGAACAGACTTTTTGTCAAATCCACTCACTGTGTGAGACCGGCAGGTTTACAGACAGGATAAATGCTGAATTTGAGTTACCTCAGAAGTCAGATGTCGGAGCTGAAAATGACGTCACACCTGAGTTCCCAGCATTTTAGTTACCAAGTCAGAAAAAAGCAAAGTTGGAGGCAGAAACAAGATGGCTTCAGCTATAAATGTTTTTTTAGTGCTTCTTGTCCGAATATAAGCAAGGACAAGGCAAGCGCTAAAATAACTTTCCCAGATCTTGCTTTGGCAACTGAAACACGAGTAACTCGGGTGTGACGTCATTCCCAGCTCGGACTCCTGCCTTCCGAGGAAACTCAAATGCAGCAAAAGTCTGTACCTCTGTAACATCTAGGAGTTTTTCTGTCCGACAAAGAAGATCAACCCTTTAAAAACAGAGTTAACCTCTTTATCTATGAAAACAGGGTTCAGGCGTTAAGTCCTAAAAAGGAGGGCGATCATCTGATATTTGTCACGTTTGCAAAAGTGAGATTTTGTACAAAAAGAACAGAACATAACTTTCATTATCTGATCAGCTGGTTGTGTAACAGTGTGTGTGTATGTGTGTGTGTGTGTGTGTGTGTGTGTCTCACCTGTCCAGGCTCAGTGAAGATCGAGGGACTCCCGCGTAGAAATAGGGTTTCAGGTCTTTAATCAGAGCATCTCCTGCCGACCTCTGATTCCACCTCTGAGCCAACCGGGAGAGCTTAAAGTCCGACCTGACGCACACACACACACACACACACACACACACACACAGAGGAAGAAGAGAGGGATGGATAAGCACTAAATCCACGGCTGAAAAATCCATCAGTGGAGCCACAGAGGAGGAGAGTCTGCAGCAGGTGGTTTCAGGTAAAACCTCACCAGAACAAGCAGAAAGGGGGTCAGGAAAGTTCTCACACCGTTCTCCGAGAGTCCAAAAATCAGACCCTGTCATAAAAAACCAAACCCTCAGTTTTGCATCATCGCTCTGACGAGACAAACTGTCACCGGGAACACTTCACAGCATCATCGAGGACTTCAGAAACCTTCGTCTGTGTTTTCAACAGGTCTACAAATCCGATTTTCTAAACTACGACACAGAAAAGACGAGAATTCAGCTCCAAACGGTCCACTTTGGCTTCAGCTGCATCCCTGTTCGAACTGTCCTGCTCCAAAATCCTCCACAAAAACCAAAACCCATCTCAACTTCTCTGCTTCACCGGAGGAGACACCTGTGTGATGGAAACGCGCTCAGAAAGTTGCTCCAAAGTGCGCTGAAATCTGAAGAGTTTCCTGGCGTCGCCGCAAAGACAGCAATAAGAGAGCGTGTCGGTGGCTCAGCAGCAGATCTATCCCAGCGAGTGAGTCTGCTCCGCTGGGTTCGATCTCTCTGTTTGATGCCTCCAGCTCTCCAGGAGGAGGGGGGGTGGACGCTGCAGCAGCCCCCCCAGAGAAGGAGCTCAGTCCTGGGTGTGAGAGCGGAGAGAGGCTGCTGTCAGTCTGCTCCTCACTGCGGAGCTCCGGCTCTGAAAGACTGAACTGAACACCTGTTAGGCAGCGGACGCATCGCGACGCATCGACACACACTCGCACAGTCTCTCACACAGCAGGGGGGGGGGGGAGAGAGAGAAAGAGAGAGAGAGAGAGAGAGAGAGAAAGAGGGAGGGTAACTGGAGAGGGATGTTTGAGGAGAAGAGAGGAGTGTGTGGGCTCAGTGTGTGTGTGAGCATTTGTTAGGGGGGTTGGTTGTTGTGATCAGTGATATAAAACACACTCACACACACACACACACACACTTACACACACACACACACTCTCTTGCTCTATGGGGACCATCTACACCCGATGGAGGAGGGGCTGCAGCCTCTTTGATACGACTGAGAGCATCAAAAAGGGCGAGTGAGGGGAGCTGAGACTAAATCCACTGAAAGAAAACAGAAAAAAAATTAAATGTGAAAATAACGATCGATTTTCCGGAGGAACATCGGAGCGGTAAAATGGGATCAGTTCAGGACGTCACAGCCATGGTGTGCTGCATGAATAATTGTCCCTGTGGAGGCTGATTAATTCGTTTGAGTCATAACTCTCTGCTCCAGAGATGATATAATCAATTAAAATATTGGATAATTATTCTCTTTTCTGATCAGTCTCATTGTTTTCATGGTGAAGTGAGTTAAACATGTTCCCGAACAGCTACTGCCATTAACTACCACTCATTATGAAGACTTAATGCTTCAGCTCTCGGTCCCTGAACCCCCGATGTCCCGCTCAGGTGGGGGTGGGGGGGCTCAAACATCGGCGTCATTTCGGATTTTAGCGTTTGATTGTGTAAATCACACAAATGTCAACAATCAGACAAATTACAGCCGATTTTAAATGCTATCACTTTAATACTCAGCTGCAAAGACACGTTAGCTAAACGAAGCTAACGTTAGCATTCAGCCGCGTCCTGTAATATAGCTTTAGACGATCACGATCTCATTTCAGGAAAATTCAGGAAAACAGGAAAAACGCTTTTATCTTAAAGTGACTGAAATCAACTTCAGTGAGACGTTTGCAGAAAGATGTCCTCCAAACTGACCCCCTGAGGGACCCGATGCGGCCCTTAAACGGGTTTTTGCTTGAAACATTTAGCGAGCTAATGTGATTCATGAAAAAGAAAATAAAGAAGAAATTTAAAAATATATATATTTTTAAAAAGACAACAAAGAAACGAAGAAAGTTAGAATGAACAAAAGAACAAAAGAAAAAAGAAAGACATTAGAGAAGAAGAAAAATAAAAGAGACAAAAAAGAAAAGTAAAAAGAAAAAAGAGAATAAAAAAGACAGTAATAAAAATAGTAATTTATAAAATAAATATAAATATAAATTAAGAATATTAAAATTAAAAAGAAAAAATAAAGAAAAAAAGAAAGACTGAATGAATGAAAGAATGAAAAAAGAAAAAAGAACACAAGAAAGAAAGAAAGAAAGACTTTGCTCAGAGGTTCGTTCAGATCCTCAGTAATCACAGTTTTAATTCAGACTTTTACAGACGGACAGTCTGCGTCCCCCCCTCCCTCTTTATTGTGTATATCAGAGTTTGGATGGAGGACAGAGACACCTGTCCAAGAGGTGATGAGATTCTGGAAGGTTCCTCCAGCAGGACCGGAGCTCGGTCATTAAGCTGCAGCTCTCGGTGGATTCTCGGGTATCTCAGGGCGATACATGTTTCCACCTGCTCCACCTCATCTTTACTGCTCTGCTGCAACCGTGGAAAACTACCAACCTCTCTGACCCTGCAGAAACTAACACACACTTACACACACTTACACACACATACACAGGCTTAAAGGAGCAGTTCACCACAATACATCACTCAGTTATATTGCAGCCTGAGTGAAATGGGAGTCATCATCTCTTCTTAAATCACGGAGCGTCATGGATGTCAAACAGCTCTCTATCATGAGTAAAGAGAGCTCTTATTGAAGTTGAGATATCAGAGATTGTTGACCTCACAGAGTTCACGCAGACCTCGTTAAAAAACGTATTCCTGCAGCAGAGCTTTCCTGACCCTGTTTGGATGTAAATGCTGCGGGCTAAAATAATGGTGGAGCTGATGCTGAGGCTGACAGTTTGTGGTTAAAGACTGTAATTAAAAAGAAGCAGCACTTAAAGCCGCCGCCGACGGAGCAGCTGCTCTACTCTTCCTCTGCAGCCTCTTTATGTTCCACCAACAAACACGTTAAATGTCACGAGCAGAAACAACAGCAGCAACCACCAAAAATATCCAGAAACCACTAAAATAAACAACGTCGTATTCTTACAATGGGATCTTAATAATCCAGTCATTCAAATGTCGTCGTATACCGAACAGTTCGATGTCTTAAAATGGACAAAAACAGAAGAAACTTTATTCTGTCGAACATTAAATCAAAGGAGTATTTAGAGGGACTATTTTCAGCAGCGGATGGATCCACAGGCAGGAGGGAGTTTTGATTTAAATGATCTTTTTTCTGAACGTAAAGATGACACTGAAATCTGACAAGAAGGTAAAAAGTTATAATGCTAAAAAAACATCTGGAGGAACATCTGCAACTCATGAGGTGAATGTCCAACAGGTTAGTCACATGACCGGGTCACAATTTTTTTTTTGGTAGGGGAAGGTCCCGCCCTCCTTCGCCTCTGATTGACTAGAAGTGCTGGGCTCTGATTGGTTGTTCCTAATGGCTGTGAAATCTCATCATCTGTCGGGTTAAGGTTAGGAGATGCAATAGTGTGATGATGTTCTGTTTGATGTACAGAGCCGACAGCTCGCGTTTGGCTTAAGCGTGTGATGACGTTTCCAGCTTTTCTGGCCAACCAGAGGCGAAGGAGGCAGGTCTTAGACGGACATTCAGAGAGGCTGATGCTGCGTTCCAGTTACCTCGGAAGTCGGATGTCGGAGCTCGGAATGATGCAAGAGTTCTGTTTTTTCCGGACGCTGCAGCATGGCGGATAAATTCAGCACAGATTAACCCGTGCTGGAAAGGAAGTCGGGCACAGACACAAAATAAAACATCCGGCTTCTTTTCAAAATAAAACACTCCGTGTTTCAGGAGGATCGTATTTCACACCATGCAAACGGGCGGAGACGAACAAGTGAAAGGTTTTTAGACGTCACAATCTACTGCTTATATGTCTATGTGTCTGTCTTTATAGAGACAACTCATTATCGTACGATTGCACGTGAAATTCCTCTCACAAATGGATCCAGTAGGAATTGGCGTACGGCCGGGTGAGAGACTACGTGAGCTAACAATTCAACAGTTTAAGTGGATTTCATCATCTACAGTACATCATATCATTCAAAGATTCAGAGGATCTGCAGAAATCTCTGAACTAAAAGGGGACAAGGACCAAAACAGGACTGGATGGTTCTGATCTTCAGGGCATTAAAAACAGACAGGACTCTGGAGTGGAAATCACCACATGGAAGAGTTGGAAATCATAGATGCTGCATCCTCAGCCCCCATAACGACATTAGGGGTGAAAAGTCCATGAAAGTGTGTTTGAGAAGCTCAGCGCCTGTCTCTACTGTGAGGAGGAGAGATGGTAAAAAGGAAAATGACTTTATTGAACTGTAATTCCGCCGCCTGCTGAGGTGACACTCAAACAAAGAATTTCTGCAGATGAATTTCTGAGTGTTTTCAGTTACAGCTGCACCCGAGGGGAACGAGGCTCAGAGTGACAGAGCACCGACAAACGGCTCCGTTTTCACATCAAAAACAACTCCAAACAATTAATGTGCCAACATCCCAGCATCCTCTGCAGAGCCAGCGGCGGCGGCGGCTGCGTCTCATTGGCTCAGAGCTGCCTCAGGAACCTTGTTTCCATGGTTCCCATAGAAGAGCAACAGGTGAAGACGGGGGGCTGGGGGTGGGGACCGGGGGAGAGACGGACACAATGGATGGATCCTGCGCTCTCAGTTCCTCGGTGCAGCCTTTTTCCTGCCTCCTCATTTAAATATCCGAGCGGCTGGTTTCATTTTTTTCACCGCGCTGATTTTCTTCACAGCAACAAAGAACACAAAAACGTCTCAGTGACGGTGGAGCGCGGCGAGATCATGTTTGTGTGTAAACACCGTGAGGCCCGTCTCATGCACCTCTCATTATGGAGATATTCAGAGGTTTTACAGGTCTTTGTACCCGAACATCAGAGCGCATTCAGAGCAGTCACGACAGCAGCGGTGGCAGAAACACTCGGGCACTCGAACACAAGTCTTCAAAAAGGGAGGAGCTCAAGGTCAGGGACAAATCTATGAAATACTCCATTTCTGTGGTTTCAGAGAGCTGCAGGAAAATGTTACCCAATCAGCTCTAAGAGACTCTGAACAGCTGAGCGTTAGGTAACTAAGGTGAACCTGCATGCAGAACAGGAGTGTGATCATCCTCACATACTTTTACAGGGAAAATCTCCAACTTCATAAATCCATGAAGACCTCTGAGCAGCGAGTCAAGGCCGACACGTTCTGTTCGCTCACGACATCTACAGTCCACGTGAGGTCAGAGGTCAGAGATACATGTAGTGTTGACATCCCTGAACAATAAACAGTGAGTCACATAGTCTGATGCTGAAGTCCTTGGTAAACACATGCAGGCAGCTGCAGCTGTAAGAGGTAAACAACACCGGAGTCAGGAGTCCGACACGTCCGACACGTCAGTCATGTAACCTGTAACTGAATATCCACAACAATCACAAAAACACCGATTAGATACGGACAGAGTTCAGTTATTAAAGAACAACGGCCGAGAGAGACAGGAGGGTAAAACCTGTCTGAGGAGAGTCTCAGTTTCTCTGTAAATAGTCCCTCCTAAATCTGGTTTTCTATTGTCTGTAAAGAGTCTCAGTTTCTCTGTAAGTAGGTTACCCGTTTCTTTACTCTGGTTTCCTGTTAATCAGTCTGTGGAGAGTCTCAGTTTCTCTGTAAATTGTCTCTTTTACTCTGGTTTCCTTTGCATCCTTACTGTAGAGTCTCAGTTTCTCTGTAAAAGTCTCTCAGATCCTCACTCTGGTTTGCTGTTGACTGTGGAGAGTCTCAGCTTCTCTGTAAATAGTGTCTTAGCTTCTTTACTTTGGTTTCCTGTTCATCTGTCTTTCGTTTCTCTGTAAGTAGTCTCTAAGTTTCTTCACTCTGGTTTCCTTTGCATCTGTCTGTCTGTGGAGAGGCTCAGTTTCTCTGTAAATAGTTTCCCAGAGACTTAACTTTGGTTCCTTGTTCCTCAATCTGTGGAGAGTCTCAGTTTCCCTGTTTTTAGTCTCCCTTCACTCTGGTTTAATATGTTTTTTCTCAAAGGTTTGTTCCCATTTGAGTTTTTTTTTCATTTAAACTTCTTTATTTCTTTGGTTCGTCTGATCATGAGATTTTATTTGGAGGGTAAGTTGTCTTTTTTGTCTCTCCCTCGTGTCTGCTCCTGTTTATTCTGGCTGTTAAAGTCACTTACGAAGGTGTCTGAGTGCACAGACACTCAGAAACAGGCTGAGACGCCGGTATTGATTTATGAAATATAGTCATTGGTTGTCCTGAGCAGGTGGTTGAGTTCAGAGACGCAGCAGAGCTAACCCTGATATTTGTGTCTCGCATAGAGACGCCGTGTCAACGTGATATTTTCAGGATTATTGTCTCGTAAGAACTCGTTATGTTCCACGTTAAAGTCACGATTCATATTTGAGCGGCAGCGCCGACTAATGATCCATACAGTGTGTGTGAATCACACAGAGGTTTTCAATGTGTGGGAGTTTTATTTCACCCGCAGGTCGGGGTTTGTGTGTGTGCGTGTGTTTGTGTGTGTGTATGTGTGCGACAGTGAGGAAATGACTCGCATCCATCACAGACGTGCAGCACTCGGCCTCCCTGAGAGAGTCATGTGAAGACAGACTCAAACTGCAGCAACATGGACGCTCCGTTCAGATCATCGAGAAAACAGCTTCAGAGCCTCACAGACTCTGGACTTTAGAGGGTTCACAGAAAACCCCAGAGAGTCCGAACCCACAAACAGCAGACCGCCAGAGTCCCAGACCGCCAGAGTCCCTGATAGCAGAGATGGTCAAAGGAGACTAATAAGAAGATCTCAGTTCATCATTAAAAACATCGACAGATGTAGAGATCGGCTCAGAGGAGGCGGGTCCGGGTCCAGGTCCAGGTCCAGGTCTGTGTTAATGAGTCCATCAGAGGGTGATTAATCCACAAAGTGACCCTGACTGCATGAGTCAGCACTCTTAACTCCAACATGGCCGCCAGCAACATGACTCATGGGTTAATTGGAACATTAACGATGACTAATGAGAGCAGGAGCTCAGGTTGGCAGAGTCCGATGATGCCGTTTGTTATGGACAGTTTTCCCAGAATGCACGGCAAAAACACGCCACCAGATAAACACAAACAGCATCTCGTTACACGTGCAGACTGAGAACATCAGTCAGCTGAGTCATCTCACAGCGACGCTAACGGACAGCAGTGAAAACGTTCTAATAAAGTTCAGGCCTACAGGACCGCCCTCCTCGAACCGTTTAAGATGTGTGTTACAAAAGCCTCTTAATGTGGCTCCACGGCACCGGTCCACCTTACCGTGTATCTAAAATACTTGCAGATTGTCTTCTCACAGGCGCCATCTTCTGGGTAAATGAGTGTAACACAGTAAAGTATCTCTCTGTTAATGTATCTCTACAAACCTGTGAGTCAGATACCTCATCGTTGAGTTCAGGGTAAAAAACATCCTCCTAAGAGTTCCTAAAAGGAAAGTTATACCTGAATGTGTTATAGGAGATGGTGGATTTCCGCCCACGGCTCAAAACCGACACTGGAACAATCAAATTTAATGTATTTCTAATTCAAAATGAGGAGACAGACTCCTGCTCGGCAAACTGTGAATACCTCTTTGTGTTCATGAACAAAGAACAGAAATAAAGTCTGAATTTAGTCAAGAAAGAAGGTTCAACCTGTCGGCGCACAAAAGCTGTTTTTGTCCATTTTCATTTAGAGTAACTTTAAGAGTCAGGGGGAGTCTTCTACATCTGTGAAGGCTCCATGAATGCTGGACTATATCTCCAGGTTGAGGAACATCAGGACTCTGTAGTTGGAGTCACTGCATGGGTGTAATATCACTAACTGTCCTGAGGTCTGATGAATCAAAATCCAACACTCTTTAGGAAAGGACAACTGGACTTACTTGAGACGTTGACTTACTTGACTCATGTAAGTCCAGTTGTCCTTTCAACAAAGAATTGGAGATCATAGATGCTTTGTCCTCAGTTTTAAAGAGCAGAAGGTCCACCGGGATTGTTCTCATCTCCCAGTCCAAAACCAGCATCCCTGATGGTATAGGGATCATCAGAGTCCATGTCCTGGATATCTTGCACATCTGTGAAGGCTTCATTAATGCTGATCTATATCTCCAGGTTTAGGGGCAACATCTACTACAATCTAGACAAAGACTGTTTCAGGGAAGACCTTCATATTTCAGCAAACAGACAGGACTGGAAATCACCGCATGGAAAGGACAACTGGACTTACTTGAGATGTTTCGCCTCAAGTAAGTCCAGTTGTCCTTTCAATGAAGAACTGGAAATCATAGATGCTGCATCCTCTGTTTTTTAGAGTAGAGGGTCCACCAGGCTTGTTCTCATTTTCCAGTCCAAATCAAGTGTCCCTGACGGTCTGGGGGTCATCAGAGTCCATGTCATGAGTATTTTCCTCATCTGTGAAGGCTTTTTTAATGCTGAACGATATCTATAGGTCCAGGAGCATCAGGACTCTGTAGTTGGAGTCACCGCATTGGCTTAATATCTCTTGTCCGTGAACTGTCCTGAGGTCTGATGAATCAAAAATCCAACACTCTTCTAGGCGAAACGTCCCAAGTAAGTCCAGTTGTCCTTTCAACGAAGAACTGGAAATTATAGATGCTTTGTCCTCAGTTTTAAACAATATCTTCAAGTTTAGGAGCAACATCTGCGTCCATCCAGACAAAGACGTTTTCAGTGAAGACCTTCATATTTCAGCGAAACAGACAGGACTCTGGAGTGGAAATCACCGCATGGAAAGGATGGCGAAATGTCCTTTCAACGAGGAAGTGGAGATCATAGATGCTGTGTCCTCAGTTTTAAAGAGTAGAGGGTCAAACCAGCTTGTTCTCAGCATCCCTGGTGGTATAGGGATCATCAGAGTCCATGTCATGAGTATCTTCCACATCTGTGAAGGCTTCATTAATTCTGATCTATATCTCCAGGTTGAGGAACAACATCTGCCTCCATCCAGACAAAGACTCTTTCAGGGTAGATCTTCATATGATCCAAAACGACAGTCTGACAACAGCATGGCTCTGTAGGAGAAGAGTCCAACTGAGAAACTGGACCAGTTGAGCAGAAACTTCTAGAGACGAGGTTACGTAACAAACTAAACATGTTTGCTCCTGGCCTCGGGTTGTTGACAAATATACAGTTTTGATTAAAAAAATAACACTTATTAGTTTAAATGTTTTATATTTGATCTGTTTCTTTGCACACCATCAAACTTTTTCCAGCGTGTCCGGACTCTTTGTGAAATTCGGTTTTATTGGCAGGGAGAAACAGTCCTGAGCTCCTCTTTGTCTTCATTAGCTCCAGTGAATAGAGATGATAGCCTCTGATCTGTTCCTCTGCTGGGATATTTCATCGTCTCTCTGCTACCTGAAGCATCCCGCCCACATCACTGCAGACCCTTACACCTTTATAAACGCAGACCTGTTCCAGTCTGGATAAAAAGCCCGCAGCGGCAAATAAAAAGCACAGAGCTTCTATAAAGTGCGGCCTTTCACACTGCAAATAAAGCAGAGTTATAAGATCTCTCTGCTGGTTTCAAATCCGCCGGCAGCAAAGACAGAGACTCAAACATCAAAGTGAGGAGGAGGCGAACAAGTAAAACAGAGAGAGAGAGATAAAAGTTTACACGGGGGAGAGACGATCCGGAGCTTTTATTACACTAACGAGAAGAGTTTAGGACACGTCTAAAAATCTTTACAGCCACTCACACACATCTATGTGCACGTCTGAGGACACAGTCACACATATTTTAGATCTAGTTTAGTGTAAATCTGTTCACAAACAAACAGATTTTTACACATTTGTTAAACTACTTTGATTTGAACATTTATACATGTGTATTTACGATCACTCGGTTTTAACATTTGTTAAAAAGTTGTTGGTTTTTTTGTTACAAAATCAGTTAAGTAACGCTGCCACACATCCTGTCTGAGAGCAAGGAGACAAGAGGGAGAGAGGGGGGCGAGAGGGGAAATCAGAGAGAGAAAGAGTGGGAGAGAGAGGGAGAGAGAGAGAGAGAGAGGGAGGGAGAGGAGAATTGAAAGTAGGGAAGGGAACAATTCGTCTCATGAGCCGATGAGTCAGAAAACTTTCAGTCACGACTGCTGCTGAGTGTGTGTGTGCGTGTGTGTGTGCGTGTGTGTGTGTTGAAGAGTGTGAGTGTGTTTGTGTTGTACAGCTAGTTCCAGTTCCTGCTGTCTTAACCTTCATTTGGACCAGCTCAGTCTAAACAGCTGTTACAGCAGCCCAGAGGGAGACGAACAAACAAACAAACAAAAAACAATAAAATTATTTTCTCTGACTTATCGATCACCTGGGTTTAAAGTTTACTCTTACAAAGAAACACACAGAGATGGACTCAGGATCGAGACACAGACTGTCAGCCAATAAATCCCACCATCGCATGATCATTTCTTTATCATTTCCTAGAAGTAATAATCACCATATTAATCATTTTACAGACGCGGTAGTTCTTCTGTCTTAGCGTCTCGGTCTGATTGTATTTCCATGAAGAAATGATCATAAATGTTCTTCCTTGAGCTGCGTCACCCCGCTGTAGTCTGTAGTGGACTGGCCTGAGGTCTCACTACAAACAAGCGTCTCCTGGAAGAGAGTAGGTGAGTTGTGTTTAGTCTCTTTGCTAAAGAAATGAGTCAAAGTTAAAAAGATGTTTGGTGTCTAGTACTATGTCTGTGACCCTATATGTCCTGTTGATGAAGTTAGGTGCTGTTCTGAGCATTATTTGTGGCTATAGAGTGGCGTTTTGGTTGAGCACGTGGCTCTCTGTATTTCTATCCTGCGGTCGTTACTAAAGTTGGTATAACTAGAGAAGCAAGCGGTCGGTAACATTCATCTCTGGAGGGGGGGTCTAACTTGGTGTTACGGTGGGTTTGACCCTAAATTAATTATACAGAATATCCCTTTAAAGTTTCTGAAGCTGGGAGCTCTGGTCCTACTCAGTAGAAAAGCTGATTTCAGGCTCTGTTGTGCCTGATGTCTCAGAAAAATCTGAATTTAATTTGTTCAGTTCAGGTTTTTCATCCTCTGTAGAAACGGCAGCGTGACTTCAGGAGCTCTCAGGGGTGCTGGTTTTCATACTAACAGGCTGATGTTTCCCAGAGTGGACCGAATCCTTTCAAACCAGGTGAGAGTTAAAGTCAAAGTCCGTCACGTCTTTCTCAGAGACTCACTGACTTCAGATGAACTTTGTAAAAGAAGCTGAAGATGCATCCTGAACAAAGAGGAGCGGTGAAGGAGGTGAACTCAGGATGGTGTTGCAGGGCTTGAATGGACTCAGGTTTCATTCTCATGCACACCCTCTTTACCCTGTGATTCCTCCAAACATCAGTTCACATTTCCACCACAGAAGAAGAAGAAGAAAAAGAAAAACCCAGATTCACCTGAAAGGACTCGAACCCGAGCAGAAAAGAAACTCTGACCACGTCGTCTGAAACGTCCTCAGAGGAAACAAAAAGCCTCAGTTTCTTTTCCATCATCCGCCGTCTGAACACGCCACTCTCTCCTCCTTTACATCGCCATGGCAACACTCAGCCAGAGGCCATTATGCTTTATGGCTACCTTGGGCCCCTGAGTGTGTGTGTGTGTGTAAGTGTGTGTGTGTGAGTGTGTGAGCTATTTTCTATCTTCAAAGTGGAACCACCATCTCAAAAAAACTGCACTTCAATTAATCTCAGAGAGTACAGAGAAGTGTGTGTGTGTGTGTGTGTGTGTGTGTGTGTGTGTGTGTGTGTGTGTGTGTGTGTGTGTTACACTTTCCTTTAATAATTATTAGGGTTGCAAAATTCCAGGAATTTTTAGAGTTGAAAACCTTCCGTGGGAATTAACAGGAATAAATCTGAAATGTACAAAAATGAAGGTTGGTCCTCAACAGGGAATATAAATATAGTTGGTGAAAATATCTTGTAGCATAATCTTGACTAAAACAACCAGATTTAATGCAAGTATACATGTGATACTCCTTCATCACATGTACAGATGATTTCTTGAACCCTGGAAGCCGCACTTTGGAGCCCGACGACTATAGAAGTGAAGTTTGGATAATATTGTGGAGTAAATATATTTGATCTATAAATTTTTAATATTTAACTTGTGGAAATTAAATAAAAATAGGTGCTATAGGCGTTTCTTCTGACTCCTGACTGAGGGTTTTCTGTAACCAAACAATAATTTATTCATCAATTGTCAAATATTTTAAAAGACGATTCCAGCTGTTTATCCGACTGTATTTCTGTTCATGCCACTGCATTAGTGTTCTTAAAAGCTTTTTTGTGTATTTTTCATGGATGTCTACATTTATGTTTGGATATGATACAGTTTGTTTAAATTAACCCAAATTTACAGTTAATTCCCATGGGAAGTTTCTGGAAAATTTACCGGAAAGTTTCCGCCCCTTTGCAACCGTAATAATGATCATTTTTCTGGTTTACAGGATGTCCACAGCTCTCAAAGATGACCGTTTTTAACCATTCTTGTTTTTTTTTTGCTCAGGCGCTGTGGGGAAGGTCCAGGTCCTGCTGGAAAAGAAAATCTATATCTCCATACAGATGAGGGCCCGACGGATATGGAATTTTTGGGGCCGATGCCGATACTGATTATTATTATCGGAGAACTTTTCAAATGGCTGAACATTTTTGAAGTGAAACCGAATCTTTTTCTTTGCATTTTATTTCTGAAAATATCGTCGAAAACCGTCGAGTTTTAGCCGATTACTGATTAGTCTCAAGCGGGCCCTAATACGATGAACCGTGAAGGTCTCGAAAACCTCCTGGTGGACTTCAGGATGTGTTGACTCTCCACTTGATCAAACCCAGTAGACCAACATCAGCAGCAGAAGACATGACAACTTCCTGTTGGACTTCAGACTCCTTGGATTCTGGGCTTCTCTGATCTTCCTCCAGACTCTTGGACCAGGATTTCCAAGTGAGAAGCTAAACGGACCTCGGCCCATGGAGAGGCAAGAGTCTGGTTCTTCTTCTTTCCTGAGTTCAGGTGAGACTCTGAATGTCCCAGAAATGTTGGACTGTTCCTTTAATTTGCTTTTTTTAGTAAAACCATCATCAAACATCAGCTGACGGAGAATAAAATATCGATCCGCAAAGACTGAGGGCGTGTTTCTGAAACCAAGAGCCGACGGGGGCAGGTATTGATCCACACACACACACACACACACACACACACACACACACACACACAAACACACACACACACACACACACACTCCAATTAATGAATCTCTTTTCTCTCTTTAATCCTCCCACACCTGTCTGTCTCGCCTGAACGATTAATTTAACGTCATCTTTGCTTCTGTGGAGCTCAAAGCCTCTCGCACTCATTTAAAACACACACACACACACACACACACACACACACACACATACACATACACACACACACACACACACACACACACACACACACACACACACACACACACACACACACACTCACACACACGTAAACCGTGGGTGTGTGATCTACTGTTCCGGTGCGTTCCACGGAGCAGAATAAAACTCAGTCCTCAGCTTCTGTGGAGCTCATCAGGGTGAACTGAAGAGACCAAACTGAGCACGCTCAGATCAGATCAGAGTGTCACAGCTGATCGGACTCTCAGACCTTCACTGTCGTTCTTCTTGCTCTCCTCCAGCTGAGGTTGTTTCCCGCTAACAGAGACTGCGGCGGTTATTTTAGTGTCTGTTTTTTTTTCACTTTTGTTTTCATTCATCGGGACGTTCAAGGACCGAGCCTGAGAGCGTTGGCTGACGGAGGATTCTGCGTCATGTAAATGAACAAAGTCAACACCGCTTGAGGCTAAAATAGAATTTGAATGAATGGAGAGAAAAAAGAGAGAAAGACATCTTCATCTCTTTTAAATCAGAGCGCTCTTCCTCTCCATTAGCGCTGAAGAGAAACCCACGACCTCCTGACCAAGAGCGAGAACTCTTCAGTGAGCGTCTTACAGGGACGCCGCACAGCTGACCTCACTAATGCGTTTATGAGATATAAAGAAAGAGGCGTTCATTCATTCAGAACAAACTGAACCCTACACACAGGAAACATCTGAGATCTTCAGATGAAGAATAACGAATCAAGTGGAAATTCTCGTATGGAAAGGACAACTAGACTTACTTGAGACGTTTCGCCTGAGAGGAGAAACGTCTCAAGTAAGTCTAGTTGTCCTTTGAACGAAGAACTGGAGATCCAAGGAGATCCTGACCTCTCTCAGTTTTGGACAAACTCAAGTCTCTTTATTGCCGCCATATTAAAACAAATGAACAGAGAATTACAGTAATCAATACAGGATGGGATCAATGCATAAATGATCAATTCAAGATCTGGTTTCGACAACATTCTCCTCACTTTTGAGATATTTCTCAGGTGATAAAAAACTATTTTTGGTCAGCTGTGGGGAATGACCCTCTAAAGACATGGCATGATCAGAAACGACCCTGAGGTTTCTGAGGCTGTTTTTAACAGACGGGCCCGGAGCGCCGAGGCGATTTTTGATCAGGGGATTTTTTTTTATAAGGTGCAATGATCGGAGTTTCTTTTTAGTCAGTGACGACTTCACCAAACTTCACTTCAAAAATAAGTTTGTCTATCATCTCTCAAAACAAAACCACTTAAAATGATGTAGTGCGTATGCCAAGAAGAAGAGTACAGAGCATGTTTTTAAAGGTTGTTTTGGCGCCATAAAAGAGTTACTCTGTGTGTCACATGATCGTTTCCAGAGATGCAGATAGACATCCACACAGAGATGAAATGGTCGTCGTTTACAGATTTATTCACTCTCTGACCTGTTTTCAAAAAGTACCGTCTACAGTCACCTGAAACGCTGATACCACAAAAAACTTTAGCGTTTCCTCCTGAATTCGTTTCCGTGGTGACGGGTTGATACCGCCTTCAGACAGACTTCGCAGCGGGGAGTGGTTTGCTCTTCATCGAAACTGTGAAGTCGTACCAATTCAACACGACTGACTCGCTCTTGTCCTTTTTAACCACGAAGTTATCGCCTTCTTTAGCAAACGCCATGTTTGTTTACACTGGTGTGTGTGGGAACTGGGGAGCCTACGGTGGCCTGGAGAAACCAACAACATACTGCCAGTGTAATCAGCGGGGAAATGCGTCAGCTTTACCAGATGAAGTACGTAGAAGAAGTGACCGCCCTCACAGCACAGAAATCAAAATCAGAAAGCGCTCATATTCTTTCTTTCTTTCTGTTGTTGCTGGAGGAGCGAGACATGATAGAGAGGAAAATCGATTTGATGATTTAAATTTTTTTAACATCCTCATAATCAAATATTCTAAATAGGATTCAGAATCGATTAATCGTGCAGCCCTACACAATCAGACTCAAGAGCAAACTGCAGAGAGCTGCAAACCCTCAGCACGTTTGGACTTTAATATCACTGAAATGATTTTTAGATCGGACCTTGAGCAGATATCAGGGACAAGACTGGACTTACTTTTTCCTGTTGTCCAATCGTCCGGTGGCTCCCAGACTCTGAGGGAGAGAAGAGACACAATGATCAATTTCCATGCAGGATCATGAAGAGCGATAACTCAGTGTTGCTCTTCTCCTGTGCCGAGGTAAAAACAAATTAACGTCACGCTAAAACACACAAACAGGATGTATAGAAGCTGTAGAAGCAGGAAAAGAGCTAATAAGGAATCAGGGATGCAGCCGCAGACTTCATCATTTCACCGCTGACACACAAAGGTTTTTTTATTTGCTTATTTATCCAACGCAACGCCAAAATGAGACTGTTCATCATCTCCCTCTCTCTGCAGTGGTCTGTGCGTTAAAGTTTGAAGAGCACGCATGTTCACTTTCTTTGTTTTCAGAGTTATTTCTGAAACCCGGTGCAGTTATTCCCTCTGAAAAGAAAAGACAGTTTATGTTGAGTGTAATAAATCTATCAAGAAGCCTGTTAAGTTTGACCCCGTGAAGAAATTGCAGAGTTTGGACCGCCTGGAGGGGAAATTGTTCTGTTGCCACGACGACCAAAGTCAACACTGTGCTGGTAAATTGCTCTCTGCAGATGAACGCTCACTTTGGCCCTTTCCTCCACCTCCTCTCCTCAGGGTCACCTGTCGCCGACACACTGACCTGCGGGGATCCGCCATCGTTCTTCAGCCTCATTATTCCGAGTCAGAACGTTTTGATCTTCTGCAGCTTCACTGTTAACTTTTCCAAACCTTCGTACCGCTTTTAGATCTTAAACATAAACTTTAAGGAGTCGACTGAACCCGCCCTCCAACTGAAGACATCTGTGTTTTTGTGTCGCACTGATTCGGAGTTTTTTTTCTCCAAGCTTTTCGACCTTACACCGACTGAAGTTCGGAGTGAAAAGTGAAACAAAAACAGATGAACGTCCTTCAAACTCAAAACAAAGAGACTCTGTTAAGAGTTTTAATGAGCGTTTCAGCAGAATGAAGTTTTCACCGCTGAGGTTCAGTTTGGTTTCAGGGAATAAAACAGTTTCGAAAAGTTTGTTGTTTAAAGTTTTCTGCACTGCAAACAAAACCGTAGATACGTCTTCTGTCCCTGAACGTCTGTTTCGACTTTTACTATGAAGGATTGAAGAGGAAAGTTAAGATACGAGCGCACAGGAGCTCTTTGTACGAGACAGTTTTAAACACATCTTATAGTTCAACTTAAAAACAGGACAGGATGCAGCGTCAACGATTTCCAGAAAGAAAGTCAGATTTTGATTCTTCAGACCACAGGACCAGGTTTCCCTCTTCCTCTTAGTCCACCTTAAAGGTGGTGTAGGCAGAAATCCGTTAAAGAAGCATCTTTTTCTGTGGTGTATTTACAAAAAAGCTTTTTAATATCATCGTGTTGTAGCGCCATCGCTAAACTGTCCTCCCTCGGGTCCTGGACTATGTCACTTTATCCTCGTTGTAGAAGTCCTGCAAACATTGTGTTTGCTGGTAGTCTGTTGGCATCTACAGTAGCACCAATGCTTTTTACTTTCACCTTGACTGGGCCCCATTTGTAATGATCTGAAGTATTTATCTGCATTATATCTGAATTTAACTGGAACGATACGAGCGAGCAGGAGCGTCTGTTTGTGGGCGGGGCTTGAGAGGAGGAGCTGAGGGGAAATCTGGTTTGGAGGGGTAGAGTTTACATTCAAGATTTCTCCTAAAAACTGGAACTTCCTCAGATCCTGACTACACCACCTCTAATGAGCTCAGGTCCAGAGAAGTCATGGTTCAGGAATGGCCGCTGACCGTGTGTCTCTCCTGATAGTTTCATTATTTCCTCTCTCTGTTCTCGTCTCCTCTGCGGTTTTGTCGATGGTTAAAAAAACGCGTTTTTGTTGTTGTTGTGATTTCCTGCTGGAGGCGGCTGGTTTGCCCCCTGTCAGCCCTGAAATGAGATTATCGCTCTAAACCCGCAGGGAGAAATCTGTCAATGTTCAGCGTGTCAGCACGCAGCTGCACATGCTCAGAACCACACAGCGGGCTGACAGAGCTGAACACACACACAGTAGTTCAGAGAGCATCGTTAACAGGAAGCCTCGGCGTCGTGACTGAGTTGAAACGGGTCTAACAGGTTCCTCATCTCAGATTCTTCAACATGGAGGAGACTCGTTAACTCGGAGCTTCATGTCAGAGAGGAAAGCAGCTGATTGGAGAGTCACTGAGTCTCTGCAGAAGCTTCACAGGACGAAGGTGTGAGGTCGTAACAGCGGCTCATCACGAAGCACAAATCAGACCTGATCCAGTTTTCTATTCTTAGAACCTTCATTAGTCTGAAGGTGGACCAACAGAGGGGCCTTAATCCTGGGTACGGTGGCCTGTAAGGAAATCCCAGACTAAACTGGACTTTATCAGACTTCTTCACATCTGCTGTGATTTTATGAGAGATCTGAGTCTGCAGAGACAGAGCTTCATCTCTGTGTGCAATAATAATCAGACTGAGGGATTAGAAAAATAAACAGAGACATTCACTGTTTTAATGTCAGTCCCAGTTTCACTGTCACCAACAGGTTCAAGAAAACCTAAATCTAACCTCTTCATCCGTTTCTCATCAGTCTCAGTTTCAAAAGTAAAGGACAATCACACACAGATGCTCTAATGCTAAATCGCTCATCTGTTTCCTGCAGAGTCTCAGTTTTACTGTAAATAGACCGTTATACAGAAGCTTTACTCAGGCTGACTGTTTTATCTGTTCCTGCTGAGTCTCAGTTTTACTGTAAATACTCACACAGAGACAACACTCTGGTTCACAGCTGAGTAGTACGTTTCTGCGTGTGGCGTTTAGGTGACAGTTAAATAATCAGACCTTGTTCGTTAGACCGTCTTTATCTTTTACTCGTACTATTAGAGAAAAATAAAACTCACATCTAGACTGATATGATCATTTTGAATTCCCATCGATTTACCGAAGATGATCTTTTTATCTACAGAACAACTGCACATATAACCAATCAGAAGCCCGTTAACACCAGCTAATGTCGGCTGTTTGACGATCACCATGAACCAGAGCAGCTCCTGTCTGTTCTTCTGTCTGTTTCCCACCATGTCGTCTTCAGAGTAAACTTCCTTCAGACTTTCACAGTCATCACTGATACTCCTCGTCTTTGTCCTGGACTTGTAGAACGACGGTACATTTCTTCTAAACAGTCGTCATGTTTTAATTGTCATCTCCTTTAGTCGTCTCCTCATTCGTGTCCTTCCTTCCACTCATCCGATGTTTCCTCAGAGTTTGAAATGTCACACGTATGAATGAAAAAACTACGATCCTCCTCTTTGTTCAGTTTTCTCTCGTTCATCATCTGAACAAAACTCTTGATATTTACAGCTCTGAGTTCGTGAAAATCATGTTTTTTTTTATTTTAAGCACTTCATCGAACATCGTGGCTCCAGTTTCATTAAAAAAAAAAAAACATTTTAAGAAGAAAAAAATCGATAAAGTCTTTTAATCGTTTTCTTAGAAAAGTCTCTCAGACATTTCAGCTCCTTCTTCATTTCTTTCTGCTCTTTACACTTGAAGTGTTTTTTTATTGACGCTCACACAGATGAAGAGTTTGTGTTTATTTGTTGCTGCAGTTTGAGACGCTGTTCTCATCTTTAATGAATCCTTCATTTCACATTCGCTCAGTTTACCTTAAACGGTTCAGACACTTTTCAGTTTAATCGTCTGCCTCTCTTAGAGGAAAGGACGCGCTGAACTCTGCGAGAAATCATTACTGCTGTGATTGTTTCCTGCAGGATGTTTAAAATCTGTGTTTGCATGAATAAAAACTGGTTTAAAACTGAAGAACATCTGTCTGCATGTGTATCATCTGTTATTTCCTCCATAAATAGGTTTATTTTTGCATGTACGTGTTTATTGTATATGTGATGTCTGCTTTACTCGTAAATAGATCTGTTTTGCATTCATCCTCTTTGTTATATTTATGGTCTTTATTTTATATCAATATCTTTGCACACACATGGATCTTCATTTGCCCGAATCTTTATAATGCATGAGGATATCTTCTTATTTCATGTGTTAAACTGTAAATGAATGCATGTCTGTGTGCATGTCAGTGTTTTTTGCATTAATATAATCTTTGGTTTTGGCGTTTGTGTCTTTTCTCCTGTTGTGCGGAGGTTTCTCTGCTTTTATAGTTTGGTTTTGTGTGATAAAGTGTCTCTCGTTGATAAATCTGCATTATCAAAGAGCTGCAGCCTTTTCCTCTCTGCTGACCTGACTCTGATTCAGACCTCCTCCTCCTCCTCCTCCTCCTCCTCCTCTGAATGTCAGGACATGTTCAGCACCACCTCTCTCTTTAAGAGTACTTTAATGTCAGAGGACATCCTTTCTGCTGAGAAACCAACACCAGCCTTAATTAATGCTGTCAGCTGATTGGCTGGAGCGGGGGCGCGCCTGACCTTTAACTCTTTATCAGTAACTGTGTGTAAGAGCAAAACGCTAAGCTCAGTGTGAATTAATGAAACGGAGGATATCAGGGTTCATCAGGAGGAGACACACAAGAGGAGAAATACATTCAGAGCTGCTGTTCGACTGAACCTGGAACAGTGGTTGAGGAGTAAGAGCAGGAGGAGAAACAGGAGGAGGAACAGGAGGAGGGGGAAAAGAGAGCAGGGAAAGGAGGAGGTCACTTAGCAGAGGGACAGAATGATCACAGTGAGGGAGTCAGCAGAGATAAGGAGTGTTATCAGACACTAATCTAACTCCAGCTCCTCTCCCTGCTCTCCTGTTTCTCTCTCCTCCTCCTCCTGTTCCTCTTCCTACTCTTCTCTCTCCTCCTCATGCTCCTCTCCCTGCTCTCCTCTCTTCCTCATGCTCCTCTCCCTGCTCTCCTCTCTTCCTCATGCTTCTCTCCCTGCTCTCCTATTTCTCACTCCTCCTCCTGCTCCTCTTCCTGCTCTTCTCTCTCCTCCTCCTGTTCCTCTCCCTGCTCTCCTCTCTCCGCCTCCAGCTCAGTATCTTCTTGCTCCTCCTCTAGCTAAGTCTCTCCTCCTTCTGTTCCTCTCCCTGCTCTCCTCTCTCCCCCTGTTCCTCTCCCTGCTCTCCTCTCTCCTCCTCCTGTTCCTCTCCCTGCTCTTCTTTCTCCTCCTCCAGCTCAGTCTCTTCTCTCTCCTCCTCTTGCTCCTCTTCTCTTTCCTTCTTCTGTTCCTCTCCCTGCTCTTCTCTCTCCTCCTCCTGTTCCTCTCCCTGCTCTTCTTTCTCCTCCTCCAGCTAAGTCTCTCGTCCTTCTCCTTCTCCTCCTCTCCCTGCTCTCCTCTCTCCTCCTCCTCTCCCTGCTCTTCTTTTTCCTCCTCCAGCTCAGTCTCTTCTCTCTCCTCCTCTTGCTCCTCTTCTCTTTCCTTCTTCTGTTCCTCTCCCTGCTCTTCTCTCTCCTCCTCCTGTTCCTCTCCCTGCTCTTCTTTTTCCTCCTCCAGCTCAGTCTCCTCTCTCCTCCTCCTCTCCCTCTCTCCTCCTCCTGTTCCACTCCCTGCTCTCCTCTCACCTTCTCCTCCTGCTGAATCCCAATCAAAGCCTCATTTCTCAATAGTCACCTCATCTCCTCCTCTGTTTCATCCACCTTGTCTCTCCTGACTTCTTCCAAAACCTCCTCAGCGTTCCCCGTCTCCGTACTCATGCCACTCTGCCTGTCACTCACGCCGCGTTCGAGCCTGCCAGGCAGCGCTTAGGGGTGCCAGACCCCGCGGCGGCTGCCGGGGGGGGGCTCAGCTCTGTCTCCTCCGTCTGCAGGCGCTCGGCCCGGCCATGAATGGTGGCTTTTCTGAGCTAATTAACCCGGTCCAGAGGCCAACAGGCCCGCTACAGTCCCCCTCTGGGCTAATATCAAAATAAAGCTCTGTTCAAATTAGGACGGTGAAGAGTGTGTGTGTGTGTGTGTGTGTGTGTGTGTGTGTGTGGGGGGGGGGGGGGTCCAGCTGTCTGCTGTCAGTAGAGCCGTCAGAATTATGGGGGGGGGGGGATGTTATATGTTCAAATTAGTCAGTTTTGATTATTTTTTATTCATAATTTCTCTAAAAATCATGATTACGATTTTCTGTAAAACCATGACGTCCAGGATTTCCAGAAAGAAAGTTTGTGATTGGTCTGAGCGAGGACGGTTCTCCTTCCTGCCGAACTAAAGAAAAGGTTCCCACAGAGGGAATAAGAGTCGGTCTCATCAGAGGGGTCAAAGGTCGTCCATGATGAATGTTGCTGTCTTTTCATAGCCTCCTGTTCAATAGCGCACCACTGAAGACAAACATGTTTGTTCATGAATCACCGATCGCTGTGAAAGTGTTGGCTGAACATCGTCACCGTGAAGACGAGGAAAATCGAGCAGAACAACAACACGACCGTGAGTCAGTTCAGTCAGAGACATCCAGCTGATCAAACACGCTCGCTCGGGTTCATCCGAGCTAATGCACAACAAACGGAGCTAAACCGGAAGAAAACAGAGAGACGCCGACATCTTCAGAGGGTCTAAAGATAGACTTACGATAGAAAGAGAGGAACTGCACTGAGTAGGAAACGTTTCTTTACACCAAACAACAAAATCTGAATCCTTCCTGACAGCAGAGCCACTATGATCACTTTTAAGTTTATATTTTAGGTTTTAAAGACGATGTTTTTCAGAGCGATCCTCAATAATCACATTTTTCTGCAGTAAAAGCAGATTAAAACCAGTTCACTCACTATGATCACAGATGATCAAAAGCAGGAGTTAAACCCCGGTGGATGTTTTCATTTCGCAGCCTGACAGAACTGTTGAAAATCAAAGTTTTCTCTCATTATGAACAGATAATCGAGGTGCTGTCTAAACGAGACTGTTTAAAAATATGACACTAAAGCGAAACGGCAGTTCCCAGACTCTCCACTAGAGGCTTTCTCCAAACATGAATACTCCACCGCATCCGGAACAGGGATTTTCGCCATACGCCAATTAATACAGGATCTGTTTGTGAGGCAAATTGCAGGAATCGTGAGAACTCACAAGAACCCGCGGATTCACGTGCAATCGCGCGATAACAAGTTGTCTTTAGCCACAGAGGCTAACCATATAAGCAGTAGATTGTGTCCTTCCAGAGGAGGAAATCTACTTCTAGACTTCTAGAATCAGCATCTCCTCATCCATGGTGTCATCGGGGTGAAATGACGTCTAAAAACCTTTCACTTGTTTGTCTCCGCACACATTTGCATGGTGAGAAATATGATCCGCCATTTGTGAGAGGAATTTCACGTGCAATCGTACGATAATGAGTTGTCTCTATAAAGACAGACACATAGACATATAAGCAGTAGATTGTGACGTCTAAAAACCTTTCACTTGTTCGTCTCCGCCCGTTTGCATGGTGTGAAATACGATCCTCCTGAAACACAGAGTGTTTTATTTTGAAAAGAAGCCGGATGTTTTATTTTGTGTCTGTGCCCGACTTCCTTTCCAGCACGGGTTAATCTGTGCTGAATTTATCCGCCATGCTCCAGCGTCTGGAAAAAATAGAACTCTTGTGATCAGCTGAGGAGTCCGGCGATCCGCAGAGGAACGGAAAGAAGTCGGTGTAAATTGACACGTTAACTTGAATGGTTACGATCAGCTACGATCGACAGATGCGGCCTTTTCGTAGCCGTTCCGGATGCGGTTGAAATTGGGGGTCACATGAATGTGAATTCTTCGGTTTAACATCTGTGCGCTCTAACAATAAAGCAGAAACCTGATGAGGATCTACAGTGAGAACGTTAGCGCCCCCTGTTGAAGCTCCATGTCTTTGCTCAGTCTCTCCTGAGGACTGATTGATTTGTCTGCTTTGATCAGATACATTTTCAGCTCTCAGAGATATTCTCCTGTTTTGGTCAGAACCCTCCTGGTCTGTGCAGGAGCTCCAGTCTGCTCCAGTCTGCTCCAGCGGTGAGGTGGGGGGTGTCTGCAGTCCTTCAAACCCGGCTCCGCTGAGGTGGAGGTGTTTTTTTAAGGGATTAGGCTTAATAAGATGGCAGTCTGAATTTATGGAGCTAATATTTCACGGTGGGGTGATTCATGGAGGATTGGGTGCAGCGCAGCAGCTTAATGGATGTTCAGACAGAGCTGGCTGACTGCTGCTCTGATATGATTAGCCCCGCGGGACTCCGCCTGCTTAATACTCCACTGTGAGGGTGTTTGTGAGCGTTTGTGTGCAAAGACGGGCCGCCGCAGAAATCTTGCGAGTAAACAGGACGCGCGCACAGATCCCTCCTGTGCTGGACTCATGTATGGAACATGTATTTCTATTCCGCACGGCCGCCATGACAGAAAGCAGGCGCCGGCTGTCAGCCCGCCGCTCACCTCGCATCACCTCATCTGCGGCAAACAAACTCATCAGCTGTTCGCCGATCGATACTGCTAAAAAAGACAGAGGGAGGTCTGAGAACAAGGGTGTCAAAGACTTTACATGAGTGAACACAGACAGATCTGGACTCTGATGATCCCCATACCAACAGGGATGATGGTCCTGGACCTGGAGGTGGTCCTTCAAACCCTCAAAGAGGAGGTGTCCATGATTGTTCCTCTAGATTCTAGAGTCTAGAAGAACATGAGAAGTTAAACCTGAGGACTCGGACAGACCAGCAGCTCACAGTATCAGTCAGGGAGGTGAAGGAGACACACGCACACACACACAGCCATGCGGAGGACTCCTCTTCCTTCAGTTCCTTCACAGTCTGGATCTCCTGCAGGAGTAAAGGAGCAGAGAGGCGGCTGCAGTCTGATCAGATCGTCGAAGAAGCTCATCTCAAACGATGAAATATGAGAAATGAAGATCTTCGTCAGAGTCTCAGAGCTGCAGCAGAGACCAAAAGATCTCCAAATGAGGAGGTGAGAGTCCAGAGGAGGAGAGAGGAGGACGAGCTCGCCCCCTGCTGGTGCTGAGGGGGGAAACAGCTGCAGATTGGACCCTCTCAGAGGAGCGAGTGCGTCTTCACACACAGACTACGGATCACAGTTCAGAGGAGCACGCCTCTGCAGTAAATACAGCTCTGAGTTCTTCATGTCGAACCCGATACCTCCGTCCATCTCAGTGTCCTGTCAGTGGAGCTGCTTCACTGTGAACTCCTGAAGGAGGTGTTGATGAAGTTTCTCATAGTTCCTCTCTGAAACAGATCACAGCGCCTCCTGACTCAGACCGGTTTTGTAATACCAGGCTGGTGTTTTTGTGAGGGATTGTTTTCTGGATAAATTACTCAGACGCCTGCGGAGGGAAAACAGCCTCAGGTGGAGAAACTCTGACGCTGCGTTTGGTGGAAAATGAAACTGGGAATAACTGCAGGACACATCCAGGCAGGTTTACAGGTGTGCAGCTGGTTTTTAAAGAGCCGTACTGGAGGAGTCCAGGAGGGAGAAACCGTCCTGCATAATGCATGGAGGCTCACTGTGCTCCACCACCTGCTGCGCCGCTGAGCCGCGGTTTTATGACGGCGAGGTAAACAGGAGCGAGCACATGTTTGAGTCTCTGAGCCCACACATGGCTGCCTGTGTTACCTGGAAGACTCTTATTGACCGAGACACCAGAGCAGAAAGACACCAGACGGTCTTCGACGCTACAAACAGACGCACGGGGACAGGAAGGAGGACGCAGTTCATTTTCGTGAATGTGATCTTCTGTCCTCACAGCATCATGAACTGTATTCACACGCGATCAAAACTCTGCAGAGTGAACCGGACGTTTGATTGTGAACAGACGAAAACTTCCCCCTAAAGTTTTCCTGTCGACGTCGAACAGATGGATCCTGCAGGTTCTGGAGTTCAGTCACAGTGAGATGAAAACCTCTGAACATTTTCTCTTTAATGTGAAAAAAAAATTAAAATCATTTTAAGATCCAAAAATGTCCAAAAATCAATTTAAAAAATTTAAAATATCCACTTTCATTTTGTAACCACCCGGGACGTCCTGACGTCACCACGCAGCTGGTTCCGGAACGCACGCATTTGCCAAAAGCACCAAAACAAAGAGGGAACTACAAAGATGGAGGAAAAGGAGATCCAACCAGCCCTGTCTTCGCTAAAAGCTAAAGTTTGGCGTCATTTCGCTTTTTACCGAATCCTCCGACACACTGAGCTGGACGTGATGCACACAGAGAGCAAGTATTGTAAAACTAAGATCAAGCATTTCAGCGACACAACACATGCACGGGTTCATACTAAGGACGCACCGATCCGCTTTTTTTTTACCTGAAAAAGTCAGAGGCATCAACGGTCGTCTCAGAGGAACAACCCTGTGATTACAACAGGAGCTGCTTCAGTCGATGTAATGACGGGAGATTATAGAGGCAGTAACGACGTGTTTCTGAGACATCTTCAGAGTGAGTCACAGATCACACACACCGTGTTCTGGGACAGATGATCCTCAGAGAAGACCAAACCCAGTTAGAGAGAGGACAGGGACGGAGGCCGATCAATCAAACTCTGCAGACGGCAGAGAAAAGACCAGAGGACATGTCCATCATCAGAGACAGACACACAAACGCACTGACATCACTCCCTCTGAGCAGGATGATCGACTCCAGCATGTTTTTACGGACTGGAAAATCAAAAACCCTCAGAGAGTAGCACCTTCTTTAGAGGAAACCTTCGACCCGAACAGATTCACCGAGCAGTGAGAATCCTTCAAGTCTAGATGTTCCTGTTTTTACCTCCCTCTGAGAAACCCTGGACCCAATGAGTCCTGATAACCCTCACTTCAGGTCCAAGAGGTTCTGCTGTCATGGAAATCAGCAAAACACTAATTAAAAGTCCTACTCTGTAATGTTGGTACACGCATATATGTGACGTAAAAATACACAATAACACAAACAATTATCCTTCTAGATAGTTAGCTATGAGAGAGTCAATTCTAGATTCTCTTTGTCTAGAGAGGAGAGAGATGGATGGAAAGAGGCTCCAGTACTACCTGCAGTCTATACCTGTAGCAGCTTAACCAAGACCTGGTCCAGACCTGAACCAGAACTAACTTCTTTTCATATTTAAACCAGGTTGTGATTTTAAAAAGTGAACCTGTCCGTCAGAGTCAGAAAATAAACGTGATAATAATGACGGTAGAAGACACACTGGACATCAGGGACCCTCAAATATCAATCACACAGCGTCATATCCTCCAAAAATCCCACTCAGAGCTTTAAAAAGACTCCGAACGTTCAGATCTCAGATGGATCACTCAGCTCCAGCCCTGATTCATCGATCATGAAGTCCATGATTCATCGATATACACTGACTGACTGACACAGAGGTACTGATTCATCTCAGAGGGACATGATGTTGAAGATGAGGAGGATCAAACAGCTGATCCAAAGTCACTGTTGTTGGCTCCTCCCTTTATAACAGCAGACGGAGAAATCCATCCCTGCAGGTGGCAGCTTCGAGGTCAGTGAACATTTCAGTTTGTCCTCGTTCGTCCTGTGATTACACAACCGTGATCGAACCGAGAAATAGAAAACAACAGATTCAGGTCTGTGAAGTCACCTCCACCTGTTCACACACAGGAGGAGGAGGAGGAGAGGGAGGAGAAGGAGGACTCCATCAGAGTCTGGAAGAACCAACTACAGGATAAAACAGGACCCATCAGAAGGTCCATCAGTCAGAAGGACTGGACCCGGACTGGACACGTGAGGTTCAAAACTCTCACTGTTAGAAAATGAAGCCATTACAAAAGTCCCAAAAACTGCAGTTCCTTTAGTGTCCACTAGGGGCCATCCTAAACAGTGAGTAAGTCCCCATAGAGCTCCATGTTAAAGAGACCAACTTTACAGCAGGAATAAACCCGTTTACAGCCGGGTACAGAAACGCTTCCTGCCTCTCTGGATTATTCTTCACTTTGTTCAAACTGATATGAAAAAAATATTTATCGTGATAAACTTTTTCCCATAATGCCCAGCCCTAGTTCAAACAAAACGGAGAGTTTTTCAGACATCTGAGTTTTTTAGTCGGGTTCAGAGGATCTTTCTGTTTTTACTCTCAAAGTCTAAAAAAATCAGTTAACGTGAGGACAGGAAAAAAGACATCGAACCGTTCAATCAAGAAGACGTTCATACTGAGGTATTTTAGTTTAATTAGACGTTGATTAATGAGCCGGCTCCTGGTTTGAATGTCAGCATGTTCATCTCAGACCTTTAATCGATAAAGAATCGGGTTTGTTCTGGATCATCTCAGGACATTAGAAAGCAGAAAACCTCAAATCACCGTTTCAAACGTATTCAAATGAATTCCCTTATTTCAGGTGTTCAGTTGCTAAGCAACAGTGTTCAAAAACCTGTTGACTAAAGTGATCGTGACCTCTGATGAGGAAATCTTGACCTGAGCAGCTCATTTGGAGAGCTGTGAATAAACACCTTTCTTTGATGGGAGCTGCAGTTATGTAACTGTCCTTGTTTTAAAGAGTTGGAGTATTTCCTTTTCCTCTAATCACTGTTATTATTATTACTGACTCTACTCTCCCTCCCTCTTAACTGTGAAGGTTTGTGCAGCAGTCACCTCATCTCACCCGTCTGCTCTCCCTCTCTCTCCTCAGGAGCCTCGTTTATGAAACAGGAAGTCAAAGCCTCACTGCTGCAGATTTAAGCTCCCTGTGGTCCTTCAGTCGATCCAGAACATCCATAGTTCATGATTCCACACCATTTAGAGGCGCAGCTCTCGACCATATTTGACTTGAGGTGTTGGTGATATTTCAGGCCGGCTCTTCGTCTTTGTCTGATTCTGAGGATCTGTGATAACGACCTTTAGAGACATCTGTGACTAAACTTCAACTCTGAGGTTTACTTCAAAATTCATTTTCTTCTCTCCTTGTTTGACTTTTGGAAACAATCTGAGTTTCAGGTCATCAAAACAAAAGTTTCCATAAACCAAGAGATTTGAAAAAGGACCATGCTGACATCAGAACCTCAACGTCGACCCTGAGCCAGACCTGGTGGGTCCTTTATTAACTTTGGGACTCAGCAGCAAAAGAGGTCTGCACCTCCTCCTCCTCCTGCTTCTCTCTTCTCATCTTTCCTTCTTCTGCTCTCCTCTCTCCTCTCCTCCTTGTCCTCCTGCTCCCCTCTCCTTCTCTCCCTGCTATCCTCTCCTCCCTTTGCTCCTCTCCCTGCTCTCATCTCTCCTTCTTCTTCTCCTCTCTCATCCTGCTCTCCTTTTCTCGTACTCCTCTCCTCCCTTCTGCTCCTCCTCTCCTCTCTTCTGCTCCTCCTCCTCTCCTCCTCCAGCTGCTGCTCCTCTTCCTGCCTTAAACTAAGAAGAGTTACTTACCGGTGAAGGATCTGCAGATTCATGAATCCTCATCTCCCTGCTCTCCTCTCTTCTTTCCCTCTTCTCTCCCTGCTCCTCCTCCCTCCTCCTCTTTTGTATCTTCCCTGGATGAAAAGTCACTCACCGCAGCTTTAATAACCCTTCTGCTCCTCTTCTATTCCTTCTCATCTTTCTCTCCTCTCTTCTCCTCTTCTCCTGCTCTCTCCTCCTCTTTTGTATCTCCCACAGAGGAGAAGTCACTCACTGCAGCTTTAATAACCCTCCTGCTCCTCTCCTCTCTCTTCTCCTCCTCTCCTGCTCCTCTCTTCTCCTCCTCTTTTGTATCTTCCACAGATGAGAAGTCACTCACTGCAGCTTTAAAAGCCCTCCTGCTCCTCTCTCCTCTTCCTCCTCCTCTCCTCTCCTGCTCCTCTCTTCTCCTCCTCTTTTGTATTTCTCACAGATGAGAAGTCACTCACTGCAGCTTTAATAGCCCTCCTGCTCCTCTCTCCTCTCTTCTCCTCCTCTCCTGCTCCTCTCTCCTCCTCTTTTGTATCTTCCACAGAGGAAAACTTACTCACTGCAGCTTTAATAACCCTCCTGCTCCTCTCTCCTCCTCCTTTCCTCTCCTGCTCCTCTCTCCTCCTCTTTTGTATCTTCCACAGAGGAAAACTTACTCACTGCAGCTTTAATAACCCTCCTGCTCCTCTCTCCTCCTCCTCTCCTCTCCTGCTCCTCTCTCTCCTCCTCTTTTGTATTTCTCACAGATGAAAACTTACTCACTGCAGCTTTAATAGCCCTCCTGCTCCTCTCCTCTCTTCTCCTCCTCTCATCTCCCCTCTCTCCTCCTCTTTTGTATCTTCCACAGATGAGAAGTCACTCACTGCAGCTTTAATGACCCTCCTGCTCCTCTCTCCACACTCTCTGGTGTATTTTCAGCTCCTCACAGCCTCACTCCTCTTCCTCATGAATGTGTCTCTGACGTCAGATCTTTGTCCTTCGGACACTTCTTTAATGAGAATTCGTCAAAAGCCTCTAATTTGGGCAGATTTATTCCTCCATCTGTGTGTCAGCCTGCAGAGCCGGCTGTGTGTGTGTCAGTGTGTGTGTGTGTGTGTGTGTGTGTGAGTCACTGTGAGCGTGAGTGTGTAACCGAGGAGGCTCACCCAGGTCCAGTTTAACTCTCAAGAACACAACACAGACGGACGGCAGAACCAGCCAGCAGGAGGTGTGACAGATTTAAGCACAGAGGGTCAGGGAGAAGAGTCAACGCTCAAAACCAAATACACACAAAAAAATACACACTAAAGAAAACAACATACACACTGAAAACAGGCCGACAAAACTCAACGTCAAGCTGAGAGTCCACTCGGCTTTGTTCTCAGTCCAAATCCAGTATCCCTGATGGTCTGGGGGACATCTGTGAAGGCTCCATTAATGCTGAACTAAATCTCCAGGTTTAGGAGCATCATGACTCTGTAGTTGGAGTCACGGCATGTCCGTGAACTGTCCTAAAGTCTGGTGGATCAAAGTCTAAAACTCTTTTGGAAAGGACAACTGGACTTACTTGGGACGTTTCGCCTTTTAACGTAGAACTTGAAATCATAGATGCTGCATCCTCAGTTTTAAACAATATCTCCAGGTTTATGAGGAACATCTGCGTCCATCCAGACAAAGACTTTTTCAGGAAAGACCTTCAAATGATCCCAAACCACATTCTGACAACAACACCAAGGAGACCCTGAACTGTTGAGCAGCTGAAACCCTCGATTAAACTCCAGAACCTGGTTTGGTGGGTTCACTCAGGTCTACAGAACCTGGTCTGGTGGGTTCCCTCAGGTCTACAGAGACACTTAAAAAGACAGACTCACTCTGATGTTGCGGAGTTTCTTCCTCCCTCTCTCCAGGCGGCTCAGCAGTCTCAGGTGAGGTTGTTCTCTACCTGCCGGCTGCAGCAGACGATCGTCGACTGAAACCGTCTTTCTCAGGACCGCCCGCTCGCTGCCCCACGCCGCCCCGCCTCCATCTGTCAGGGGGAGACTCTTCGCGCCTCCTCCCTGTCCACCTCCTGCTGTCCTCGCTGATACCTGAGATGAGTCAGGTGACCAGAAGTCCCGCTGCACCGAACCTGGAGGAGAGAAACCAGAGACACTGATGATACTGTACACCACACACACACACACACACACACACACACAGAGGAAAGTAAGTGTGTGACATCTGACCTGAACAGTTCTAGTCTCCGTTCTGAAGCTTGAATCCAGCGTAAACACTCTGTTAGAGCAGATTTTTAACTTTTTTAACTTTTTGTCATCAAACAAACATCTTTCGACTTTTTCTTTATTTCTCTTTCAGATTATCATTTATCATATTTTTGGAGTCCTGATGAGAAAACGATCATGTCCACATGTTCATGGATGGAACTGATAGCAGAAACAGGTCAGAGAGAAAGGAGAGAGAGAGAGAGAGACTTCCCAGCTCCTATTTAAAGTCAGATATCAAAACCTCCGTCTGCAGGTTTTTCTGCAAAGAGCCTCCAATTTACTCTACAGGTGTTCTGTTTCCATCCATTCAGAGAGAGTGTGTGTGTGTGTGTGTGTGTGTGTGTGTGTGTGTGTGTGTGTGAGTGTGTGTGAGAGTGTGTGTGTGTGTGTGTGTGTGTGAGTGTGTGTGTGTGTGTGTGTGCGTGAGCGTGTGTGTGAGAGAGAGATCAGGTGTCGGGCTGCAGGACAGCTGACTACCTGAGCTGCTGCATTAAATCTTCATGAGGTGAGAAACAGTAAAAGGATGTGTTGTTCGGTGATATCAGACAGACGCTGATCAGACCTGCAGAAGAAGAGGTCTGCGCTGAGCTGAGGGACAGGAAGGGAAGATCAGAGTTCAGTGAGGAAGAGTGGGAGAGAGAGTCAGGAGGAGGGTCGAAGGTTCGACTGGAGGAGATAAACTCTGAAAGCAACGACAGCAGAGAAAACGAATGAACATTGACGAACATTTACTGACATGATTAAACAAGAGAGCTGGTTAGGACACCCGGAGGACAGAGAGAGAACTACATGAAGGCTTTTATTTCCTTATTATTAAATGTCATATTTTTATTGATTTATTCACACAAATCTTTTTATTTTGACTTCTACTATAAATATTTTACTGACTACTTTTTTAATTCATTAAATAATTAATATTTATGTGTGATTTTTTTCTACTTGTTTATTTGTGACCAATGAACTGACATGTTTATTATTTTAATCCTGACCTTAGATTTAATTAAAAAAAATTAAACAAAGCTTCAACTCAGTGATCTGGATCAAAGTCTTTATTTATGTTGCTGAGGTTTGAAATCAGGAGAAGAAGAAGAAGAAGAAGAGGGTGAGTGAGGCTTTAATAACCAACTGAAGCTCATTAATATTCCAGCCAATCAGAAGTCAGTATAAATGATTAACTCTTATATTATTAATTTAGTTAATAATTCTGTGTTAATATCTGCTGAACAGAGTCTGAGTGTGTGTTTTTATCATCTCCAGGCCGGTGTGTGTGCAGCTGAAGAGCGCCCTCTGGTGGACTAAAGTCAAACTGAAATATTAAACTGATTTTTCTGTCTGAACACAGACGTTAAAAAACACCCGTCAGGTCGACCTCGTCAGGACAGACACCAAAGAGACATGTCAGTTTTCATGCAGACTGATCTCTCCGCTCTGCGTCTGTTTTAAATCAGAGTTTGTGTTTTTAATTCTGATGGATTTGAATCTGAATTAATTTAATTTAATCTGGTTTGAGGGTTAAATTCAGAGCTGACGGACAAACGTAGTCTAAATGTGTTTACTCTTTCTGGCACTGAGGCTATTTTAAACTCCGATCCTCAAAGATTCAGAGTGACGAGGAGGAGACCGACTTTAATCAGCAGGAAGTTAATTATCATTCTCCTGAAGGGTGGAGCTAAAAGACGGACGCACCAACACAGGAAGTGAAGCCTCGGACAGAGTAAACAAGAACAACAGAGGAGAAAGAGTCTGAGACATTCCTGACCCGACGGCACGTCCACAACATCACCGCCAACCTGAATTTAACCATCACTGACTCCTGAATTTAACCATCACTGACTCCTGTTATCACCTGAATCCCAGAGTAAAAACTGGTAAAACTAATAAAACCAGCGCAGATGTGATTCTACAGTTTCTGTTTCAGTGAAAGAGCAGAGCTGTAAAAATCAGCCCACAAACATCCTGAGACATTTCCACCTCCTTTTAAAACTCATTTTTAATGTCGGGGTAAAATGTGATTTTCAGAGTTTAAAAGAAAACGTGATTTCTTTATTAAAACTATCATAGAGACTTAAATGACGATAAGGAAAACTAGACGGAAAATTAAAAAAAGAAAAAAGGAGAGAAAGAAAACAAGAGAATGAAAATAAAAATAAAAAGACAAGGAAAGGAAAGAGAAACAGAAAAGAAAAAACAACAGAAAGGAAACAGAAGGGAAAGAAAATAAAGGAAAGTAAAAGGAAAAGATCAAAAGAAAAGAAAAAGGACAGGAAATAAAAAAACGAAAAAGAAGAATAAAAATAAAGAAAAAGGACAGAAAATAATAAAAGAAAAAGAGAAAAGAAAAAGAAGAAAAAAAGAAAAAAGAAAAGAAAAAGGACAGGAAATAATAAGAGAAAAAAGCAAAGAAAAAGAAGAATAAAAAGAACATAAAAAAGAAAAAGAAAGAAGACAGGAAATTAAAGAAAAAAGAATAAAAAGAACAAAAGAAAAGAAAAGAGAGAATAAAAATGAGAAAAGAAAAAAGGAAATGAAAGAGCTGCTAAATCTGTACTGAACACACGTGCAACAGGAACATGACAGCAGTCAGTCACATGACCTCAAACACTTCCTCATTTATCCACGATTGATCTGAAACAAAGATTTTTTCTGAATGCTGCCCCCCATCGGCTCACAGCGAAAGTGATCGTTGTGCAGCATCTGTATTTGTAGAATGTAAACATGTACACAACACTGCAGCTGACAGAGACACACAAACACACACACAGGCTGGATTCAGACAGGGGGATTTCATGGCTGTTTTCACCCTCACATAAAGAAGAAGTAGAAGAAGACGGGGGGTCTGTGTTAAACTCCACTATCTACCAGATCTGGTCTCACCTGCAGAGTTCCAGTGGAGTCCTCCTGGACTGGCAGCGAGTCGTCTCCTTTTCCTGATGCTGACCCCGCCGTGGGAGGTGGAGGAGTCCCCGACCGTCGTCTCTGCAGCAGGAGGAGCAGCAGGGGTGGAGGAGAGGATGGGGAGGAAGAGCATCTCCTCTGATGACCTGCAGCAGAGAAACCAACAGAGAGAGAAGGTCATGATCTTCAGAAGACCATGTCACATAAAGACTGTTCATGGAGCCTCCTCTAAGAGAGTAAAAACACGTCCAGCTGCTGCGTCCTCCTGATACCTGATCTCTGAAACCTCATAGCTGCAGCTCCACCAGGAGGACCTCCAAACCCGACCACTTCTCGGCTTTTTCCTCCTGAAAACAAAGTCCAGCAGCTGAGCCCGGCTCAACATGTGTGACCAGCGCACTTCAACAGATCAAGTTGGGTTTTAAAAATCCAAATCCTCAGCGTTTGAAAGGAGTAAACTAGGAGAAGAGGTCCACGGCAGGAAGAGTTCCTCTCAGGTGTTCAGCAGAGGTGTTAGCTTACCCCACTCTGTACCTGAGTGTACCTGGACTCAACAGTATCAGAGTTTATCCGTCTGATCAGTCAGAGCCTTTGTGTCAGGAGAAAGGAAACCTCCAGCTAAAGTAGGAGATCAAATGTCCATACCAGTCAGATGCTTAAATCATCTGAGGTTTGAAAGCTTCTGTGAGGCGTTTCAGCAGGTAATGAAAATTATACTGACACCTCTGTACGAGACAGAGAGGGACACCAGGAGACCTTCTCTGCAGTGGAAGAGTCCTGCTGATAAACTATCAAACATTGTTATAAAGTTTGGACGCAGCAGAAACAAAAACTGACTTTGTTTTGAGTGTTTTATGATTCATTTCTGCTCATTTTAAATGTGATTTGAAGGAACCTCCAGGTTTACAGTCTGGTGAAAATATGACTTGACCCCAAAAGAATTCTAACAAAAGTTTTCTCAGCTGTTTTTTTTATCTTCCTTAATAACAAACTCAAAGTTTACAAAAGTTTGACCACCAGAAAGGCGTCATTTTCTACTGGTTCATGGATGGGACAGATCTACCCAGCAGACCAGTTTCTGGAGTCTGGAGAGTGAAATCTTGACCTTTAACAGTTCCAGGTCTCCTTTGTCCTCTTTTTAAGTCATGATGCTCCAAATGTCAAAGATGGAGCCGCAGTCTTTCAGTCTTCCACTTCTTCTAAAAGCAGCTTCAAACTTTCCTCCACTCTCGTCTTGTAATTACCTACAATCAGTCCAAACTAATCTGCTCCTTTATGTTCCCGGTGCCTCCACCTACAGAGCCCCTGCAGCTATTCAACAAACACTCCTAATGACCACACTTCCTCACACCAGCAACGCAATTCCCAAATCTATAAACGCCCATGTTTCCTCTCAGACTCCCTGCAGCCTTTACGCTTATCTCTCCCCACATAGCCGCCATCACCATGGAGCCACACAAATACTTTATGAGCTGCAGCAACTGGGGAACAATGAGGAAGAGGAGGAGAAGTAGGAGGAGAAGACTCTGAAGTGACCACAGTTTGCACTTTTTAGAGGGACAGTGCAGCAGAACTTTAAACATCATTTAAAAAGGACACATGGGGTCTATCAGACTGAAAATGTTTGCATGTATAAATACAGATTAAAACCCCCCCCTGTCATCTTTAAACACCTGAAGTTGACCTTCAAAGTCCACCACCACAAACCCACCTGTGAGTCCTGCTCTCTCCCGGCTCGCTGCATGTGGAGTGTCGGGGGTTGGAGGCCGGAGACGAGGAGGAGGATGCTGGTGCTGAGTTGCAGGAGTGGTTGGATGCATGTGAGGAAGAGGAGTTGGTGGAGGTAGAGCAGGAGGTGAGGATGGAGTCCAGGTCTCTGGACAGCAGCAGAGAGGATGGCATACAAAGCCATGTCTCCAAGTCCGAGTACTTGGAGTAGCTCAGCATCTCCAGGACGCTGCAGGAGGACAGACAGCTGAGTCAAGTTTGACTTCACTGTGTTTGTAACTTTGAGTTCAGGATACTCAAAGTGAGATCAAGTATAAAAACTACTGAAAAGTTTCAAAGTGTGAGCGCAGAGTTTGAGTCAGGTACCTCTCCTCTCCCACTCCTGGGATGTCATCCTTCTCATCTGCAGGTTGGAAGATGCAGGAGGTCCTGGAGTCTCTCGTTGACAGCACAACACAGGAGTTATCTGAATCCAGGGACATTTTCAGCCATATCTGCAAGGAGACAAGGAGAGGACTTCAATCAGAGAACGGTCTGAGCTCTTAACACAGGCCTTAGATACTGTACAGAACTTTCTTCAGGTGGACATAAGACACAATAGAGATGGTAAAAACACAACAAGAGACAAAAATTACTATGGGAGAGATTTCTGAGGGAGTCTCTTCTAAAATATGAACAAAATGTTTGGTATATCAGAGTTTCCTTTCACTGCTAACTCTCTCTAATCAAAACAGGAGAGGAGGATTTAATTAAAATTTAATTTCAATATCGACTGATACAAAAAATATTGTGATAAACTTTTTCCCATATCACCTACTAGCTACAGTCTACCACTTTAGATGAGATTAAATCGGCTTATTAGTTGAACATGCTTCATGTATTTTTGCTGGTAGCCTGGTTTCATATTGTTCTTTATTAGCTATCTGGCAAATAACATTCTTTTTCTTTGGTTGGCTTTAGTCAACACTAATATTTAAGTCAGCTAGCTACCTGGCAATGTCACTTTATGATCAGGTGAACAGCTAAGATGACATCTTAGAAAGCAACTAACCCATCTTTTAGCTAACATTTCCCACTAGTTTTGATTAGACAGTTAGCTCATGCTAGTCGACTAGTCTCTGATTATTTTCCGCTAGCTAAGCTGTTTTTTTTTTTTTTATTTGGGTGATTTTTAGACAGCGTTTAAGAATTTTACGGCAGATTTCTTTATTATTTTGGTTTAGAAAACCACCAGTGCATCTCTCAGCTTTCTCTATTACAAGCTAACGTTGACCAGAATTCTTCTTCTGTTATGAATTTAACATTTGACGTTAGCCGTCAACGTTAGCAGAGTTTTCGTGAGTCAAACAGCTTCCTAGTGTTGAAGTAAACATTTTAGTGTCTGTTTTAATTGGGTTCAATGTATCTTTTTTTAATTAAACTGGCATTCAGACCTTATCTTTTACTTTGGCGAAAGTAACTAACCTATCTTTTAGCTAACATTTCCCGCTCTTTTCTTCTTCGTCTTTTATTATCGTGAACTCACAGCAGCGTTATTTTTGTCATCTAGGATACCACCATGATTAAAAGTCGACATTAAGTCTGTGTAGATTCTCATTCATTTCCACAAACTAGTCCCTATTATCCGTCTCATCTCTCTCAGACTCTTCTTTTCTGGATATCGTGGATCGATATCTCTTATACAGACATTTACAGGTCGGTTTTCCCCCTCGGACCCTCGGACAGCACTCAGCAGTGATGGTGTTAATGTGCGACCACACGTGGTTAATGTTTTGGATGGTCTGTCATTAAATCGGGAACACCCGGAGAGAGCCCTGAAGGCGACACGGCAGTAAATCACAAACTCGGACTAAAGTTAGAGCTCAGAGTTAATGTCAGTAAACTTTAAAGCTCCTTTAAACTCTTATTTTCACTCTTCTTCTGCTTTAAATCAGCCGTTTCGTTTTCCAGTCAGCTGTCCTTCACTTCCACTCCTGACTGCAGGAATTCCTCCGTTTCTACCAGCTCTGCACATTTTTAACACCAACCACAGAAACTACCGAGACAAGCCGCGGGCTCTTACCGTCTCTGGGTCCCTTTTCCTCCGCAGAAACAATGTCCTCTCTTCTTCTTTTCCCACTGCACGAACATCTGCTCACTCCGGGATCCCGCCTGGTAACGTGTCTTTGTCCTGCCCCGTGTAAAACATCCCAAAATACAGCGAGCCAGGCCGGGAGAAGCTCAGATTTCACTGTGGTTAAACTCACCGCACAGACGCCCAGGCAGGCAGGCCCACATCTGGACGAGGCCGCGTCCCAATACTCTTCTGACTCACACTCAGCGGCACACAATTAAGTGGAGGAGGGAAGGAGAGGGTCCGAGACATAGATATTTATAAACACACTAGATGGCTTACTCACGCTGTTAGCCAATGAAGACCTACGTTCGCTCATGGCAGCCATTTTGCTACGGGACGCTCGCCCACTCCTAACATTATAGTCTATGGTTCATGTAGCATTTCAATAATCATAGATTGATTCATTTTAAACCACTTCTTGAACAGTTTGGTTTGTAACAAATCTCTGAGTTTTAGTCATAGACATTTTACACATAGACAACTCATTATGTGCTGGAGCGTACGCCGGCATACTAGATGGGTCTCCCCACTCCAGGTTCGCTCAAGAGCCAAACGGGGTCAATGGAGAACGAGCAGCTATTTTTTTTTTTTTTTTTTTTGCTCTCTATGGTTGAAAAACCCAACACAGTATTGAAAGCAGATCATGTAGGAATATATTTCACAAATTGTCTCAAACAGCGTATCTGCCGGGTTAGCGAAGCAATCTTCGTACACCTATAGGCCGTATCAAGTGTCAATCATAGAAAACATGAACGCCCGAATAACTTTTAAAAATGGAGCTGTACAGTAAAAAAGAGGACTTGAGCACAAAATGAAAATGGTCAAAATCATTCCTCTTCTCAAACGGTCGTCCCAACTTTCCATCCTTTGAGCCATTTTTGTCAATGAATGTGGAAATACTACTACTATTTTAACATTAGAAATATTACCGCCATTTTAACGTTTTGCGGGTGTGACGTAGCTGCGTCCTCACTGACTGCGGGCGGCGCATGAAGCCTTACGCACACACATACACACACCTAAATACGCGCCAAACACATTTCCCTCCCCTCCTCCAGCGTCGCTAATTTCCCACTAAACAGCTCGACTTTTCCTTCTCCCTTCTCTGTTGGATAGAGTAACCAAGTTTGCACACTTGGAGCTCTATCAGTTAACTTTAACATAAATTCATTCACTCCTCCACTTACTTACCGGGTGTCCATTCACGCCATCGTGCCGGGTCAGGTTTCCAAATAAGGAAACAGAGCGTGTGATTTCCGGGTGTGATATAGGTGGTATGGAGGGTCAAAGTGGTCACATGATGCTAGAAAAATAAATGTCCTTGTTGTTTGCCTTGAATCCCTAAAAAATTAATGAGCCATGTATTTGTGTAGAAACTTACAGAAAAAGGTCTGGAGGTTAAAAATGGTGAAAATGGTTTTAATGTGAATGAATATGTTTTTTTCTGAACTTATGTAATAAATAACGCCCACTGGGAGGGGCTAAGAGGGTTAAAGAAGGCTGCCTGAGTCTGTCTTTGAGTTCTGGAGTTTGTTGTATGGAAGGTTAATAATGCCAAACTGACTTTTGTAGTGCTGCTGTGTTTCTGTTTTTTTGTTCTCTTAAGTTATAGTGGAAATTCTGCCTTGTTGCCATTTTCTTTTTTGCCTTGTACATTTTGTAAATAGTATTTGACCATTTTTTTTGCACAAATAAATCCTTTCACCATCACATGTTTTCCGCTACGCCTGTGTTTTTCCACGATACTGCATTTTTATTTCTGACACTAACTCCTTCACAATAATGAAATAAATTCAGTGTAAAAAAATCAGTCCCTCGAAATATTTTTTAGTAAAAATCCAACTTAAAAAAATGTGTAACAAAAAAAAAATCAACACAAAAAAATTTTCAGTGTTAAACAGACCGACTCAACATTGTGTATGATATGTAGGTATTTATACAGATCTTTGCAATTTATATAATTAGATATTTTTTTAAAATCTCTAATTTTTAAGGAAGGGTCAGGACTAGATAAGCTCTTTGCTTCATTCTGTTTCTTCTCAAACTGTTTATGTTGACATACATATGTTGTGTAAATTTATCTTTGACATGTACAGTTGTTTGATGTACATATGTATTATTTTGTTTATAGTTTTTTGTTGTTGTTCCTAAAGTTTGAGATAAATAAAGAGGAAAGAAAGAAAGAATAGGTACTTTAGCCCGATTTAGAGCTGCTACCAAAGCCGTGAAATGATTTCTTTTAACAGTTTGAGGTTTTCTTTTGGAAATTTAATCAAATCAAAATATTTAAAGGTTTTTTAAAACATGTCATCAGCCGAGTGGGAGGACAGCAGCAAATGAAGAAAAGGAGACGTCAAATCAGAAATGGAACCCTCCATCGTCAGAGATTACTGTACAATTCTCAGTTGGTCTCTGTTGTTGGTGATAAAAACTTTCTTCATGTTTGAACAGAGAGATAACTACAGACAGGATGTGGTGTGTTTATGCTGTTCAGAAGCTGCAGCTGTAATTATCTGCAGTCAGGACAAACACCCAAACCTCTGCAGGAAGAATCACTGTGAGGAGCTCAGGGCGGAGACGAGAGCTGCTGAGACGCTCCTCAGATACAGAGGAGGGTTTAAGAACCGACTGAGGCCTCATTATCAGCTCTTATTTTACCTGTAGTGACAGATACAGATCAGACAGGTGGACGTATTCACTTCAGGTTTGAAGGAGATTCATGATAAACCGACGTCAGCTCTGTGTATCTGAGAGACGTGGTCAAAAGAGCTGTAAAGAGGTTTACATGTGAGATATAATCTGTTTTATTTCACAAAAATCACAAACACACACAAACACACACACACACACACACACACACACACACACACACACACATATATATATATATATATATATAATAAGGAGAGGAGGGAGACAGAAGAGAGGTGAAGTGCTGCATCCTCGAGGAAACAATAGTTGAGTTTCTTCTGTTTTTGTTCTTTGGCACATGTTGCAGCCATGAAAGTTAATAATTATTTGTTTATGAGTTTGAACACTAAACATCTTTTCTTTATAGTGTAATCAACTGAATATAGGTTGAAAAATCATTGTATTCTGTTTTTATTTACATTTATCACAATTTCCCAACTTCAGTGGAATTGGTTTTTGTAGTTTATTAGATTGTTGCTGTTGTTCCTTTTCTCTCCAGCAGGTGTCAGTATAATCAAACAAGCCTGTGGTGTCAGAGAGTGGGACACACAGAGAAAGAGAGAGAGTGGACGTTCATTCTTCAAATTCATTACAATGAGTTTTTTTTCCTGGTAAATCAGGATTTATTCTGGTGATAATAAAACACTTTCTCTGTTTGAATGAAAGTCTGAATCCATATTTGTTTTTGTTGTTGTTGTTGCCTAGAAACAGGGTCCTAATCAACTGACCTGTTTGAATGTATGCACCCATCCTAAACAAAAAAAAACAATACAGTCTCACCACATAATATAAGTGGTTTTCAGCCCAAACCTGATCCCTGAAAAGTCCTGGAAAGTCCTGAAGTCATGGCCGAGTCAGCGTTGGAGAGGTTCTTTGATAAGTACATTGCAGATGTGAGTACAGACAGCTCCCTCTCCTGTATGAGTGTAGAAATTAGCTGGTTTGTTCATGACACTGATTTAACTCTCCAGACGCAGAGATGGATAGAAAAACAGTTTCGATTTGATTCCAGGATGTTTGGTACCAAAGCCGCCTGTCTTTAAACTCACTAAACATGTAGAGGTGTTAAAACTGATGATAAACTCGCATGAACCCTTTAGAGATTTTTTTTCAGTGGCAGGTTGATGAATGTCAAAAGCAAAACTATTACTGACATTATTCTCAAGTTTTCTTTTTTGTTTTTGTAAAGTTAAAAAAATGAAATCGAGATTTTCTTCTGCAGAACAAATCCGACGTGGAGGATGAAGAGGATGAAGAGGAGCAGAATGAAGAACTCTTCTTCAAATTACTGCCCGATGAGCTCCTCACTTATTACAAGCCAAGTTTGGACCACATCTGCAAATCACAGACGGTGAAATTAAAGCCAAAGGTCATGTGAGTCACCTCAAAACCTTCTGAACACCACGTTCATTTGTTAGCATCGCTGCAGATTTCAGTTTGAGCTCAGTGAAACACAGAGGTTTCTGGGTTTTTCAGATTCATTCTTAATCTTTAAAACCACCTTCATCAGACTTTATACACGAGGTTTTGAGAGCCCAGACATCTCAGAGTGATTCATTTTATCTCAGAAATTCAACCACAAACGTGCAAAGCTCTGAAGAGGGTTAAAGTCCTCCATAACTGCAGGAAATCAGGTGTTTGAGGCATGTAGAAACACTCTGTAAGTGGACACAGGCCCTGAGACATCTGTCATGGTTCTGGTGTTTGTCTGCAGGAACTTTAACACAAAAGCAAACCTGGGCTGTATGCTGGACCTGCACTACATCGCTTCCCATGGACGTAACGTTGATCTCGGCAGGGTAAGACCACCAGAACCTGACCCGACACGGGTTTGACCTCAGGAGATCACACTGATTCAGACTAAAGACGTGCTTCAGTACATGTGGACCTCCTCACAATCTCCGCTTCATGTTGTTTCATTTCATTTCAGAAGTCCGACCGGGTTCATATGAGGATCCGAAACCCGAGGTGTACAGGCATAATCTTTAAAGCAGGGACTCTGCTCTGTTTGGGAGCTAAAAGGTCTGTCAGGGTTCGTTTGTGAGATTGTGTGAAGTTCTGAGGTGGTTCTAACTCTCTGATCCTGTTTGTGCAGCAAAGATCAGTCCAGGATCGCGGCGAGAAGGTTTGCCCGCATCGTGCAGAAGCTGGGCTTCCCTGTTCGCTTTCTGGACTTTAAGATCTGCGGTATAATAGCCATATGTCGAACCTCCCCGATCCGTTTGGACCAGTTGGCCAACTTTATTCACAGCAGGTCAGGAGACTCAGAGACTCGGTTTTTAACCTGAATAACTAAAACTCAGGGTGAAGAAGAACTTATTCTACTGATCTGAGGTTCTCTGGGGACTCAAACTCCATCAAAAACAGAAACTTTTAACCCTCAGGGGCCATTTTTGGTGACTTTTTATTCGTTGATCATTTTGGCTTTGTTAATGCAAATAAGATAAATACCATAGGCTGCCATAAAAAAAGGAAAACCCTGCCCAGCATTCAATATTGTGAAAAAATAACTCCAAATTTCTTTTTTGTCCATTAAAAATAACAGTGACGCCATACAGTCAAACTGGCATTTAACTCAACTCAACTTTATTTGTTAAGCACTTTAAAACAACCACAGCTGTACAAAGTGCTGTACATAACTAGACAAAACAACAAGATAAAAAACAATCAAAAAAAACAATTTAAAACAATGGATAAAATAAAAGCAGAATTAAAAGTATAGTTTCTATGTTTTTAAAAACTAATTTAAAAACATAGAAACAAATAACTAAAAACAAACCATAAAACACTAAAACAGGAGCCGAGTCTCATGGAGGGTTAAAAGCCAATGAATAAAGGGTTACAATTCTGAAAATAAATTAATATTTGGTAGTTATGATTAGTACTGAAGTTGATTAAAAAATTTAAGCAAAAAAGTAACAAGAAATTTTAATTTTTAATATTTTTATAGCACTTTTAGGAAATGGACATTTTTGTCCATCTAAGGACCTAAGTGTGACTTTCTTAAAAATCAGACAATACATCAAACATAATCATGCATAAAAATTAATGTTGTTGTTAATGATTGGCACATCATAGACATTGATAATAATAAAAAAAGAAGATTCCTGCCCAGCATCAAATATATGAAAAATAACTTCAAATTTCTTTTTTGTTCATTAAAAATAACAGTTAAAAAAAATTAATATCTGATAAATATGATCAGGAATGAAGTTGATTAAAAGATTTAAGCAAACAAAAAAATGGTAAAAAATATGAATGTATGATATTTTTATAGCACTTTTAGGAGATGGACATTTTTGTCCATCTAAGGACCTCAGTGTGACTTTTTTTAAGGACCCCAAAGTTTTATAATCAAATCATCTTCAAGTCAAACCAAGAATCTTTGTTTCTTGTTTTCTCTCCACAGTTATGAACCCGAGCTGTCCTCCACCCTTCGCTACCAGGTCACGCCCGGCATCCGTCTGATCATCCACCGTACTGGGACGATTTATGTGCACGGTAAAATATCTGGGTTTGTTCCCAAATATTCCATTTTAGTGGTTAAGAGGTACCAAGTCCAGTCAGTACAGTCTTCAAGGTAGGTTTTTGTGGCAGTTTAAGTCCTTTAAGAGGGTCCAGGGTTCTTGAACTTCACCAAAGAGGTTCTGCAGTTTTCTCAGATAGTATCAGAGAAGGTTCGAGGGGTCTCTGCTGTTCCCTTTGCTTGGGTTAATTCATGTGTCCTTAACTCCTCTGAGCTGACTGAATCAGTTTGTTTATAATACAAGAACTTTATTGATCTACAAAAGGAAATCCATTTATTCAGACCAGCGTTGATCAGTTGAAGTTTAGTTCTCTTATTACCCTGAAATATTAATCTCTGCAGTTTTCTGTTCAATTACAGGAGCCAAAAGTGAGGCTGAACTCAACAGCGCCCTTCGAATCGCTGAATCGACCTTAAACTCGTTCAGGAGCCTCTACAAACAGGAAGTGTGCGACTAATAAACAGTTTTTTGTCTTCTAAATCAGGGTCAGCCGTCTTGATAAGTGAACAGAAAACTTTTAATTCCTACTGAAGACATTTGTTTATTCTGGATTCATCTGGAAATGAAATGAAAATAAGGTTCAGCGGAGCAGCAGCCTCAGTGATAAATAACACCAGTGCTGAGGTGCTAAATACTGCAGTTCCCCAATTGTCCACTAGAGGCTGTGTCCAAAAATCCATGAGGTCCATTAGAACTCATGTAAAATCATCCATTTGTGCAGCTGAAGTGAACATGTTTAGAGTCTCTGTTTTTTCTGATTTAAGGTTAAAAACAGAAATTTAAAAACAGACTTTAACTCTCGGTTCATACTTTGTCCGTTTTTAAGGACATTTGTCATTTTTATCATTTTTATTTTATCAGTTTTAAAGATTGGAAAATCAAATTTGCTGAGAGTTCTTATTTTTCTTCATATTAAAAAAAACCTCGGTGTCACCTGTGGTTCTCTGTCGCTGCATTTTAACTCCGCCCAACCTCCTCTGTCCTCAAATCGGCCAATAGACTTCCATTAAAAACAGTTTTTTTGAGCGTGTGTTTACGGCTCCATAACAACATATTAAACCTTTTTTCTGCTGTCAGTCGATCAGCAGGGCTCTAAATTTGACTTTCCCACAGTGAGACAACAGACTGAGCCGCACATCATTTTAAATACAGATACTGAACATAGATATTATAAACATTTTAGTATTTTTAATATCTATATTAGATATTAACCCTTAAATCGAATGTTTCCTCAGACCGTGTTTTCAGCGAGAGTGTTTTCTGTAACCTGATGACCTCTGAACTGGAGGCACTTCCTGTCCGCTCTCCTGGGTCGCGAAGTGAGGTAATCCTCCAGCTGACGTGACGAGTCTGACCGTGAATTATGGGAAACCTGGAGCTCCTCTTCCTCTGTGTGTAGTTCTTCCTCCTCGTTTCCATCTTCACCTGTACGCCCTCCTCCTTCACCTTAATTACCTGTCGTTACTTCACTTCACTGAGTTTGTCAGGATTAAAATGACCGTCAGTTACCTTTCCTTCAGCACCTGTGACCCGGCCTCGGTTGTTTTGTAAATGTTGACTTCCGTCCGTCTCGGTGTCTCTTCTTTCTCTCTGTAACAGCATCCTCTGTTTCCTCTGGTCCTTAAATAACCAGCGATCATCACGCTGACAGTCACACATCCTGTATTCCTCTGTCACATCCTCTCTGCTGTCTTCACTTTCTCCTACTTCAGGCTTCACTGGATACTTTGATTTTATTACTTTAATGTTTATTATGATGGAAAAAAAAACATCATTCTGATGCTGTTAAAGCAGAAAAAGTTTCAAAGCCGGACGTTTTGTCCAATGTGACTCCGCACTTTTAAAGTTTCTGGGCCGCGTGAAACGACGAAAATGCAAAGTCAACTTTTCCACTTCGCTCCGATCCTAAAATAAGCGCCTGTCGGATTAGGAAGCGGCGAGCGCACCTGTATTGAGAGGAAGGAAAAGCACAAACACACTGATGTGCTGGGTTAGCTGCTAGCTGCTCACATCTCTATATTCACAGGCTGAAACCATCTGCTGCAAAGAGGAAACAGGGGAGGAGGTCTCCAGAGACCAGGATCCAAAACAAATAACTCACATCATCTCCAACCCAGAAACAGATCCGGGAAGGAAGTGATTTACAGCTTCCACGGGAGGGAAGGAAAATCCATCAGTGCAATCATTAAACATCTCATTTTAGTCCGATTACTTTGTAGAGACACTTTTTAAACAATCAGAACACATCCTGAGGGGAAACGATCGGACCTGGACTCAAAGAGCCGCTCCGAGGACATCATCTCAAACCCAGGAGCTGCTGTTCTCCTGAGACACATATTAAAAATGAGAAGATGTTTCTCTCAGGCCCTGCTGTGCTGACCCCTCGATCCGGATCAAAGAATCCATCGGGGGCCCCACTGACCCCCAACAGAACCATCTGAAGAGCAAAGTCTGGTCTGAGCCTGAAAACAAGGCCAGATGTGCCCAGCTGGACTCTGCAGACGCTGCAGGAGGTCAGATTTGTATCACGTTAAAACACATAAATCAAACCCTGACACGTCTGCGCTCAGACTGTTAGTCCAACATGTTCTGACAGGACCAGAACCTCTCTGAGAAGTGAGTTGGACTCTGCTCTGAAACAAATAGCTGAATATTATTAAACAGCATCAGAACATGAGATGTTTCCCGTATGAAAACACATACCATAACATAAGCATGTCCAGATTTCACATGCAGAAACACTTACAGATATCAGGGAGTTTTACATGCAACATTCTTGTTATTCGATCCTAAAGGGACAGAAAATTAATGTAACTCTTCGACTATAAAACTGAGACACGCAGGTCTGCAGAGGGTCTCCTCAAACGGGGTTTAGATCAGCCTGATCTGGGAGATACAGGGACCCCCTGGCTTTGTGTCAGAGTGAATGACAAGAACAGATCTGGGAGCATGTTTGAGTTTTTTATTAGTACCCTAAACTGTACCTTTGAAACCTTTGAATTACATGAAAATCATAAAAAAAAAAAAAAAAACACAGTTTATCATGTTTCTGCTGCGAATGTCAGCCAGAATGACACCTCTGTGTGCTGTTAACAATAAAACTGAGACTTACAGCTACAAATGACCAGTTGGTTGAAGTGTATCCTCTCTGTAACTCCCTATTTACAGTAAAACTGAGACTCATGAGAAACTGAGGAAAATTGGTGCCTCTACAGTGAAACTGAGACTCACAAGAAACTGAAACAGTGAGGAAGAATGGTGCCTCTACAGTGAAGCTGAGACTCACAAGAAACTGAAACAGTGAGGAAGAGTGGTGCCTTTACAGTGAAGCTAAGACTCATGAGAAAATGAGGAAGAGTGTTGCATACAAGGTGAAACTGAGACTCATGAGAAACTAAAACAGTAAGGAAGAGTAGTGCCTCTACAGTGAAAGAGAGACTGAAACAGTAAGCAAGAGTGGTGCCTCTACAGTAAAACTGAGACTAATGAGAAATTGAAGAAGATTGGTGCCTCTACAGTGAAGCCAAGACTCATGAGAAACTGAGGAAGAGTGTTGCATCCACGGTGAAACTGAGACTCATGAAAAACTGAAACAGTGAGGAAGAGTGGTGCTTTACAGTGAAGCTGAGACTCATGAGAAACTGAGGTACAGTTGTGCCTCTACAGTGAAACTGAGACTGTATCTGTTCACGCTGCAGCTCAACATTCTCAGGTGTTTAGTATGAAAATCTTCATCCGATTTCTCTCCTCGTTTTCTACACTAGGACACTGAGACAAAAGGAAATGAGTTCTCATCTCATCTCAGTCAATTCTCATAGAGGGTCTGGTCCGATCCCTCAGAGTCTCAGAAAAGAGGGCGGGTCCATAATAATCCCCCTCTGCTCTGAGACCACCGAGGATGTGAGAGCTGAGTAGTTTGAAGGCTTCAGAGGACACCCGGGATCTGGATGATAAATAAACCTCAGCTGTTTCTCTCAGCTGATTCCTACCAGATGTTTGAGCCTGCAGGTCTGAAGGGCGGAGGCTTCCCCGGGGGGGCTGCAAAGGATTCTGGGAGAGAAACCCTGACCCAGGCAGTTTCCACCAGAAGAAAAAGTTCCAGTTTTTCTGTTTTGTTGCTGAATTTTGATCATTTTAAATCATTTATCAGAGCTGCTCAGATTAAAGTATTACGTGTTTAAACTCTGACTGAGCCGTCGACCTTCTGCCTGAGCATCGACAGTAAAACTGAGACTAGAGATTAAAACAAAGGATTATACACAGGCTGACTCTCAGCTTCACTGTAAACAGGAAACACACACAGAGGATCCACTCTCTTACAATTTAACTCAAAGTTCAGCCAGTCGGATTTTCAGACTAAAGGTTAGGATTAGGATTAGGATTAGGGTTAGTGGAAGGGTTAGGATTAAGGTAAGGGTTAGGGTTAGGGTTAGGACAAGAATTAGGGTTAGGAGTAGGGTTGGAATTACTGTCAGGGTTGGGGTTGAGGTTAGGATTAGGATTAAGACTAGGGTTAGGATTAGGATAAGGGTTAGGGCAAGTGTTGGGATTAGTGTTAGGATTAGGATTAGGGTTAGTGTTATGATTAGGGTAACGGTTAGGATTAGGGCTAGGATTAGATTTAGGATGAGGGTAAGGGTTAGGATGAAAATTAGGACTAGGATGAGGATTAGGATTAGAGTTAGGATTAGGGTAGGGGTTAGGAATAGGATTAGTACTAGGATGAGGATCAGGATTAGCGCTATGATTATGGTTAGGATTGGGGTTAGGATTAGGATAGGATTAGGATTAGGGTTGAGCTTTCTCAGGGCTGTGAACCTGGTGGGTCTCAGCTTCACTTTGTTCCATGCTGGTTTTTCCTCACAAGTGACATTAAGAGATTTAAGATGAGGTTATCTGGCGTTTGTTTGTGACTTTAAACAAAGAAACGGTGAAATAATCTTAATCTAAGAAGGAAAATGAGTCCAGAGCTGAAGAAAACCTCCTTCATGATGTCTTCATGTCTGCTCAGGACTTCCATAACTGTGTTTCCTCCTTCTTTAACAGCTTTTCTCATTTTGTTGGAGAGTTTCTGCTTCAGTTCAGAGTAAAAACGAGGTTTATTTGTGTGTCAGTGGAGGTTTTCCAGAGCCAGAGCAGCAGCCGAGGGCAGGAAAGAGTTAAAAGTTTTCTCTCTCCTCCAGCAGGAGGTGGTATGGAGGGGGGGAGGAGAGGAGGGGAGGTGTGGAGGAGGGCAGTCCCCCTGTTTTTTTCTATTGATAGCCATATTCCCCCATTTATTCCTTCAGTCTGAGCGATGCAGAGAGACGAGCTGCAGAGGAACTGAAAACACGGAGATATCCGAGCGTTTGAGTGAAAAAGAGAAGAAGAGTCTGTGGGAATGAAGAGCTGATCATCTTCTCTGTGAGTCTTTTTATTCTCATTTTTACCCAAGACAGAAAAAAACCTGCAGAGATAACAGATTTACTCCAACATTCACCTCATACCTGTCTGAGAGGGAAAGGTGAGCAGACGTTACTGCAAACTTTAGTAAATCTGTGCAGAAATGAAGCAGCTCCTCTCTCTGATTTTATCTCTCAGCTCAGTCTGAGACATCTTGTTCTCCATATTCAGGTCGATTTACAGTTTTGAATGAAGAGGTTTGAGGAGAAAAGTGAGAGCATGACTGTTTCTGCGACCTAAATCCTGTTTTTTTCCTATAACTGCAGAAAATGATTCACCTCAGATACAGATTTTACAGACTGTGAGATTAAAATCTGTCAGTGGATTCAGATCTTTGCTCAAACTGTGTCTGAGTTTGTGAATCTGCAGCAAAGATGTGCAGATTAAAAAAGGGACGATCATGAAGTTTGATTTTTAAAAGTGCACAGAGACGACGTGTATAGTGTAAATGTTGGTTTCATTGTCTGGATGTGCACATGCAGCAGTTTTAGGGTTTGAATCAGTGTCTCCGTCTCCAGCAGCTGGTTAAGAAGTTGAAGTTGACTCCTTTTATACGTCTGATTGACTAAAGTGATGTTTAATACATACATGGATCATCTCTAAACCTTCAGTCCACCATGGAGCTCTGAGGTTAAAGCCTGAAACTCATCTCTGTGTGCTCTAAATCATTTGGATGTCTTCTTTGGAAATTGCTGAAAGCTGCAGTCTTCGCTCTCTGACCTGTTTTTCATTTGCATGTTAAAATGAGAAAAGAGTTTTGGGTTCTTTGCTGCTGAATCACAGAGGATTTGAAGTGTTTTTAAAGCAGATTGAAGGTTTTGGAGGAAGATGAAGCTGACTGATGACTTTCTAGTCCAGGATGTAATTTGTGTTTTTAATCGTCATGAACTGTTTGTCTGTAACTTTGTAAAAACGTACCTCTGAAAGTCTTGGCCAGGAAAGTATAAATGGGTCAGATATTATTCCCTTAAAAAAAGTTGTATTTGATGAGAATGAAGTAGAAATATCAGTCCGTGAGAGGAAATATCAGAGAGCGTCTTTCTGGAAGCAGCTTTATTGCTTAAATTTCATTCATTTGATCATTTATAAAGATCAATTTACGACTTTTAATCCCGGGAATTTACAAACTGATAGTCTTGTCAAATATTTTCTTATATTTTACAGCTTGATGACTTTTTCTTCAATGACGTGTTATCATCCCGACTTTATTCATGTTATTATTCAGTCCTGTTTTTTTGAGATCCTAACCCCCAGTTTCCACCTTCATCCTGATCGTCTCCTAAAAGGTCGTATCCTCCGATCGTAGCTGATCGTAACCCTTCAAGTTAACGTGTCAATTTACACCGACTTCTTTCCGTTCCTCTGCGGATCGCCGGACTCCTCAGCTGATCACAAGAGTTCTATTTTTTCTGGACGCCGGAGCATGGCGGATAAATTCAGCACAGATTAACCCGTGCTGGAAAGGAAGTCGGGCACAGACACAAAATAAAACATCCGGCTTCTTTTCAAAGTAGATTTCCTCCTCTGGAAGGACACAATCTACTGCTTATATGTCTATGTGGCGTCTTTTTAGAGACAACTCGTTAACGCACGATTGAACGTGAATCTGCGGATTCTTGTGAGTTCTCGCGATTCCCACTGTCCGTAATTCGCCGCAAAATTTGCCTCACAAACGGATGTGGTAGGACTTGGGGGACGGTGAAAACCACCGCTGTTCCGGATCGAAGCCGTTATGGATGCAGTGATAATTGGGGGTAACCCTTCATCAGACTTTTCAACTTTATTAAAATAGTGCTGTCAGTTTTTTTTAACCTCCTAAATTTGATCAAATATCAGATTAAACTCTTGCCTCTGCAGACAGTTTACTCTAACGATCTTTCTGTTTTCGATTCTCTGTTTTTAGCCATCTGCTCTCTGATTGGCTGACATCATTGCCAACATGGCGCACCTCTTCCTCGCCAGTAAGATCATCACACCGGATGACCTCCACGGCAAAGGCGGGCCCAAGACGCCCAAAAACGCCGCCAGGATGCCGCCAACACTTTCATCTGAGAAAACAAGCCAAGAGAAGAGCGGGAAGGATGGCGTCATCGTGACAACACACGTCCCCCACATCAATGAGGTCCAGCTGACGGCGGCGACCGGCGGTGCAGAGATGTCCTGCTATCGCTGCACCGTGCCGTTTGGCGTGGTGGTCCTCATCGCCGGCATCGTGGTCACAGGAGTGGCGTACACCTTCAACTCTCACGGGTCAACCATCTCTGTGCTGGGACTGGTGCTGCTGTCTGCTGGACTGGGCCTGCTGGGGTCCAGCGCCCTCTGCTGGAGGGTCAGACTGAGGAAGAAGAGGGACAAACGGAGGGAGAGTCAGACCGCCCTCATGGCCAGTCAGGGGTACTGCATCGCCTGAATGTGGAGGAGTGGAGTCTAAGTTCTCTATGTCTATGTTGACGGTTCAGATGAACGACTCTGAGAACCTAAAAGGATGTAAACACTCAGGAGAGACGGAGGATCTTCTTCAACAACAACAGACTGTGATTGGTCAGAGTGAAGGAGGAGAGTTCAGACTCATGGTGGACCAATCAGGACCAGAACATAATCAGCTGTGGAGACTCAGGACTCCTGGTGGAGAGTCTTTCATTTATCTTTAATACTAAGAAAACGACGTCCGTGATTTCTACGAAGTCTGTCTGATCCTGGGGAATCCAGTTTGACTGTAAACTGTGGAGACGTAGACTTTACTGGACAGTGGACCTGGACTCATTTTATGACTTAAGGAGAAACTTTTCAGGCACAAGCTTCTGTTTCCAAGAGGAAGGTCTAATGTTGGGTCACCAGTTTGGACAAGTTCTTAAATCACGTCCCCGTTTACTGAAACTTCAGGACTTTACATTCCTCACTCACTGCCCAGTTCTCTATTCTGTCAGCTGTCCCGTCCTCACATGGTCTCCTCTTTCCTGGTTCAGTTTAAACCTCATTAGTGGATAAATCGGTGAACTGTGTTCACAGACGTGGTTTCTGAGGTGATTCTGAGTCATAGACTGTATATAGAACGGACGCCGTCCGCCTCCTCGCTGGGTGATGCCACGCCGAGAACAGCACCCCGGTTGTGATGTTGACATGTAGTTACTGTCAGACTGGTTTGTGCTCAAGTCCTCTTTTTTCTGGACAGTTATTAGGGGGTTCATGTTTTCTATGATTGAAACCTGATACAGCCTATGGGCGTACGAAGATGGCGTAGCTCATGTCATCACAGCGACTCTCGGCAACTCTCCCGCCAAATGCGAACAACGATACTGCGCAATGTTGGTTTCAGGAAATAAAGAAAGATCGCAGAAATACCAAGAACTTTTCGGCTTCAAATCCATATTCTGGCGGAACCAAGTTGTCCATTATATATACAGTCTATGTTCTGAGTCCATGCGGTAATTTCCACTCTAGAGTCTGTTTTTGATGCCCTGAACGTCAGGACCTTCCAGTCTTGGTTTTGGTCCTTGTCTCTTCAGTACAGAGATTTCTGCCGGTCCCTTAAACCCAAATCATGTGACTCACCTGTTGGACACTGACGGTTTGTTTTTGCACTATTTTCAATTCAACAGAGACAGTTAGTGAACATAGTGAACATTCAACACAGAGTCCAAACTGGAATGGTTCTGCCAATAATGACACCTAAAGATGATGAGCCCCATCAGACGACCATTGTCTGGATCTATTAACCCCGCCCCCCATATAAGAGTCTGTAAAAAGTTACTGGAGCTCTTTGAAGCTCGGTCATGGTGTACAGTCGTTCTTTGTAAATGCTGCTAATAAGCTCAAAGATGTTTAACACGGTACTTAGATGATTTCTGATGAAGCCCGTCGGTGATCTCAGCTCTCTGAACGTCACTCTGGGATTGATCCTGTCAGATCAGGTTTAAGACTCTCCTGGATTTGGCTTCATTTCTAATCCCTGACAGTTTCGTCCAATCGCAGAGTCAGTGTCTGAGTGCTGAGCTCACATTCGTGGGTCAATCTCTGATATGCATGCCACTTTGTCTGTTGAAACTCCTGCACTACGATCCAAAGTGAGTGAAATATCTAAACAATCATGTATCCTGTATTAAAGAGCTCACATGTTGCTGTTTCACGGAGGGTCACTTTGACTCTGTCTCACCTTCTTCACTCTTATTTATTCTTTTCTTTCTCTAAAACTCAAAATAAATCTCCAAACCCGAAGCTGAGCGTCTCTTTTTGACTTTCTCTCCAAAGATTCAGTTTCAGGGGAGGTTAAGGAGAGGCTGGGGGGTCAGGGGAGTCCGGCTGTTATATTTAGGTGTGTTTATGTTGCCTAGCATCCTGCAGACACATGACCAGATAATAAACCTGCAGGAGGAGGCGGGTGCGTCACTCAGAGGAGCGGGAGTCGGTGCTGATGGGTAACGTTTACAACGCGTTGTCACTTCTGCAGTGCTAACTTTATCTACAGCGGAGCGCAGCATCCTGGGAATGTGTGTGTGTGCGGGGCGAGAGACATTCACAGACAGTGGAAAGAGAGAGAGAGAGAGAGAGAGTTGCATCACCTCTGAGGATCCTCAGTCTCGTTCCTGCAGACGCTCGGAGGAGTTCAGATCCTCTCTGAGCGTGACGGAGAGGCGGGATGAAAATAGTCGCAGTGAAGTGGAAAAGTGACGGAAAGTGACCCCCCACAGACCATCAGAGTCTCATAACCAAGTCCAGGACTCGGATGAAGTCATGAGACCTGAATTTCAGGGGTCAAGTATAAATTACTCCACCAAAGAATGAGAGGACTGGGTTTTATCGGCATGTTTGAGTCGCTCTGTTAGAACTGAATCAGTTTTTCATGGTCTGTTGACTCGCACTAACATGTCCTTCGACGTTGTTTCAACACTGGGTCCAAAATGAAGACAAAACACATGAGCTTCTATTCTAGTGCTGGTCTGAGCTCTTTAACTCTCAGCCTCTCCTGCAAAGATCTCCGGTGAACCGACATCATTTTAGCCACTTCTCTTTGCAGTTTGGTAACTGCTTTCTCCATGACTCCCACTAAGATGATCTTATCAGGCTCAACAATTCAACTCTGGTACAATCTGACATGTTAGCATGTCGCTAATCGACAGTATTGGACTGGTTGACTGTTTGTGTGAGGTTGATATCAAAGGTCACTCCAGGTTTCCGGTAGTCTGTTATTGTCATGTTTTCCTGTTTGTAGGATCTGTGAGGTATGAAATGGTAGATATATCTGCGTATCGTCAGCATAGCAGTGAAATTAAATATCATGTCTATGTGTAGCTTGGTGAAGAGGTAGCACCTACAGTGAAGATAACAAAGGTCCCAGTATTGTCCCTCGAGGAACTCCACAAACGTGATCACCAATCAGCATAAAAACCCTGATCTAGACTTTAAACTTCCTTGAGTGATGGTCGGAGAGGGTGGGGAAGGGCGAACAAAGACTGTAGACTGTGAAAAAAAGAGTTTAAACACTGGAGACAGGGCCTGAGTCCACATTACCCGGGATTTCCACTGCATCTGGAACGGCAATGATTCTTGCCGTACTCCAATTCCAACCGGATCCGAGGCGAATTTCGTGGCAGATCCTGGCGACTTCCTTTCCAGCACGGGTTAATCTGTGCTGAATTCATCCGGCATGCTGCGACGTCCGGAAAAAATAGAACTCTTGTGATCAGCTAAGGAGTCCGGCAATCCGCAGAGGAACGGAAAGAAGTCAGTGGAAATTGACACGTTAACTTTTAGTAGCTGTTCCGGATGCGGTGGAAATTGGGGATTAGGATCCCGCTCACAATGTTGGATATTATATAAGGCCCGTTACTGAACATCTGACCCTCCATCAATCATGTTCACACAGAAATAACTAACATGCTCATTTCAAACTAAACTGGGATTCCTCCCCAAACTACCGAAGTTTCACTCGTGGTTATGGAGGTCAGAGAAGGGGCTCCTCAGGATTCCCAAGTTTAGGTGGTCCGTCTTCCAGCTCAGATCGTACATTATAAACAGGAAGGACATTCTGGGTCATTTGTCAGTCAAAGACAGAAAGTCCTGTGGGATAAATGTGTCTCAGTCTGGATCAATACTCCTGATTTTGTGGAGCGGCAGCATTGTGAGCTCGTGTTTCTGAGCAGAATGAATGATTCTTTGTGTTTCTGAATCTGCGGAGAGTTCAGAGGGGAAATCCCGACCCTCCCTTCCCTTCCTGTAACACACTGACCAGCTGAGTGACCAGAAGGCCAACACAGTGGCAGTGTCACCCCTCCTCCCCCTCCAACACACCCCTGACTCTCAGCCAGAGACAGCCTGGCACGCAATGAGACGGGGGAGTCGGCGGGATTAAAGGGACCGGCCGGAGAACAGGAAGGAGTTTTCTGTTCTGTCACACCCTTTACCAAAACCCTGGGATAATTCCCTCCTGCAGGGTGGGACGCTGAGAGCCTGGAGGTCAACACAGACACAAGAAACCTGCTCCCACACCTCCACAAACCCGGGCTGAACAGGCCTGCTCTTTATTTACCGACTGTTTTCCACTTCTCTCGCAGATACGAAGCTAAAAAGTTCAGTTTTCTCTCTCGGTTTAGTGAGAAACTTCTGCATCTGAGTAAAAAAGTCTGCGAACAGAACTCAGCAGAAATCTGTGCTCTCCATCAGCGGGGGTCCATCCTGTGTGGTCAAAGGTTGTTCTCATTAACTTCCTCTTTTCAAACAGACTCACGGTCTCCGCAGAGCAGCTCAGCGTCTCATTTCAGCCGATGTTGAAGTTTGACATTTGACAAAATATGAACCTGAACTCCTGAGACGGACGTTCGTGGATGACGGAGATTAAATCTGTGTTTTATAAACAGTCAAAGATGTTCCTGTGAGGCACACTGACCTTTCACCTGAGTACAAGTATGAGGTTTATACTCTGGTTGTTTGTCCGGGAAGAAATCTAGAAATCTCTCATCAACACGAGAAATAACTTTCAGACAGGAAACCCAAAGCTAGCTTAAGTTTGATTTGTGGGAATGATCCTGTCCTGAGAAAAAAACCACGTTTATACCGACATAAGGTGACCATACGTCCTCTTTTACCAGGACATGTCCTCTTCTTTTGGGGGATGTCCGGCTTTGTCCGGGGGAGTTTATAAAATCCTTCAAATGTCCGGGGTTTGGTACAGAAGTTTTGAGTTTGTGTAGCGTGTAAAAAACACTCGACCCGACTCCACCCCCACATAGTCATGTCCTCCTCTTGGAGATTCAGAATATGGTCACCTTACACCGACAGTTTTTACACATTTGTAGTTTTATTGTCAACATTCGTCACACAAACAGACTCAAACTCTGTGTTTGTCAACCTTCACATAAATTATTTCCTCTGGTATCAGGACGCGTTTCCACCGCGCTCCGTAGATGATCCTTTGTCCCGGCCTGTGTCTGTTTTGATCTGTAGGAAACGAACTGATGACTCATGAACGAAGGAAACTGCAGATTTTTAGAGGAACGTTTCCGCCTGGAAAGTCTTTGAAGTTCGAGAGGCGCTGAGGTAAGAACGCACGCCATGTAACAGGAAATGATGCGACCGGAGCGATAACACAAGCGCAGTTGTGGTACTTTAGATGCAGTTTATTGGAGGTAAATAAAAACCTGCACAGAGAAATGTCCCTGCAGAGTTAAGTTTCTCTGAGTTGAACTTTGACAGTTCTTGAGTTTGCAGAAAGAGTCCGTGTTTCTGTGACTCAGCCGTCAGCAGACAGACAGGCAGGAGGACGGGTAATGAGGCCGCGCGGCGCTGCTGCTGTCAGTCAGGGAGGAGGCTGAGCTCATTACAGACTCACAATGAAACCTGAATATCCTGTTTTCTGCTGCAGAACCATCCGAGCCAAAACCAGAATCTGGTGGGAGCAGCACAGACTGAACCAGCTAACAGACGTCCACGGACACTCCGGACCAGATCTGTTTCAACTCAAATACACACATTTAGGTCACATGACACTGACCAGTGAAGTCATGGAGAGAAGATGCATTAACCCTCGGTTCCTCCTCTGTCCGTTTTGAGGACATTTGTCATTGTTTTCCTCTTTATTTTGAGCTGACAGTCGCAGTTTTAAAGATTAGGTCATCAAATTTGATGTAAGTTCTTATTTTTCTCTTATATTAAAAAACAAAAAAAAACTCGGTGTCACCTGTAGATCTCTGTCGCCACATTTTAGCTCCGCCCACCCTCCTTTGTCCACAAATCGGCCAATAGACTTCCGTTAAAAACAGGTTTTTTGATTCATCCACTAAACATCATCAGAATTGAATGAAACTTTACAAACCAGTTACTTTTTTAATGATCAGAGCTGAAGTTGTTTAAGAGATTTGAGTCAAAAAAATGATTATCTTATGAACGCTAAACTGCATGTCTGTTTTGGGGACAAAGTTGGCTGGATGGAGCTTCAAATACAAAAAATTGAAACTACAAAAAGGATTTAAATTCACCAAAATTGGTTTTATGTTTCATCATTGACATGGCCCAGACGCTATCAAAAAGAAAATTCGATCTTGGTCATTTAAATGGTAAATAAGGTGATTTTGTGTTTTTTTACCATTAAAAATAGCAGTGACCTGGTGCACAAAAACTGACATAAAAAGGAAAATACATCAAATTTTTGATTCATTATTTTTTTAATGGTTCGAGGTGAAGTTGCTGAAAAGATGTGAGTCAAAAAATGAAAAAAATGATAATAAATGATTATTTTATGAACACTTATCTGCATGTCTGTCTTGGGGACAATGTAGGCTTTGTTAGTTTTAACCTGAGGGTTAAAACTAACTAGAAGGAGATCCAGGGGGAGATCTAGAGCTCCATGGATGGATCCTGTCTGCTCTGGAAACACCTCAGGAGCCTACATGAGGAGCTGGTAAACACTGCGGGGGAAACGAGGTCTCAGACTGCTGACCCTGAGGTTCAGAGAGTCCGTCAGTGAGACCCTGATGGAGTTAGAAATACAGAGACCGAAGTTGGAGGAGCAGACAGAGACTGAGAGCGTTTTAAGACAGAAGAATTACTGGATGCAGGACGTGGTTCAGGTTCTTTGTGACAGTCTGGGCGGCTCCTGTTGGCGAGAAAGATCTTGTGATAGACGCGGGTTTTCAGTCCCTGAAGGAGGCCGACCAGCAGGGCGCACAATGGCGAGGAGGCCCCGAACGACCCCATTAACCAGGGTGAGGCACTTCCCTCCAACTTTTCCTCTCACAGGTTTTCTCTCCATCCGTCTCTTTCTTCATCGGCCCGCTGACAGATTGAAAGCCTTTTGGAATAATAGGGTCGCTCCTGGTTTGTGGCGGCAGCTGTGACGGACAGGAGGGTGCGTTCAGCGGTGCCGCCTCAACGCAGGAAGTTCACATTGTGTTTCAGAAGAATGGCAGCGGCGTTTAGATGGCCATCGTGGCTCAGAGCCGGTCTTTAAGCCCCTCTGTGAAGATGGTGATAAGAAGAATGAATGCTGTTTGTCCGACTCAGAAACAATACGTGAGGAGATCTGGACCTGGTCTGCAGGTTTGGGGTCGACACAGAGGAACGACGAGTCGACAAAAGTCAGAAACAGATAAATAAATAAATAGATCAATAAAAGAGCAAATGTATGTCTTTTAAACACAAGTAATAATCCTGTTGAATATTTAAGATTTCAGGTCAGGGAGGGTCAGATCCTTTTCTGTAAAGGTCAACCTTTTGAGGTCATAGCATACAGACAAAGCTGTGTAAAAAGTAACACCCACCTGTGTTTCAGACAGAGGCCAAACAGATCTGATGTTTCAGGATGTTTTCCCCCTCCTGTGTGATCCGGTTCTGCAGTCTGAGCCGCTGTGCTGTGGGTCCGGTTCATCTTAAACCATTAGCAGGTCATGTTAGCTTGTTTGGGTGTCCTGTTTCTCTTTCTAAAGTCTAATATCCGCTCTGTTCCTCCCGGCTCTGTTAGTTTTACCCCTCCTTAAACATCTGCTGCTGTGGAGGACAGTGGTACGGTGTCTCTGGTCTGAGAGGTATTTCCTGATGATGTTATTTTACAGCATTTTTTAAAGACACTGGATATCCTCTCTCTTCATTTCATTTCAGAACTTTCAAGGCTGCTGGAGGTCTGCAGACGACGCACACATCCAAACAGAGTCTGAAGGTTCCTGTAAGAAGAAGCCCAGATGTTTCTGTGGACTTGTTGAACTTTTCATGCAGTCTTAAGATTCTCTGTGGTGTCCTGAGAAAAGCTAAGAAACCGGAGAAGAACTTTCTGGAGGCTGCAGATCTGATGCATAATGTAGAGCAGATGGATCTTTAAAACATGAGGCGGTTCTGAAACTCCCTGTGGTTTCTGTAGGTGATGGGGTCACACTGTGCATGTATACGGTCCTGTATACTGTCAGTGAGAGGACTCTGCTGGTTCTTTGTGTTTGGGTGACTCTTATATGAGATCTGTTCAGAGTTAGTGACGCTTTAATCTGCAACAGGAAGCAGCTGAAGAGAGTCTGCGAGTGATTATGAGTGCAGAGTCAAAAATGGGGCCAAAGCAATTTAACCGAGGAGGCAAAAAAATCACAATTCCTTCTTTGGAGATGAACATGTCATTCTAGAACAAACACAGCATTCTGAAACATATCGTTGTAGAACCCAGCATTCCAAAGCCCAGAGTTCTAAAACCCAGAATTCTAGAGCCCAGAATTCTAGAACTCAGCATTTCATTCTAAAACCCAAAATTCTAGAACCCAACTGTCTTAAACACATTCTAAAACACAGCATTCCAAAACCCCAGAATTTTAGAACCCAGCATTCTAAAACCCAGCATACGAGAACCCAGCATTTCCGAAGCTATCCTTTAGACCCCTGCATTCTAGAACCCAGAATTCTGAAACACATCATTTTAGAACCCGGCATATTAGAATCCAGCATTCTGGAACAACGCATTCTAGAGCCCAGCCTTCCAAAACACATCATTTCAGAACAAAAAAACAGCATTCCAAAACACATCATTATAGAACCCAGCATTCCAGAGCCCAGATTTCTACAACCCAGTATTATAGCAGCCAGTATTTCAGAACCCAGAACTCTAGAACCCACCATTCCAAAACACATCATTTTAGAGCCCAGAATTCTAGAACCCAGCTTTCTTAAACACATTTTAAAACGCAGCATTCTAGAACAAACACAGCATTACAAAACCCCAGAATTTTAGAACCCAGCGTACTAGAACCCAGAATTCCAAAACACATCATTTTAGGACCCGGCATGTTAGAGCCCAGCCTTCCAGAACCCAGCATTCTAAAGCCCAGAATTGTAGAACCCTGATATCTAGATATGTAGATATACCCTTGACTCTCTGCTCGCTCTGTGTGATGATAAATGGCTGAACATATGGTCTTAATACAGATTATAGAAATCCTCCATATCCTTTAATCTTCATCATAAAACATACAGAATTAAATGAATATATCCTCTCCAGCGGCCTTCAGAGTCGTGAAAACAAACATACAGTCATAGAGAAGTTTTTTTTAAATGCTATTTATTGATGTAAGGGGATTAAATTCTGAATAAACTGTACAGCTGTGATTAAAGGGTAAATTTATGATCTGTAGTTATACTTCAGATCCAGATCACCATCACTGAAAAAAGAGTGCAAGTGTCCTTTTGTAGCAGATAAAACACAGAGAAACAACTAAATACCAGCCTGGCAGTCACACTTGATTATTTATGTTTTTTAATGGTAATTATATTAAAAATATTTTACAGCAGTCCCTAAAACAGTCTGAAAACGCCCCTAAAACAGTCTGAAAACGCCCCTGAAGGGTCCTCTCTGTATGTTGTCATGAACCAGATCATCATTCAAAAGTTGAGTCTGGTGGAAATCTGGTCTGTGAGTCTCAGATCTGGCTGTCATGACCAGGACATGCTAACATGCTAACAGCTAAACTCCTCAGACTGCGGCCTGTTGTCCGTAGATGCTGACAGGTGTGCTGAGCGCCGCCTCCATGTCACTTTTATTTCCTCGCCGTCCTGTTCATGATGGCAAAATCAAAATGGAGGCTTAAGTTATTAAAACTGAGCAGCTTTAATCATTGGCTGCTGAAATTCAAGGTTGGAGCAGCGGCGAGGATTAACGTCCTTTAAAGCACAAAGCTTCATTTCCACGCCAGCCTGCTGTCACTGCCCCTCGCTCGCCCTCGCCCTCTCTCTCTCAGCTGATCCTCTCATTTCATCTCTCTGATGTTGCCCTCTGCTGTCTTTTGCTCTTTCTCTTCTCGACCAGCTGTCTGTCCCTCGCCGGTCATCGCTGCCTTTTCCTCGCCGTCTCTTCCTTCTCTGGATCTTGGCGAGATATGAAGCGGCACCATGGGTTTTATGGAATTCTACCTGGAGATTGACCCCGTCACCCTCAACCTCATCATCCTGGTCGCCAGCTATGTCATCCTGCTCCTGGTCTTCCTCATCTCCTGTATCCTCTACGACTGCCGGGGCAAAGACCCCACCAAAGAGTACGCCCCTGATAACACGCTGGCGCCGCCCAGCCAGTCGCCCATACGCCTGGTGGTCATGCAGAACTCGCCCGCCTCCTCCCGCTATGAACCCAACAACACGGCCGGACACGAGCTGCAGACGCCAGATCTGAGCAGGGACAGAGGTGAGAGGGATCGGGAGAGGGAGCGAGAGAGGGAGCGAGAGCGAGAGAAGAGGAGCACCCTGGTCTAGAGACGAGGACGGGGATGAGGATGGAGGACCGCCATGAAATGCTGCGTTTTCACGTTCAACTCTTATTCTACTGTGGACTCTGTTTTTGACCTTTAACCCCCCTGGATGGCGGGCTGCAGAAGAGCTCAGCAGGAGGTAAGAAGCAAGAAGGGCGGATCACAACAACATTTCAAAAACTACGCCTACCTGAGGCGGACCCAACCCAAGTAAAACCCCTACCTGAACTGGACCCCTCCTGAGTAAAACCTCGACCTAAGCCGCACCCTCCAACCCCCAAAAACCCTTACGTCACAGCAGACATCTTTAGCAATTATAAGACAAATATAAAATGACTAAAATCATTTAAGATGACTAACTTAAAAAGACTTAAAATCACTAAAATCACTTAAAATTACCATAATCACTTGAAATTAGTAACTTCAAATGACTAACTTAAAATAACTTAAAATGACTAAAATCGCTTAAATTCACCAAAATCACTTCAAATGGATAATCTAATATGAGTATCTTAAAATGACTCAAAATCACTTAAAATTACTTCAAATGACTAGTCACTTAAAATGACCAAAATCACTTCAAATGATCAAAATCACTTCGAATGAATAATTTAAAATGACTAACTTAAAATGACTTAAAATGACTCAAATGACTTAAAATGAATAACTTAAAATGACTAAAATCATTTATGACTAACTTAAAATGACTAAAATCACTTAAAAATAACTGTGTGTGTGTGTGTGTGTGTGTGTGTGTGTGTGTGTGTGTGTGAGTGATTTATGCTTAGTCCTAAACATACTCATACTTTAACGATGTAGGACTGAGCATAAATATTAGTTAATGAAGTAATTCTTTCATTGTTTTTATACTAATTTGATCTTTTTTTAAAGAACTTTTTTTGAACAATGATTGAAAATTGACCCTGTCATGACACACACTGGTGTTCTTATCTACAGTGCACACAGGGACTAAGGTTAAAATTGGGGCCCTGTGAATTATGGGGACTTCTGCTTTGTGGTTATAGTTGGCAAAACCTTACTGTGAAAGTCATTTAATTAACTTTACTGGTTTTACCCATTTAACTCAATCTTGTCTGTATTTACAAAAACTGATAGCCTCCTGACCTTCTGAGAGCCAAGTCCACTGTGGGGACCCTGGACAAAAACAAAAACAGGACCTTGTGTCTTATGGGGACAGCTGCAGTTTAAAGACTCTGAAGACGGTTCTTTTTTTGACACATATGATCAGAGTTTTCTGTCAAAGTCTAATCGTGGTGTAATGAACCTTTAAACAAGCAAAGAATACCAAAGAAAAAAAAGGATTATTATGAACTGACTTTGGTGAATGCAAAAGTATATTACAGACTGTATTTAGACACAAACACAGTCATTTTAAATATGAATATCTGTGTGTTGAAGGTCACTGTGTGTCCTAAACATCTGTTCATACATGCACTGTGTCGTGCCAGAGTCTGTAGGCTGCAGATATAATCCACTGTGCATTAACAAATGTATGGAAATCAATTAAGGCAGATATGTGTCTGAGTTTGTGGCACGGATCAAGGCCATTGTCACAACACTGGTTCTGAGCAGCTGATTGGATGGAGCTTTCGGTTATAATCAGATTAACAGTAAATAAAACCTGATTAAGTTGTCTCTGCAGATGGTTGTTGACCTCTAAACACCAAATGAAAAATATGATTATGTTTTTATAAAGTTCACACAGTTTGTGAAGATGTTTGTCAGCTCCTGGTGATGCTTTTCTCTCTTCATTAAAGTGGAATTCATTGCTGAAAGTTCGGCCAGAAAACTCTGAATTATGATCTGGTTTAAACTTTCCTTAAAGTTTTTCCAACAAGTTCAAACTTACAGTATGTTGCTGTAAACACGGCTGCATAATAAAAGATACTTTATGAAAGTGGATCTACTTTCATAGAAACAGGAAGGAAATGTGGTTTTAACATTTCTTTTAAACCATTTCATGTCATGCACGTGAAGTTTTAGTCGAAACCCTGTTCCTGCTCAAACTCACGGTTTCTAGAGGCAATATCATCGGGACTTCCTTAAAAGAACAAACTAAAACTTTAACTTTTTTTTAGGGTGTAGACTTGGTATGAAAAATATCACCAATTACATGATCAAATATGTAAAATTAAAGCTATTTTATCCTCAAAGTCATGACCATTTTAAGTTACAACTCCTTAAAATTCCTCTGGAAAAATGTAGGGCCTTTCTTTGAGACCCTGTTAAAGTTTACTAGGTGACAGATATTACAGACAGAACGCAGAACTAGGGAAGGGGAAACGGTTTCCTTCCTTTAAAAGTCTGAGGTTAGTTTGAGATATAAAGATCTGAGGTAGAAAGGCAGGAATCTAGCTTAGATTGCATCTGTGTTGCACGTCTTTAAAATACTGTAATCATGGTGAAAACTTGTTTGACCTTCGTTTAGATAGTCGACTTTCAGAGCTAACCCACGCTCTGTGCTCCACCTGTCAGCAGACTAGGTTTTTGGCTAAAATCTTTTAATGGGTCATCGGCACAGAGAGGCGGACATCTTTGAACATAGACACTGATGATTAGTGTAATAATGGAAAAAGACCAACTTGACTGACATTATCCCTTCAAGGTCTGTCAGTATCAGTAGTAGACAGAAATGTCCACTCCAATCTCCTCTTTCCTTCCCTGATCTCACCTCCATTAACACCTCTAAGTAGAGAAAGAGTTAACCCAGTTATCACACCTCCAAATGTCAGACAAGATGGAGCAGGGGAGTAAATATTAGGGCTTGAAATGACTCGAGGTAATCACCGAGGGTTAAGATAGAAGTCCCTTTGTCAGACAGGAACCTTCAACCAAACTCGAGAACTTTGGTTTCCCTCCTGAAAGTCGTTCACCTGCATGTCAATAACTGGTGCGAATCAGACCATCAGACCATCAGACCATCAGACCCAGACTCTGTTGACTCCCCTCCCCCTCAAACCCTGGAATCTGAGGTCCCAGACTGTAAGCTCCTCGTCCCGCTGTATGGCGCTCTGAACCGGCCCGTAAATCCTCTGTCAGACCCCTCCCCCTCCCTGCATCACTGAGATGAATTCAGCTGACATTATAAACCCTCAGAGGACAGGAAGTAATGAATGAATGAATGAATGGATGGACGGACATGTGCTCGTCACTCATCCCTTTGACGTATGCTGGGCCGACAGAGGGTTACGGTCCACACGTGTGGCGAGCAGCAGATGTTGGCGTTAACGCAGATTTGATGGATGGTGTTAAAAGAAGCTGATTGAGAAACTCAGCTGATGTTTGTTTGGAGGGAAATCCTCCACAACACTGTTTATCTAATGTAGAAATACAGTTTACACTCCTAATGGCCTTAACGTATGTTTCATTAACCATCTGTGCCGGGGCGGAGGTCATGTGACACCATCACGCTGATATCTGCACACAGCTGAGCACAAAGTAAAGCCAGCAGAGAGGAATCTCGATGATCTGAAGGTCATTTTTCAGGTTTTCAAACTGCAATTCACCAAAATCTCATCAAAGACCTTTACACCGAATCAGAAAGATGGAAGAATCTGACCTCAACGTTAGCATGAGCTGGAAATGGAGGACGGTGTTTCATCGGCATAGAGAGGAAGTCAGAATGTCGAGAGGTCTCAGTCAGGCTAAAGATGATCGCTGAGAGGTAAAACAGAGTGGACCCAGGATCGACCCCTGTGGGACCCCACATACAGGAGGAAGAGATCTAGCTGCTCAGATAAAAACATTTTACCCCCAATTTTCACCACATCCGGAACGGCCAATTACTACCAGATCCATTTGAGAGGTTAATTTTGTGGCAGGTTACAGACAGCAGGAATCGCGAGAACTCACAAGAACCCACGGATTCACGTTCAATCATGCAATAATGAGTTGTCTCTATAAATACAGACACATAGACATATAAGCAGTAGATTGTGTCCTTCCAGAGGAGGAAATCTACTTCTAGACTTCTAGAATCAGCATCTCCTCATCCATGGTGTCATCGGGGTGAAATGACGTCTAAAAACCTTTCACTTGTTCGTCTCCGCCCACGTTTGCCATCCTGGATGCGGTGGAAATTGGGGGTTACGGTCCGATAAGTTTGAAGGAACCATTTCATCAAGAACCAGAGCCGGCTCGTTTCACAGTCAACGAAGTAAATCGACCGTGTCAAAAGGAGGCCGCAAAAACCCTCGAACCCGGGACTGAGGAGAGCTGTGATCCTGACTTTACAAACAGACTCTCTTCACAGTTCATACATGACATCCGTGACGAGAGACAAACTCATGAAATCGTCTGAACATTTGTTGGAGGTTTCCTTGAGTTAGAAGGTGAAACAAGAAAATACTCATTTGCAGAAACAAAGTAAGCTAACTGTTTTTTTTTATGTTTCCTCAGGGTTTTGGTCGGCGTGCTGCAAATCCTGAAGCCCCATAAATCCCATCATCGACCTCCATCATAAAACTGTTCATTGTGGACCCTGGGAAGGACTAAAGAGGCTGATGAGGACTCAAAGATGTCCAGCAGGTCTCACCTCAGCCGGATCTCTGAGGTGCGAATATCCTGGAGGACAGTCGAGACATTTTAATCCTGACTCCGGACTGGACTGGTGTCCCCGGACTTTGAGTTTGAGGTCTCACGTCTGCTGGACAACAGAGAGGAGATTCAGAGGAAACTGCCGTGAGAACTGACTAAAGATGGCATCAACTTAGACTTAACAGTGGACTTCACACCCTGACTTTTTATTTAACTTAAACTGAGCTGGACGTGGACTTTTCTAACACTGTACTGTCAGTGAGAACAACATGTGATCCTATCACGACTTTTGTAACAGTCCAGAAATCTGAGATTACGTTAAAAGTGTTGACTGGACTATTTAAGCGAGTCTTTAGAGAAATGAGAATCAGAAAACCAAAGGTGGTCTGTTAGAGGATCCACAGACCCTGAAGTCCAGTTTGTTGGTACCAGGCCTTTATTTGAAGTAGGCTTATATTACAGGGTCTTTAGATCAGATTCTCTCTGAACAAAAACAGGATCACACACTCAGTCAGCTCTTCTAGATGTTTTCTAATTCACAAAACATGAACAAAGGGTTAAATGCACCACAAACTGCACCACTGGATCTGGTTTTGTCTCCTGTTAGATCATGTTTTAGCGCCATGGGACCAGTTCCTGTGATGAGCTGGTCCGTCAGATGTGGTCTAACGTCAGAACGCCGTTAGGGCGAGCGGATTAAGCGCCTTTCTCGGGCTGAATCTGGTGGTCGGCGTTATGAGCAGTGGTTACTGTGCACATTTGTGCAGCCGGCTTAATCTCACTTCCTTCCTAAAATTGACAAAATCCTCTCCGACCAAAAGACTCTCGCCTCCCACGTCAGGTCCTCCCCGCTCGCTGATTGGTTCTGGCACCACCGACAGATGATCCAACCCCGGGTCTTTAGCGGACTCGTGCCACCGCGGCCTGAACCAGGACAAATCCTCTTACGTAAAACAGCCGGCCAGCTGAGCAGCCCACCAATGGCTGCGGCTCATCCATAATATGAATTGCACAATTACCCCCCCCTTCATATTTCATGTCTGTGGATTAAATGCTGACGGCGGCCGAGTATTAGGAGCCTGTGTTATGTATTTGTTTTTGCCCTGTGCTGTTTTTTTGTCCATCGGGAAGGTTACGTAAACTTCAGGTCGTCAACGGGCGGAGATGTGGCGGTGTTCAGACCGACCTGACGGCTCATCTGATGCCCACATGTGTCTGAGGGTGAAGACACGCCGAAGACAGGACAAAAAACTGTAACAGTCAGTGAGGTGGTCTTTGGACGGCTGAACCTCCTACTAAAGACCTGAAAACAGTGAAGACCACCAGCTCAGAAAGTTCCTGAAGTGTCGCTGAAAAGGACCAAACTGTGTTTCCCTCAGAAATGTAAATACAGACTGTAAATAAATCATAACTTATTGTCCTGATTGTAAAATGTGTCATAAATAAAGACGACGTACACATCAGTCTAAAGTCTTCATCGAGATGAAACCAGACTTTTTATCGTTCAGTCCAGATACCCATCAAACATCGAGACATCAAAGAGACATGCAGATCAAGACAGTATTGAGTCAAAAGTCAAAGACCACATCTAGACGTCAGTGCGACGTGCAAAATAGGTCAGAAATTTTGACGTCCAGATTGGACCTTTTTAAGACGTCGCTCTGTTGTTTAGAATTTGGACGTCATCTGAAGACCAAATCTAGACGTCGGCAAAACGTGCAAAACGGATCCAAGATTTAGACGTCATTATTGGACCTCTTTTAGACGTTGAAATGACGTCCACATTTGTACCTCATTGTCAAAAAAATGAAAAAAAAAAATAAATTAGATGTCATTTCGACGTCGCATTGCACAGGGGGTACAGATTTGATCTAATCCTGATCTGAAAGGAATTTAAAAGTTGTTTTTAACTAAAATAATATTTGAGGAAATATGACAGAGTCACGTATTTTTCATTCATTCATTTATTTTTAATTCTCCTCTTCCTTTTCTGCTTCTTCAGTCGGAGGATTTTAAGTCCTCTGAACTTCAGTCCTGTGAAAAATGAGTTAAGTCTTGAAAATTAAAGACTTTTTTCTCATATTCAACTTTTTTAAAACCATAATCTCTTTTCTCTTCATTCTTGTTGAATCATCTTTTTCACTCTTTCATAAACTGACATGACTTTCATTAAACTCTTTAAACTCATAAATTTTCATGTTCAACTATTAGGACTTAATTCTCGCTCATTTCTCATAGATGTTAAATTTTAATTTCAGTCTTTGACCTCTTATTTATGATACTCGTAGATGAGCTTTAATCAAGTTCATAGATGTCACTTAATTCTCAGATTTCTCATGTTTTTTTGTCATGAACTCTAAATGAGCAGATATATATTTTCATTAAACTATAAATCATCTGGTTTTAACATGAGATTATTGATCTCTGCATCATTTTTAATTAAATATTGACTTGAAATCACTTAAAAACATTAATCAAACCTTTTTTTACTCAGCCTCTGAACTTGTTTTTGTAGTTTTTGGTTGTTAAAAGTTTCTCAGAGTCACATGGTCTGGAAGAGTCGGACGTACGTCATCCTTTCGGACACACTTTTTTTCATTCAGCAGGACCAGAGTGTTTCTGTCCCCCTTTTGGGTTTTAAAGCAGCACTAAAAACCTCTCTGTCGTCACCGTGTGTCGGTCTGAACTGCTGGGATTAACGGAGCATCCTAATCTGCTCTCTTTCACTTTGAGAAAATGGAATTACATAATGGCAATTTCAACTTAGTGGGGCGCTAAAGAGGGAAACAGGATGAATGAAAAGAGCTGTGGATTTATCCGCTCGGATGGTCAGATATCTGGACCGGGACACGTCATTTGTCCTCTTGTGTAGAATTTATTCTTTCACACGGGCCTGGAGATGATCGGAGCCGACAAAGCTGAGATTAAATCCTCGAGATGTTTGCACGTTAACAAAAGCAGAAACTTTAACTGAATAAACTCTGGAAGAGAGAGAGACCGGTCCACTTTAGAGGAGTCTGGTCTTGTTTGAGGAGCTTTAAGAGGTTTTATCCTGCAGCTCTGTGTTCAAAGATTTTTACTTTGGCAAAATTAAAGTTGAAAAAAACTCAAAAACATCATAAAACAAAAATAAAAACAGATTTTCTTTTGAGACACTTATACAGAAAAGTTCCTCCTGATTTTAAAATGATGTAAATGCTGAAACTAAACAGGACGAGCTCCAGCTATCAGGTTATAAAAGCCAGAGTGTGTTGTAAGAGTTACAAGTATTGAGTTCAGAATATTGCACAACCAAGACTCGACTTTCTCCCAGCATGCACTTCTGCATCCATCATGAAAGTGACTTTATTTAAGAAAAGGCTGCGATGAAATCAGCGGCTTTATAGAGCGAGAGGAATCTGCAAACGCAGCACAGGTGTGTTTCAGAGAGACTCAGGTGTGAACGATGAACCGTGATCAGGCCTTTGATTTAAAAAAGGAGCTGTGAGGACATCTAGTGGAGAGATGAGGAACTACAGCAGGGGTGGGCAATGAAAACATGAAATCCACCGTTTTAACACATAATTTCTTAGTTGGGAACTGTATGTCCTCATGTAATGTTCACATTTAAAAGTATTTCAGTATTTGGCCATTTTTTCAAGTTAACAGACCCTACTATGAGGTGGTGTGTTCGAGCCTTTTTCGGGACAAGGTGAATTTTGAAGTCTAGTGTCTAGACAGAAAATTGAAAGAGGAAACAAATGGTATAATCCTGTGTGTCCAAGTGGCTCAGAGGATAAGAACACTGACTGGGATTCCTGAGGTCATAGGTTCGAGTCCAACCTTGCCCAGTTCTAAGTGAATTTTGAAATCTAGTGTCCACAAAGTACAGCGATATATGAAAAAAAAAACATGATGGTCTTCTGTGTCCACATGGCTCAGGGGATAAGGAGACTCACTGGTACTCCTGAGATTGTGGGTTCAAGTCTTACCCTGTCCAGTTCTAGGAGAATTTTAAAGTCTCGAGTCCACAAAGGACAGCGATATGTGAAAAAAGAACCCAATTCTCTTGTGTGTCCACATGGATCACAGGATAAGGAGACTGACTGGGACTCCTGAGGTGGTGTGTTCGAGCCTTTTTCGGGACAAGATGAATTTTGAAGTCTAGTGTCTAGACAGGAAAGTGAAAGAGGAAACAAATGGTATAATCCTGTGTCTCCAAGTGGCTCAGAGGATAAGAACACTGACTGTGACTCCTGAGGTCATAGGTTCGAGTCCTACCTTGCCCACTTCTTGGTGAATTTTGAAGGTCTAGAGCAGGGGTCTTCATATAAATTTTCAGTGGGTCCACCTGAATGAAATGCCTGCAGGCCTGGGTCCAGGGATTTTTATTTATTTATTTTTTTACAGTGCATTACTCTTTTGAAATATTCACTTCATTTGTCTTCAAGCTGGTCTTCAACCAGAACACATGGCTCACATTAGGATGTCAGATGTCTACCACACTGCGCCACCGGAGACCATCCACAGCTGGGGATGAGCTCTGCGTGCTTTTATCTTGGTACTTTTGCTCCTGGACTTTAAAATAATAATAATACAATAATACATGAAATACTAAATGTCTCGAAATACTATAATGTTTGGTTTACAGATTTTAGTGAGTTCAGAGATCATGCTCTCATACAGCCTGAGCTGACTGTCTGCTGGTTTTGGATTTCTTGTATTTTCTTTGAAGACGCGCTGTGTCTCCAAGCGAGTCTAGCCTCTCACCCGAAATGCAAAGCTGTGCAGCGGCACCCAAAGCATTCTGGGATACCGACGGCACGAAAGCGTGCATAAATGCATGCTTGAAAAAGAGGCGGGGTAGTGTGGTTTTGAGACCGAATTTGAAGCGCGCTTAGTATTTTGTGCCAAAAGGGACACCGTTCGTGCCGCGTGATGACCTCACGCATGCTTCAGATGCGCCGTTCAACGGTTGCGGTCTCTGAAATGGGACACAGGAAGGGTACATAACGGCGCAAAACGGCACATAGCAGCACAAAACGGCAGTGCACTCAGCTAAGCGCCGTTAAGCGCGCTTATCCCGATACGGTCTCTGAAATGAGACACAGCCTCAGTTTAAAACATTCATGACCCACAAAATCTGGTCTGGTTTCTTCACAGTATTCGAATGTTTTAAATTCCTGTTTTCGTGGTTTTATGAGCTGGAAGCCCAAATTATGTAAAAATAAACGAATAAATACTTGAAATTGTTTGAATTGTGAATCTCTGAAAGTTTAACTTTTTGAGCGGAATTATGGAAACAAACTTTTAATGATATTCTAATTTTTTGGAAAGGGTCTGTTTTTGTTTAGGATATGATTTCTATTAAGGTACGTCACGTTTGTCACTGAGGGGTGTGGTTTTGGGATGTTTGGAGGGTTATTTAAATCTCACCGCTGTAGTCAGACAATGTTTTTTTTGTAAGCTCTGATACTTTTCTGTTGACCATTTTTCTCTGTTTCATTCATCCTGTTTTAACCTCATTTCATCTTCTCACTTTCTCATTCGCAGACAAAAGTTTCGGAGCTGGATCATTATGTTTTCTGTCCTTTTTTTTAACACTCAAACTGAGTCACAGATGCAAACGAACCGAAACCCCAGCTGCCTTTTCTGTCGAAGAAAATCAGTCGCTTCACCTCCACTTCAGAGCAGACGAGACAAACACAGACAGGTTCAAACTTTTTATTGATACTCTCATTTTGATCATGTGAAACATAATCAGGAACAAACATGGAAAAAATCTCTTTAAACACAGATTCAAACAGCTCTGAGAGAGAGAGAGAGAGAGAGAGAGAGAGAGTAAGAGAAACCACACTGAGAGAGAGAGAGAAAGAGGTCAAATGAAAGTATAAGTGCTTCAGGTCGGGCGGATACATTCATCTGGGCCGGATGAGCCGTGAACTTCACAAACGTAAGCATCTACACGGAGGACAGAGAGTCCTCGCCGGAGACAGAAGAGCAGGAGCGCCAAAAGAGAGAGAACGTGGCGCCCGCAGAGGTGAGATGGAGGTCAAAAAGGTCAGGGTGGAGGGGTGAGGTATTTCAACTACGCAGGAGGGGGGCAGGACGAACTTTAAAAGGTAATGCCCATGCATTGCCCTCACAGACGGGCACGCCGTTTTGGTAATATTTATGAATATAGATTGAATATACTGCTCATGTCACCCTTCCCAAAATACGGAGGAAATATCTATGTAGGAAATATCTACGTAGGAAAACAGACTGTACAAAAACAAGAAGAATATCTCTGTATAAACATTAAAACCTTTAATATATCAATATATCCTTTACATATATATATTTATATATATACGCTTTGCTTTTGGTCTGTAGTAAAGAGTACTAAAGTGAATCCACAGTAAAGACAACAACACTCACGCAACGTTTCAAATATACATTCATGTCTCACGCTGCCACCAGGGGGCGCACCTGTCGCTGGGCTACACTTCGGAGAAAACCACAGAGAGGAAAACGAGAACAAGAAAGAGCGTCTATTGCACTGAAGAGGACGAGACCGGAGTCTAAAATAAACAGAATTAAAGATTTTAAAACATCGGAAACAGCAGAGAGCGAAATAATCTGAAATAATCTGAAATAATAATAATAATAACAGAAAACTCGTTCTGTACGAACTCGCTCTGCGCTCTTTAAATGAGACTAAAAACAGGGTTCACCTGGACGTCCAGACTCACCTGTGTGAAAAAAAACAGAAAAACAAACGAGGAGGAGGAGGAGGAGCTGCCGGGAGAATAAAGACGGAAACACTGATGTGAGTCTGTGTGTGTGTGTGTGTGTGAGGGTGTGTGTTACTGTTATCACACACACTTACGCACATCATACCATGTATGACATAAACTGTGATTATATGACAGGTGAGGGTTTAATCTGAGCCAATCAGATCCATGTATCACTGCAGAAATCCACACATGCTGCTCAGGCCTTGTTGCGCCAGATTCATCCTGACAGAAAACCAAAAAGAACCAGATCCATGTGAGCTCAAAGCTGCTCACGCTCAGGAGATGCTGAATACAATTTTTCAAGGGTTCAAAACCTGCGCAAGATCAGCAAGATCAGCAAACACAGGTTTCAATTTTTAATATCTTGCTTTCAAACAAGATAGTATTTTGTGTGGCGTTTCATCTTGTCCACAAAGACTAAAATCATAAGAAGGTGAGACAGGTGAGTCATATCATTTTTACATATCCTGTTTATGCAAATCCCAAGCATGTTATCTTGTTTGCACAAACAAGCCTTTGGGAGAAACGTATCTTCAAATGACTGAAGTTATTCACTTGTTATCTTGTTTACACAGGATACTTTGTCCAGCATGAAAGTTTTATGTTAATGCTCCTGTGGGTATCTTGTTTATGCAAGATACTTAACTTTTAATAAAATACTTTTGTTGGTGCATCTTGCAAGTAGAAAGTATCTTGTTCAAATAAGATGCCCAGTACAAAAATCATCTTGTTTCTTTAAGATTTTTGCTCCAACATCCAAGTGATTATCTTGTTTACAGAAAATATCATTTAACTGTTAAATCTTGCACCAAGACAGAATTATATTGTTCAGTCAAGATTCTGAAATGGTCATCTATGCTGTTACAACTGTATCCTGTTTACACAAGATCCTAAACTTGTTGTCTTATTGGCACAGTTTTTGAGAAACAAATGTATCTATCTTGTTGGCACGTCTTGGCACTAGAAAGTTATCTTGTTTAAACAAGATACCATTATTTCTCTAAGGTGTAAAAATATTATGTTTAGATTATCATGTTTGCCAAACACTATCTACGCAAACAAGCTATCTTACTAATCTTGTCCACACAAGATACCTTTATGCGATCAGAGTTTACATCAGATATCATCTAAAGTTGTATTTTAAATGCGGCACAATCTTGCGCAGTAAATTTGTAATCTTGAAATCAAAAGAAGATTTAAGAAAATAATTTATCTTGAGTGTTATCTTGTTTTGTAAGATTATCTCAGCCACACAAAATACTGTCTTGACTTCAATCATTCTCCTTGATCGGGTTTCTAACTTGTCTTTTTGTTTTTTGAGAATTCGTCTTTTACTGAATCTTGTTCAAAATGAACTTGTTTTTCCCCCATGATTCCTCTGAGATCTGGCGCTCCTGCAGCAGGGTCAGATTTCTACAGTGTTTGAGTTTTTCTGTAAACTGAGTGGATGGAAACCTCTGGACTAGAACATTTGTACAGAGGCAGCCGTTTCGTCTCAAACACGAGGACTCGAACATGAACCGATCAAACCGAAGAAATAAATCTACAAACACCGAGAACAAGATCAAACTGACGAGTCTGACCACATTCATCAGAGACAGAGAGAGAGAGAGAGATAAACTGAGGCCGCACAGACCGTCTCGGCCACCAGGGGGCTCCAAAGACGAACTCTTTGGTTTCCTCTCTTACTGCAGTTTCTGTTTAAAGATTCACTCCCTGATCTTTTTACAGCAACGTTTAAAATAGTAATAATAATAATAATGATGAAGTCAGAGTCTTATAGAGGCTCTGTGGACAAAACTTTGTGTATAAAAGTTACAAATTTTTTCGGGGCGGTTATAAAATAATCGGAGCGTTTTTTTTTTTAGAGCGGTATCAAAATCCGTGTTTGTGAATCTTCCAGTAAAGATTTTAAACGTCCATAAAAACTGTCAGAGAAAGAACAGGTGAGCCACAGGTGAGAACATTCATTTACAGTCTTCAGGAGAAAGGCAGGTATGTACAGAAAACAGGTGTAGCAGGGGGGCGGGGCAGGGGGCGGAGTCTGTGAGGAGGGGTGTCGGTCGGTCTAAAGTGCCTTAACCAAACACTGAGAGGGGAGGGGCTTGGAGGTCGAAGGTCAGAGGAGGTCCATGAGGAGGGTTCACAGGGCCGTAGAGACGTCCTAACAGCTGTGTGTGTCGTGTGGGTGTGTGTGTGTTTGTGTGCGTCTGTATAAGTGTGTGTTAGATAATCCTGAGTAACGGGCTCAGCTCACAGCAGCAGAAAACTGCAGACGACGAACGTTAGGAAGATTAAAAAGACACGAAAGTTTGTTTTTATAAATACTTCTGGAGTGGAAATATGCTGCTGCCGAGAAGTCAAGATAGAAAGTGAGAAGATATCTGACTTAGTTTTAGATGTTTTTAACTAAAATGTTGATTTTTAATGTTTTCTGCTATTAAAGACGCAGAAAAAAAGCAGAAAAAACAGCTTTTGAGAACAAAATTCATCAAGAAAAAACAAAAAAAAAAATAAAGAGTTTATACATCATCCTTTATGAAAACAAGATCATATCTGGCGCAAATCAGTAAGCATCTTGTAGAAAAAGGACCTCGAAAAACTCATTTATATCTGCTTTCTGTCTGCTGTGAGCGCCGCCGCCGTCAGGACGTGTGTGTTTGTGTGTTCAGAGTGTTTATGTGCGTTTGTGCGTCCTCACAGCCGCCCGTGCTGCGCCTCGTACTTGTTGAGGATGTTCTTGGTGCGCCCGAGCTCTTTCCTCAGTTCGGCCACCTCCTGCCTCAGAGCCGAGTTCTCCTTCTCCAGGAAGGAGGCCCGGATGGCGATCTGGTTCTCTTTGAGCCGCCGTGCGTCGCGGGAACGTTTGGCCGCCATGTTGTTCTTCCTGCGCCGAGCCCAGTATTTGTCGTCCTGCTCAAAGGGCGAGAGAGAGGAGAGAGGAGACGTGAAAAAACAGGAAGTACTTGAATCCTTCAAATGTTTGAGAGGAGGGTCAGGAACTCTGGAGGTCCGTCAGAACCAGCTCCAGCTTACCTTCAGGTCTTCAGGGATGAACACTTTACGAGCTTTCTTGATCATCGGCTGCGGTTTCAGCTCTTCTGCGGAGAACTTGCGTTTTCGGGGGTCAAACATCTCCTGACCCGGAACGCTGGACAAAGCCAGATCTGCCAGGTCGGGTTCGTACCCGATGGGGACGTGGATGGAGTCTGGGTCGATGGGGCTGGGGGTGTTTCTGGAGTTCGGGAGGCCTGGGGAAGAAAAAGAGGGAGAAATGTTGGTGTTTAGTTTACGGGGGTTAAAATAAGGACACAGAAATGTTTTTTTTTAACTAAAAAAATATTTTAAAAAACATAAAAAAAAAAAAATAAACATAAAAACAAAAACAGAAACAGCAAAATAAATAAAAAAAAAACGGAAAATATTTGAAAACAGAAAGAGAAAAAACATTAATAAAAAAGAGAGAAAAACAACAAAATTGATAAACAAAAGCATAAAAATATAAATAAAACAAAAACAGGAACAAAAAAACATTTTAAAAACACTGAAAAATATTTAAAAAACAGAAAAAAACATAAATAAAACAACAAACAGAGAAAAACATAAATAAAAACATAAATAAAAAAGGTACATAAAAAATATAAAAAATAAACAAAAACAGAAACAGAAAAAAAAGAATAAAAAACACAAACAAAAGAACAAAAAGAAAAAACATAAATAAAAGACATTAATAAAAAACTAAAAGATTAAAAATATAAATAAAAAAACACAAACAGAAAAACTGAATAAAAAATAGAAACAGGAAAATAAATAAATAAATAGAAACAGAAAAAAAACATTTAAATAACATAAATAACCTAAAAATCTCTTAAATCAAATCAGACTTCATGAGTGTCCTTTGAGGCTGCAGTGACAAACTTTAGCCAGCAGAGGGCGAAATATCTAAGCTTTAGCAGACTGCAGCACAGTGGGAGTGGGAGTGTGTGTGTGTGTGTGCGTGTGCGTGTGCGTGTGCGTGTGTGTGTGTGTGTGTGTGTGTGTGTGTGTGTGTGTCCCTCCCTGCGGGGTCGGACACACAGACAGGTCTGTGAGCAGGTGACAAACAGGAAGTATTTCAGCGTCAATAAAAGCAGTTTTCTGACCGACACGTGTGATTGGACGTCCTGAACAGATATCAGGTGTGACGAACTGACGGGATCTTTCTGTCCTCTGAGCTCTGAGCTGTGACGGGGTTAGGATCACATGATCACATGACCATCAGGGACATTAAGATACTAGAAAAAGTGAGATCAGAAATATGAAAAAAACATCTTTAAAAACAGGTTTCTGTAGATTTCTGCGTTTTTACTCGAGTCTGTTTTCCCAAATTTATAGTTTGATTAAATATAAATCCTAACTCCTGACTCCTGAATCCTGAATCCTAAATCCTAACCCCTGAATCCTCAATCCTAACTCCTGACTCTTGAATCCCGAGCTTCTGTTTTTCTGCAGACTTCGTCTTCTTCACCCTGGTTTTCAGGACAGTCAGCCGTTACATAACTCCATCTGTGGGCGTCTTAATCAGCCGTACCAGCAGTAAAATTACTCACACACACTAACACTAGAAATATAAATAGCTTATTTACTAAAGAGGAGGACGTTTGTGTTTCATGAGGTGTTAAAAAGTCGTTTTTATTAAGTGTTCTTCAGGAAATGATCCCCATAAAAAAAACTAATAAAGCTGTTGGAGTCCTGAGGGTGTACGGGAGCTCATTAGGGCCAAAACAAACACGATCTATTCAGAGAAAAAAGACAATTCACTGATGGGACTGAGATTTTTGGTCATCTTTGGCGCCCCCTGTGGTGAAACGCAGTAACTACAGCTGTATAAATAATGGAAAATTAAAGTTTTTTGTTTTTGTCTTCTACTTTATAAACAAATATTTACGCTTTTATAGGCTGTTCATTTCGCCGCAGCAGCCGTTGTCATGACAACATTAATTTAAAGTTTGGTGTGAAGATGACTGAACCCCCCCTCCCTCCTCTTCCTCGGACCTCTGCTGCGGTTCTTGGAAGTGAACGTTTGTTTTTCCTCTCCAGCTGCTCCTGCGGGGTCAGGGCCAGGTGTGTCTGAGAGTGTGAGTGTTTGTCTATTTTTGTGAGGACCTCAGGTGAGTTTAAGTTCGGAGGAAATTGGAAACGCGCTCGAATCCGTGTGTTTTTTTGCTCCGATGTTTTGGTTGGAACTTTGTTGTTAAAAAGTGAAGGAGACGGTAAAGAGATGAAGTGATTCCTGTTAAAAAAAAAAAGAGAGAGAGCTAATGGAAAAATGGAAAAACATGGAAACATGGATTACATAATTCGATGTGTGACTGCCCGCATGATTTTACCACAACCTCTTTGACGGAGCTGAATGAGATTTCTATTCTTGCACATCAGCAGAGACGGCAGGAGGAAACTCGTATAAAATAAAAACAGGACTGACAGTAAACAAACACAACCCCTCTGCTCCTGATTGGACCGTCGATCCTCACACTGATACCTGCAAACGCCGATTGAACTGTCTAACGTCTCCTCCACGCTCTGATGAAATAAATGAACCACATCTTTCACTCTCAGTCATCAGAGTTTGTAGTTTTTTCCTTTTTGTTTTTGACTTTGGTCCCTCACAGGTTTTCCTTTAAAGCTCTGAAGAGGAGGGGGCGGGTGGATGTGGAGCGGGTGGAGGCGGTTCAGTAACGGCGTCAGTGTTTCCCTCCGTCCTGCAGCCGTAAACAGACTCACATGTGGTCAGGAGTGGATTTCAGACCTGAGACCAGCTGGGCTCAGTGGGAAACTTCAGGAACTACGAGCGAGCGAGCGGCTCACGCAGAAGAAATGTACTCATGTTACACACACACACACACACACACACACACACACAGACACACACACACTCGTGCACGTGTCTGGTTGTCTGTCAGCGTCACGTTTCTGCAGCGAGGCACATCATGTGCTGCTGTTCTGTTCTGCTGTTCCCACCTGCTCCTCCACACACACACACACACACACACACACACACACACACACACACACACACACACACAGAGTGGGTTTTTTTATCCCTGTCCGTCTGGATGTTGTTGTTTAAGGAGCAGGTGTGAAGTTTCCTGATAACAGCGTGAAGGATGTTCTTTAAGCCCCGCTCCGTTCCTGCTGAGAGTCACGTGACCCTCCTCGGTTTGCGAGGATGACGGTCTCGTTTTGTGCTCTTACGCTTTTCAAACTTCATTAACACACAGAAAGAGGAACTTTTGATTTGCAACTCTCGGTCAAGCTAATGCTAACATTACCTTGTCCGAAGTCGGAAATGTACGATTTCACCCATAGGCGACTAGCATTGTAGTGAATGAAACAGAAGTGCGATGACTAATAATGACCATGAGACTGAACATAAATATATACGAGAAAAACACAGAAAATATCAGATTCATCGGCTCTGCAGACACGAACTATTAGATTTAGGGTCAAAATCATCGCCGAGGAATGAAGAGTATAAAAGCGAGGCCAGTCCCTCTGATATTGGGATAATAGAAGTTGATATTTTGGGAGAATAAAGCAGACATTACAGAAAAAGATGGTAAGTAAAAAATAGTAAAATTAACGAAATCTAGATTAATATTTAAATATGTGATTCCCAAGAACTGAACACTTTCTTCAGAATTTTAAGACTTTATTTTGATTCGATAATAAATTTGTGACTGCAGTCACTGATTTAATCATTTATCAACTTGTTCATTAAATTAAATTTCTGGGCACAAAAACGGATGTGGAACAAAAGAGGGTTGTGGATCTGTCATGCAGTGACCTACTCTGTCCAGCAGGGGCGCAAAGAAGGTTGGCTCTTCGGCTCTGCAGACATGTGCTGCGTCCGAACTGCCCGCTCGGATACTACATGCTACTGCTACGTGCTACTGCTAGATCCTACTCCTACATACTAAACACGTTGGCCCAATTCGGACACACTAGACGAGCGGTGGGGAAAGACGACCCCCGCAGGCAGAGAGTAGGTACTGCGCCCGTGCAGACAGTGGTAACTGAAGCCCCTCATCTGCGGGCCTGGCTGTAGTACTGCAGCTGTGCAGTTTAATGATGGAATAAGTGAGCTTTACCTCCATGATGTCGCCACATATTTGCTCATAAAATGATTACTTGGGCAAATATGACACCATGACATGACAAAGAGATACAAACGCACATTTTTTAGGACAGTGTGTGAAGTTACATGAAACTTACATCTGTACTGCTGCGGTCCCGCGACATGGTGCGCGCTGCTGTGGCCAGCCGGCGTTCGCGACGCATCTAAATAGGCAGCAGCTGGTGGCGCTAGCATCACATGCGCTTCTACAACTTTTAAGAGGACGAAGAAGAAGCCCGCGGTGCATTATGGGTCAGTAGCATGCCCGTAGGATGCACCGAGACCAACCTACAACGTGGGCGTGTCTAGCATCTGAAGTAGTATCTGAAGTAGCATGCTACTCGCTCCGGTGGCCAATTCGGACATGCTAGATACTACTTCGACTACTACTTCGACTACTACTTGGCAATTCGGACGCAGCTATGTACTATTGGGCTGCTCCCCCCCTTTAAAGACCTGGAGACCGTGTGCTTTTTTGTTCATAGTCCAGGTCAAGCAGCGCCCCCTACAGGCCTAACACACTTCTGTTAATATGACAGGAAATTAAGGTTTTCTTTGTTTGCACACGGTTGACTTTGCATCGTTTCTCGCTCTACAAAAACACATTTATTCAGGATTTCTGCAGAGTAATTTTTCTGTCAGATATTTATTTTTCTGAAGGACGGTTTAACAAACTAAAGACATGAAAAACACTCTCAGCTTCACTCTCTGCAGACCAGATCTGAAGGATCTGAGCTCTCCGTTCTCGCTCCGGTTTGGATCAGAGACTTTTTTTTCAGACAGAGGAAATATTTCAGGTTGTTCAGAGACTCCACCTCAGGAGCAGGATGAGGATGTTTGTGCTTCCTCTCCTCCTCCTCCTCCTCCTCCTCCTGTCTGTCTCTGTTTGTTTTTCATTATCTGCTGAACGCTGGCTAACCTCGGCTGTTCCTGCCTCCTTATCTGCAGCGCCGTCACAGCGCCATGTGGGAATGCAAATATGCCAGATTATGTCTTAGATTATTCGTCTATTTTTAGCGGTTGGAGCAGCAGATTAAACGGCGCTCAAACTTGGTGGATGGAGTTCAACCCTGCGCTCATGAATCTGGTTATAACTGAAGGACAAACACGCTCGCTGTATAGAAACACTCATGAGGATCAACATCTTCAGTCTGTTTACAGCCTCTCTCACCAGCAGGGGGCGTCTTCAGCAATGTTTGATCCTCGTCTAATCAATGATGTTTTGTTTTCTCCTCATTAACCCAGAAGCTGCTTTAAAAAGACGTGTTTCTGTTTGTTTTTAGAAACTTTTTGATCATTTTTGTAGAAATGAGAATATTTCATTTGTCGTATTCTAGACTGAGATGCTCCTTTGCTCACTCCTCCTGTAACTGAAGTACGGTGGCCTTCGAGGACAAGAAGTTCCTGTATGAAGGGAAGTACCTGCTAACCAAAATGTCAATTAGTACTAGAATTGGGCGGTATGACGGTATAAACCGTATAAAACGCTTTTCCGGTCCGAGTTTGATCAGTCGGTCTTCCTGTCGGCATGACGAGCAGCAGCCTCCAGTGTATTAAAAAAAAATCGTATAGCATACAGTATATAGTATACTGTAGATATTTACAGTATATTTATATTTTTTATAACTTCATAAAAAATGTAAAAAATCCGCAGATTATTGGTAATCAGATTTTTTCCACCCTAATAATCGGTATCGGCATTGGCCCTGATTAGTACTGTTATTTTTCTGCTCAGGACCCCCGACACCTGAGGGGCTTTTGGAGGCCGATGAAGGGGGCTTCACAAAAGTGCAATCTCTTGTGGGGTTCCTCAAGGCTCCATCCTCGGCCCCTTTCATTTCTCCCTGTGACAATGATCCTCGATCGATCGATCGATCGATCGATCGATCAATAAATCTAAACAGCGACGATTTACAACAAACGTGAACTCCTCGAGACGCTCAAACAAAAATCTCTAAAACCACAAACATGAACTCTGACCAGCACACTACAGCCCTGAAGGTGTGTGTGTGTGTGTGTGTGTGTTAATATAAACACAGATTTTTTGAACTTTAATTGTCGAGGTTTCCGCCCACTGGCCTACATCTGCAGGAACAGTGTGTTCCTAAAACTCTGATCTCTGCAGGGACACACACACACGCACATGCACACACACACACACACACACTCACACACACACACACACTCAGGAGGGTCACATGTTTCTGCACGCTCAGAGAGAACGGCTTGTTTTCATTCCTGATAAACACACCGCGAGCAAAAGAGTTGAAGCGGAAGTTCTCGTATTCGCACACACACACACACATACACACATACACACACACACACACACACACACACACACACACACACACACACACACACACACACACACACACACACACACGGACAGTCTGCCTAAGACCAGGACATCTGTCAGGTCTTTGACTCGGACCGTCCTCTCCCTCCGTCCCTCGTGGCGTGTTTCCCTCTCAGACACCTGAACACACCTGAACACGCCGCTCTCTCACCTCCTCCTCTCCTGACTCAGCAGGTTTCAGGCCGCGCTAAGGTCGCGGGTTTGAACTTTGAACTCTTTGTTCTGCTGCGTTTGCTGGAAAAACAGGATTAACCAGCAGGATGGAGGTTTTTTTTCCTCTAACAGGGTCTTAAAATCTACATGAAGAGGTTTTTACAGAAAAGGGGGACGGATCAGAGAGACCCCCCAAAAACCCTGAAAGACTTCAGTCCTTCCGTCAGAACACTTCCTCAAACCTCCGTCTACACCTGAGCCAATCTAAAGGGATATTTCAGTGTTTTTAAAGGGATATTTCGGTGTTTTTAAAGGGACATTTCAGAGTTTTTAAAGGGATATTTCAGTGTTTTTAAAGGGATATTTCGTTTTTTTAAAGGGATATTTCAGTGTTCATCCAATTTTTCTCCTTTACATATGAGACTTAGAAATATAAATATGTTTACGAAAAAACATCAGATGTTTAAAATGTCTAAACCCTTTTAAACTAAAACCCTCTGGTAATCTAAAACCCTTTCAAATTAAAACTCACAATAAATCTAAAACCCTTTCAAATTAAAACCCACAATAAATCTAAAACTCTTTCAAATTAAAACCCAAAATAAATCTAAAACCCTTTCAAATAAAACCCCTCTGGAATTCTAGAACCCTTTCAAATTAAAAACCTAAAAAAAAAAGCTAAAACCTTTTCAAATTAAGACCCTCTGAAAATCTAAAACCCTTTCAAATTAAAACCCTAAAAATTTCAAAAACCCCTACAAATTAAAATCCTCTGGAAATCTGAAACCCTTTCAAATTAAAAGCCTCCGGCCTGCTGAGCTTCAGTCTGTTGACTTCTTGTTTTGTTTTTTCCTCAGACCACACTCATGTGACGTGATGAAAACAGGATGATAACAGAACAACATCATGAAGTTATGTAAGAGTCAGGATCATAAAACTGGAGCAGGAGATCTGCTGAACTTTGACAGGGTTAACTAAATTAACCTCCAGACACTAAAAATCAACTTTATATTCGAGGACAGAGCGGGTTTTCACTTTTATCTTTGGTTTTTGATGTTTTTAGAAGTTTTTAGTGTTTTTTTTAAAGGTTTTTGGTGTTTTTTTCTGGTACCCTGAGCTCAGTTTCTGGTGTGCAGCCATAGTTCAGTTATGTCTCCAATCTTGGAGTGAAAAAGAAGTTTTCCTTCCTGGTGAATATTTTTGGTTTCTGAAGTTTTTCTGACATTTTTAACGCCGTGCTGCTGATTGATTCTCTCAAACAAAGACAAACGTTTCCTCAGCAGCTCTGAACGCCTTCCTCCCGCTTGACGCTCTGACTGACAACGGTCCGCTGTGTGGACGTCCATCAGCGCTAATCACGCAAGAGGACAAAGACGCTGACAGACTCGTCCTCCTCCTGCAGCTACAACACGAAGGAGGCGAACGGCTTTTGTTTTCAGAGAGCGAGAGAAAAAGAGAGAGAGAGAGAGAGAGAGAGAGAGAGAGAGAGAGAGAGAGAGAGAGGAAACCGTGGGGCTCCTAATAAAACTCTGTTCCTTAGAGACGCTCTTGTTGCTGTTTTTGCTGTTGAGTGAAAAACAACCAAAAGAAAAACATGTGATCTTTTTAAAGAAGGAGCGTGTGAGATTTTTGTTTCCTATTTATATTTTCTGGGACGTTCTGTTAATTGACAATCTGCAGAAATAAAACAGCGGGGGAGTTCAGCTGGTTTTAGGCTTTTAAGTGATTTTTGACTCTTTTAAAACCCAAACTTTGGAGCTGTGTTTGAACGTGTTTACACTTTGTAATCCACATAAATCAACATTATATCTGTGGTTTATGAATATCTGATGGACCTGATATCGTCTGTACCGTAATGACCCTAATAGAAGACGTGTCTAAGGTTTAACTCGGTCGCTCTAACCCTGAACTTCCTCTTTCTTCGTATGCTGATGATACTCTGTCCTATCCATCAAACTCCAAACTTAAAGTCAGTTTTGCTGATCTGAGGGACTGTTTTCACCGCTCTTTTCACAGCGTAGGAACAAAGATGGCGGATTAACCTCCATGCCTTCGACAAAACTAAATATTAAAGGAAAACCAGCGAATTTTCCAGAGCTCTCCTCGTCTTTTCTGAAACCTTAAAGTTGTTGTAAAAACCTCAGAGTGTGCGTTACCTGCTCTCGCCGGGCTGCTGTGAAGGCAGTTTGGAGAGACGATGGCGGTGCGTACAGAGGTGGTGGCGTGGTTGCTGAGGTCCATCACTGATGGCGCTGGTGTGGGCGTGGCTTGGGGAATGATTGGCGGGTGGTGCGGTGGAGGAGCGTGTGGTTGGTGCTGGTGTTGCTGGTGCTCTGCGGGGCTGGAGGGGATGCCGTTCTCCGACAGGAACTCTTCCAGGTCCATGTACTCCAGCTGGAAGGTGTCGCCATCGTAGGGCAGGGTTTTGTCCCACAGCGTGGGGCCAAGGAAGGCCGACTGGGGGGCGCTGCGCTCATCTTCTAGGTTCTTCTCCTTCTCCTGCTCCTTACTGAACGCTGGAGGACAAAGGAAGGAGTTAGGTCGAGTTCAGGTGGAAAAACACGATAAACAGATTTTTAAACATCGAGTTTTTTCAGCCTGCCTTCATTCACATATTCTGGGTTTGATGAGCACATGAGAGACACGCCCCTCACGCCAATGCAGGGTTTAGTCGTTAACGCCCACCTCTAATGAATGCCGATGCTAACATTCTGGAAAATGGCGGCATTACCGCTCACAGTGACTTTCCGTCTTTTTACGGTGAATCTTTGAAAAGTGGTGAAATTACCGTAATCCATCTAATAATCTTCAGTGATTCCGTCCCTGATCACTTTATAATTAATTCTTAACTAAAACTGTCAATAATAACAGAGCAGCAGCAGCAGCAGAGCTCAAAGAGACACCTAGTGGTTCAAACTGGTAAAACAAGCTGCTTTGAGGTTTTGGTATCAAACCAGTTTGAAGTGGATCTGCCGGCCCAACCCTCTGAACTTCCTACGTCGTCATTCGTTGGGAATGTTCAGACATACTTTTATCCGCTCTGATGACGAGGAGCCAAACCCGTGACTCAGCTGGTCCAGATCTGGGTTTACAGGATCGCTGCTCCTCAGAGACACGAGTTTAAACACGGAAAATAAACAGAAAACTGACTGTTCAGATCTGTAACTTTCTACTCAGAACCACTCGGCCTCTTATTGACTTTACCTTGAGAACATCTGTGGACCTCTATCACCTTCAGCTGACCTCTGACCTCCACATGTACAGACGGACCTCTCCCACAGGAATCAATAAGAACGACTTCATGTTAAACTATTGATCTGAACGGTTCTGGAAACACCTGACGACGATTCTACGACTCATTTATGTTTCAATTTATGGGGTCAAAGAAATAAAGAGAGAAAGAAAATCACAGCAGGCGTCTCCTCCGTCTGTCTTTATGATCTCCAATCTTTGTTTTCAAGAGATTCAAGAAGGTGAAATTTTTAAAATTCATTATTCTGGACAATTTTTCAACTTCTCTTTCAAAATAAAAGCTGGAAACAAGTTCAGAAATAAAGTAAAGGAGCGACACTCACTTTTCATCTTCATGTTTGTGATTTTCATCATTTCAGAGTTTAAAGTTAAAAAAAGGAAAAATTTGAACAAAATATCTTTTAAGTAAGTTTTTTAAATCTAAGTTGTGGTTTTATTCATTTCAGACAGTTATTCTCCATTAATAGTTTTTATTTACAGTGTTTAAATTTAACAGATTTGGAGATTTAATCACTTAAGGAAACAAATAAACAGAATTTAAACTGATAGTTTTGGTTATAAAAACAACAACAATTAATAAATATTTTCAGTTTGAAACAGTCACTTTAATCAAACTGACAAAAAATGCAGGTAAATTTCACATGATTATAAACACATTAACTGTTTTTCCACTAAAATCTTTAAATTTAAACAAATTCAGAAAGAAAATAAAGCTTTATTGTGTTTTTAATAATATTTGAATTAAATTTGAAACATCTAAACGACTAAAACTGACATTAAAACACGTCCATGTAGATTCTCATTCACCAGGTCTTTAAGACTCCAAAAACAGGCGACTCTACACAGTCCAGTTTCCTGTTTTTGGAGTCTTTAAGAAAACATTAAACACATTAAAACACATTTTTTAGAGAGAAAAAAGATTAATAATGTTTTTAATAATATTTGGATTTATTTTGAAATCATCTTAGTGACAAAAACTGACATTAAAACACATTTTTTTATGGAGAAAAAAGATAAAAAATGAGTTTTTTAACAGGACTGAATTCATAAAAGATTACAGACATGATAAAATAAATAAGAGTAATCTTTAAAAACCTCTTTATGTTCAGATTTAAACTAAAACAGCTTTAATTTGAAGGTGTTTCCATCAGGCTGAATGTCCTCTCTCTCTCCTGTTTCACATGTTTACATCAATATTTCCCTCCTCTCTGCTCTTATGTAACACGCTCACAGATTTTCACCTGATTTTTTTTGTTTTTAACTGTCATTAAATGTTTAAATGTTTCTGGTTTTTTTTCTAACTCTAGATTTTAACCCCCTCCAGGAAAGAGTCTGAGGAGGGAGGAGGTTTTTTTCAGGATGGAGGGATTTACTCTTTTACCCCCCAGTCCTTTAAAATCCTGCAGCAGGTCTGAACATGTCCGCAGGTTCACATCTTTAAATATTAGAAGACCTGAACTTCACCTGCACAGATACAGTCACTCCTCACACTCTCCTGACCCGGTTCTGTTCGGACCCAGATCACTAAAACCCTCTCCTGGACTGAAAACCGAGTCTGAGTCTCCTGTCAACAGGTGAGCTCTCAGGAGGAGGTTTTTAGTGGATCTTCAGGACCTGCTGGAGGTTCCACAGAGACGCAGAGTCCTCACTGATCACATCTGAACCTCGGAACCAGCCGGGTCCAAGTGCGCAGCAGAACTCACCTTCATGGTGCATGGGCAGCTTCATCGGGTTCTCCAGCAGAGACTTGAGGACTCCGTGCGTCGACGGAGGGAGGAAACCCGGGGTGAGCGGGACGGGATGTCGGCACATCTTCTCCATCTCGCCTCCTTGATCGGGGAACCGCGGATCCGAGCCGACCGAACCGAGAGAGACGGAGACAACAGAGAGAAAGATCCAGAAAGAGGAGAGAGAAGAGTGGTGGTCTGCTGTGGTGGTCTGGAGAGTCCTACATGAAACCCCTCAGACAGTCGGACCCGGGTCTGGAGGAAAAAACACAAACTAACGCGTTCACAGGCGCGTGCGAAGGTGCCTGACCGCACTCGGACCGATCACCGATCCCATGTGTGAGGACGGAGGACTGCTGACGTCAAAGTGCGAGCCAAACACCCGCCCTCCTCTCACCGCAGCCACGCCCCCCCCCACACACACACACACACACACACACGCACGCACACGCACGCACACACACACTGTAAAGAGTAAATACAGGAAATAAAGGTGTAAAATATTCTGACCCAGAAAGAAGAAAAACGTCAAACCTGCAGCAGGTCAACTTTAGTCTAGTTTAGAGGTCATTAAAGGCCATTAAAGGTCAAAGCTGACACTTAAGAAAAACAAAAGTCAAAGTTTAATAAAGTTTATTTTCTCTAACTTTATTTAATTACAATAATAAAGAAGGAAGTTCCAAAAACTGCAGTTCCTAGACTGTCCACTGGAGGCTGTGTCCAAAAATGGGTCGATCTCTGTAGAGCTCCAAAGTAAATCTGACTTTCAAACAGAAACAAACATTTAAACAAAACATTAAAGCAGTCTCTATGGCTTATTATTGTCTCTCTTTTTATCAGTAAAAAATGAAATAAAATATTAAAACTGATCTGATAATAGAGCCGACAAACTGAACACGTTTAACAGGAAATTTGTCCGAAGTCTGTTTAATTCTCCGAACGTCAAAAAGTGAAAGTTTTATTACAAAATTAAAAAAATTAAAAAAATGTTTTTTCTTGTTTAGCTTTATTTGATTTTACTTCCATTAATAATAAGAGCTTAATAAAGAAGCAGATATTAATGTCCTAAAAACTGCAGTTCCTAGACTGTCCACTGGGAGTCAGTCCAAAAAATGATTCAGTCTCCATAGATCTCCATGAAAAGTATGTGCAGAAAAGTAAATCAAAGTTAAAGCAGCAGTTTTTTTTCTTGAAAGTTTTAATGTGATTTTAAAAACTTTATTTTAGTCTGTATTTATTGTTTAGATTTAAATTTTAATAAGTTTCAAACTTTTAAACTGAATTCTGAACAAAAAAGTCAAAACTGCAGAAACTCAAACCTCATGAAAACTAAAGTTTTTACTGTGTTTTTAAAGTTTTTTTATTGTTTGACATTCAAATCTTTATTAAATATGATGACGAACACACACACACGCACACACACACACTGGAACACTGAGGCTGCACAGAGGAATGCTGGGTCACATGAGTGGGCGGGGCTGACCTACTTTCGTCCAATGAAGGGCCACCGTTTCCACGTCTCCGCCCCCCTCCTCTACTCCTCCTGCAGCCAGGACACATTGAAGCTCATGTGCTAAAGAGGAGAGGAGGGAAGGAAACAAATAAAGGAGAGAAAGAAGGAAAGGAAACAAATAAATGAAAAGAAAGGAGAGAAGGAAAGTAAACAAATAAAGGAGAGAGAAAGAGAGGAGAGGAGGAAAGGAAAGATAAAGGAGAGAGAGAGGGGAGAAGAGGAAAATAGGAAAGGAAACCAAAAAAAGGAGAGAGAGAGGAGAGGAGGAAAGGAGGAAAGAAGAGAAAAGAGGGAAGAAGTAAAGGTGGAAAAATGAGGCGCGGAGTAGGAAGGAGAAGGAGGAAAGAATGAGAGGAGAAAAAGTGAGTAAAGGAAAAGAGGACGAGAAAGAGTGGAGAGAAAAGAAAGCAGAGGAAAGAGGGGAGGAAAATAGGAGAGGAGGGCAGAGTAGAGAAGGAGTTAAGGAGGGAAAAGGTGAGGAAATAGGAGGAGAAAATAAGAAAGAGGAAAAATGAGTGAATGAAAGAGGAAAGTCCCTCATCACAGTGTAATGAAATCAGGATTATTTTTAAACCATCTGAATATATTAGAAACATTACGGTAATCCTTTAGTAAAGGTTTTTTAATAAAATAACATGTTCGGATCAGAGTCTGTGAGAAAGAAACATTGTCTCTACGTTCATTAAATCCATCGTTAGACTTCATCTGTTTCCATGGAGTCTCAGATTCTTCACTCTGGTTTCTTGTTCATCTGCAGAAATCTGAAGGTCATGATGGAGGACGATGTTTCACCTGTTTCTGCTCTTCATACGTCTGTTTTTCATGTTTGCTGATATCCAGACTGTGAGGATAAATTTTACACTTTGTCTAATTTTGTTTATTTTGTACAGATTTCGTTAAAGTCTCAAACTTTTTCAGACTTGTTTTCGTGGATGAACCAGATCTCCTCCTCTCTGAAGGTCTCCTGTGCTGCAGCTCCACACATTATGTGACATTAGATGGACACAGAAGAAGAAGAAGAAGAAGAGAACGTCCTCGTCTGCAGCCTCGCTCTGATAACAGCCTCCTTAGCAACAGCGGTTGCCAAAGCACGGTGATGTTGTGACAACCTTTGTGACACAGGAAAGTAGGACAGGGCTCTGACACGCCTGCTGTGCCACTCGCCGCAGAGCCGTGACGAGGCCCTGACTCACTACACTCCTGAACACACACACACACACACACACACACACACACACACACACTCACACACACACTTATGATCACCTTAAGTGTGTTTTGAATATCTGTGAACACACACATTAACGCTCAGCGGGTCCTCAGGAGAATTCAACTCAATTTAAAAACACACACAGTTGTCGTCACTGTTTAACTTTGTGTGTTTAACCTAAAATAGATCAGATCAGGATCACACGCAGAGGTCTGGTTGGTGGCGACCAAAAGCAGAAGTGAAACTGCAAATATTTGACTGTGACTCACCGACAGGAACTTCCTAAAGCTGAAGGACGACGACGCCGTCTGAGTTTGTTTATACCGAAGGGAGGCAGCAGGAGTTTACGTGTCTGCAGATGTTTGAATATCGAGAATTTTATTTTTGCACATTTATTTGAAGATGAAAGTTTAGTTTGTTAGGGTGACCATACGTCCTGTTTTACCCGGACATGTCCTCTTTTTTGGGGGCGGACTTTTGTGTCAGGTAAACTTACTGAGTTGGAAGTGCGTAAAAGACACTCGATCTGACTCTAAAAACTCTCAGAATTAACATTGTGCGACTTCGTGACTCCGCCCCTTTGTAGTCGTATCATCTTTTTAGGAAGTCAGAATATGGTCACCCTAACCCCCAATTTTCACCGCATCCAGAGCGGCGCCGGAACAGCAGCGATTTTCGCTGTACGCCAATTCCTACTGGATCTGTTTGTGAGACGAATTTCATGGCAGATTACGGACAGCAGGAATCGTGAGAACTCACAAGAACCTGCGGATTCATGAGCAATCGTGTGATAACAAGTTGTCTCTATAAAGACAGACACATAGACATATAAGCAGTAGATTGTGTCCTTCCAGAGGAGGAAATCTACTTCTAGACTTCTAGAATCAGCATCTCCTCATCCATGGTGTCATCGGGGTGAAATGACGTCTAAAAACCTTTCACTTGTTCGTCTCCGCCCGTTTGCATGGTGTGAAATACGAGTGTTTTATTTTGAAAAGAACACGGATGTTTTATTTTGTGTCTGTGCCCGACTTCCTTTCCAGCACGGGTTAATCTGTGCTGAATTTATCCGGCATGCTCCAGCGTCCAGAAAAAATAGAACTCTTGTGATCAGCTGAGGAGTCCGAAGATCCGCAGAGGAACGGAAAGAAGTCGGTGTAAATTGACACGTTAACTTGAATGGTTACGATCAGCTACGATCGGAGGATACGACCTTTTAGGAGACGATCAGGATGAAGGTGGAGATTAAGGTTGAGATGTTGTTTAAAACTGAGGATGCAGCATCTATGATTTCCAGTCCTTCATTGAAAGGACAACTGGACTTACTTGAGACGTTTCGCCTCAGCCCTTTTTTAAAAATCAATAACAGATTAAATGATCCAAATAACAAGAAGCGGGTCGATGACCTGAATTCAGTTTAAGGTTGACGTCCAATCTGCTCAGACCTTCTAATACAATCAACAGGTTTGGAGTTTTTCCACCTCTGCATTGATGAGATAACACTCAGGCAGCCAATCAGAGTAGAGCCTCGTTAACACTGCGCAGCACAGCAGCCCCGCCCACTCAGATCTCTGAGTAAGAAACAGATGAATTTGTGACGTTAAAAGACGACTCGAACACGTTATTATCGTCTCAAACCGCCGTCACGCTGACTCTTTGATGCGAGAACATCCTGCACCTTTTCTAAAATACCCTCCACATGTCTCTCTCTCTGAGTTTGGGCCCCGAAGAATCCACCACAGAGGAGTTAATTGGATTTTCCTGAAAGGACAGGATTTGCCTCCAGTCTGAAAACACAAAGTTCTGGTTGTTTTTGGTTCATAAAAAACGACAAAAACAAGAAAACAGGCGTGTAATCCCAGCGCCTGAACTCTCCAGGGTTGAAATGATGATTTACGTAACCGCCAAATCTGTCCTGAAAGAACTCAGTCAGAGCGCTGACCTGCTGCACCCTCTTAAGACTCCACCTTTCTGAGCCAGGACCTCATTTCACAGGACCTAATGACCCCCCCCCCTCGCCGCTCTGAAAGTAAATAAACGAGGCGTTGGCGTTGATGGCGTCATTTTGTGTTCATGTTACACACATCAACATCAGCGCCGCACTAACAGGCCAATCACGGGCGGAGTTTGATCTGTTTGGGCTGAGCTCTTTAATCCAGCCCTCACAGCCCTGACCTTTGACCTCCAGGTTCAGCCAAGGTAAAGAGGCTTTGCAGGTTGTGTAACCGTTCAGGCTGCTGCATGTGTGTGTGCACGTACGTACATGAGCAGATGATCTCATACACGCAGCCTCCGATAATCTATGACCCCCCCATCATCCATCATCATCCATCATCATCCATCATCCTTTTATCGTCCCGCAGGATTCAGACTTTTTATCCCGCAGGTCAAACGAGTCAGCGCTTCTGATGATGGTCTCCAACCAATCAGCTGCTGAGAGGTCCAAACAGTGGACCACGTCGGGGACTGAAGGGGTCCATGACCTCCTCCTGGACGAGGATCTCAGGTTGTCTGTGGGACAGACTTCAGGTCAGAGGTGGAGTTCCTCAGGGCTCCATCCTTGGCCCACTCAGTTTTTGCTCTGATTGGACCCCACCTGGAGGTTCACTTCAAGTTACCTGCTAGATGTTGAAAAGATGATTGATTGACAGCTTTGTTGACCAATGAGGCTCCTGCTGCTCCTTGGACTGGATCCACCTGAAGGAGCTTTGGAAACTCGTCATGAGAGTTAGGAAGATCAGTTCTTTTGACTGAATCTTTAGAATCCGTTCATTGAAACGATTCGTTCAAAAGATTCGTTCACTGAATCAGTCAGTGCTTCAGAGCCTCGTCTTGTCGCTGATGGCAAGTTCATTCATTGAATGAGCCCCTCCCCTCCCCTGCTGCTGAAGTCACAGCGTCGTTCGCTGGGTGACACATGTCGTTCATTCGGCAAGTCCTGAAGGAAGACTCCGCCCGCTCGCTCGCTTATTAACCAATGAGTCAAAGGCGGTAGTTCCAATCCCGACCGGCACGCCAGGCTCTCGGCTGAGTCAAATGTTGACGACACAGACATAAGAGAACACAGAGATGACGTTATATTACCAAACGTCATCAACAACTTTAACGGATTCCTGCCTACTCCACCTTTAAATCTGGACTAGAACCTTCTGAAAGGGTTCGACATGGACCTGATCCACCTGATCAGGTCCATGTCATCAAAATACAAAAACCAGGTGTCAAATGTTTCCCTCGGTAAACTCCGTCACTCACAGAAAAACACAAAACTGTGGTCGAGTTTAAGGTTTTCATGAGTGTGTGTATGTGTGTGTGTGTGTGTGTGTGTGTGTGTGTGTGTGTGTGTGTAATGTCATTAGAGTTTCCAGGCCCAGCTGATATTTATAGTTGCACTTGCTGGTGTGAAGGGAAATCAATAGTCGGGGCCGCGGGCAGGAAGAATATTGACTCGGCCCCTCCACTGCAGCCCTCGTACACACACTAAAAATACCACCATTCACACACACACACACACACACACACACACACACACACACACACACACACACACACACACACACACACACTCACACACACAGTGATAAACTTAATAAATGATTCCCCCAATGACCCTCTCACCCTGAACCAACAGTAGAATAATCTCATTATCACAGACTTTCATTTTGTTTCCCACGTCAGCAGAAGAACCAAACCGAGAAGACCGGGTCCAAATCCCACATCAGCTGCTGCTCGCAGAGATGTTCTCCATATTGATCGACTCTTTCATAACACACACGCGCTGAAGCCTTTTAATAACACAATATGTGGTACAGTACGACTTCCACAGACACACAAGCTCACTGTCAGACTGATTTCTTCTTCTTCACGACCGTCTTCTTCTCCTGCAGCTCAGAGTCGATCTTATGTAACAAACCCGAACTCCTGGATCTCAGGCCTGAAGTCTGTCGGTGCCGAAACAACATTTATCGTCTCTCTGTGTGTGATGATGCTGATGTCGTCCGAACAAGAGGACTGAAGACTTTGAGGACATGAAGTATCAGTATAAAATATCCGGTAAATTTCAAAATAAAACAAAATCAAGAAGTTGAACTGTTTTTAACTGGAGAGGCCAGGGTTGTAGAATGTGGGTGTTTATATAAAATGCCGTTTATTCACACCGATCGGTGAATCTCATTCTATGACTCACAGGGAATCATGCAAGATCTCGTTTGATCTTGTCCAGTCTCGCGAGAACTATTGGTAATCTCGTGAGCGCTTCTCCTCCGATGGTGGCGGCGGATCGGATCTGGTGGGCGCTGTATAATAATACCATAAACAATTATTCTCAGTCTGTTTATTAGAGACTTTTATTTTGAAGGAGCTCAAACAGCCTTGACGTTCACAGGCTCCGTCTGTCCTTATAAAAACACTCCAGCAGATAAACTTGATTGTTTTTTCTCACGCCAAGGTCAAAGGTGAAGTGAAATCATGTCAAACTTCAGAGGGACTCCTCGCTCCTCCTCTTCGCTCCTCTTCCTCCTCCTCCTCCTCCTCCTTATCTTCTCTGTCAGATGGAAACACGACGTGTCGGTTCTCGCCGTGTTTACGTTCTCGGCGTTCCCCTCCAGGAGGAAAAAAGCGCTCGTGTTAGTTTGGATAAGCTCGGAGCAGCAAACTTTGGGCTCCATTGTTGCCCTGAAGAACAATCCAGATCCAGATCCAGGACCGAGGACCGGCCCACAATAGCTGAGGAAGGTTTCCTGTGACCGGGAATAAAAACACTCTGAGGACGGGGGTGAGGGAGCAGGAAGGAGCTGGAGAGGAAAACCTGCAGTTCATCCACCGTCCACTAGAGGCAGACTGTCTTTAAAGTGCTCGAGTTCAGAGTTAGATGATCACATTAAAGCTTCAATGAGGAGTTTTTGTTAGGGTATCAGAGGACAGAAAATATTCACATTAAAGGATTTCTGTGAGTGTAAAAGTCAGTGACGACTTTCACTACTTTACAACAATGTCTGCTCTGTCCACAGGGGGGGCGCCAACATCAGCACAGATGCAAAAGTTCCTCACAGGAGCTTTAACAGCCTCTTCTGTTGAAGTTCCTTCTGTTGAAGTAAAAAGTGTAACTAAATCTCCCTGACTCTGACGGTTCATGTTTTCATATCTGAGATGATCCAGATTTGTTAAAAGCTGCAGAAAGAGTTAATTTTTATGATAAATATGAAAAAAAAAAACAGTTTAGATACAGTATTAGATCATTTCAGCGTTAATAAATCAGATTTATTTACAGTAAAATTTCTTTAAAGCTTTTATTCATAAATAACTAAAGAGACAGAAACTTCACAGTCTGATAACAAACACGGTTATATCAACAAATCCTCTTTTTTAATCTAAAAACACAGAAAACATCGTCACTGTTTTAACGGGAGGTTCTTCAGAGGTCCACCTGAGTTTAAAAGAAAGAGCAGAACCGAAGACCTGAACCTGAACCTGCTCGGACCTCCTCAGAAACCAGGACAGAGTCAGAGTTTGGCACTTTAGTAAAATAAAAGAGTTTAAACTTGTTTCCTCCTCAGATTCTCAGAGTTTAAACTAAACGAACACGAACAGAAACACAGACAAGTTTAAATATTCAGTCACTTCAGTAAAAACACAAACAGAACCTTTAACATCACAGCAGGGACACCAGGAAGACTCTGGTTCTGGTTTCTACATCTCAGTCTCTATAGACGGGCTCGGCCTGCGGTCCGACCCCTCCACGTCCCGCTCCGCCTCCAGCTCAGACGTCCCTGAAGGTGGATGAGGAACCGGGACGCCGCTGCTGCTGCCGCTGCTGGTGGTGGTCACAGGAAGACTCCATGAGGTGGTCTGGGTCACATGACTGTAAGAGGTCCGAAAGATCAGAAACACTAAATCAGTTTGAGACGATGAGACCAGATGGAGCAGGACTCACTCAGATGACCTCTCCAGGAGCCTCATTTATCAAATGTGCGAAGAAAAGGTTCTAAATTCTGACGTAGGAATAAAATTTTTAATGTGCACAAGAACAAAAACATCAGAATTTATCAAACAAATGTTCAGAAACAGGATCTGTGTTCTGTGTCGGACTCTTACTTGATGAAGTATTTGACTCCGTCTGCGGTGAACGCCTCCTCCCAGCCGTAAGGAAGACCTGCAGGAGGAACACCAAGAGAAGTTAAGAGAATGGCGCCCAGTTTTATGATTAAAGGTTCCTCCTTGATACTAGAGAAATGGAGACCCACGATTTTGACCAGGTTGTAGCGCTCTCTGTGGCCCAGGAAGGGTGCATAAAGGGTGGGCACACACCTCCAGACCGTCCCCCCTTGATACTTTGAAAACTCAGAGAACCATCATTTGACCAGGTGGTGGCGCTCTCTCTGTGGCCCAAAAAGTCTCACCGTTCTGGGCAGGAGCTCTGGCGAATGCATCGACGTTAGCTCTGGAGCCTCCTGCTAGCTAGCCTAGCAGGAGGCTAGCTTGTTTCTGAATCGATCAGTAGTTTAAATAAAGTTTTTAAGGAGACATAAATTTGCAGTTGCGCAGTACGGATCGGGTTTCTGGGAAGGATCTGGTAGCGACACCCCCTAACAGCTAAAAGTTCATGCTAACCTGCTAAATGGTCCGGGTTCTGTATCTTCTGAATGTTAGCATTGACGCCGGGTCCTGTTAGCTTGATTGCATTTAGCTCAGATTAGCTGCTCCTGCCTGCGTGTACTCTACAGGACCTGTAGTCCCAGACCCTGTCCCTGAGCTCTTAGCCCGCTATCTTTGAGTATAGATGGATTTCATAGAGTGTCATCTAGTGTATCACGTCTACGCCTCGGTCTCTCCTCAGTCGTCTCTGGTTTCAGTTTTCTGACAGGCGTCTAAAACCCTCTTTTGTTCCTGAATCGAGGTTTAGAGGGTTTTCCTGATCCAGCAGCTCCGGTACAGTAAGAGGAGAGACCAGGAGAGACCAGGAGAGACCAGGAGACCTGGTGGAAAAGTACAGTGAGATCAGTCCACAGACCAGTTCTGAGGAGGGACCGGGTCTTTCAGGGAACAGGAAACCTGAGATCTGCGATCAGGTGTGCGTTAACCTGTTTGTGTCTTAAAGACGGAGAGGTGGAGCTCCTGATGATGATGATGATGATGATGATGATGATGATGGATGATGATGATGATGATGATGGGACTGACGGGGATGTTCTGAGACTTTAAAGTCCTCGTGTGTCTCTGACGCCGGTCTGTTCTGGTCTTGGGGGTCTTTGCTGCTGCTCTGCCTGTTCTGGTTTTTCATGTGTGAACAGGAAACATCAGAGGCGTGCTCTCCCCGCCATAAGACGCTTCAGATGAGTATCAGTGAAAGTGGCGTGGACCACGAGCTCTGTGATTGGTCTGATTGCTGCCGTCGCCATCGTCTATCATCATCCTGAGCTGCTGTGAACGACCTCTGACTGAAAGCCCACAGGAAGTCACACGCTCCCACGTCCTCGCCCCGTCACTGTAATCTTCATGTATGAACACAGAGCCCACAATGCAGTTCTCACCGCCGGGACAAAGACGCCTGATCGGAGCGAGGAGCTGCTTTGTGAGTCTGTGAATGAAGAGTGTGAAGATGTGCGGTCCATTTCAGAGACCGGGTTTCACTCTGAAGGTTACCGGGGGGGCCGGGGGGGGCAGGAGGCGGGTGTCAGGTGGAGAAACACGTCCGTCAAAGAAACACTAATGATCGGCTCACTTACACGACTCTAAAGATTCCTAGAAACCCTGAAAGCCTCCACCGCCGTCTTCAGTTACCGTCTTTGTGACGACCTGAACAAAAGCCGCCGGGGCCAAGTGGTCCGGCTGGACCTGAATGAAGTAGGTCTTCACCCGGACTCTGACTCTGGAGCGTTAATCCTCAGAGGATTTCATAAAAAGAGAGTCTCATGGTTTCATATGACGGACGAATTCACCTCCTCAGATCAGGGTGAGTCTGCAGACGAGTGTTTGTGTCGTTCATGAACGATTCGTTCAAAAGAACCGAACATGAACTGAATCGCTCTGAGATCTGATTCGTTCCTTTCTCACTTCAGTTGAGTTCAGCCTTGAGTCTGGCGTGCTGATCAGGAGTGGAACTGCCGCCTCTGACTCTTTGGTGGACGACACACAGCCAGCCAGCGAGTGGGCGGAGTCTTGAACGACATGTATCAGTCAGACTGTGAACGAAATTAACGACTTCAACGACTTTATTCAGGCAGAGGAGGGAGGGAGGTGTAGCGTCGTTCACTTCCTGCCGAGCAGCGGTTGGTTGAGCTGACATGTTTATTTATTTTTAATTTCTCCACTTTTCTGCGATATAGTAGAACGACGACTCGTGCTCATTTAGCGGCGTGCTGCTCGCTGCCGTGTTGTTTCCACCGACAGACAGCGACACACGAAGAGGCGAGTTTTTCAGGGCAGGGAAGTGATTCTTCCTTCAGGACTTGGCGAATGAACGACATGAGTCACCCAGAGAACGACGCTGTGACTGATTCGATGAATGAATCTTTAGAACGAATCGCTTTAATGAACTGATTCTAAAGATTCAGTCAAAAGAACTGATCTTCCCATCATGACTGTAGACCTTCGTGAACCCAGCAGACCAGGTTCTGGACTCCTAGTTTCTCTACATGAATCGTCATTGTCCGATGTTTTCAGACTCCTGACCCGTCGCTGTTACGGAAGAGTTTTCTTCTCATTTACAATCTCCCTCCCTCTCTCTCTCCCTCACTCTCTCTCTCTCTCTCTTTCTCTCTCTCTCTCTCTCAAACCAGGTCAGCTCTCTGTCAGAGCCCTGAGTGAGCGCCGTTACCTAACACCGCCGTGGTCACTTTCAAAAGCGTCATGTGACCGATTTAATCCGTCTCTGCGGCAGGGAGGACACGCGTCTCCATGGTAACAAACATTTACACACAATCGCACTCAGCTCGTTTGATTAAATGTGAAGACGATGGAGAGACGGTCGTCTGAAACTGTGCGGGACGTCAAACTCAGGTCCAACACCTCAGCAGGTGTTTACCTCACACACACACACACACACACACACACACACACACACACACACACACACACACACACACCTGTTCACATGCACATACACACTCTGACTCAGCAAGACCCCACACACACTCAGCCGTAAGGAGAGGAAGTAATGCATGATAAACGTGATGATCTCTTCCTACACACATCCAAACTCTCACACACACATCTACACACTCTCACAGAGCGGCCTCCTGCCTGAGCCTCCTCTCTCCTCCTCTTCCTCCTCTGGCCTGTTTCAGCTTCATCGTTTCGCCTCACTTGCCTTTTCTGCCTGATCAGAGTTCACGCCGAGAACACCGAGGCTCAGAAAAAGGAGCTGCGAGGGTTTTAGTCGGCTCACAGCGGGTCATGTGGTCTGTTTTGGATCAGAGCTGGATTTGGAGAGAAGATTTTAGAGAGAGTGACTGAAGCGAGGTTGTTACCGGAGTCACTCCTGCGTGAATATATTTGTATTTTTAGATCTTCCTTTCTGTTCTCTGTTTGGTCCTGATCTGGCGTCCGTTAAAACCCTCGCCTCGGGTGTTACTTTTTACACAGCTGTGAGGTGGCGAGCGCTAATACCTACATTTTAGTTACTAAACCTCCAAACTTGTAATTCCTGGTAAAAGTTTTTTAAACCTCGAGTTCTTTTTCAGCTCCATCCAAAACAGACGTGCAGACTAGTGTTCATAAAATCAGGTTTGATCCTCTCCATCTTCTCCTTCCACCTGAAATCAAACTTTTAAAACGTTTCTATCGTGTTTGAATTTCTGAGACACATCGAGAACTTTTTAATAACGGTCGTCAGGTTTCGTCTCCTCGCCGTGAGTCACTGATGGAGAGTTAGACGACGACTGAGCGGCGCTGGGATTTCAGAGTCTCATCGGCTGAAACGGAGAATCAGAGAGCTGTCATTAAACCTGAGATGGATGTCGGTGCGTGTGTTATGAGTCCAAGTCATAAGGGAGAGATAAGGTTGTCATGGTAACCCCGAGTGTGTGTCTGTGTGTGTGTGAGAGAGAGGAAGACAAAGGTTCCTGCAGTTAAAGCTTCATGATTTAAAAGGTGAGCTTGTATCCAGGCAACCAGGGATGTTATGAAGCGCTGCTACAGGTGATGCTCACACACTCACAAATACACACACACACACACACACACACACACACACACACACACACACACACACACACACACACACACACACACTCACAGTGAGAGCTGGATGAGTCTGACCTACTTTCTCGGCTTGTTTTTGTCTCCAGCAGGACGTGATGGAAGAGGATGGAGGGCGTCTGTGATGCTGCACGGCGGCTGTTCATTATGTAAGCTGGCCCACATCCTCCCACCGCTCCTCTGATGAGGAAATTAGGTGACTGTGTCACAAACTCACAAACTGTGTCGGACAAACTGAACCGTCTCAAGGTTTCTCAAAATAACACGACTGCGGAGGACGAAATCTCACAAAAACACGATTTTCTGAAGACACAGGACGCTGCGGACAGTGAAGTCCTGTCAGTTTTATCAGGTTTATCCTTAGACTGTATATATTATGGACAAATTCCTCCTACCGTCAGTATAGGGATTTGAAGCTGAAAAGCTCTTGGTAATTAGCCAACATTCCGCAGTAGCGTTGTACACATTTGGTGGGAGAGTTGCATTGTTGCTGTGATGACGCTCGGCTCAAACTGCGTAAGCTGCGTTCAAGTTACCTCAGAAGTAAGATGTCGTAGCTGAAAATGACGTCATACCAAAGTTCCTAGGGTTTCAGTTACCAAGTCGGAACAAGATGGCTACATCTAAAAAAGTTATTTTAGCGCTTGCCTTATATTCGGACAAGGCAAGTTCTAAAATAACTTTCGTAGATGTAGCCATCTCGTCTCCGCCTCCGATTTTTTTTTTTCCGACTTTGTAAGTACGCTAGGAACTCGGGTGTGACGTCATTTTCAGCTCAGACTTCTGACTCCCCAGGTAACTTGAACACAGCCGTATCCCCCGGGTGGCGAATTTTATTTATTTTTTGGATGGTAGGAGAAGGTCCCGCCCTCCTTCGCCTCTGATTGGCTAGAAGTGCTGGGGTCAGATTGGTTATTTCTAATCACTATGAAACGTCATTATCTGTCAGGTTAGGGTTAGGGTCTGAGTTTGTCCACAGCCCCATAAGCTTTGCTGGAGGAGGCGGGATTTATGACCTATACTGCAGCCCGTCACCAGAGGGTGCTGTTCTCGGAGTGGCTTCACCCAGAGAGGAGGCAGACGGCGTCTATTCTACATACGGTCTATGATTTAGACTGAAAGTCGTGCTTTGGTTGGCAGTTATTTCCAAAATGAACTCTCACAGACAGTACACTGATAACTTCTAAACTCGTCATATTTACAGTTTTTATTTGGAATATTTACTCAGAAAAATTCAAAGTACACACAGCAAATAACTGCAGACATGTTCAAAACATCTACAGGACCTGTCCTTGGATCGCTGCTGGTATCAAACCACCACGGCTGAATTCCAGTAGGAGGGTTTCACCTCCTCCACGCCTCCTTCGGTCCTTCCAGACCTCCTTTTTGAAGCTGAGTGAGGTTTTCCAGGTCTCTGCTCCCACAGTGTTTGGTGATATTTCTAGGCTTCTTCGTTCAGGTGGCTAATCTACGGCACGAACACGAGCGCGGAGCCGCTCAAACACAGAGCTAACAGCGACGACAGAGAGCTACAGTACGTTATTCTAACTGAACTCGCTGAAACTGAACGCTAGCTACAGTAAATAGCAACCGTATGATACTGTGACGTTAAAGCTTTAAAATGTTATTGAAATGAAGGTTTTGATTGACCATAAAGACACAGAGAGGGTTTCATCTAAAGGACGACGGCAACCTTCGCTCAGGTTTGTCCATCGTTCACTGAACGCTCCATCAGACGAGTTTTAGGCACTAGATCTGCGTGTCCGAAGTCCTTAGCGTGGACTCTATATAAGGTGCATAGCTACTGTTGGCTTGTTTGGGTATGTAGACCGAAGTGTTCTTGGATTTCGTCGACAGAAATGACCAAACCAGGTGTCAGCTGAGGGTTTGATATTCAGATTATTGTGTTTCATCCAGATTATTAGCAGGTTAGCTGGATACAGAAAATCTATGAGACAAATGCTAACTCTGCCGCTAACTCGCTGTTGTTGTTATTGTTGTTTGATATTTGCATGAAAAGTTGTTCAAAAGGCACAATTCTAGATAATGTGAGTTTTGGTGACATTTAGCAGCTCCCGCCTGTTGTTCAAAGAAGCCACACCCCTAATTGTACGTAACTTCAAAGCTGAGTAAAATAAAAAACGTAGAGTTACATAAAATAAATCGTCCTCTAAGAGTTGATCGAGAAAAAAAAACAAACTCAAAATATCAGATTTGATTTTGTACCTGTCTGTAAACTTGTTTTTTTCTGCTGTAAAGTCAGACGTGTTAACATGGCGCTCTATGGGAGTCGACTCACCGTATGAGCCAGCCTCTAGTGGACACTTGAGGAACTGCAACTGCTGAAAAATCTCCACGAGTTTAGATATAAAAGAAGCTAAAAATATTTACATTTGTTTAACGTGCCTGGTAACGAATCTCCAAAGGGAGCGCTGTCACTCGCCTGTGGTCAACACGGTGAGGCCAGCACTAAGATGTGGGATTTTAAGAAACTTGAATGCCTTTTTGTATTTCCTGTTGACATTATTTTTTTTAACTCATTGTAAGTGATTTAAGTCTATTTTTTGCAGCGATATCGAGACATTTTCACCAGAAATAAGTCCGAAAAACTAAAATCTGAGATTTTACGGTGAACTTGCTCAGCCTCACGCAGCTTGGCGATAAGTTTGAAAGCTTGTTTTGAAAAGTTCTGAACTATTTTAGGGACCTCTTTCAGAACAGTCCACTAACTTTGCATAGCTGTAACGTTATTTCTGTTTTTCGTTCTGGTTCCTGGATGGGAGGAGCTAACAGATGGCTTGAGTCCTCTGACCTGAAGGTGAAGCAGCATGGGTTTCAAAACTCTCATCATTCTCTCAGTGAACGGTGGACAAAACTTTTGAACGTTTGTGTGGTCCCGTAAATCTACTGCGGTCTCTTCCTGAAGTTTTGACCTGCTCAGAAATATGGGAGTCTTTTAAAGATGAGACGTTTTCATCAGAAAAGGACTCATCAGTGAAGATCTGAGACGGTGAAAACACAGAGAAGAAAACCGAATATCCAGAAACTACGCAGAGATTATTGAGCTGGTTGACAGAAACTAAACAGAGTTTCATGCAGATTAAGACAAGAGTCCGTTGCTAGCAGGTTCAGAGGAGCTGTGGAGATGTCAGGGGGAGAGAGTTCGGGTTGACGGTGGTCTGTCGGGTCCCGCTGTCGTCCGAGAGCCTCGCCGACTCTGTGCGGTGGATCCTCTAGAAGGTCAGCACTGAAACGGGGAGGACAGGAACAACAGCAGGTTTGCAGGATCAGTTCGGTTTCATCCGGCGAGAGTCTCATGCAGGGCAGCTCAGAAACACAGAGGAGGAGGAGGAGGACGTGCAGACCTGCATGCGTGGAGCTCAGATCACTTACAGTCGACCTCCAGGATGGCTCTGACAGTCCGTGTGAGCTCCTTCGCCTCCTGAGCGAGCGTGGCCGCGGTCCAGGGGCTCTTCTTGTAGCGAGGGGGGAGGCCTTGAGACGACGCTCCGACTTTTTCCCCGGAGCTAAAAGAACAAAACAGAACAGAGTTGGTTTGACTCAAAGTTAAAAGTGTCTTCATTTAAAGGTTGAGACTAAATCTAAGAAATTCGACCTCTTGACCCTTAAAGTTTTCTTCTACTTAGTCCCAGTAATCCAGAGGAAGTCCAGTCCTCTGCCGGGATCAGGATCATCCAGGTTTTCTCTAAACTGTCCCAAAGGTCCTCCAAAGTTTTAACACAAACTGAAGGTCTGATCAGGACAAAACCACAAACTGGATTAACTCGGACGATCCAATTACCAATTTTATCTCTCTTATCGAGATTTGATCCAATTTCAGAGCATGAATCAGACCGGATTTTATTTTTATCATCTGGGTCCAGTTGTTTGGGATCAGTGGAGTCCCTGTGTGACACCCCAGGACGGGGTTTAGAGAGGTAAGGGATAAGTCCTTCAAAACAGGACCGAATCCCAGAGACAGAAAAACGTCCTCAGTCAGTTCGTTAACAGTCACAGTTTAATCAGACGAAGCTCATCATTTGTTCTTTTCGTCAAATCTGACTTCTGTCCTTGTCCTGGTTTACATGCAGCTGAGAAAATCGAATTATTGACGTGAACGTGTCCTCAGACAGTCGGTGTCAGACGTCAGAAGTGTCTACAACTGCTGCTGGGCATTTTAGAGAAACAAGAAGATGGAGCAACGTACAGCGTTGTTTTTGTCCGACATGATGGACGCGCTACTTTTCCTAAAGAGGAGACCAACGCTACTCCTCTACTCTGGGGTTTTGTTCCAGGGTTACGGGGGCGTGGCGCACATGCATCGTCCGATCATACTCTGACTACGCTGGTTACATGGTAGAGAAAATCGAATTCGATTCGAATCGAACACAGAGAACAGGAGGGAAACAGGACTATAGGGGAACAGGGGAAAATATACAGAAAATAAACTCAAATCACAAAACCAGTCAAAAACTAAATCGTCAGAACATATCACGACACCTGCAGCGAACATGCTGATCAGTTTCTGGGTCAAAACTCGGATTAATACGACAAACTGATTTTTGGAAAAGTATGTAAAGGGACGGAGTCACAGGTTCTCAGAAATTAATTTAAACTATCATTTTTAAAAAGATGGTGTCTTGAAACATATTTTCACATTGAGGTCTATGGAGACAGACTCACTTTGAGACAGCCTCGAGTGGACACTTAAGGAACTGCAGTTTTGGCCGTGACAGATTTATTTCTGTTTATGTAAAGATTCAGATCCTGACTCTCTCCCTCTCTCTCTCTCTCTCTGCCTGTGGATGATGACTAAATTCTCACCTTTAGTTTTCTGAATGATAAACCGATGTGAAAACGCAGCGAAGCCTCGTCTGCAGCTGTTATTCAGAGACTCTTTTTGATTCATCCGTGAACTCTGATCTCAAACACAGAAAGAACTCAATACTTGTTTTTTTCTCTCTCTCTCTCTCTTCTATTATAAGATGTCCTCTCTCCTGATTACGGCTCTGACTAATGTGTGTAAGAGATGAACAGTTTAATTAGAAAAGTCATTAACAGGAGACAAAGAGCCGCACACAGCCTTTTATACCGGAGAGGAAGAACGGCCGACCCTGATGAACCGCGCCGTAATCAGCCCACATTCTGCTCAGAAACAGGTGAATAAAGAAAAAACAAAAACCTGAGGGGGTCCTGGGGTTATGAAAGGAGAGCCGAGGTGTCCTACTGACCTGGACTGGAATAAAAGGAAACCTGGGCAGGAGGTGTCGCAGCTGGGTGATTTAACAGCGTGACCGATTGACCTGATTTATGGACAGACTTACACAACCCAGCAGCAGGTGCAGGTAACTTATGATGTTACGCTTGGAGAGATATCAGATCAGAAATCAGGAGAGAAAACCGAGAAAAGACGGAGCGGAGGAGACGGAGGGTCTGATTACAGCAATGACATATAACTGCTGAGGAGACAAGGAAGGAAGGGAGGAAAGGAGGGAAGGAGAGATGGAGAACAGAAGTAGAGGATATTCAGATACGCTGAAAAAAAGTCCCCATCTTTGTCTACGACGTCCTCAAGAGGAGGACATGTTCACCCACTTCTGTTAGTCTCAGCTTCACTGTAATATGGTCTTATTATTTAGTTTATGAACCTGTCGAGTCTCTGAGTGCGGGGATTATACAGCAAAGTCTTTGTAAACCGGATCAGAGCTTCGTTTTTTGTGATATTTACAGATCCAGGTCACTGTAGACCAGCGTTCTCAGACTGATGCACATTTCTATTTCACAGCTTTAGTCCTGATTATTTTGAACTTCTCAGATTTGAACAGATTTTTGCTGGGATCCTGACGGTTGTTGTGGTTCGTCTCCCGCACAGACTCTGGCTCTGAACCATCACCATCTCCAGATGTCGGTGCGAATCATGGAGGTCGTTTCGTCTTCATTTTTGTGCAGCAGGAGGTGGAGAAGTGCCGTCGGTGTTTTATAAAAGAGCGCCTGTTAAACTCCCACTTACAGTTTGATGAGGAAATCTCGCCGTGACCTCGCAGGTCGAGTCGTTTCATAACATCACCGTCTCCTGGCTGCCGCTGCAGGCGGCCATTATCTGCTCTAACTGCTGGCCTACCTGAGCTGAAGTAGGCCAAGCTGGGCCACCAAGTGAGTGTGTGTGTGTGTGTGTGTGTGTGAAGGAGGGCAGCTGTGTGTTTGTCGGGCTAATGGGCTGTGCGCTCTGCAGGATCTCTCATTATGTGTCTCTAACGACGGTGTCAGGGTCAGACAATTATCCGCACACTTAAGAGTGAACACAGCACCCCAAAAATACAGGTTAACACACACACACACACATGCACACACACAAGATGCAGACATACCGGTTGCTAACGGCAACCAGTTTAGCAGCTTGTACCGACCAAACCTGACTCATTAGCATAACCACAGTGTTGCTAATGAACAGCGAGCCGCAAGTGCTGTTAGTGCTCTCTCTTTCTACACACACACACACACACACACACACACAAGCGCACACAAGTACCTGTGGCTTTTGATTGGTCCGTGGTTTTCCAGCAGGAACTCTTGGACATTCTGCAGAAGATTTAATCAATAAAACAAACGATGAGTTCAGTTACAGATTTCTCCTCCTCACACTGGAGTTTCTCTCTTAAATCAAAGTTTTTCAGTTCTCAGTCGACTCTCTGACACTCTGAGAACCTCCTAATCAACCCTCTGGTTTGGTTTTTACCTCCACGAAGCTCAGCAGTTTCCCCGTTGACATCTCAAAACCTTTTTTGGTCGCCTCGCTCTTCCGTAGTTGACACTCCAGGACGGCGACTCTCTTCCTCAGCTCCCCCGTCTCCTCCTGTATGAAAACAAGAGCCAAACATTACTTCAAGTTTGAGAGTGGACGGTCAACTCAATATTTTTATTCATTTAAGGTTCATAATAAAGTTTTCTTGTGATTTGAACCGTCATTTAAAGGGTTAATATTTGGCTGGTGAGAAGATCTGAATCATTACAAGTTTATTTGAATTTTAATCATTTACTGGACTTTTATTCCATGATGAGTTCGGTTTAATCAAAACTTTTATTAGGTCAGTTTTAAAAACGGCCACTAGGGGGAGTTTAACAACCTTTTTTCTATTGAGGCTCACCTTATTGGCCGACGCCGGTTGCTCCGCCCTCTGAGTCTTCAGCTCAGCGATCTCAGCCTCCAGCAGGTGGATGACCTCCTCGTAGTCCATCTCCATCCCCCTCGCCTGTTTCTGAGCCGCCTCGGCCAGCTGGATCCGGGTCCTCAGAGCCCGGCTCTCCTCCGCTCCCACTTTGACTTCCTGTTTGAAGATGAAGACATGAAGAGAAATCTGAACCCGAGCTCAGGTGGGCCTCTGTGGTGTTGAGTTCTTGATGTCAGGGTGAGTTATCGTGACGGAGCTCAGAGTTTGGGCCTGAGGGACGTTTTAGCGGATCAGCAGGCGGTGGGATCGTGTCCCAGCAGGACTCGCTCAGACCTGTCAGAACTCAGCATTTTTCTGTCTGTGATAAGGTCAACGACGTTTCAGGAGCGACATCCCACAGGAGAACCAACAGCAGAGTGACCCGTGAGAGCCCGCGGGTCAGAACCCAGAATCTTAGTGAACATTTGTGTTCTGACCCACAAAACTCGCTCACTCACCTCTGACCTGTTCAGGAAACAGCAGCTCCGTTTTTTTCTGGTTTTAACGGTTTTTACTTTCTAAAGTACCGTATTTTCTGGACTTTAGGTCACAGTTTTTTTCATTTTGGTTGGTTTGCGACTTAAATTCAGGTGCGACTTATAAATATTAAAATATATTATTTCACACGTTTGTTATTTTCATACTGACAGCCACTAGAGGGCGCTACTCCTGTACTACTGAAGATTTAAAAATTAACGTTAACTCATATTGACAACTGAGAAAGACTGAGTGCAAATACTGCCAAAAAGAAAATCATATTCTCTGACTCTTGGCGTCACCTGATGAACACGCCTCAGATCCTCAGGCGGGGCTCCTCTGGTCGTTCAAGAGTCAGACCTAAATCTGAGGAGGTCTTTCTTCTGGATTAACCTGCCTGAGATGAGGAGACGTGTAGAACCAGAGCGGTCTTCAAAACCACATCAGATTTAAAGAACTTGACTTTGGAAAGACCTGCAGGAGGAGCTACGCTTCATAAAATCACCTATTCGAGCTTTTTTTGGAGCTACAGCATCACAGACAGCTGCATCTTCTAAACGACTCATTAAAACTCACTTTTAAGGACTCTGAGTGACCCGCCTGGACAGATCCGGTCTGCAGAATCAGCGCCGTGTTTTACAGACATTTGATTCTGTCCTGGATAAAGGGGACCTGGACTCTGGTGGACTCTGAGAGTCCATCTGGTTTGAACATTTACTCCTCAGTCTGTCTGAGTCTGTGAGAGAGGGAAACCAGTCCTCAGGGTGGAGGTTACATAACTCTCCTCATGGTGAAACCCACACCCACAGACACACTAACACCTCTTTACTGGGAAACAACCACTCCCAGTAGTGTCGGCACATTGGAAACCAGTAACTTCAACCCCTCAGTGGAGTAAACAGTAAATTAAGAGACGAGTTTAACCTCAGACTGAGAGTTTTCACACGTTTACTCAACATTTTCAGTCCGGCCGCCTCTGCTCCACTCTCCTGTTCTGGTTCTGGTCTTTGGATCCAGAACTCATGAGAACTCCATCCACAGAGGCCCGTTTTCATCTGGGTCTGACCCGGTGCTTCAGAGCCGTGACAGCAGAACTTCAATCCTCATGTTTCCTGACTGTGAAGGTTCATCCAGAAGATTCAAACAGAAAACTGAGGGGAGTGTTTGTGCCAGCCTCTCCTCTCTTCTCCTCCTCTCCTCTCCTCCTCTCTCCTCCCCTCCCCTCCCCTTCTCTCCCCTCCCCTCCCCTCCTCTCCTCTCTCCTCCTCTCCTCTCCTCCTCCCCTCCTCTCCTCTCCTCTCTCCTCTCCTCCTCTCCCCTCCCCTCCCCTCTCCTCTCCTCCTCTCTCCTCTCCCCTCTCCCCCTCTCCTCTCCTCTCCTCCCTCCTCCCCTCCTCTCCTCTCCTCCCCTCCTCCCCTCCCCTCCTCTCCTCTCTCCTCTCCTCTCCCCTCCCCTCCTCTCCTCCTCTCCTCTCCTCCCCTCCTCTCTCCTCCCCTCCTCTCCTCCCCTCCTCCCCTCCCCTCCTCTCCTCTCCTCTCTCCTCTCCCCTCCCCTCCTCTCTCCTCTCCTCTCCTCCTCTCCTCTCTCCTCTCCTCTCCCCTCTCCTCTCTCCTCCTGTGGAGCTCTCATATGGATCTACAGCTAACAGGACACACATGAAACACACTGGAGAGGTGTTGTGTATGAGTGTGTGTGTGTGTGTGTGTTTGTGTGTTCACACACCGGGACACAAACACACAAACACTCAGAGGGAGACGGAGCGCTCCATCTGTTCGCTTCACTTTTCTCCGCAGAGCTGCGAGTCGTCTTTATTTCCTGACTGTACGAGAGCTTCGTAACAGACTTTAGATCACCGTCTGAACTCTTTAAAATAAAGTGAATAAAATCAGCTGAAAAGAGACAGTCTCTATAAAACATGGACAGTTTTTACATCTTCTTTCACTTCATATCTGAGCTTCAGTCGTTTCTCTCTCATCTCTCCTCAAACGTTCATGTTCACTAACACCGACTCTGTTCTTCGTCTCGGGCTGAAAGTCTTTTTTCCCTCAGAGCAGCTCTCATCTGAAAGATCGGGCGCTTACATAAATCACGCTCGGTCGGCGTTAGCAGGAAATGTTATCGCACATTAACGCCGCTGTCAGCGCGCCGAGTGTGTACATCAGAGAGGAAGAGGTCACAGTCGGCGTTAAAATGAGACGTTACAGACTATTTTCAGCAGCAGCAGGTGGAGAGCGTGAGTGTGTGTGTGTGTGTGTTTAGGTGTGTGTATGTGTGTGGGGGACTCGTCTTGTTGGGTAAGTAATGGATCCCAGTGTGAGCTCCTTCCCTCCAGCTGTGGCCCCTGAGAGGCCCCTCCCCCCTGACCTGCAGCTCTAACAAGGCGGCGTGTCGACCTCTGCAGCAAAGACGACATAATGGAGGAAAACGCTCTTCTCGCTGCGAACAGAGACGACCACAAAAGAGCGGCGAGGGTCCGGTCTCTTCCTGAGTCAGAGGTGTTTCTGCTCCCGGTCTCGCTGAGAAACGGCGCTCGCTCACCACGGCACTTACAGCTGTCTTTGTTTGAATGTTATGTAAGACTAATGTCTCCGTCTCTGAGAGCTGATTTCACTAAAAGCCATAAAAGCGCCGGTAAAGAGCTGCCCTGAGAGAAGAAAGGATATTAAACACACGCCGAGTTCGTCCAGACTCAAACACTTCGGAGTGAAAACTTCTCCAAACCGCGGCGGTGAGGAGGCCGTCTTATAAAACCTCCAGATTTCACTCAAATCAAAAACACAACAGATGTTAAAAACAACTTCTTATCGTTTCAGCTCCTCGTCCTCCTGACACTGGATTAGAGCTACATGGTATATCGTTTAAACATCGTAATCGTTTTGGTCCTGGTCTCTTTGTAAAACCTACGTTGATAAATTAACTGAGACTTGAACCTGCAGAAGGTCGTTTCTTGTCCACCAGAGGGCAGCAGAAACGAGGTGACAGAAGATCATCGTTTAAATCTGATCAAACAGTTTCTGATTCATTTTCTCTGAAGCGGCAGATCAGGAGGTGGATAAGAAGCAAAATAAAAGCCTGAACACACACACACACACACACACACACACACACACACACACACACACACACACACACACACACACACACTGAAACGTCCTGACCCGTCTCTGTTGTTTCAGCCGCGTCTAAATCTGGATATCGATCGTTTACGCAACAGAATAAAAGTTGAGAGGCAGCGGAGTGGGAGTGAGAGAGGCTGAGACCCTTCAGCTGTGAATCACACACACACACACACACACACACACACACACACACACACACACACACACACACACACACACACTTAAAAACACACACACACACACTTAAAAAAACACACACAAACTTGAAAACACACACACACCAGTCCAAAATAAGATTCATTGGAGACCTTTCACTCCTCCCACTGCGGACCTGATGCTGCTGTTCAGAGTCACCTCAACAACCCACACACACACACACACACACACACACACACACACACACACACACACACACACACACACACACACACACACACACGTACACACACACACATATGAAACACACTCTACAGCAGAAACAGAGGGTGAACAGGTGTGCAGATGTTGAGTTATTCAGGTGTTGTTGTGTTTTTAGGGTCACCTGCCGTTTTTTTTTTTCAGCTGTTGTACCAAAAACTTTCTCACACACACACACACACGTTTGTTTTTTTTCCCTTTTTAAAACTTTTTACCAAAACAGATTAATTTAAAAAATGTTTTTTTGTTCCTTTTTTAAAGAAAAAACTCAAAGATGAAAAAATATGTAAAAATACACCTGTTGTTAGAAATTTTGGGCAATCATCTGTTTTGCTTGTTCTGTTGATGATTATAAAATAAAACTTGCAGTAACATTAAAAGTAAAAAAGCATGCAGTAAAACCTTACAGAGGTGCAGGTTCGTACCCTGACAGAGTTCATGTTGAACCCTTTACTCATTAATCTAAACATGAGTCCTTTAATTATCGTTTCTTAATCTTAATTATCGTCACTCTAACATCCAGAATACAGTGGAAATAATCGATGGTTCACTGTTATAAAGGAATAATACTTTAAACAGTTATGACTCCTCACTGATGGAGATCTCTACCTCACCCAGGTGTGACTCACCTGTTTGACCTTACTGAGCTCCTCCTCCATCTGATGGTGAACTCTCTGAGACTCCACCAGCTGCTCCTGAGTCAGGATAAAAACACAGACATCACCTGGAAGTCTAAGAAGATCAGCCAATGAGAGGAGGGGAAAACAGACAGGTGTGTGTGTGTGTGTGTGTGTGTGTTTACCTGCAGCCTCTTGATCTCCCTCAGAGCCTCGATGTGCTCCTTCCTCAGCCTCTCCATCTCCTCCAGGTCGTCGGAGTCGGACAGCGAGGGCTGAACGGGTCAGAACCACAAAAACAGAGTCAGAGGTGTTCCTAACAAAGACCGCCGCTCTGACTGACACTCCGATGATGATATAGACTCTTTATTTCAGGGTCGGCTCGCTGCTCTCAGGATGTGTCGATTATCCCTCTGATACAGTTTGACCCAGAAAATCTTTACATCCGCTTCACACACCAACAGATCGATGAGCGCGCTCACATCCAGCCGCACACCAACACATCGTCACGTGACGGCCAGCAGGACCGCGACACGCACCTGATGACACGTGTGAAGGTGTCTGTCATGTGGACATGTGTGCAAACGGTTATCTAACACCGGAGCTGGTAAAGACCTGCACATATAGAGACACACTGACACCCTCCATCTGCACGTGTGTGTCTGTGTAAATCACACTGAAGGATGAGAGCAAAGACTCACTCTTCTTTAATCAGGTCCTAAATGTTCATATGTGTTATTTTATGGTGTAAGGCTCTTGATGGACTCGCTCCGAGCTCCATTTCAGAGTTTTTACCACCTTATGAGTTAAACTCGCAGCCTCAGATCCTCTGGTGAAGTCCTCCTGGTCGTTCCAAAGTCGAGACTCTAAACTAAAGCTGATCGATCTTTGTCCATCAGAGCTCCTCGACTTTGGAACGACCTGTCAGAGGAGATGAGGCGAACAGCAGAGACAGACGCTTCTTTAAGTCAAAGTTAAAAACTCACTTTTACAGACTTGATTTTACGTGACGCCGTCTTTTATCTTTTATCTTATTTCATCTTTACCGTCTTTTTAGTTTTCGTTAAACTTGTGCTCTTTTCTTAATAAACCTTTTAGGCCTTTTATTGTTTTTTTTTTCTCTTACTCATTTCTGTTGCTCTATTTTATCATTAATGTTATTATTAGTTTTACCTGTTATTATTTTATTATCATTGTTGATATTGCCTAGGCCTGTCGCGATAATCAATAAATCGCCTTATCGCTCGATAAATAAAAACGAGGTCGGTCATTTTGCCAGCCTCGATAATTGACGTGGGTTTGTTTTCCTCCTCTCTCGCTACCAAACACGCTGGGTGAGAGAACAGGTCTCACTCTGCGCATTTTTCTCGGCACCTGGGGGTGTTGGCTCTATAGCGGAATGAACAGAGTTAGTGAACCCTCCTGTCAGTCATTCAGTATCTTTGTTACGAGGAGGCGCGCGGACAGGTACACGTAGGCGTGCACAGGCACACAGACACAGACTTTTGGATACAGCGCTGCAAGTGAGCGTCGTGAGTGAAAAGCAAGCTAACAGAATGAACACGACAGCTTTGGTGTCTAAACCGAACGCAACAGCCCAAGTGTGGGAATATTTCGGCTTTAAACCAGTTTTGTTTTCATCAACCACAAAACTCCACGTGTGTGTGTGCGCGCGCGTGCGTGTGTGTCTGTGTGTTGGAGGAGCACAGCAGGCTGATGAGAGCTGTCAGAGCGGACTGAAGCTGCTCCTGTATGTTTAGCGTTTAACTGACTGAGTTTTGCAACTCTGTTCGTCATTTTCGTCTCGTCCCATCAACGTAAACGCACTTTCGTCTCGTCACATTTTAGTCATCTCCGACTTATGTTTAGCTCGTCAACGTTACGTCTTCGTCGTGGGTGAAATTAAAGTTTATCACTTTTGACAGGGTGTACTCGCATTATTATGCCATTTAATATCATTATCTATAATTTAAAAAACGGTGTCAATAATATCGTTTATCGGCAATAATTTGTAGCACAATTATCGTCCAGCAAAATTTGTTATCGTGACAGGCCTAATATTGCCTTTTATATTTACTATCCTGTTTTCGTTTTTGACCCCCTTTTCACCCTTTAATGAATCATATTTGATACATACTTTTATCAAATCAATATGATCAATAAATTACTAAAAAACACCTGAATGATAAATGATAAAAATGTCCTCCTGTAGTTTATTAGTTTCCAACAACATCTAATGTATCAAACCAGATAAATAAATATATTCGTTAAATTTTATGGACATTTTGATTTTTTTTGGTTTTCAGTCGTCAGAGAAATAAACGTTTCAGCTCCAAAAAATGTGAATTTTCTGGCCTTAATTTGTGGTTTCAGGCATTTCAGGGATACTTACATTTTATTTTTCTTACCTATTTTATTTTTTTATTTTGGTCCTCCTGGTCTCATTTTATGTTGTGTGGTTCTTGTATTATCTTAAAAAATTGGCCTTCGATTCAGTTTCAACTGAGCTTTTTTTTTTTTACTTGTCTTTTTCCATTTGCTCTTTGACTACATGTCAAAGGACTTTGTAAACTTCTGTTTTTAAAAGTGCTTTACAAATAAAGTTATTAATATTTCCTGAGCAGTCACCTCATTGGTGCGTCACCCTGAAAGTGTCGGATCACTCATGCTGCTACAAGAAAAACGAACTTTTCTCTCTAAAATGATCGTCTCCAAACTTTTGAATAATTCTGTGAGTGTGTTCTAAATCTTGCCCTGCAGAGACCTCGTACCTGTGTGTTGGTGTTTGATTCCAACAAGCTGTAGAGGTCATCAGACGTGAACTTTGACCCCGGCTGGGTGACTCCCAGTTCCTCCAGCTGAGGCTTAAACAGCTCCCTGATCAGGACCTCGAACTCTGAAAACACAGACAGGGCTCGCGTTAAAGTGCTGCAGCGTCTGCTCTTCACCTACAGAGGCGGCTGTGTTACTTTTCACACAGCTGATTTCAGCCGCTCTGTTCGGCCCCCCTCCTTTAAAGACACAGAAACCACGAACAGGTCACTGAGTGAGAATTATCGATGTACTGATGAGCTGAAGAGTGGAGTCGAGCTTCAGACCTTGTACCCTAAAAACACAGACTTTAGGACCCTGAGGAGGACTCAAAGAAGAGGAGGACGGGGTGAAAAGAGAGTGGAGGGTCTTACCTGTGAAGGCCACCGTCCCTGCTGGGTCAGGTCGTAGTCTGGACCTGAACGTCTGCCTCTGAGCCTCTGTGGGTTTGAGACCGAGCAGATCCAGAGCCTGCACGCACACACACGTGCAAACGCACACACACACACGCACACACACACACACACACACACTGACAGATCAATAGAGTGTAGTGATGGTTTTGGAACAAAAATCAATCAGCAGCTTCATCCTGTCACGTCTCTTTCTGAACCTTCAGCTCGTTTTCGTCTTTAAAGGAGTTTGAGATGATCGATTGTTGTTTTTCTCACTCAGAGGAGAGTTCACGGTTATGCAGGACGAGTCTGAACCTCTTTTTAAAACAGAGTCCTCATCCCTTGACTTGGTGGTTTGTGGTTTTCAGCTGACAGGGTCCAGCTGAGTCCTGCAGCCTGGGGCAGAATCCGACCTTTGAGGCTTAATGACCCTGAGAGTAAAAATCCTCTTTTCCAGTGAAGGTCTGTGTTTGTTCAGACTGTTTTATTTCATGTTCACAGATGTGTTTAAAGTTTAATAATCGCCTCACAGGAACGGTTTTCTTTTCTTCGTTTGTTTATTGAGGAGTTTGAATATTTGGATGAACTCTTTCTGGTTCCTGATGTTTTTATTTCGCCTCTCTGCTTTAAAGGTTGAACGTCTCATGATGAGATTCACTTAAAGCTCATATAAAACACTCCCTCCCTCCTCCCTCACACACACACACACCTACCTGCTCCAGTCTGTCCAGTTGGAGGCGACAGCTGGTGCTGATGGAGCATTTGGTCTGAGGAGGCTGACTGCTGGACGGTTCTGCAGAAACACAGACGCAGAGGTCGGATATTAAAGAGTTATCGTTCAGAGGTCGTTCACATCCATCCAGAGATCATCAGTCATTCAGCGAGAGCGGACTGAGGCGGCGCTGTCAGCAGAGCGCTGAATGAAAGGGTGTAAATTAGTTTTTGTTTCATCATCAGATCGAACGTCAGGTAAAGACGGAGCAGAAGCCTGTGGGTGTGTTTAAGTGTTCAAGCTGCTGGTGGATCTGTCATCCTCAACACCTACAAACATGACGACACTGACATACAGGATAATCCAAAGATGAGTAAGAAGAGGCGCGGCGCCCACGGAAGAGAGCCGAAACAAACGGAGGGAAAAAAATAATAACAATAACAACCACAAAAAAGTGACAAAACACAAACATTATAATAAAAAAGTGGAAAAAAACACACAAAAAATACCACAAAAAAGTGACAAAAACACACAAAAACAACCACAAAAAAGTGACAAAAACACACAAAAACAACCACAAAAAAGTGACAAAAACACACAAAAAATACCACAAAAAAGTGACAAAAACACACAAAAACAACCACAAAAAAGTGACAAAAACACACAAAAAATACCACAAAAAAGTGACAAAAACACACAAAAAATACCACAAAAAAGTGACAAAAACACACAAAAACAACCACAAAAAAGTGACAAAAACACACAAAAACAACCAAAAAACACCAACAACATCCTAAACCTGAACAAAAAAGTGACAAAAACACACAAAAACAACCATAAAACACCAACAACATCCTAAACCTGAACAAAAAAGTGACAAAAACACACAAAAACAACCATAAAACACCAACAACATCCTAAACCTGAACAAAAAAGTGACAAAAACACACAAAAACAACCATAAAACACCAACAACATCCTAAACCTGAACAAAAAAGTGACAAAAACACACAAAACACAAACATTATAATAAAAAAGTGAAAAAAAAACACAAACGTTACACTGAAAAAGAGAAAAAACACACAAAAACAACCACAAAACACCAACAACGTCCTAAACACGAACAAAAAAGTGAAAAACAAACACAAAACAATCACAACAATAGTTAACAATTCAGTAATCCCTCGTTTATCGCGGGGGTTACGTTCCGAAAATGACCCGCGATAAGTGAAATCCGCGAAATAGAAAACTTTATTTTTTTTTTACAATTAGCAACTATTACATGTATACAAATACAGTGACTCACGTGTAGGCCGTTTCACTGCTCTTCAGACTGGGCCGCTGCATCCTGACTGCGCTCTGCAGTGTTCTCTTCTTCTGAAGCCCGCGGTGCAGGTGTGTTTGTTCGGGAGAAGAACATAGTGATAGGCAGCTGTTGTCGCTCTTTTTTCTTCTTTGCAAAAAGATCCTTGTACACCGACATGCCACCATCGATTACGTTGGAGAACTGTAATGAACGGCTCATCAGAGGGTCCCATTCCTCAGCTACTCGCTTAAGTTCAGTGGCCATTCGCACCATGGTTGCTAAGCGACCAAGCGTTAGTCCTTCCTCCTCATCTCTCGTGTCCTCTTCTCCCTCTTCTCTTTCATCGTCGCTTTGTGGCTTTGTCATTTCTGCCAGCTCTGCATCGGTCAGCGGCTGTGCGTCTCCATCAATCAGGGCGTTTATGTCATCCGGACTCATGTCATTAAAGCCGTCTCCTCCAATCTGTTTAGCCAGATTCACAGCTGTTTCTACGGCAGAGTGGTGGACCTCGTCAAGCGAGCCTCCGGTTGCGTTTTGCACTGCCTCTGGCCATAGTTTTTTCCAGCAGGCCTTCAGAGTTTCCGTTTTCATTTCCTGAATGGCCCTCTGAATGTTTTGGAGACATGATGCGATGGTGTATCCACGCCAGTAGTCCTTCAGTGAGAAATCTTGATCCGAGTCCATAGCGTCAACAAGATGTTGCAGGGTGTTGCGCGTATAGAGAGCCTTGAAAGCACAGATGACTCCTTGGTCCATGGGCTGAATCAGGGATGTAGTGTTTGGCGGCAGAAATTCGATTTGCACACCATCATATGCCAAATCATTACCGTGACCTCCGGCGTTGTCAAGGAGCAGAAGCACTTTAAAGTCCAGTCCCTTTCCTCTCAAATAACACTTGACCTCCGGGATGAAACAGTTTTTGAACCAATCCAGATTGAGCGCTTTTGTCATCCAAGCCTTTGCATTGTACATCCAGTAAACAGGCAAATCATCCTTATTTTTGTTTTTCAGCGCCCTGGGATTTTTAGACCTGTAAATCAGCCCCGGTTTAATCATGAAACCTGCGGCATTTCCGCACATAGCCAGGGTCAAACGGTCTTTGTGAACTTTAAATCCTGGGGCTTTGGCTTCTTCCTGCATGATGAAGGTGCGGGAGGGCATTCGTTTCCAAAATAAGGCAGTCTCATCCATGTTAAAAACTTGTTCGGGCTTATATCCCCCCTCCTCAATGATCGCCTTGAATTTATTTTTCACGAAGGCTTCTGCCTCAGCGGTATCCGCAGACGCCATCTCACCGTGCAGACAAACATTTTTAAGTCCAAAGCGTCTTCTTCAAACCAGCCCTTGCTTGCATTAAATGCGCTTGGCACTTTGTCAGCAGCACTTGCTGGGGGCCCGGCATCCTCTCCCACTGTGTCAGCAGCACTTACTGAGGGCCCGGCATCCTCTCCCTCTTCCCCGTCACTGACAGCAAAGTTTTCATACAGCATTCTCGCTTTTGTGCAGATAACATTTGTATCCAGGGTTATGTTTTTTTTCCTGCAGTCATTAATCCACAGAGCTAATGCCGTCTCCATCCGTACCATGGTCTTGTTGCGGACAGTTACAACCCTTTTTGCATTCGTATTAAAATTGACTGCTGCTGTCGTCCTTATGTTTTTTTCCTCCTTCTTTATGTAACGAACGGAAGATTCATTGATTCCGTAATGGCGAGCAACGGCTGCATAGCTTTTACCTTCCCTTAGCATGTCCAGAAGTTTAACTTTATCTGAGATAGGTAGCATCTTCCGCCGTTTGGGCCCATCCGCAGGTGCTTTTGTCGGTCCAGGCCGTTTCGTCGACATTATGGGTTTAGGAGATGTTCGAAATTACAAGATAATTTGGCCAACTTAATGTAAATTTGCCAAGCTGTTTTATGTACGTACACATAACTGCACGAGACGACAAAATGATAGCACAATTCGTAGCATGTTTTGATACAAGAAGCGGGAGTGAGTTTTTAGCGAATCAGAATGCAGAACACAATGCACCAAAAAAAATAAATAAAAAATGCATTATGAAAATCCGCGAAATAGCGAATCCGCGATAAGTGAACTGCGAAGTGGCGAGGGATCACTGTACACTAAAAAAGCAACAAAACAACCACAAAACAACCACAAAACATAATAAACTGAAAAGTGACAAAAACACGCATTAACATCCACAAAATACAAATAATAAACTACACAAAGTGAAAATATAAACACACCAAACACTAACAATAAACTCCTTGGTGACTCGGGCGCCCTGAGAGTGGCAGCAAGTCACAGCAGCTCCTCAACGACTTCACGTTTTTGCGTTCTTATTGTTGTTTTTTTGCACCTTTTTATCTTTCTCTTCATTCAGCAGTGTTGTGTCTGCATATTCCAGCCATGGATGTGCAGTTCATGACTCTAGCACTTTGTTTTCTTTTATTTTTCGGAGTTTTTAAGTCCGCGACCGGCGACCCATTCAGCGGCCGCATTGTTTACAGCCGTGAACAGCTGTTGGCGCTGCGCCAAGCCCGGCCACCTTCGTGGGAGAGACCGGACATCCCCGCTAAGCTCCGCAGAAGAAGGAGAGGATGCAGGGCTGGAGTTCAGCATCGGGCAAAGCGGAGGCGTTACAAACCAACTGTCCCGTCCATCATCATGGGAAACGTGAGGTCTCTCCCCAACAAGATGGAAGAGCTCACAGCGCTAACTCGGCTGCAGTGGGAGTATAGGGAATGTAGCCTCATGATGTTCACGGAGTCATGGCTGAACGAACTCACTCCGGACCCGCTCGTAACTTTGGACGGATTTCACCTCGTCAGAGCGGACCAGAGCGTGAGGGAGAGTGGTAAGAAGAAAGGAGGCGGGATAGCGGTGTATGTGAATGAGAGATGGTGTAATGCTGGGCACGTCAGTGTTAAAGAGCAGCTCTGCTCTAAGGACATTGAGCTGCTGGCTGTGAGTTTGCGGCCTTATTACCTGCCGAGGGAATTTTCGCACGTCATCGCGTTAACTGTTTACATCCCCCCCTCGGCTGAGGCTGCTGCAGCCTGTGAACTCCTCCATAATGAAGTGTCCAAGCTACAGACATCACACCCTCAGTCTCTGATCATCATCTCTGGAGACTTTAATCATGCATCGCTGTCCTCCACTCTCCCTACCTTCAGCCAGTATGTAAACTGCCCAACAAGAGACAATAAAACTCTGGACTTACTGTATGCAAACACCAAGGATGCATACACCTCCTCCCCCTTCCCCCGCTGGGCCGCTCAGATCACAACCTGGTGAGACTGCAGCCCATTTACATACCTATGGTGAAGAAACAACCCCCCACCATCAGGTATGTTAAGAGGTGGTCTGAGGAGGCCACTGAGGCGCTGCAGGACTGTTTTGAGACCACAGACTGGGATGTACTGTGCGGCCCACATGGTGATGACATCGACACCATGACTGACTGCATCACGGACTATATTAACTTCTGTGTTGAGAACACCGTACCCACCAGGAAAGTACGGTGTTTCTCCAACAGCAAACCCTGGGTGACCCCGGAACTGAAAGTCCTCCTGAAGGAGAAGAGGAGGGTCTTTAAATCTGGGGACAAGGAGGAGCTGAGGAGGGTGCAGAAGGAGTTGAAGAAGAAGATCAGAGAGGGAAAGGCCAGCTACAAGACCAAGATGGAAAACCTTTTGCAACAGAACAACGCAAGGGAGGTCTGGAGAGGCCTAAAATCCATCTCAGGTCATAGCAGGGGCCATGAGAGGGGATCTGAAGCAGGAGACAGGGAGTGGGCCAACGAGCTGAATCTGTTCTTCAATAGATTTGACTCTACTCCCACTCCTCCCCCGACTCATCTAACCAACGACCCGTCTGCTGCTCCTCCTTCTTCTTATTCTTATTCACACCACCTCAGTCCCATGGCACCGACACCATCAACCCCCCTCCACTCATCCTCCACCACCCCCTCCAGCACCACCCCCAGCCTCTCCATAACAGCTGACCAGGTGAGAAGTGAGCTGAGGAAGATGAAGCCAAGGAAAGCCACGGGTCCTGACGGCATCAGCCCCAGACTCCTGAAAGACTGTGCAGACCAGCTCTGTGAGGTGCTACTGCACATCTTCAGCTTGAGCCTGAGTCTGGAGAGGGTCCCAACACTGTGGAAGACTTCCTGCGTGATTCCTGTCCCCAAGACAGCGCACCCTAGGGAGCCCAACCACTTCAGACCTGTGGCCCTCACTTCTCACCTGATGAAGACTCTGGAGAGGATCGTGCTGAGGAACCTCCGCCCCCTGGTGAGCTCTGATCTGGATCCTCTGCAGTTTGCGTACCAGCCGAACATCGGGGTGGATGACGCAGTCATCTACCTGCTGCAGAGGTCCATGGCTCACCTGGAGAACACTGGCAGCACTGTGAGGGTCATGTTTTTTGACTTCTCCAGTGCGTTCAACACCATCCAGCCTTCACTGCTCAGGGGGAAGCTCGAGCGGGCGGGAGTGGACTGTCACCTAGCCGCATGGACCGTGGACTACCTCACCGACAGACCACAGTTTGTGAGGCTTCAGAACTGTGTATCGGACATGGTGGTCTGCAGCACGGGGGCTCCACAGGGGACAGTGCTCTCCCCCTTCCTCTTCACCCTGTACACCTCAGACTTCAGCTACAACTCTGGGAGCTGTCACCTCCAGAAGTTCTCTGATGACACAGCCATCGTCGGATGTGTATCGTCAGGGGACGAGCGGGAATACAGGAATGTCATCACTGACTTTGTCAACTGGTGTGGCACAAACCACCTCCAGCTCAACGCCAGTAAGACAAAGGAGATGGTTGTGGATTTCCGCAGGAGGGGGACACCTCAAACAGTTCCAGTGAACATACAGGGTCTGGACATCGAGATGGTGGAGTCCTACAGATTCCTGGGTGTCCACCTCAACAACAAACTGGACTGGTCAACAAACACAGACGTTCTGTACAAGAAGGGCCAAAGTCGTCTCCACCTGCTGAGGAGACTGAGGTCCTTTGGAGTGTGCAGGACTCTGCTCAGGACTTTCTATGACTCTGTGGTAGCATCTGCACTTTTCTATGCAGTGGTCTGCTGGGGGGCAGGGAGCACCGAGAGGGACAGGAAGAGACTGAATAGACTGGTCAGGAGGGCCGGTTCTGTCCTGGACTGCTCTTTGGACTCCCTGGAGGAGGTGGGTGAGAGAAGGATGTTAACAAAGCTTATATCCATCATGGACAATCCCTCTCACCCACTGCACCAGACTGTGGGGGCTTTAGGCAGCTCCTTCAGCAGCAGACTGAGACTCCCACCCTGCAGGACGGAGCGCTACCGCAGATCATTCCTCCCCTCTGCAATAAGACTTTACAATGAACAGTAACAAAACTGGATTTACACCACCACTTTTTTTATGGCATTTAAATTGTGTATATTGCAGGAAGCTTTATTTTTTCTTCTCCCTTTTCTCTTTTCAATTTTTTTTTTTTTTTTCTTAATTATTACATTTATTAAGTTCTTAATATTAGGACCCTTATTGTTATAACTGCATTTTGCACTTTCTGTCTTGTCTGTGATGCTGCTGTGACAAAAAAATTTCCCCCATGGGGGATCAATAAAGGAATATTCTATTCTATTCTAAACTGAAAAAGAGAAAACAATCACACACAAAAAAACAAATGAAGGCGGATGATAACAAATACAACATGAAGAAACACAGAGAAACACACAGAGACACAAAGAGGCTCAGGGAAACCAAATCAGACACAATAAAACTCATGAGCGTCCTTGGTTATACGACAGACACACACGCAGACCAAAGAGGCTTTTTTAACTCTCAGCTGATTTCTAATGTCACCAAATATCATTGAATTCAGACTGAACAGGATCCATGAGACACACAGTCCAAAACACACCAGGAAGGGTTCAAAGCAGAACCTCTAAACCATAAAAATCAGACAGGACATGAGTTCATCTTAGAGCCCGTTTCAGAGAGTGTCTGAAGAGTTTAATTAACTCTGAGTTTATCATAAAAGTCGGAGTTTGTTCGTAAACATTTCTAAAGAGGGAAAAACTCAAAAATATGAAGTTAGATCCTCCAGGACAAACTTCTGTGATCATCTTTGTCCGACACTTTTCCTCCCTGCTGTTGATAAACCACCTTCAGAAAGGTCAGTCACACATGTTCTTACTCTGACTTTCAAAATAAAAGCTCCACTTCTCGGCTGGACCCTCATTTTTCTATTTTAGGTTTGACGTCAGACTGAACAAATACCCTCACTTTAGAAAGACCTCAGGATCCCTCTCACACAGAGACGCCATGACGCTTCAAATCCCCTCGGCCAATCACAGGCCAGACCTCCCGCATGCTTTACTTCCTGCTGGAACAGGCGGCCAACCACACGCCATCTGTCCCTCCCTCGATGGCGTCCATCTGAGCCGCTGCCCGATTTTAATTCACAGGTCGTCTGTGCAGAGACGTGTTTGTCGACATACGATTAAAAAACGAGTTAACAACACGAGAGGGTCCGCAAATAAAAAAAACTCACTAAGAGTGACGACAGAGACACCATCCTGAGGTGAGACATCAACCACAACAACCGTCCAAAGACAAACAAAACCGACATATCCACAACAAAAGACGAAAATAAACTGAAAGACGTAAAAAAAATGACCCACAAGAGAGGACACAAAACCATCAACACCGCAAAACAACAACGAAAACACACGGCACAACCACAACAGCTGTCAAAAAATACACAAAACCACTACAAAACTACAAAGATACAACAATAACCGATCAAAGACAACAAGAGACGAAAATAAACTGAAAAAAGACGTAAAAAAAACACAAAATAACTAAATACATTCACAAAAATCACAAAAACCAACAAACAAAATACAGAAAAACTCAGAAAAATAAATCAATAAAACTCCTAAAGGTATAAAGAAACTAAAACAATATAAAAGTCTCCCACAGAAATAAACAAATCAACCACAGAGATAAACTCAACAGCCACAAAGACGCCGAAAACAACAACAAAGAACATGAAATTATCTGTTTAATGTACATTTAAAGAAACACAAAATAATCTGATGGGAATTCTGATTTGACTCCAACAATGACAACAGCAGTAAACAGAGAAACAGCTGGTCCAAATGTGTGTAAAATATATGACGGTTAAAGTGATAGGTCTAAAAAAAACAACTCCGCTCTAAAATGAAAGTTTCACTTTATTTTCACCGTTAAAGACTCAAAGTTCTGCCCTCATGTGTTTTTTTTTAATGTAAAAAATCTGAAAAAGAGAAAATGAGAAAAGAAAAAACAGAGAGCAGAGAGTCGGAGGAAGCAGACACCTACCTGGATGTGTTTCAGGGATTCTGTCGCCCTCTGGTGGTGAGGGGATGGATGTGGGCTCGGCTCTGGCTGCAGGCACTCTCACCTGCAGACATGAACACGACATGTGAGCGCCGGTTTGAGAAGAGCGCGTTCGTGTTTCATAAACTCAGCAGAGGACAGACCCGCTTTACTCCAGAGTTTTCTGACATAACAGGAAGTAGCTGCTGTGGAAAATAAGAACCAGAACGGTCCGCTCCTCCTGAACGGACCGATCCAGGTTCAAGTTTAAGTGACAGCATGATGGTGACAGAGTGAGAGGCCCCCTCTCTCTGCTGGACCTCACCTGGCTCACGTTGACTGATGGCAGAGTCTCGCTGGCCGGGTTTCGGCTGGAGGTGATCTTGGTGATCACGGCGGGCTGCGGAGGCATGGCGCCCAGCGTCGGGCCCCTGGTCTGGGGTCCAGCTCCCCCACAGTGGCCCTGGAGGGATATGGGACTGTGTGGACCGCTGCTGGAGCTGGAGGACGACCTCCGCCTGATGAAGGCAATTTCTACTGTTGGGTCTGGTCTGCAACACAAAGACGGTTTGACTCATGGTGGTAAAAAAAATATATATTTATGACTGAATATCTTTGATTTGAGTCATAAAAATAAAGTATTTTTAATATTTTTGAATCATAATTAGATCAAAGTTATTCTGTGGAAGGTTGGACTGAATTTTTAACAGTTACCCTCAGAAGAAGTCTTATTCCTGAGTTTACAAACCACCATCCTGACTCTTATTTTGGTATCCTCCTCATTTCAGAGTCAAACTTCCTCCTCCTCCTGAATAATGTCTGCCTGCAGGGCTTTCAGACCTGAGTTTGGTGCGTGTCAGGATACTCCTCGCCTCCTCGTACGTCACTCCGATCAGAGACTCTTTGTTGATGGACACCAGCTGGTCCCCGACCTGCAGCCTGCCGTCCTGAAACACCGACAAACACATAAAAACGGACAAAACTCAGAGCTGAATTCACAGGAATACTTAAGGAATTATTTAAAGTGAGTTTTAAAAGATCGAGAAAATGTTACTCGAAGTTGTTCTGCCTGATAAACCCTTCAAAATAAACTGTTTGTCCTGAATCAGTCTGAGTCTCAGTTTCTCTGTAAACAGTCTCAGTTTCTTCACTCTGGTTTCCTTTCTAAGCATCAGATCAGAGTCTCGGTGTAAATGTTTGATGTTTGATCTTAAGAAGCTTTGCAATAATAAACAAAGCAAAGAAAATGTTTTTGAACAGAAATCACTTCACACTCTGTTCTGTAATCTCAACATACTTCTCATACTGAGCTGAGGTTTAAGACAAGAACTATAAAACATCATTACAGTCTCTAACCACCATTCAAAACAGAGCGATACGAGTTATACACACTGTTGGCTATCAGGAACACACAAACTTGTTATTTTGTTGTTAAAATTCACAGACAGTGTGGAATAACAAACATCTCAAATAATGTTTAAAGCTCAAAATAATCATAATTATTAGGGCCCGACCGATATGGATTTTTTGGGGCTGATACCGATTATTAGGGGGGGGGGGGGGGGGGGGGGATCTGATTACCGATTAGTCGGCCAATTTTTAAAAATTTTTATGAAGCTATAAAAACAGTAGATATTTACAGTAAACTATATACTAACTTGTTGACTTATTGTGTATTTCACAAACTGGTTTATTTCCCGTTGAGGCGGACCACTCTCCTCCGTACGTCCCCGAGCTGCTGCTTCAGATCCTCACTCTGCTGTGCTGTGAGGTAGTTAGTGGATTAGGATTGTCATGAGGTCGCTGTAGCGCCATCTACAGGATAAGTTGGGGAACTTTTCAAATGGCGGAACCTTTTCCAAGTGAAACCGAATCTTAGCCCATTACTGATTAGTCTCAAACGGGCTAAAATCGGCCGATTAATCAGTTTGTCGATAAATCGGTTGGGCCCTATCAAAATAGTATAAAGAGATGATTTTGAAGAGGCACAGGGATGAGGAAGGTGTTTGTTTTGTTTTTGTGTCGTTCTTGTTTTATTTTATTTTGTTGTTTCTGTGTGTGTGCTGTATTGCTAAATTGTCAGCTGTCCTTCCTGCAGATTTCTAGTGTATTGAGTGTCGTTTTGGTTCAAATATTTCTGTTTTTGCTCTCTGTTGACTGTTTTTTTCCACGAACAGCTGATATTTATGTTTTTTTCCTTCTGCTGTTCATTTTCCCATCCCTCATCGACTCCGGTCCATCTTCTCTAAAATCCGGGTTTTAAAGGATAACTTCATGCATGAAGCGCTCAGTGGGGGTGCTGACCTTGTGACAGTCTCCTCCAGGCACTATTTCCTGAATGAACACCATTGGTCCTTCTGCACGGTTGGCTCCGCCCTTGATGACAAGCCCTGGGCCTGTTCCCTTGGCAACGCATATTAACTGAATGATGCTGTCACTGGGGAGAGAGAGAGAGAGAGAGAGACGGGGAGAGGGAGTGAGAGAGAGGATGACACTAAGCATGATTAAAAACCAACGAAGCCACGCTGCCGCCGCCACCGCCGCCGCTCACATTCAATCCCACATGACATAATCTGTATCTGCCCTCCTCCTCCTCTTCCTCCTCTTCCTCTCTCTGTCTCTGGGTTTCTGCTCCTCTCTGGAGATTGATGAAAATGCTTTGGACTATTTTTAGCTCTCACCCAACTGAGCTGCAAAAACACAGTTCAGATATTTTAAAACCATAAAAGTCTGTCACGGCTGAGGTCCATGAAAAACTCGATTTTAATTTAGTTTAGGTTTAAAAAGTCACTTAAGACTGAAAATAATTGAACAGAGACGCTGTGGAGAGTCAAAGTTAAACTAAGGTGATCATTTTTGACTCCTCTGTGACTCCGTAGATTAAAGTTAACCGGAACAGATCAGCATCTCAAAGCAGATACATTTAAAATAAATAATCATAATAAATAAATAATGATAGATAATTATCATTAATGGGAAACTCTGTGAACTTCCTGTTTACCTGAAGGCGTGTGGAGGCGTGTGCACAGTGTAGGCGGGGTTATGGGTGTAGGTGGTGACGCCCTCTTTAGGACTGAGGAGCTGAGGACTCTCTGATCGAGAAGAGGACGAGGAGGACGCCGTGTCTGTGAGCTTCCCTGAGCGAAAACAAGAGAAGAAGAAGAAATGGACAGGTGAGCAGGAGGAGGCGGGGCAGATGAAAAAAGGGGCGGGGCAAACAGAGAAATCCTACTTAAGTCTCATTTCAAAGTGAAGGAAACCCACTCAGAGTCTTAAAGTGTGTGTTCTGCCTGTTTTCACCTGTGGAGAGCTGAGTGGGAGAAATCCGCCCTGAAGCCGTGACGTTATTGGAGCCGTACTTTTCCATCAGCTCGGCAAACTCCCTCCTGAGAGACACACAAAAAAATACACACGGGTCGGGTACACACATCAGTATTCGCAGGAGAGAATCGGAATCCTTCACTGACAACAAGGATTGGAGACTTTGTGGGAAAAACTCTTATACAAGTCAAAAAACTTTTTCAAACATTTTCCAAATTTTGAGGAATTTTATAATTTTTTGTGACTGAACTTTGAGATTAAGTTTTTAACCTTCACAGGTAAATTCAACAGGATGAAACTAGAAAAATCTTCTAGATCTGAAAGAGGTTTGATTGATGATAACAACTTTATCAACTCGAACAAACTATTTAAAATTTGCAACAAAATATATTTAATCAGAGTGACTGAATTTGATCTTAAAACCGAACAGTTTGATTATATAAAAAAGACTTAAGATATTAACTGTCAAATTCAGAGGAAAAAAATGAATATAAGAAAGAATAAAGGAAAAAATTAGATTTCCTTTTATAACATGGACTTTCCCCTTAATAAAAAAATATAAAAAAATCAAGTGATCTTAAAAAAAGAAATAAATAAAACAAAAAAATTTCTGGGAAAAAAGTTCAAACTTAGAAAAGTTTGATTAAAACATAAAATTAAAATAACAATTTTAAGTAAAAAAAAAAAAAAAGCAAAAAAATAAATAAATACATAAAAAGTCAAATTCGTCACCAAATGATTAAGCAAGATTTTTAAAAAAATTAAAGCTGCAAATCAATATAATGAAATAAAAATCAGAGTCAAGAGTAAAAAGTCAAAAATTTGGTTAAAGGAAAATTATGGGATAAAATTCAAACTAATGAATTCACATGAGGAAAAAAGATTTTTTTTAATCTCAAAAAAAAACTTTTACTCCACAGAATAGCACTTTTGGGAAAACTTATTACCCCTAAAATCTATGAATATAGAGGGGAATTTATTAGTTTCATTGATTTCAAACTTTTCTTTGCTTCTTTAACTCGTCTGTAAACATAAAACTGCTCTTAAGTAGCTGTAAAAATTGTAAATCTGAACTTAAAATGAGAGTGAACACGATAAGCTTTAGTGTCCGTCTTTATTCATCAGACTCTCTAATGAGACTTTTTTGAGGTGATTCAATCCACAAACATTAAAAATCTAAAATCTGATCAATAAGGACTGAAGGACGCTGATTCCATGAGTGAGAGTTTGTCTCCCTCACCTGGACGCAGAGGAAGCCTGAAACCTGGAGTCTCCTCCCCTCCTCCCTCTTTGTCTCTCTGTCTTTACCCCTGTCTGATCTGTTAATGCCTCTTAAACTCTCAGCCCAAACACTCAGAGGTCAAAGCTCACAGGTGCTGATTGTCTGTCTGACCTTTGTTGGAGAAAATAAACTCGACTGTCTGTGTTTAAAAGAACAAAGAGGATCTCTCGATTATTAAAGCTGTTTTCTCACTGATGATCACCCAGCTGTGGAAAAGCAGATCGATCTTCTTTCATTGAAAGTTGCAGAGACATTTGGATCCTAACTAAGTGGATGAAAAGACGAAAGCTAAACCCCTGAAACTATAACTGCTGACTTGTTCAGGTTTCCTTGTTAAGAAAATAAAGACAGACTTTTGAGAAGGTGTTTTCCTAACTCTGAACTCTTCTCCACACGCTGACTTTTCATATCAGGAGAACAGCTTAAAACTCCACAAACATCCGGATATTACAGAGTCCTGATCCCACCGAACTCCTGCTGGGAGCTCAGACTGAACGTCTGTTTATGCGGTTTTGATCCTCTGGACCTGGAGGACACCAGAAACAAATCCTCCCAGCAGGATTTCATTAGATCCCTGGACTCGCACTGACCAGCGGTGGCTCAAAGTGACCCGCTGTCCCGCTCCGGCAAAGCTGCACATCATCATCGTCATCATCGTCGTCGTCATCACAATTTGGTTAAAGTGTGAAACAAATGGCTCTCAGGTGGAACCAGACATTTTGGCACAAAGCTGCTTTCACACACAAACACACACACAGAAACACACACACACAGTCTGGCTGCAGGTTTGGTAACCACACAGGATGTAGATGAACGGGGACGACCTTCCTCTGCTGACAACAGCACAGAGGCTGCAGGCCTCAAACACGGTGTCATGTTTGAGGTAAAGTTGAGGTCACACTTTACCTCTAACACTACACCGTTTCGTTTCCTTCACCAACTTTTAAAACTCCCCTGAGGATCTGGAAACGTCTTCTTTTCAGTCAAATTTAAAAACTCACTTTAAACGGCTTGATTTAAGTTTCATGTATTTTTTAATCTTGTTTCTTTTCTCTTTTACTGTCCTTTTAGCTTTTGTTTTACTTATGATCTTTTCCTATTTAACCTTTTAGGCCTTTTACTGATTTTATAGTTTTTTTCCTGCTCATTTTTGTTATTTCATTTTATCATTAATATTACCATCATTATTTTATTATGATTTTATTATCATTATTAATATTGTCTTTTTATATTTACTATCCTGTTTCCTGCTTTCTACCCTCTCTTTTATTACATTTCTTTTTCTTACCTATTTCATGTTTTTATTTTTTTGTTTTGTTTGTCAGAGCACTTTGTAAACTTCAGTTTTTAAAAGTGCTATAAAAATAAAGTTATTTTTGTTATTATTATTATTAAAAGACTTCTGTTTAGAACTGGTTTCTCAGTTTGCAGGGGCGGAGCTAGATGTGGTTAATGATGGGGGCCTTAGCCAAGAGATTAGGGGGGGTCCTCCTGAGACCTGCTCCTGCTATAAAAAAGTACCTCTTATTGGCAAATCAAATCATCATACCCGTCTGCCTCTGATAGGCTAATAAAGCGATCAGATTCATGCTCAGATCTTGCTACGTGCTTCGTGAGGAAAGTAAACACTGACGGAGGCAGAGAGCAGCTTTAGGGGAGAAACATCCAGCAGTGTGAAAAACTTCTTCATATTGAGGTCTTTGTCTCAGACTGTCAGAAATTTCTGAGTGTTGCACGACTTGAGCACAGAGATGAACACACTGTCAGCCACTTATTTATTTTTTATTTCTTAGTTCTGCTTTTGTACTGGCACTATACTATGGCAGCTGTATACTATTTCTCCAGTGCAGTCTTTACTTTTATTTATACAGCCGCTTTATTTCATTTGAGTTTGTTCAAGGTTTTCAATAATGTGATGAAGGTTCAGAAAAATAAAAGATAGTTATCTTTAAAGCCACATGTGTAAGCTCTCAAATACTTCTTGAATCTTGTTTCTACCTGCTACAGAGGCTGAGATATCAGCTTTTTTGTAAACCTCAACACTTGAGAAAACCTCAGGATCTGGGGGTCCTTTTCAAAACGGCCCTCAGGACTTCAGAGTCTCAGACAGGGTTCAGGTCTTCATGGGTTAAATGTGATATTTGTAACTATGTTAGATACTCATGTAGGAGCAGAAACACCATCAAAGTCCTTCTGGGGACTTTTTTCTTACGTTTTCTGAGGTTTTGTTTTCAACATTTAGCTGCAGAACAGAACAAATGATGCGAAAATAAGACCTGGAAAACTGAGGTCAGGTCCTGTTTCATGCCCTCCTGTTTGGCAGTGATTTTTTTGGACATAACCCTCGAGGTGAAGAGTTATGTAACCTGCGTGTAGTAAAAGAGATTCGAAGCTTACAGAGACTTTTAAATAGGCTTAGACGAAGCTCTCACAGTGTCCCCTGCAAAAAGTGCAACGAGGATTCTGGTGTTGTTTTTGCTGATCCCTGCGCTGTTTTACATCTGTGATCAGCTGGAGATCAAACCTGGTGGTAGAGGGACGGCACTGCGGCGCCCTTATTGTGTCACTGTGTGTTTGTCCCGATGTGGCAGGATGACATGGAAAAGCACAGGGGACAGCAGAGTGCCAGGTCAGTTTACCTCGTCGTACTGGTGAACTGCAGGATGCTGACGAGTCGAGCCGTAAAGGAGGGGCTTTTCAACATGAAAACAACATGAATGTTGCTGTTATTGAAGGGGTCTAATCAAGATATCAGAACCAGGAAGGAAGGTGGCATCTGTTATCGGTTGTTTCAGGAGAATCTGTTTTTATCAGAGGTTCAGACTTCTAGGGTAACACGGAGTTCAACCACTGTGAAACTCACAATGTACAATGAAACTGAGACTCACTTCAAACAGATGAGCAGCAAAAGTGTGAATCTGTCATTTACTGTTCACAATGTAACTGAGACTCACCAGAGAACAGATGTTAATAAGCAGAAATGAGGCTTCTGTTAAACTGTTAACAGTGAAACTCAGACTTAATACAACACAGAACACCACGTCACAGTAAGCATCTGTGTGACTAAATATTAACAATGAAACTATAACTCACCTTTGCTTAACTGTTTACAGGGAAACTGAGACAGAGATCAATGTTTATCAGGAGTAAAGCCCCTGTAAATCACTGTTAACTGTCAAACTGAGACCACGTGGTTCTATTTACTGTCTAGACTTGTGACAAACAAATGATGGGTAAGCAAAAGTGAAGCATCTGTGTTACTGACTATTAACAGTGAAACTATGACTCATCAGAAAACTGACGAATAGAGAGCCAGATTGTATCCTCTGGTAAAAACGCTGTTAAAACTCCAACTAAGACTCACCAGAAGCAGATTCGTAGTTGTATGGCAAGAATCTAAAGTTTTATGTACTTTTTACTGTGAAACTGAGACTCCCTGCAGAGTTTTCATCAGTCCAGAAGGTTTTCGGAGAATCCAGAGCACATAGTTTTGTATTTTCTGTCACCCTGCTGATCCACAAAGTAGAAGAACATAGTTTGATGGTATTGTGATTCAGCCCTGGACAATTAAGGATGGCATCCATGATGGTTTCAACTCGCACAAATGTTCAAAACAATCGCAGCAACCAGACGGACGAAACATCACACAAACAGAGATATGAGAGAGCTTCGTCTTACCTGGCTTCATCATCTCTGGTGATCAGCAGGGACATGTGATTAGACAGCGAGGCGGTCCTCAAGATCTCCACCGCCCTACCAGGACACAGGACAGGTCATCACCTGGTGTGTAGGTCACACACTTGAACGTGTTACATGAGTGCGTCATAAAAAATATTTAAAAAACGTAAAAACTTTATTTATTTTTTTACAATTTGATAAAAACATTAACTTTCAGGTGTTTTACATCATAAATATTAAACATCTTTCTTTCTTTTTTAGGATCTACATATGAAGGGAAAATTCATCCTGTTCTGTTTTATATTGGAGAAAAAAATCTGAATTTATTTAATAAATCGACGTTAACCGACCGCTAACATTTCCTTAAATTTGTCACCCTCGCTGAGGTACCAGTCATACCTAAATGTGCTGAACTAAACCAGACCGCTCCATGGAACTGCACCAGAAAATACCTCCTGCCTAAAAATAGCTCTGCACACACACACACACACACACACACACACACACACACACACACACACACACACACACACACACACACACACACACACATACAGAGGGATGAAATTCAGACGCAGCACATGCTGACCTCACCTCTCATTGGTCACCCCGATCAGACTGATGTTATTGACATCCAGAATCAGGTCACCTGACTTAAGCCGACCTGGAACAGAGAGTGACAATCAGACAGGCGGGCTGAGCCGCTGAGGGGGGGTAATCATAATAATTAAAGTCCTGATTATAATAACTGTTTCAGTGACTCTACAACTAAAGAAATGAGGGAGTTACCCACCGTCCAGAGCGGCCAACCCGCCAGCGATCACCCTCTTGATGTAGATGCCGAACTCTTCCCCTGTCAGCTCGCGGTAGCCTCCGATTATTTTCACACCTTTGCACACACACACACACACACATAGACTCAGGTCAGGTCTGATGATAAGTACACAATGTTTGCACCCAGAGGTCACAGAGATCAGGAGGAAGACGCTCACCCAGTCCCTTCTTGCAGTCGCAGAACTCCAGCCTCTGTATGGCTCGGTTGATGCCGTGTGGGCCCATGATTGTCCTGGCAACGAGCAAAAACACAACAGATTCAAAAACATATCAACATCCTGACTCATCCAACGATTCCCTCCCTCCTACTCTCCCTCTCGCTCGCTCGCTCCGAGGCTGCAGAAAATAATCAAATCATCCCAGGATTTGTCATTTTCTCCCCTCCCTCACTCCCCTCCCTCAGAACATCCAAACCAATAAAATCTGTTGCCTGTTAGACGACACCGCATCTGAACCGAGCGGCGACCTGAATGTTATGAGCAGACACAAACAGTGTTCCGTCACAGAGCAGTCATTGTGCCCTCGACATTTCCCGACTTCGTGTGAGAGGAGAGGTTTGTGTGAGAGGGATCCAAAGACTCCTCAGTCTTGTTTGACATGATGCTGCTGTCTGCTGGTTTGGTCCCGACTCTCGGCTCACTGTCAGATCAGAGCTTCAGATGCTGACGTCTGTGTGCGCCTGTCACAGAATCTGAGCTGAAAAACTACTTATTATTTTGGACAACTGCACTGCACAGAGCCGACCCCAGAGTCAACTGTGACCCCCATCAGAGTCCCATACTGTGACTGAGGATTCTCCATTCTCCAATTATTTAACACTTAGAACTGCGCTGGATTCCTGGCAATTCCATGTGACACCGTCATTATTGTTTACAGTTTCTCGGGAACTATACCATGGATCTCTATGGGATGAAAAGTGTTCAATAGTTTACCCTTTTGGCGATCTATCGAGGGTTTCCAGACATTTCTACACCTGCCACAAGGTTTACAATCCAGCCACAAAAACAGGTGTTTGATCAGAGACGTTTGGTGGTAAATCCGCAGTGAAAACAGGATTATTTATCATATTGTTGTGATAAAAAAAAAAAAAAGCTATCGCTGCACGCCGCTAATGTCTTCCGGGTTTGACAAGCTGTCAAACTTTCGACCAATTACACAGTCTCATATTCTTCTTCTATTGTTCCCTTGACGGTAGTGTCCAATAAAAGACAACCAAAGATCAACAAGGGACAAGAAAGTTCCCTGCTTGTCTGTAAAATCAGAAATAATGGTCCTCAATGTTTGGAAACAAGCAAAGAAGAGATTGTGAGCAGTATGATGTGGTCCTCTGTCTCATCCCAGGAGTGGCAGAAACAACTGTAAATAGTCAAAAACGCCTGGAAGAATGAGTGTAAATATGTCAATAGTTTCTGTTGTGTGTTTGTTCCAATCCCAATATTTCTTCTCCTGATAGCCAAGACTTGAGAGAATAATGATCAGGTGAGAAAAGGCTTGGTCACTGTAAATTTATGTGTTTTTTGTGCAAAGTACTGTTGGTATCAATTTCTGTTTTTGTTTTTTGGTTGATTTGATGGTTCTGAATCTACTGTCACAGCTGAGGTTGTCCTGAATAAAAAAGATGCGTATATATTGGAAATCATGGATTTTTTGGGGTTGTCTTTATGCTTTTAGTTGAAAAAAGCCATAGTTGCACTTTTACGATAGATATAAGTAGTGCCAGCAGTGTTTGTCCTCCAGTTTAATTACACAACGTACTGTTCAAGATTCGGAGCTAAAAAAAGGAACAGAGCGCAGGTTAAAAGTTCAGTTTTACTCCTGATCTGAAACAGGCAGAGATCAATAATCACACAGGGGCAGTAAGACCAGGTAAAGTCATCCGGTGAGGGATCAGGTGAACAGGCAGAGGACCAAGCATCCAGCAGGGATCAGGGAGCGACAAAGGCTAAGTAGTAAGCACATTAGACCATCTGGCACAGAATGAATGGAAGTGACCGGTTCAGGGTAAATGGATTGGACTTCTTTAGCTCCTTTCTAGCCTCCCTACCATCCAAAGCGCTTTACACGACATGCTATCATTCAACCCTACCGACACAATCATACGATGAAGCTGCTCCCTGCAGGGGTTCATGCTTATATCCACACACTGGGATCTCTTTGGAAAAAATGTAGAGCTCCTGATCTTGAACAGGGTTTCTTTTTCACGAGGAAATCTGGGCTTGATAAACGCCCCGCTGATCAGTGCACCTCAGGCTATTGGGTCAGCTGCTGAGAGATGGCCCGAACATTGGGGTTGTGCTCTAAGCTTTTGGTTTTGTTTACTCCAAGTTGACCCGTCACAGCCAAACAACACTCAATCATTCATTCTCTTTGCATTGTTTTCCACTGTTACATCCAAAAGCTTGTTAAGACAGATTTACTACAATTGTTTTCAGGAAGTCCAGACTGAAAACACTACACAAGGACATGGTTTTCAGGTGACACCTCTGAGTCATGCTGCTTAAATAACTTGCAATGCTGCTAACAATGATGCCAAATCCAGTCATGGAAATGCATGAGATCACCTCTGGAAAGTCCTGGCTAGAAACAGCATCATGGAAGACAATGATCATTTTCCTGCACGAAAATGTAGCTAGATCTCAGATTATTTGCATTTTTAAAGCCGACTCACTTTAACGTTAATTCTTTAACAAACTTTTTCTGATTGTAAAGGTCCAATATAATGGTACTTTTAATTGTTTACAGGCTGTTTTTCAGGAAAAGTGTCAAGATACATCACAAATTCAGCCTCTGAAGATCTGCAGCCTCTCAGTTTCCAACCTCATTATTAATGCAGTGATCTAAGTGGGCGGAGTTACTATGATAGTGAAGAGCTGCCTGAATGTCGTCTAACCGGCATATTCCACCACATCTGGAACAGCTACAAAAAAGGCCGTATCTGCCGATCGTAACCATTCAAGTTAACGTGTCAATTTACACCGACTTCTTTCCGTTCCTCTGCGGATCGCCAGACTCCTCAGCTGATCACAAGAGTTCTATTTTTTCTGGACGCCAGAGCATGGCGGATAAATTCAGCACAGATTAACCCGTGCTGTAAAGGAAGTCGGGCACAGACACAAAATAAAACATTGAGCTTCTTTTCAAAATAAAACACTCTGTGTTTCAGGAGGATCGTATTTCACACCATACAAACGGGCGGAGACGAACAAGTGAAAGGTTTTTAGACGTCATTTCACCCCGATGACACCATGGATGAGGAGATGCTGATTCTAGAAGTCTAGAAGTAGATTTCCTCCTCTGGAAGGACACAATCTACAGCTTATATGGTTAGCCTATGTGGCTAAAGACAACTTGTTATCGTGTGATTGAACGTGAATCCGTGGGTTCTTCTGAGTTCTCGTGATTCCTGCTGTCTGTAACCCGCCATGAAATTGCCCCCACAAATGGAATTGGCGTACGGCGAAAATCGCTGCCGTTCCGGATGCGGTTGAAATCCCAGGTAAGGGGGAGGATACAGAAGCAGAAAAACACCAACACAAATTTAGCAAGAACTCCAGGAGAACCCGAGCCAGTACCTACACCTATGATCCAGGGTATGATCCTTAACATGGTGACTGGCTACGACAGGATGCTTTTGTGTGCCACTTCATGTAATTGGTGGTGTCAGTGGGTAGCTATGGCAGTGTGAGAGGAAGCATAATCACTCCAGGAGTGAAAGTGGGAGTGGATTTGAATGTAAGCCTATACTAATCATCCTCCTCCCTGACTTTGTGTATTTTTCCAGTAGGTGTGCTGCAGAAACAACACAAAGTTTTTTACTCAGACATTTTCAGAGTTGCCAGGCTGATTCAAGTATGTACAAGTACATGAAGATAAAAAGAGATGCCAAAATCTAGCCAAGAGCAGCAGTGGAGGGGTCTCACAGCATGTCTGGTACTTTTATTGATCAAAGGTTTAATGTTTTAAACCACAAAACAATCCAGACCTAAAGTAGTGACAGCTCAGCTCTCAGCCCCTCGTGGTTCTCTGCTTTTATCAGAGGAGCAATGAAGGAAGACAAAACAAGGAGGAAAAATATGTTTCTACAATTACAAACTTCAGACTCTTTACTTTAAATGTGACAATGAAATTTACCCAATCATCCTCCAAGGACTAAGAGACTGTAACATGACTCCTACACTGTGGACGCTCGTGGCAGCTCAGCTTGCAGCCCCTTCATGGGACATCCTGTCAACAGAAGAGCATTTGAAAAAACACAAATTTTTGTATCCTGAAACTTTATGAAGTTTTTCTTTTTCAACCAGGAGATTTGTTTTTGCTGGTTTACATACAAAGATATATTTAGCAGGGACCTCTGCAGAGAATGTAGCTCACGTCATTTCAAACCTTGAGTTTCATGACAACAATAAGAAGGCTGACAACTCAGGTACCCTAAACTGTTAATTTAAATAAATCTAGTTTTCACTTCTTCTAGTGCATAAAAAATGTCCATTTACACGAATACTGGTCTTACTTTAAACTGTCAGGAAGCTCAAAGCCTGCTCTCACCTTCAGCACTTCAGTCTGTCCACTTAAGCTCCTACTTATGGGATGAACTCTGCTCCTTTACATCTCCATCTGAAATCCAGTCATATTGAAGCTGTGTTCAGGACTGTTCGTCCTCTCTGATGTCTTTACGGTGTCCTCCTGCCTTTTGTTTTCACCTACAATGAGCTGTGAGGCCTCGCTGCTGTCAGGGCTGGGCTATACTGCGTGTTATGTAAGGGATAATGTACAGTCAACTGGATGAGTAAAGATTTGGGGGTTAAATGGAGGTCACTGATCTCTCAACAAGGGCTTATTTTGAAATATTATCCAACTTAACACGCCTCCAAAGACTGAGAGTATTATAGATCATAAGAGGCTGCTGATTAAAATGTGAAACCACAACGTTCAAAGAGCCGAGGGTCTAAATTTAGAAACATAAACACAGATGGCTCTATTTTCAGATAGATGTCCACCTGTTCATACTTTATTCTGAATTCTTATCCGACTCCTGCCGTCATCCAAAACTCAAACCCAAAGATTCCAAGCCTGGACAAACTTCTGAAAATCAGCCAAGAAATAAAGATCGGAATTTCTGCTGCTTTACGTGAGGTCAGCGTTAGCCCAACTTCAGCTTCCGAAAAGTTCCCTTGATAAAAACAGACTTTGGAGGTTTTCAAATCATTTAAAACATATTTTAAAAAATAGTGCAAAGAAAAGACAACATATCACATATTTGAATTTAAAAATGTAACTGTTAAAAAAAAATGCTGATTTTACATTTCATTTAAAAAGGTGTTTCAGACGAGCAGTCAAACAGGTAAAGAGTTATAATGCTAAAAAAACAGGTGGAATAACATCTCCAACAGGTTAGTCACATGACTGAGTCTCTCAGAAGGAAAAATGGAAGAGGTTCAGGACTCTGTGAGAGACTGCATGTGCTAACAGATCAACAGTTTGAGAGGATTTCATCTTCTACAGTAGATAATATCATTCAAAGATTCAGAGGATCTGGAGAAATTTCTGTACTAAAGGGACGAGGACCAAAACCAGGACTGGATGGTTCTGATCTTCAGGGCATTAAAAACAGACAGGACTCTGGAGTGGAAATCACCGCATGGAAAGGACAACTGGACTTGCTTGAGACGCGAAATGTCTCCAGTAAGTCCAGTTGTCCTTTCTCTTCATTTGTCCTCAGTCTTCACTTCAAAAACCACTTGACTGTGAACACAGTTCATCACTTCATCCACTGATGAGGTTCAAACTGAACCATGAAAGAAAAGACCAGATAGAACCAGGATGCAGAACTTTGACATTGTCTTTGGAAATCGTAGACGCTGCTTCCATCTTACTATTTTTAAATAGTGCAAAGACAAGAAATTGTAAGATTTTATAAGTTCTCATTTAAATTTGAGACCAACAACATGTTCCAGAAAGACCGACAAAGTGGAAACCGTCTCTGCCGACAAATCAAAACTTATCTCGTAAACAAAAGGCCGGGGGCGCGATTCCCCAGCTACCCATGTGCTGAAGTGCACTTGGGCAAGATCATAGATTGTACGGACAACTTGGTTCCGCCTTCCGTCAGTATACGGATTTGAAGCCGAAAAGCTCTCGGTATTTCTGCATTTTTTCTGCAGCCCATTACAAGAGGGCGCTGTTCTCGGAGTGGCTTCACCTAGCGAGAAGGCAGACAGCGTCCATTCTATCTATGGGCAAGACACCCAACCTTGCTTGCCCCTCCTGGCTGTTCCCAGTTGTTTCTGAATGTACGTCGCTCTGGGTAAAAGTGTCTGCTAAATGACACTATCACAGTGTAAGATGGACACTTCCTGCCATGCTCTGAAGATGACCATGACCATTTCAATGCTCTCGGACACATTCATGCTAATTGTTGGTTAATTGTTGGTTTTCAGTTGCTGTGAGCTTCACCGGCAGCAGATGATGTCGACGTTCAGCTGAGCCAACAGCAGGGACATGAGGAAGCAATTAAACTGATCACTTAATACCTGATAATCTGTATTACCTGCCGCGAGTGATTATCATCACTCACAGGCCGACTGCCAAGAGAACACGCAGTAACAGCACAGACGTCTGAGCACACACACACACACACAACCTGTGTTCTGTCTGCGCTCGAATTCACGCTGCAGAAAAAAGCGGCAGCAAACGCTCCCTCTGTTAGGTAAATAGAGCTATGTGTCTAACGTCACGCTAAGATTACAGATTAAAGAGCCATAATGTCTCGCCGTGACTCAGCTGATCCTCGACCAATCACGGCTCACTATATTAAATAAGAAAAGGAGGTGACAGACTTCCTGGAACGTAAACAAACGCCTGGAATGTTGTGTTCTTGTATCTCTGGTGATTTTTTATGAGTTGGACGGCCTGTTTCTTTATTTTGGTTCAAAAGGCAAAAACAACAAATGAAATGTGTCAAAACTAAATCCGGGTCACTGACCAGCACAACTTCAGATCTCTGAATTATAATTATGGCAAAAACTGTCGGGGTAATACATGAAGGTGAGGAAAAATCTGCAAATCAATCACAGTGATTTTAAAGACATTAAAATGATGCTGAAGCTATTTTTAATGTGAACTGTTGCTCTTCTTATTTTTGTCGTTTTAATTCAGTAAAAGGAGCTGATACTTTATTCATGGCTAAAGAGCCTCTTTAAGTCCCAGAGCTCTAATGAAATTATGCTGGGAGGATTTGTTTGTGGTGTCCTCAGAGTTTGGAGGATCAAAACAGAAAGAGTCAGAGCTGATAGATGGATCAGGACGCTGCGATTGCTGAGTGTTTGAGTCATTTTTAAGCCGTAATACTGATATAAAAGTCAGAGAGTTGGGTTTATTTTCTAAGGGAACAGTTAACATTTGGTTTAAACGGAGAAATCCACTTTCTTTTGTTCATAATAGTTCAGGGCTTGACACTAACTTTTTTCACAAAGAGCAGAGGTGCTCCCAAGTTAAAAAAGTAAGACACACACAAAGAACTTTTGGGCACGATGAAAATTGATCAAATAATGTTTGTCTTATCAGTTGACATAAGTACTATTATTTGAAATCAATTTTAGGTCTTTTGGTCACATGACATGGAAGCTGTCGAAGGAAAACAGCCTTTTTTGAGAACATCGACAGGTAATTTAACCGCGCTGCTGTTGTTATTCCCGGATATCCAACCTGAAACTAACTTCACCACAGTATTTACATGAAAACAAATTTGTGGCCTCGCATGATTGTTTTGATGCGCATTTGTGCCCATAAATACATTTTACAATTCGCATGCATCAATTTTTAGTCGTACTGTCGAGCCCTGTAGTTATTTATCATAGTTATTAAAACTGTTAATAAATTAAAAGTTATTCATCCAGCCACTGCACCACGATTTTTCAAAGACAGATGTGCTTTCAGGGGCTTATGCATCATGTCTGCACACCCTAAACCGTCATCCCAGCAACCCGACACTTGCTCCGGCCCAATGTGCACCAAACCCAGACATAACCAATGGTGCAAATGACCCTTCATCACTGCTTGCAGCTTTAATTTCATGGAAAGAGCAACACATTCAGATGCCTTTGTTCTTGACTGCTGTGGGAAGTTCAGGTGCTTTATTTTAAATGTTTTTCCAAACCTTTCCATACACTAAAGAGCTCTCTAGGAGTCACATTGGTCCACATGTGCAGATCAACAGTGAGTGTGAATGCTCACGATCTTCACTGTTCTTTGCTTTGATTTTAATTGAATGGTTTTAAGTATAAACTGAGTTATCTCACAGGTATCTCCTGGGGTACAGAGCGTGTGATTTTACCACCTATGGAGACACCACAGAGGATAAAAGCAGCATCTGTTGCACCCACTTTCTTCCCCCACAGCTTACGTCTGGCAGGTAGAAGTCTGAATCCGACAGTAATCCTGTGATGAAGGAAAGAATTTATGAGAGTGGAAAAAAGACTCCACTTTAAAGCTTTGAAGGAGTTTTCCACCATGTCTCAGTCTTGATCAGAGAGAGGATTTGGCTCACTGGGGTGACTTCAAACTATCTTCTATTTGTGGCAGATTTTTGGTGTTTAAACCTGAGGGTCGGGGTCCGCTGATGAGACGACAATTTCCAATCCAGCAGCAATGTGAAGATACATTCAGCTTCGACTCATTATTGCGATGAACATATATGGCATATTCACTCATCACTCATTCACATCAGTACCTCTTTACTGTCTCTGTACCGGCTAACTATGGGATTGAGTCACATGAGCTTTAATACTTTACATTGGTTGAAACTTTCGAACATAAAAAAATGTAAAGAATATCTGACAGCATTGATTTATGAAAGGACATTTAAAAGGATCGCACACAGAGAAGTGAGGTTTCTGCCTGACAGCAAGACTATTTGAGATACAAAAGCCTGAGGTACAGAGAGGAGCGGCAGTGATCCACATGTTCCTGGTAAAATCAGACCCAGAATAATGAGGGGCAGCTTGGTTGAAAACGGGCCGCAAGGCAGTGACACCACTGAACCGTAAAATGGTACATCTCACTTCAGAAATCCTCCAGGTGCCTCAGGTAATAGTCAAAATTAATCTGAAGCTATATGCACCTCAGATATTGAGTATAGGGTCAGTTCAGCCTCAAAGTCAAGTCACGTCAGCTGATCTGAACACCAGTCCATAAGAGTGAGTAAGTGTAGGTCGTGTCTTTGGTACTGTCACAGGTTTAAAGAGCAGCAGTGTTATTTTTATGACAGTCCTTCTCAGCTTAATGAAGTGTGTGTGTGTGTGTGTGTGTGTGTGTGTGTGTGTGTGAGTGAGATCTGGAGGCTGCAGCTCAGAGGAAGAAGCTGTTCCTCAGTTTATTGGTCTGTCTTTGTGATGGTGTGAAATAACCACCTGTTCCCCTTTATTCAAGCTAATGATAACTGATAATAGCTTCTCTGTCAGAAGACTGCTGCGACACGTCAATCTCTCAGGAGAAAACGTATTTTTCCAGATTGAACCCTCTGGAAATTCACCTTGAAAGAATACAAATGCTCAGACGTCATTAAACATTTACCAAAGGTGTTACTAAATAAACTTTCACAACTGTTACAAAACCTCAATTGCAAACCTTGTGTTTATAAAACACTGGATGAACAGAGGTTAAAGATTTGAGTAGGTTTAGGTTTCCAACGGTTCTAACAATTAAAATAAAACTTCAGTTTAAAGTCTTATTAAGTGTTCAGTGAAAATCCTTGTGTGTTTCCGATCTCATAAACACAACACAGAAGCCAATTGCACCCATAACATCATATCAGTCTACTAATCTGTTTAGCTCCTATCGTCACAGAAGAGGGATTTCTTTCAAAGTTAAATTGATGCAGATATCAAACAGTAATCATTCCATTACTCTCTTTAATTTGTGCAGACCAAACCAGCGTGCACAGACTGTTTTGATTTTTAAAAATGCTGTCCTGTTCCTTTAAAGCTGCACTAACATGCATGACCCAGAAGTGCACACATGCATGCGGACTTAAACTCCGAGGCATCTGCCAGTAAACAGGCTGTAAACCAATTTCCCCTCTGAAGTCCGTGACCCACATCAACTCCTGCCGCAAAAACCGCAGGGACAGAGCATGCGAACCAAAACTGAGTAAAACACACCTTTAGGAGACAAGTTTCTAAAGATAAATGAGACAAAAGGAGGTATGAAATGAGGAAAGGAGGGAGGAGCACAGGATGAATAGCTCACCAGTAGAGGAGAGACAGCCCATCGAATCGCTCCGCGTCCTGAGTGAGGAATGGCATCGCACGGCGGTCCAAGACAAAAAAATCACAACCCACCTATCACACACACTCCCTCACACACACACATTCACACACACAAGAAGGCGAAGTGTTAGACCGCCATGAGACAGCAGCGGGTGTTTCTGAGGAGGAGACGGGATGAGAAGAGACGGCGGCGGTGGTTCAAACCAGGTCGATGTGTGTGTGTGACCGGAGCGGAGAGGAGAGGGATGGAAATCCGCCTAGACAGGGAGAGACACACGCTTACCTTTACTCACTAATCCATGCTGATACCCGTCCGTCTCACACACACACACACACAGGCACAGTGTGAGCACAAGCACACAAACCTCACAGAAGATGAAACTTTAAAGGCTGCGTTTTTCTGAAGTCTTGTCCTTTCTCCAGCTGAGGGATTAGAGCATTATAGTAAAAAACACCGAGAGGAGGCTTAAACGTCTGCACACGCTGCCTCTTTGGCGTCTCTGAAACGCACTCCCAAAGATAAATCACCTGTAAACACTGCACTGGAAGAGGAGGCAGACATCTGAATGCACCCAGATTGAAATTCAAATGAAGTTTGACGGAGCGCACAATAGGGTATGAATCATCAGAGGGGAGCGTCTGTGATGTTGAAAAAGAGGAGAGAGAGTGAGAGCGGCTCCAGCTTAGGACCTCAATAAGGATCGGTATCAGACGATCTGGACTGGTATCAGATTAAACGTGGTGATCTCTGCCTAATGTTGTATAACAGACCTGTCTGCTCCAACTCTGCAGGAGTCCATGTCACCTGGACACACCTGAGAGACCAAGTCTGACTGGAGGATAGACCGCAGAAGCTCCACTCCGCAGCTTTAACAATCTCACGTTGGTTATAGAGTTTGATGAATACATGAATTTTTGGTTTCATTTCTTCAGATTCAGCTTGTGCAGACATGATCTTGACTCAGACTCAAGTTTTATTGTCTTGTGTGCATGTTGTTACACCTGCACACGAGCTATTATCTACTGTGTTCTGTTAAAATAACTCAAATAATCTTGCACCCTTCCACACAAGATATCGATCTTAATCTTACATGAAAATATCTTGTGTGCACTATATAAATATCTAATAAGTGTCATTTTTTTATTTACTGATTTCTTTTAACCTTTCTATTTTAAAACACACTTCTATTAGCCTCTTTTTGCTGTCTTCTGTGTTCTGCTGCACAAATATGTTTGCAGTTTCTGAACCTAAACTTTGTGGCTGATAGCTCCAAACTTTCCGGACTACCAAGCCTTTAACAGGATCTTCATATGTCAACAGATAACTTCCAGATTTTCATCAACTTCAGCTCAGGAAAAAAGACCAGTGATGGTGAGTAAGAAATAACAGAAAGAATGGCAATCCTTCGATTTCAAAACTTCCTCCATTTTTGGCACATTTGCGCCCAGAGGGGAAACTCGCTGCAAACGTCAATGACCCCGATGCACTGAAGACCGTTTGTAGGGGAACAGAGACAGGAAACCAGACCTGATATGACTAAGGGGAACAAAAGTTCATGTTGAGGTTTCTCTGAATAGGGCTCAAGTCTGATCTCTCCTCTGACAGTTGGATTAACTAACATTCCCCAATATTTTTGCTTTCTTTAAGCCTTCATGAAAAGTCAGAGTTTCAGACGTGTATTCAGTTGTATTTGGTAGAAAAGGATCTGAAAATCATTGTACTCTGTTTTAAACAACATCCTAACTCCTCTGGACCTGGGGTTAGTAAAACAGATGCTGAGAGGGTCACAATTCAGTGATCTATAATCTTAACCAAGATTGAAACCACTAATAGGATAAAAGATTTTCATCACTGGTGATACCTAAATTTGGTTTATCTACAGAATCTGTTTTCAGAAACTGATTTGTTGCACTAATATCTTAACACATGATTAGTTTGCTAAATGTGATTTCATGTTACACAGCACTTCTTGTTTTTCTGTCCACTCTGTTCTAGTACTCATGTGGTAAATGTGTGACGTGGTTTTTGAAAGTTAACCTCACAGGAACTTCCTCCTGTCAGAGACATAAATACACTGAGGCGTCAGAAATCACTTTATTTATCCCTCTAACAGGTGAATAACGGACTTCTTTTCATTTATGACAGGTGAGTTTTTTCTTGTAGATTAATATTTAACATATTCAGTTTGTTGAGAAAAGCCTAACTTCACTTGAATAAAAAAAATGTTTTATTAATTTTTTTTTTAAATAGTTTTATTAATTTTTAAAAGGCTGTTTTTTTTTTTGCAAAAGTTAAGTTTAAGTTCTCTTTTAATTATTTTTTTTTGGGGGGGGCAAAAACAAAATTTTAAATTGCTGTTATAACATTTAAAATGTGATTTCAAGTCTGTTTTTTTCATATTTTAAAGCTGTGCTGCAGTGACAACAGCTCCATTAAATGTTCACTTTTTGCTCAGACTTTTACTGGTTTGATAATTTTATCTTGTTTTTTTTTTTTTACTTTTTAATGACATAGATTAAAGTGCATAAAGCTGCTTCTTTTCTCTGTTATGCAGACGAGAACTTCTGTGATGTGTAGAGAAGGGACTCTGAACTAACCTACTCTGCTTTTTCTTTGTCCTCAAAGATTTTCTTCATCAGAGAAAAGGAGAAGAAGGAAAAAAGGGGAAGCAATAAACCTCCCAAATCTGAAAACAAGTCTTGGAGTGGTCACACTCGAACCCTCAGCTGTTTCAGTTCCAGTGTCCTATCAGAGCTTTGGGACTAATTCAAGTTTAAACTCAGATTCCCCAAAATGTCTTTGGAGCTGAGTGGAAATTTTACTGAGTCAAACTGGACGACACCAGTGCCTGGTGGTGGAGGTGGTCCAGGTGGTAGAGGGGGATGCCCACCTGTTGGTATCCAACTGGAGGGTTTGATTCTGCCCCCAGTCCTCACCATTGACGTCATACTGGGGTTGCTGGGAAATGTAGTTGCCCTGTGGATCTTCTGCTTCAAACTGAAAAGCTGGAACCCAAACACCCTGTTCTTGTTTAACCTGGTCATCGCAGACTTCTTCGCTCTTCTGAGTTTGCCGCTCAGAATTGATGCCTTGCTCAGGGGTCATTGGGTGTTTGGAGATGGCATGTGCCGGATCAATCTCTTCCTGATGTTTTCAAACCGGTCGGCCAGCATCGCACTTATGACTGTGGTGGCAATCTATCGCTACTTTAAGGTAAGGAACTGAGGTATCTTTGTATTTCATTGGGGCTTCAAATGGTTAACAAAGAGTCAGTCAGACAGTCAGTCAGTCTATAACCATTTTACATGGCGTCCTGACTTTTGGAGCTAAATAAGGGTTATATGTGTAGATGATTCCAGTTGGCTGATTGAATCTCCACCCCCTCCTGCCACAGGTGGTCCACCCTCACCATCGCTTCAACCGCATGACAAAGCGTCAGGCTGCCTTTGTGTCCCTGTTTGTCTGGATTCTGGTCATCAGTCCTCGGGTTCCCATGCTGGCTTACAACCACATCAAGGGCAGCGGCGACAAGACCCAGTGTTTCTTCTTCACCTCCTACAAAGAGGCGTCACGGGCCATTATTATTCTGGTCGCCATGCATCGTATCCTGACTGTGCTGGAGTTCATAGTACCATTCGGCATGCTAATCTTCTGCTCTGCTCGGATCTCCTGCTTCCTGCGAAAGCGTCAGATTGGAAAACCCGACAAGGTGCGGAAAGCGATGCGAGTGTGCGCTGCCATCGTGGCGGTTTTCATGGTGTGCTTCTTACCCACCACAGTGACCACCATTGGGATATGGGTCATCCGCTCATTCCGGCCATGGGACTGCACCTCCTTCTACACCTTCACCCAGCTCACCATTGTGTCTCTGGGTCTGAACTTCCTAAACTCAGCTCTGGATCCCATCATCTATGTTTTCTCCAGCTCCATGTTCAGGAAAGCCCTCTGCAGCTCGCTGCCCCGTGCCTTGCGCTGTATGATGGACGCAGGTGATGGAAAGGAGGCATCCTCGACAGAGAGTCAGTCAACCACTCAGCAGGAACTGAAATCGATAAGAGACGACAGAAGAAGTGAAGCTCTGTAACAAACCTGTGCCAAGAGCAGTGTCTGCTCTTTTTACCTCAAGTTTTAGTTTTGTTTTCATATCGCTTTGACTGCTTTTTCAACACTTTTTAAAAACACCTCATTGTACTTAAGATAATTTATAGTCACATATACTGTAAGGCCTCAAAACTCTCACAAAGCTCAGAGGAGTATTGTCCAAATCCAAGTCCTCTTTATTACAACTGCACAAAGCTCTAACCTTTGAATGAGTTACAACTGTGCACTGCACACCATGACTGCCATAATAAATTAAGATAACTACAGTTGTTTTTAACAGCACTAAAATCTGCATGTACTGTATATATTCATAAAACATCTGTCAGGAGAAAAGAAAGGCTCTTTCAGCTGAACAACGCTGCCCCCAACAGGAAGAAAAGCCAGTCTAACAACCAACCCTTGTATCATGATCCTAACTGACTCATCTTTGATACTCTCTGCATCCATTAACAAGAATGTGCAGGTGTGTCTTCATGTGTCTTTGCAGGTTGGTGCTATGCTTTATTTAAAAACTTATTTATTTTGTTTTGTATCAATGATTTGATTTAGGTTTATTACCTTTACAGCATGTTGAGTGTGTATTACACTGTAATGTTTAAAACAAATAAAACTGAAATTTACTGAATTATCATCAAAACATTTTAGTTCAGGTCATCTGTTAAATATGGCCTCAAAATTCTCATTAAGTTCAGAACTGTCAAGTCTTAATCTAAGTCTTCTTTCTCAAAAACAGAAGAAAAAAGTCCCTGTTCTAGGCCAGGTTAAGCACGGCCTGTTGAAAGGACTACACCCTGGTGAAAAATCCTCGTCACTTTAGTGCATGAAAAGCTGAGGTTTGTTTGGTGTTTTGGAATCAAATCAACAGAAACTTGGCCCATCAAATGTTTATTTTACTTGACGGGTTATTGGCAATAATCTATTCATTTTTCAGGTGTGACATTATTCTGTTAAAGTTCCTGAAGGCTTGTCTAATCTTTGTGCCTTTAATAAAAAGAAAAGAAAAAACAACTAGAAACTAGTTGAACTCATTTCTGTCAAAACAGGTGTTGACAGGAGGGTTTCATGCTTAACGTTGGTCATCCTTACTGTGGGAAAATATTTGCTGTATCATAGAGACACGACTCTCTGCACATTAGAGTTTACCAAGAAACACCAAAAAATAAAAAAATAAAAAACAGTAAAGGCATAAAACGAAATGGTTTCAGGTTAAAAATGTTGTCTCAACAAACTGCTGCTCTATTAATCACCTAAATAAAAACATAGTTTTTTTTTCTTTCATTCTACTGAATAGTAATTATTCAATTTGTGGTGGAAATGGAGTTATCTAAAAGAAAACAAAGTAATGCATGTTGTAGTTTTGAAACAGTAGTAGCAGCCTGGACCACAGTCAGGAAGGTCGAGTGCCTTCTTGAACCAAAATAGAGCTTGAGATCCTTAATCATCTGTAATTTTTACCAGCAGGGGACCAATCCTCAACACTAAAACCTAAACCTGCATAATATTCCTTTATTCTTATCTTGACCAAGGTCCAAATTGAAGCTCAGAGGGGATAGATCTTTTTCTGTTGCGGCCCCAAAATTATGGAATGAGCTACCCCTCCAAATTAGACAAGCCCCCACACTGTCCATTTTTAAAACTTGTCTTAAAACCCATTTTTATTCATTGGCTTTCAACCCTGCATGAGACTCAGCTCCCGTTTTAGTGTTTTATGGTTTGTTTTTATTTATTTGTTTCTATGTTTTTAAATTAGTTTTAAATACATTGAAACTATAATTTACTTTTTAATATCTGCTTTTATTTTATCCATTGTTTTAATCGTTTTTTGATTGTTTTTTATATTTGCATTGTTTTGTCTACTTATGTACAGTACTTTGTTCAGCTGTGGTTGTTTTAAAGTGCTTTACAAATAAAGTTAAGTTGAGTTGAGTTGAGTTTTATTTCTTCCTTATTATGGCCCCAGTACTCTGTTGTACATCTAAAAGGGAGCACCTGTTGACTTTGCCAAGAGGGCAGCATGGCAGCCAAATGTCTGAACTTGAGGCTTCAATTAAGCATTACAAAAACAAGGAGTGATATTATGGTGGATTATTCTGAAAAAAGGGTTTGTTAACCCCGCCAAGGAGGTTATGTTTTTGGTAGCGTTGGTTTGTTTGTTTGTTTGTCTGTTAGCAACTTTACGGAGAAAGTTACAGACGGATTGACCTGAAATTTTCACCAGAGGTGCGTCTCAGCCCCAGGAGGATCCCATTACATTTTGGTGGTGATCCGGATCGCCTTCTGGATCCAGGAATTTTTTGAAGGATTCTTTATCATTGTGAGATAGGGCAAATTTTGGAATTTTTGCATTTAACTCTATAAAAATGGCCAGAGTCTTTAGTAAAAAATTACACAAAAGGATCTCAATGAGCTTTATGGGGTGCCAAAGGTCCAGACAAAATTCCGGATACTGTGATCCAGAACACACAAAAATAAGGGTGTCGTTGGAATTTTCAATGCTGAAAGATAACCAATGACGATACAAGGAAGTGTACGCTTACAAATATTGCACAATAAATCATGCATTTATGTATCTAATATGAGCTTTCTTGTTTTAGGAACATTATGAACAGTGAACATACCAGTTTAAACACAAATAAAAGTTAATAAAAGACACGTAACAGTCAAAGTTTTGGTGTGAATCACAATATAAGGGGGGACGTGAGCTGCTTGGCAGAGGTCTGCGCTCCCCAAGTGCTTTTCTTGTTGGACTCTGGTTTAATTTATTGATATATCTAATTATTAAGACATTGCAGTTTTACGCTAACATCCTGGTGTTCTGTCAATCAAACTTGCAGATTTTTGCCAACAAAACCTCCCTTCGACTCTTAAACAGACATACCACAAGATATGTCGGTTGGTTTTATCTCAACAACAAAACAGCAGAAACTTGGCAGCTGGTTACAAGTTAATTATACCAAAACTGCTGTTAGCACAAAGATTCTCGAGAAGTTAAATAAAGGTGTGTCATCATGTTTGTGTGAAAACTTCGGCCCATTAATCATAAGAGAAATCTTTGTACCCCAAAGGTCAACAGAAGCTAAAGGACTTCATGTCCATGAAAAACTGACTCACAGCATAATTCCCATTTCTCTAAAAAAATCCTGGGCTTACCAACACATTATCTTCACCTTTATTTAGACAAGGGTTTGAAATCATACAGAAGCAAATAAAACAGTGAAAGTTACACAACAGATTTTTTGGAGGGGTGTGGCGACGTATTTATGCAAACACTGACATTTGTTATCACTGAACTTAATCACTGATGAGAAATTCAGGTGTGCCATAGGAAGAGCCAACAGAGGAACATATCTGAAAAGGTATAAATAACCTCACAGAGGGTCAGACTTACAGCCCCAGCTGGAGATCAAGAAGACTCGCACCTAACTCAGCTATCCCGCAAAACATTCTCAGGTGAGTGACACCAGCGTGGATGGGGACAGAGAGGGACACAAAAAGAAGATTTCCAGAATAGATCTGATTCTCTCTTATAAAGTTGATTTGATCTGATTTGTTCACTTTAGTTCAGTTCTTTGTGATGGACACTGTGCCATGATCTTAAAATGTCTTAAAGCGCATCGAGTGGTTTAAGTGTACCAAAGAGGCTTTGGACGCTCGCATTTTCATGAACCATTTTCACAGATTCTCGCACATGAAATTTATGACAGCCTCAGTTATTTGTAGGGCAAATAGAGAGTTGGATGGAAACTTAAAACCAATTGTTTTATCCTTACTTCTGTAAGTACTTCTGTCTGTAGTTTATCTATAAACTGCACAACATTTTTCCAACTGCATAAACAGCAGCAAATAAAAGTTATGACAAACGGTGCAATTAATCCAAAAACCCTGAAACAAAACCGTCTGATATCAAATTTGTCAATCATTTTTACGTAATTTTTCCTATGGATTAATCTAATGATTATTTTTGTGATTAGTCGACTAATCTATCAACTAATTTATTGATTATTCTAAAGATTATTTTTTATCAACCAATTAATATTACAATGAATTTGACCAAAATAGCAAGTAAAAACTTGTCCTAGTCATAATATTATTTAATTCAATGATTTAGTCAAGAATCTCTTGAAATTAAACAAAACTAAATATTTGGGTTATAAAGTCTGGGAGATTTTGGCGGTGCGCTCCGGGCAGTTTTGGGGTTATCTTGTACGGTGGATATGAGCTAATTATGAGAGTATTTGTAATTAGATTACTCATCCAAATAAGGATAAATGAAGCTGCACACTTTTTTTGTTTTGTTTTAACAATAACAAATGGCCACAAAAAAATAAGAGCTACGATATGCCTTGAACTTATTTAGTCCACTAATATTCGTGTTAAAGTCCTCATATGTTTGACATGCTCTCCCGTATAAGGCTCTCTGAACATCTGTGTGTGAGATACATCACTCTTTTACCCGAGGCTGCCTTGAACACATCACTCCGAGACGGCGAAAGACTACCAATGCAAATTTTATATCTCGCATTTGTTTCCCTTTTACTGAAGTGTTCATTTTTGAACAAACACTACTTAAATATAGTTTACAGCTTAAACTGACCTGAATCATCCCAAACTGTAAAGTAAAAGTATCAATCCAGAGTCTGTGAGGCTCAGCAGAAACACAGGACAATCTTCGGTTGTCTGGAAACTTTGGACAAATCTAGTGATCCGATTCATGAATGAACATGGACCATCAAACTACAGGAGATTGCCGTGAGAAATGACAATACGTGAGGTGGGCGGGAGATAGGTCTGAAATACGGTAGAGTCCCGGGAAAAACGGGAGTGTTGGCAGGTATGGTATCAGTATACATATGTGCAGCAGTGCTCGCATGCGCCGAGTATTAGCATTAGTGAGCTATTGTCGGCGATCACAAAGCTGATTAATTAGCGAGTTATCGGACAAATAAAAGCACAAACTGATGCTTCAACTTCGAGTTCACTGCTTAAAGTGAATGAATTAGATATGGGATGCAGGGCGTATGATGCAGTGTTCACTGTGGCATTTGCTGCACCAGCGGTAGGTTATTTGATTGACAGGTCACCACATGTCTCTCTGAATGAAAGCAGCGCGATCTTGGAAATGTGAACGAGGAAGTCAGGAAGAACACATGCATTGATGGAGAGGAGCTGCTCATAGATCATGCTAAAGTAGGTTTGAAACCGACCCCATTAGGTGGAGCCCGTTTGCCGTCCATGCTTCCACCGTTACCTGAAGTAGCCATTGTCTACGTCATCATGCGACGCGTCGATGAATTTTTGTAGTCTATTACGTTGAATACGTCCACAAATCGCCTCAGCCCTAGAAAATACATCTGATGAGTTTAAGAAGGCAGCAAAAAGCCTCTCTGGTCCGTCCCCTTCCTGATCATATTAAATCAACTTATAAAAACAAACACCTCTCAATGCATGTCTTCATTTTAATCACACTGAAAGACACAAAATATACAGTTTTTAAGAGTGGGCTTAGACTTTTCTGATGTAGAATTAAAAGATCTACATCATGCATTTTGTATTTTAAAAAAAATCATTGAAATATCTTCTTCAAAAGGGGTGGGTATCATGTTTTTCCACATTTACAACAAAAACTGTCAAGTTACACAGTTTGGTCCATATTAAATGTATGCAAAGTTTCAAACCATGTTGTCATAATTCTAGAAAATAGATGTAAGCTCTTCAAATCACAGACCCTTGCGAGAAAACGTGAGACTCAATAAAATGTCTGCGCCAGTATTTTAGTCTCCCCTTACTGGGTCATCTGAGCTTCAGGAGAAAAGCTGAACAGTCTGCCTCCAACAGAGTGTAAGGTGATGCCCACAGCTGAGCAGGGTGAAGCTGCTCTACTGACTGACCACAGTAGAGGGGGCGGGGCAAGAACATTGAGCTCTGCCGTCAGCCAGCCTCTGGATGAGGTAACCAATCCGAAGAAAGTAGGCTTGTGGATGGGGAGGAGCCTAAAGAAAGGGCAGCCAAAATGAGGGGGAAGGCTCAAATATTTTGATACACGAGTGAGAAACAGGAGGCTTATTTAATCTGAAAATCATGAATAGAAATTAACCTACACTACAGAGTCTGAAAAAAACATATAATACCCCCTCTTAAGAACTGCACGGTTCCTGACTCTGAAAATACATGTATATATCTATATAGAAGCTTTGACTTAACGTCAGTCTGTGAAAAACTATCATGGTAGGACTACTTTTAATGAAAAACTATGGGTTTGTAGGCAAACTGAACTTTTTCTTTTTAGCTGTGTATCTGTTTAACATTGGGCTGGCGGAGAACATTACATAAAGTACTGAGGGAATTTTGATTACCTGGTTATTATTTCTCAACAGGTTGAAGAAATGACCTCAGAGCACAGGCAAGTTGCTGCCTTGGGCCGACCTCTCACCCTGGGGATGCTCTATGATGCCCGGAAAGATGAGCTGATCCCCGGTAGGTCCTCATCTACACCACTCCTCTAACAGATGTGCTCACACAGACTTGTAACAGAGTTTCAGGGTTTCAGAAACCTTTTCAGGGGTTTTATATTCTTATGTGTGGACAGCATGGTAAGAATTTTAACTAATGCAAATATGACTGCCTTAAATTATAACTGCACTTGGTGTATTGGACACTGGATGAGTTAGCAGGCTACTGGTTTTCATCAGCTTTACTGTTAGGTGTGTTTATTTATAAGGAAACTTCTCACTTCATCATGAGGCTGGCTTTTCACTGGATGCTTGATGGCTGCATTTTGTTGTATTTGTTGTATTGTGCTTGAGGGCCCTGGTTCCCCACAAGTGTTATCCAAAATACAGCACTTAACTACCTTTGTCAAACTGACATCATATTTATCTTTGCAGGGTAAAGTGAAGAGGCATGTGATCTATTGCAAATTAATTTGATGTGTTTCTGTCCACTGAGGTTGAAGTAAGCCTTTATCATCATAATATGGGTCAAAACTTCAAATAAAACCATAAATCCCACCAACTGTAAGATAAAAAGTAGGGTTATATTTGATAGAGGAGTAACAGGTAGTTAAAAGACCTGGGGTTTAGTATGAGTATTAAAGTCCACATTAAAAACATCAGCGATAGCCGTCTCCCCCTCTCTCCTCCAGCTGACATGCACATTGGTTGGTTTGTTACAGACACCAAAACTTCAGGAGCAAGATGAGGCTGAAACTCTGCTGGGATTGTATCACCATGAGTTGATATGCTTTGAAATTTTTTTACACTATACTTAATGTTTGCAGCTCATGGACAAAATCAGCAGTTGTGTGTAAATAATACTATAGAGAGCAATCTAAAAGTCAAAATAGTAATTTTCTTGCTGAACTTAAAAAATCTTCAACACTAAAAAGAACCAGAACCAGAAGTGAGTTTTTTTTTTTTTTCACAACAAACGGGAAAGATAAAAACCTTCCCTCATGTGAATCACACACAACCTATTCGTCAGAAAACAGCATGTGTGGATTTGGAGTAATTAGATAGATTTCTCTGATACAGCAGGAAGAGGGCGGATCATAAGACTCTTTGGCCACTTTTAGACGGAAACGGTCTCCATAGAAAACGGAAAAAAAACGGCAACTGCGTTTTCAGGAGATGAAAACGTATCAAAGTGGAAACCCCCTCCAGAGTGGAAATGTAAAAGCTCTGCTAGTCCCGCTTTCGTCTAAGGTACAAAAACGCTGAAAACAGTCAAACCTGTGATGTCCTGGCTCACGTCGGCTCACACTTATGACATCATAGCCATGCACAGCTTCCTTGAAAATAACAACAACAACCATACTAGACATTTGAGTCACGTTGTCGTTATTATTGAACGGGCAGGAGCTCAATTTCGACCTGTACAGAATCCTCACAGATCATACTGCTCAGCAGAGGAGGCGTCTGAATTATTTGCATCAAACAATTAATGTGCCAATTGGTCGGCGGAGGGGAACAAGGGTTGTGCGTTGTTGGTCTATATGGGAGCGCGGTCACACCGACACACGCCACCTAGCGACCTGGCATGCACATTACAGCGTTTTCAACCACATTGCGTTTTTGTGTAAACACAGCATAAAAACGGAAAACGAAACGGCACTTTTCCATTTTCTATGGAGACCGTTTCCATCTAAAAATGGCCTTTAACTCTAGTCTCTATTAACTTTTATTGACTTTGAGAAAAAAAAGGGTTTAAATGTTATCAAAGTTAAAATCTTTGCAAAAATGTTTAAGGTTTGCAGGACTCAAAGGTTTTATCATCTATGTCCTTTGACTTTTACAGACATAATGTTTATTCTTCTTCATCAGATGACTATTTTCTTTTTCCACATCTAGGTTTGACATTGTGGGATGAGAAAACTCTAGAGGAAAAAAACGTTGAAACCCCCCAGCCCAGCAGTTCTTATGAAATTTCTACATCTGACTCCATCGAATCCAAGTCCTCTATGTTGAAAGTCAGTGCGTCTCTACAGGCCAGTTTCATGGGTGGACTCTTTAGTGTTTCAGGGTCCGCAGAGTATATGAAAGACACCAAACATTCTCAGAATCAGAGCAGAGTGACCTTCCAGAACATCACTACGACCACCTTCAAACAGCTGTCTATGATCGACATGATAACCCTGAATGAAAAACAGACAGAGCTCATTAAGAAGGGCACTGCGACACATGTAGTAACAGGCATCGTCTATGGAGCAAACTGCTTCTTTGTGTTTGACAGTGAAAAGGTAGACAGCAGTGAGGTTCAGGACATCAGTGGTAAGATGAAGGCTATGTTAAACAAGATCCCTGAATTTGACTTCCAGGCGGAGGCCGAGGTAAAACTGACAGCAGAAGAAAAAAAACTGACAAACCAGTTCTCCTGCAAATTCTATGGTGACCTTCTTCTCAAAAGTAACCCTGCAACATTTATGGAGGCAGTGCAGACCTACAAGGACCTTCCAAATCTGTTGGGGAAAAATAATGAGAATTGTGTCCCCCAGACGGTATGGCTGATGCCCCTGACAGATCTTGATAGCAAGGCTGTTACAGTGAAGAGTGCACTCAGTCAGGCATTAGTGAGGAAGATGCAGGATACTTTGGAAGGCTTGAGAAAAGTGGAAATGAGATGCAACGATGCTCTAGCTGACATGGTGGTACAGAGCTTTCCACCAATCCAGAAGAAGGTACAAAGGTTTAAAAACCTGTGTGAGGATTATGAAGATGACATCAGGAAGACATTTGCAGAGAAACTTCTCCATGTACGTGAAGGTAAAGAAGATGAGGGGGCACTGATGAAGGTCTTTCAAATAAGGGAAAACTCACCCTTCAGTTCAGAACAATTTAACAAGTGGATGGACGACAAGGAGAGAGAAATCAATGTTGTCAGGTCCTGTTTGGACATCCTGAAGGGAGTCAAGATCCTCCCGAACAAGTCTGAGCTGGACAAAGTCATCCTTGATACACAGGTTGAGATAAAGCTGTGCTATGCCTTCACCTCCCTGGAAAGTCCTGACCCCAGCTTGGATGCAATGACCAGCTTCTTGGCTTCAGGGGAAACCCAAAGTACCGAAGAAGTCCCATGGTTCTATTCTGATGATGTTCTTCAAGAAATGAGAAAATTGGCCGTAGATGCCATGACTGTCACTTCTGGAGACAACAACATATTATTCATTTCGGCCATTCCAAATGAAGAACACAAAGGAGTGTACCTTTACACCTACAAAAACAGCATTCCCTACAAAAAAGAGGGGATTACAGAGTATCAAAATGTAACCTACAGAGCAGAGTTGTTCTCATGTAAGTACTTGTGTTACTGTAAAACAAAATAACACATTACTCTGAAAACTAGATTTGCCTTGAATGTTTTATGAAACCTGTTAAAGTTAGTTTAAGATCCCATAAAGAAATACATTATGATGAAGTGGCTTCCAGCCCAGGGGCCAGACCCAAAGGATCACTAGTTTAACCCAGGGACTTAAAAATGGCAGAATGGCTATTATTTGGATCCCACAGATGTTTCTGCAGGTTTCACAAAACTCAATTAAAATTTTACAATAGTTACAAGATCTCAAAAAAATATATATTGGGAAACCTTAGAGGACTCTTCTAAATTTGCATTTGCTTTTACAGATAGCACAAAAGTTTCTCAGTAGCTTGGTATAGATAAAGGTCTATCCAGAGATTCTTTTAAGAATCTTCCATAAATTATCAGGATCCAACAAAGAGTTCTCAAAAAAACTTGAAAAGTAATTAGGAAAGTTTAAGATCTTAGAAGATTGTTTTTTCCAGGTACCTGGAAGTTTTTCAAGAAAATCCCCCACGCTGCCATATTTTACACGATTCTTTTTTGCTGAGTTTACAATCAGCAGAACCTGAGACAGCGTGCAGAAAATGTTTTCTTCTTGCATTTGGTTTCTCAGAAAATGTTTATTGGATCTCATTTTAGATTTCTCTTTGTCTTTAGATCACAAAAACATGTCTGAGGGTCAAACACACAAAAAATCTGTATCTTAAAAAAAAATCCTGGGATCCAGAAAGAATTTCTTAAAACTGTACATATATATATATATATATTTATTATTATTATTTTTTTTCATTTAGAACTAATTCAGGACAGATAATTGAATTTTATCTTGTTTTGATCTCATTTTTTTCAGATGCCTGTCCTCTCACCTTGGACCCAGACACAGCAAATGGCCAACTTACTCTGACATTAAACGGGAAGAGAGCAACAATCGGTCAACCCCAGGGGCTTCCTGACCTCCCACAGAGATTTGACCCTCTTCCTCAGGTTCTGTGCAGAGAGAAGTTGACTGGGCGCTGTTACTGGGAAGTGGAGTGGCAGGCCAACTCTGGTTTAGTGGCTGTGGCAGTTTCCTACGACGGGATTATCAGGAAAGGGGAAAAAAAGGATGCTAAACTTGGTTCAAGTCCCCTGACCTGGAGTCTGGAAATGACAGAGAATACTGCCACAGCCTGGCACAACCATGAGAAACTCACTATATTAAAAAAATTTGGATCAAGCGGTTCACTGGGGGTGTATCTAGACTGGACTGCAGGTTCTCTGTCCTTCTACAATCTTGTGGGTAGTAAGTCCAAGCACCTCTACACCTTCTACACCAAATTCTCTGAGCCTGTTTACCCCGCCTTCGCTGTCGTTAAGGATTCAAATTATGTGGAATTGAAGCTGTGAATTCGGTTCCACATGATTTGGTTTTGAATCAGCGAAGTGTACCAGAAATACCAGTTTTTAAACAAATGTGAGGGGCAGGAGAAGTTGCCAAAATACATGGAAAGTTAAGAAATTTTGTTATGCTCATTCCTTTGTTGTGATTTGGCTGTAGCTTTACGAAAAACTGATTGATAGATTAAATCTCGTAGGTTAAGTCATCATATATCATTTGTATACAGAGGCCATTTTACCCTAACATCCTGCTGTTGCAGTAAACACAAAATGTCTAACTGCTGTTTACAGGTTGCAAAAATATATGATAGAAATCTGTGAGCAGTATTCCTTACTGCTTCTATATTTCAGAAATGATTCTAGTTTGTACAAGGATGGAAATTGGGTTTATTTTGGGCTTTTTTCTTTAATTTCATCTCTGTGAGGAATTTTGAGTTTTGTGTGTGTTTTATTTTGGTAGGTAAGGTTAGAGCTGGTTTTATTTCCGTCAAACCAGACAATATCAAATATATCAAATGTATTGAGTTAGTGGAGTATCTGTAGGTTAAGGGTGCATGTTTTTAATGTTTTTCAGATCATTTTGTTCCATCTGCAGGTTTAGTCTTGTTTTATTCAAATGTGTGCTGAGTTGTTAATCAGAGAACTTGTATCTTTGTGTTCCTTCGATAATCAATAAATGGAAATGTTGGTCAAGTCACTCCGGGTGTGAATTACTTCTAGTACTTGCTAAAGTTTAAGCATGTTCATTCAGTTCATTTATTTATTTAAAAGGGAAATAAAGTTTCTTTTGTTTGGATAAAAATCATGACTTGAAACTATAATTACACAGCTAGGACCTTGTATCAAGTATTAGGTTATAATAAAGACATGAGCACTGATCTGATAGATCAGGGTGAGTTAAAGGAAAACCAATTTGGAAATTTAAAAAATACAACAGTGATCCCTAATTTCCATGTATGCTGTGAATTTTTTGATATACATTTTTGGCCAATTAATTGTTTTGAAACTTATTTTCCAAACAAATGTTTCAGTGCAGATTTTTTTCTTGTCACAGGGCAATTCATGTGTCTGTTTGTATGAATATATCTCACTAAATTACACCGTTTATTTGTATTCTGATCTTTTTTTTTTTTCTCTCAATTAGCAAAACTCCAAAAATCTCAGTCATATTGTTTTTGTGTTTTCTTGACAAAAAGTATAAATAATTTCACATGTCGGTCAATGACGTATAAGGTTTTTCAACATGCCAATTTTAAAATACCAAAAATAAGAATATCTTGTATACAAAAATTGACGTTAAATCTTTAAATAAGGCAATTTTAGCGTTTTTTTTTTTTTTATATATGCATAGATGAATTGCCAGTGGCCTTAAAAATGTCATGTGGTGTGTGGTGTGACCATAATTTATCTCAAAATTATTGCATTTTCTCAACATACTCCATAGTTTTTTTTTTACAAATTGTCAGTAATATCAAGTACATAGGAACAAAGCGTTTGCATTTTATTTGAGTTTTTGTAAATAAAAATCTCATATATTAGCTCTACAATGTCACGGTTGCTATATTAAATGTAGTTAACTATTTTTCATTGGTCACACAAAATTTTTTCCAGATCTTGTAAAAGTTCCTACGAATCTAGTCAAGTCTAGTAAAAGTTTCTTAGAATTTTGTATATTGTTCTTGAGCTATGAAAAGTTTTTCAAGAAACTTTAACACATTATTTTCCCAGATTTGCACAAAAGTTTCTTGTAACCTTGCAAAAAATTAAAGGACTTTGTCCAATGATATAAGGCCCTTGGGATTTTTTTGTTTGGTTCCTCATTGAAGAGGACTTCTGCACACCAGATTAAGTGAAAGGTGAGGCAGGGGATGGTAGACCAAAAACATAGTGAATAAAATTCCCACGTCATACTTTTTGTGATATCTTTAACTTACAATGGGCCTAGCAGACCTTCATTATACCAGGATGATGAAGGTCATAAGCAATCAGCAAAATGTGAGCCAGTGTGAGGAAGTTTTTTCTCCCTTGCATTTTGTTTCACATAAAATTTTTATTGGATCGCACTTTAGGGATTTGGGGACTTCCAATGGTTCTCTTTCTTCTCTTTTTCTTAGAATCTCAAATAAATAAATGAATAAATAAATAAGATGAAAACAATTCTGGGACCCAGCAATAATTTTTTCAAACTTTGAGTATACATTTTTTTAACTCAGAGTTAATTCAGGCTGGATGACCTAATTTCATAATGTTTTGATCCTTTTTTTTCACAGATGCCTGTTATCTGACTTTGGACCCGGACACAGCAAATGACTGCCTTGCTCTGTCACATGAAAAAAGGGCAGCAACACTCAAATCACCCCCAGGGGCTTCCTGACCTCCAACAGAGATTCAACCCACTTCCTCAGGTTCTGTGCAAAGAGGGGTTGACTGGGCGCTGTTACTGGGAAGTGGGGTGGCAAACCTTCAGTGGTATAGTGTCTGCAGGTGTTTGCTACAAAGGAATAACCAGAAAAGGGGAAGAAGATGCTGCTAAAGTTGGTGCAAATGCCATGTCCTGGTGTGTGGACGTCCAAGAGGTCAGCTGGGAAGGTCAAGCGATTACTGTCACAGCCCGGCACAACAACCAGCAGCTTGATGTATTTTCTGGCTTGCCATGTGATTCACTGGGGGTGTATCTGGACTGGCATGCTGGCACTCTGTCCCTCTATAGACTTGATATGTACAAGTCCTGGCACCTCCACACCTTCCACACTACATTCACTGAGCCTGTTTACCCTATCTTTTCTCCCACTGAGGAGGTCACCTTTATGTTGGACTTGTGAAATTGGTTCCACATAACTTGGTGTTAAATCAGTGAAGTGAAATACCAGTTTTTAAATAAACGTGAGTGGCAGGAGAAATGGCCAAGATGCATAGAAAGTCACAAAAGTCAGTAAGGGTACCTGGCATAAGGATTTGATATTTGGATGATTATTCATTTGTTGTGATTTGGCAATAGCTTTACATGTAAAATGATTGATAGATTGAATCTGTTACAATAAGTCACCATCTATCATTTTAATACAAAAGCCATTTCACTTTGACCTCCTGCTGATGCAGGAACCACAAAATGTCTAGCTGCTGTTACCAGGTTGCAAAAATTAATCCAAGGAATCTGAGAAAAAAATCTGTGAGCACTATTTCTCACTCCTTCTAGATTTCTGAAATGATTCTAGTTTGTACAGATATGGAAAGTGGGTTCATTTTGCGCTTAAAATCACTGCCAGATTTTTATCAATTAACAAAACTCTAAAAATCTCAGCAATGTTGTTTTTACAAAAAGTATAGATAATCTCACATAAACTTTTAACACTTATTTACTGGGTCTCATTAAATGTTACAATTCTATGGGTAAGTTGCTTTTCAAGATTGAATGTATACTTAATTTTCATCCTCTATAAGGACAACATTTTCCTGTTTTTTTCTCTTCAAATCAACTGGACTTTGATGTATTGTCTTAGTGGGATATGTGTTAAGAGGTGCATGTTTTCATTGTTGTTTATGTTTTGGCGCCACCTGCAGGTTTAGTCTCCTCTATTACAAATACATACTGAACTGTGTAACAAAGAGCTTGTATGTTTGTGTTTCTATCTTTTATCAATAAATGGAAGTGCTTGAACAGCTTCACCTGCTGTGTATTGCTTTAAAAATTTGCCAAAGTTTAAAGATGTCCAAAAATTTTTCTTCAATTTAAATCACAGCTGACAATCAAATCAATTTAATGAAACAAAGCATATAAATTCTAATAATAAAGAAAGTTCTGACAGGAGAATATTTACTTGTTTACAATCCAAAAAAACTCACTGCCAGCAAATTTTTCCTGACAGTGCGAATGAAAATTTCAAGTTTTACACGAACAGTTTCCTGCTCCTTTACTGGGTCTTAAGACATTCAACAAGTTTTTGACTGTATCAGATAGCAGAGCAGATACTTGTCTAACTTCTATAAAGTTAAAAATACTTTATATTCTTCAAATCTTTAAATTTAATTTCTTTAAATGTAAAATCTGTCAAGATTTCAGCGAGTTCAGAGTATTTTTGATCATGTAGATTACTCACCTCCCGTCACCTACCACAGAGCATACCAGAATGATATACTGGAGTAAGATGGCCGCTGTGTAGGGATGCCGGTGACTCCGCCTCGAGTCATCTAGCCTTTCTTATGGATATCTATGGAGCTGTCCATGTCACTTTAGCTGCGTCCGAATTGCCAAGTAGTAGTCGAAGTAGTATCTAGCATGTCCGAATTGGCCACCGGAGCGAGTAGCATGCTACTTCAGATACTACTTCAGATGCTAGACACGCCCACATTGTAGGTTGGTCTCGGTGCATCCTACGGGCATGCTACTGACCCATAATGCACCTCGGGCTTCTTCTTCGTCCTCTTAAAAGTTGTAGAAGCGCATGTGATGCTAGCGCCACCAGCTGCTGCCTATTTAAATGTGTCGCGAACGCCGGCTGGCCACAGCAGCGCGCACCATGTCGCAGCAGCAGGCGGGACCGCAGCAGTACAGATGTAAGTTTCATGTAACTTCACACACTGTCCTAAAAAATGTGCGGTTGTATCTCTTTGTCATGTCATGGTGTCATATTTGCCCAAGTAATCATTTTATGAGCAAATATGTGGCGACATCATGGAGGTAAAGCTCACTTATTCCATCATTAAACTGCACAGCTGCAGTACTACAGCCAGGCCCGCAGATGAGGGGCTTCAGTTACCACTGTCTGCACGGGCGCAGTACCTACTCTCTGCCTGCGGGGGTCGTCTTTCCCCACCGCTCGTCTAGTGTGTCCGAATTGGGCAAACGTGTTTAGTATGTAGGAGTAGGATCTAGCAGTAGCACGTAGCAGTAGCATGTAGTATCCGAGCGGGCAGTTCGGACGCAGCATTTGTCAAGATGCCGAAATCGCACCTAGCATCACCGCCAGATTATTGCCGTCATTTCCCTGTGTTACTCTGAGCACCGAGAGCCCAGGATCACCCAAACCGACTCCGGTCTCTGATCTCTCAGACTATGGACCGTCTGAATCGGCCGTGCAGTAAGCCCATACCCCACCTCCATACTTCTATCTTTCTTTCTCCCGCGCTGGTGGCGGTCCTTCCTGCTTTCTCCTCCTCCGTTTCCTCCTCCTCCTCCTCGGCTGGGTCACCTGCTCCGCTACCATCTATTGTCAGAAAGCGCGCGGTTTCACTCAAGCTAACGGTAGGACATTTTAAGCTAGGCTGAACTCCGGGTATTAGTGGGTCTCTGTGTGTCGAACTTTCTCACCTCACTGTCGTTTCTTCTTCGCTCCTCACTTTAAATCTTTTGCAAAAATGCGCTTGAATCCCCTTTCCTCTCCTCTTGTGTCTTTTTTTACAGTTTTCATCTGTCCGTTTTCGACCGTTAGTCTTAACGACGGTTGAAAGTTTAAAAAAGGGGTGGGGCTTTCAGATTTTGAAAATTCGGGGCAAAGTGGGTTCAACCATTTTTCATAGGAGGGGTGGAGGAGGAGGATGAAAAATGATTGAGACAACGATGTCAAAGAAACTAAGAAAATAAAAACGATCAACAGCTTTTTATGCGACTTAAATACTATGATTTTAAATTTTTTAAAAAGGTGATTCATTATTGTTGATGTTTGCTCTATTCATCCCCTCCCCCCTCCCCTGAAGGTGTAATATATAAGTATATATGTAATGTTCATCTGTATGTAAGGAGAGAGACATTATACAAAACACACACAAGCTGAAAGGACAAACTGGACCAGACAAAATATACACAAACTATTGTGGTCACTACTGTAACACTGCTGTCACTACTAAAAATGTTGTGTCACAACTTACACGTGACATGTTTTCTGATTAATAAATCACAATGTCCTTTATTGTCATTATACAGAAGGTACAACAAGATTGGAGAGCTTCTCTTTTTTCAGTGCAATAGATACAAAAAGAAAACAGACAGAATTAAAAGTATAAAAATAGTTATAAGAAAAAAAGAAAAGGTACAGTAGTGCAATGAAAATGAAAACTATACACAAGAATAGGAAAGGAGATAAATATTAAGAATCATATATATATATACAACTATTTTTGTACTTACTGTTTATATATAATATTATATATAGTATGTGTATAATATCTATAAAGAAGATAAACTTATTTGTCGGGGTGTAACAAGTCCTGTTAGTTTAGTGATGATTAAGACGGTATGTATCATCAGACTGTACAACTGTTCTGTAAAAAAATAGATGATTTTTTTTTTTTTTTTAAATATTTTTTTAGAGACATGACAAATGAGACGACAGACAATTGAATTTCCCTTCGAGGATTAATAAAGTTATTATTATTATTATTATTATTATTATTATCATTATTATTATTCTCTTAAACTAATGACTCCAAGTTTGAAATAAGTTTGATCACTTTTAAGCATTTTACAAAGAAAAGTCATTTTCCAATCTAAAATAAAATCTAATAAATAACCCTCAAAACACTATTCAAAAGTTATTTATCCGTAAAAATGTAGAAACTCTGGCATAATTATATATATATATATAGGTTTTCTGTTTCAACACCACAAACTTCATTACACAGGCACACACACACACACATCCAGAAAAACACTTCTATTCATAACGTCCTACAGTTGATGAGCTGCTGATTGAAGAGACAGAAAGTGGGCACACAGTCACTGGTGAGGGTGAGATGACACATGTATGTGATACTTACCCTATATATGTTCAAGTAGGTGTGTGTGTGTGTGTGTGTGCGTCTGTGTGTGTGTGTTTTCCTCTAAGGACTGCCTGTCTAATCAGTTATGATTTGTTTAAAACAGTATTCATGTCCATGTTGTCCATCACCTCCCGCCTCTGTATCCGTTACCTTTTACATCCTCTCCCCTCTTTTTTGATATTTTGATTTTAACTCAAATGAAGCAGCAGAAATTTAGATGTGTCTTTGCAGCAGGATGAAAAACTGATTCCATGTGCAGAAACATGCAGCAAATCCAGAAAAAGTCCCAAACATGACGCAATATGATACAAAAAGGCCAAAGACTTCTCAGGTTTCTTAAAAAAGTACATTTGTTCCAGTAGAGATCTTTTTTCAGTCTCACCAGCACCATATAAGCAACAATCATTGTGCTAATGATTGGATATATGCCATCTGCTGAAACCAATGTCTGTCCAGAAGTGGCACTTCTCAATCCAGTGTGAATAGATGTCCACTCAGGCAATCAGCAGGGCGATTAGTGTGAAATTACATGCTGAGCAGCAGGACTGAAGCTGCAAAGAGGAGCGGGGGCCATTATAGAGGAGCTGCTCTCCACTGAACCATGCTACATGATCATATTGTCGAATGCCTTTTCCTGAAGACCCCCGGCTGTGATAGGGAAGGTTAAAGTCATCGGTCAACATCGTCTAAGATATTGCCATTTACTCTTGCCAGAGTCACACCAAGGGAATTGAAAGGGTCCCTGTGTAACAAAAGAGGGTGTTGTATGAAACAGGATAAAAAGGACAATTTAAGATTTTAACAGTAGGGCGTCATTCTTCAGGAGACTAAAAAGGTGCAACCAGTTCACTCTACACGCCAGAAAGTGCCATTGATGGTCAAACACCAAAATATACCAGTTTAATTTTAGGGGACAACATTAGACTGCTGTTTAATAATCAAGGTTTGGGGAACCATCGAGAGCAATTTGTGTTTTTAGGGTTCCAATATCTATAAAACCAGCCGATAGAATGTTGTGATCCAGAACCAGTTTTGCTTTGTTTAAAACTGGAATGTTTCAAAAAGCATTTATCCCAAGCACAAATAATCTAGTGAAAAACTGAGTAGTTTAGAAAGTCACTTTATTTTTTCCCTCCCAGAGGTAAAAGGTTCCAGGAACACTTCAGCAGGCTGAGTCCTGAGGTTCACCCTGCAAAAGAGGAGGACACAGTTAGGACCGTACACTTGCACACTGGAAAAGTAAGTTTGATCAATTTTGAGTTTACTTACTTTAAGGTTTCTTTCCTTTGCCTCCCTTCACTTGTTCATCCTGAGGTTCTGCTCTCTGGATCACCTCGTAGTAGATCACTGCTGGTTCAGGGAGCTCTGGGGAGTAGTTCATGTGAGAGGTGACTTGTCTGGCTCTCTGGTAGCCGTTCCTGGTCTGGACGATGTAGGATGAAGATGGCACAGAGAAGGTCTCCTGCTCTTCCTCCTCCTCATCCTGCACACCTTTACCTCCTTTGCCTTTACCATCAGGGTTTGCTGGTTCTTCTTCTGCAGGGCCCCACACGGTGAAGTCAGGGAAGGAACGAGACGGCATCCAGCCATTTGGGTCGAAGGACTCGAATCCGATACTTGGCAGAGCTGCCCACTCGGTTGCAAAAGTAGGACCATCAAACCCGAAGCTTGGAGCACCACTATAGACAACTCTTGTTTCGCCACCAGGAGCAGCACCGCCAGGGTAGGAAGCAGCACCAAACCCACCATGAGAGGCTGCAGGAGCGCCGTACGACATTGAAGGGGCGCCGTAAGAAACTGGTGCTGCAAAGTGGGAGCTGGCAGCAGGATAGGCAGCAACAGAGTGAGACGGCGCAGAAGCAGCAGGGCTGTACGCTGCAAAGTGTCCAGAGCTAGCAGCAGACTGAGGCTTCATGGAGAAGCTTGGAGCACTGACGTAACCTGAACTCTGAGGAGCTCTGGCCGGTCTGGATTCAGAACTCACAACAAAACTGTTTGGCTGATAGCTCGGTGAGGCCAAACTGGTGGCTCCAGAGGTGGAGGGGGACTGGATTTCAGCTTCCTGGGCAGCTGCAGGCTCCAGGGACTGCAGAGGAGGCCGGTGGCTGTCAGGTGCACCAGATCGGGGAGAGAGTCCAACACTGGAGACATCTGTGTAGGGATACTGGTAATCTGAAAAAGAAATTTCAAATGAGACAAGAACAAGTCTTATATGCAAGAGAGTCAAGGACATAAATGACCTTAAACTAAACTTTCAAGCCTCTGTTAAGAAGCATGTCAGGCACATTTTTTCTTCACTCACCATCTATAGCTGCAGGAAAACAAGCTCCACTGCTGAACAACAGCAGACAGATCCAAGAAACCCTGAAAGACAGTCAGTAAACAGGTTACCCTCCTTTTGAAGTTCACACTAAACTGAGTACATAATGCTCAACTGTTCTTACCTTAGAGAGAGACCGTGCAGCATGTTGAATCAGCAGTCTGATGTCGGGCAGCTTCTCCTCTGCAGCCTGCTGGAGGTTTAGAGACTGAAGCTCAGTGTGATGGTCTCCTTCCTGCTCCTCTGCTCTTATACTGCTGCACTGATTGCACTCATTACCAACACCTGGACCACAATCAGAGCCTGCTGAGGAACCACCTGGGCACATGCATGACAGGGTCAGGAGAAAAAACAGTTTTTTAGTCAGCTTCATTTCCTGCAGTTCACACTTTTCCTCATAAAAGTAAAAAAACTTTTCAACCGTTTAACATGAAAAACACTTACTCAGACTGATGCAGAGCCTTCAGATTTTTCTCAAAATTTATCCAAAATATGAAACACAAGTGCTTTATTTATCTTTCACAGTTGAATCCAATCCACTCTATTTATACAGCACAGTTAAAAAAAACATGGAAGTTTACCAAAGTGCTGCAGTAAAATTAAGAGCAACAAACACTGCAGAAATAAAAAAAAAAACATCAAGAGGAAAAAAATAAAAGCAGGTAAAAAAACATTTAAAAGACACCGAAGAAACTGAAAGAAAAAAGAAGTGATAAAAATAAAAAATAAATACAAATTAAAGTCATGTTTCTCAGCAGCTGGACTCTTCTCCTACAGATCCTACTTTACTCAATAAAACAAGTGTATTTACGTTAAAAATTTGAGTCTTTAAAGAGTTTTTTTTTATAAAGAATAAATTTACTTTGTTTAAATTTTATAAATGTGGGTCACGACTGAAGGACCATGGGAAAATGTGGGTCCCAGAGTGAGACCAGTTGAGAACCGCTGCTGTAGAAGATGAAATCCACTCATTCTTTCACATTATTCTGAAACTGTTGAACTCTTGGCTCACGCAGTCTCTCACAGAGTCCTGAACCTCTTTGATTGATTCCCATGCTCTGTATTCAGTCATCTTTCCTGTTATTAAACACACCGCTCCTTTGTCGTTGGTTTTTGAAGCACCAAGACGCTTTCCAGTCATTAGCTGACTTTGATAAATCTCTGTGTTTTCGCTGCTTCAGTCACATGACCCTCATCCTGCAGGTCTCAATGGTCACTTGAGTTATGTGCCGCAGTTATAATCACTTGAGAAGATTGTGTCAGAGGATAGAGAAACACACATGCTGAAAAACATCTCCATTAAATCACCGCTCAGGGTTCGGTGTGTTGTCTCTGAGTGGAGGACGGCTCTGAGTGTCTCAAGCTGACCGCCGTCTGTTTGAAGCTTTTGTTCGTCTCGTGGACGCTCGAGCTGCAGCAAGTTCAAAGGTCAGAGAGCAAATCAGACAGGAACACACACACGCCCATGAATGCACTTCACTTTCATCTGCAGGAGAAGGATGGGATTGTGTTGGAGTCTCTCTGAAGTCTCTTCAGCTCAGCATCACTGTCTTCACACAGTGTGGGCTTTAAAACGACGGTCCAGTCCATCAGTGCAGACAGAAGCGCAAATAAACCGGGTTTTAGATGTTAGAGTTATAGATAAACCACTAAAAAATAAAAATAATATCTTAATACAAATATCTGTAACTTTGGTCAGATCTCACCTGAGGAGGCTGTGTTTCTGAATGTTAGCACACGTGTTGATGGTATCTTGGCTAAATTTAGTGTTTCTGTCGTATGTAGCAGTTAGCCGTAAACTCCTCCTAGCCCAGACTTCTTATTTCATGTGTTATATTTTGTTCAGGCCTATCACATATCTGTTATTGTGGAGTCGTAGTTTCACAGTAAACAGTAAGTGAAACAGAAGCTTCACTCTGGCTGCTGTTTATGTGTTTCTGGTGAGTCTCAGTTTTAATGTAAATAGTGGGATAAATCAAAACTGTACATTTGATCACTTTTTAATTGTTCTTGGTAAGTCCTAGTTTCACAGTGAGTTACACGGAGGCCTTCTCCTGGTTTTCCTTTACCCGTTGAAGAGGAGTCTCAGTTTCATTGTAAAGATTATATTACATGGAGGCTTGGCTATCTTACCATTGATTTGTTTTTGTTTTGTTTTGTTTTTTTTATTTAAGGAAAGTTTTTGTTTCGCTGTAAATGGCGCTCTACAGAGGGTCCACAGTGGCTTGTTGTTCACCTGCTTCTTAGGTGTCATAGTTTTACTGTAAACAGTGAGTTGAAAGTTGAAAGTAAGTTAAATCTCAGCATACGTTTCATTTGTTTGTGGTGAGTCTTAGTTTTACTGTAAATAGTCTGATAAACATCGGCAGGGCCTTGTTTCACTGTGAACAGTCAGTTAAACACCACTTTTCTCAATTTTGGGAGTACTACTGAAGTTGCACAGAGGCTGGCCTAGTCTTCATTTGTTTCTGGCAGGTCTCAGTTTTACTGTAAATAGGCTAACTCCTGATTCTCTGCTGTTTGTTTCTAGTGAGTCTTGGATTGATCTGGTGGAATTACAGGTGGTCTACTTTGGCCAACTGCTCAGTAGTTTCTGGTGGGTCTCAGTTTTACTGTAAATAGTCTCTACAGAGACTAACTCCTGTTTGTTTCTAGTGAGTTTTGGGTTGATTTAGTTGAATATTGAATCACAGAAGGTCTACTTTGGCCGACTGCTCAGTTGTTTCTGGTGGGTCCTAGTTTTACTGTAAACTAAATTACATTGATGTTTAACCCTGGTAGTGTTCATTTGTCTCTGGTGAGTCTAACTGCTTTTGGAAAACAAGTTCAATTATTCACCTCAAATCATAATTTTAAACCTACAAAATAAAGAATCCAATTAAAGACTCTTTTGGTGCTTTATTTCCACTGGAGTAAACATAGACAAAAATTCATTCTGAGAGAAATCTACATTAATGATCCTTTTTAGTTCAGTGAAAAAGCATTACTTTAAATTAATATTTTTCTACTTTCGTCCTCTTTAAAAGAAGAAATCCCAACACTCAGGATTGGTGAAGTTGCTTTTTTACAGCCACTCCTGCAGTCGCCAGGTTTAATTTCTGATCCAATACCTCAAATAGTCATGGAAGAGATGACAAAGTGTTGTGGAGCAACCTGCTGGTGGTTAAAACGGTTCACATCATGTATAAAAAGGGTTAACTGAAGGCACAGAGCAGTCCTATATTAACTTTGAAAGTCTGCCTCCTCTAAGGTCAAAGACCACACTCTGATTTTTGTACAGCAAAAAGATTAGCTGCTTAAAAAAAAAATTCTCATTTTCTGTCCTTGACTCAGTCACAGCCAAAAACTTTGAAGCAGTTTTTAAAGTGTGCAGCTCTTCAGATTCCAGCCTCAAACAGAACAAAAACTCCTCTTAGCTCAAGTTGCTTTTGTTTGCGGTAGAAGAACTCAGTTATACAAGTGAAGAGCAGAGAGTATTGTCTCATGTCAAAGTTTATTGAAAGCACAGACGCACATTAAGACAGCTGGAGCTCTGCTTAGTCACACCTGCAAGAATAAAAGATTAAGTTAGTAAGTGTTGAAGAGATCTGAGAAAACTTAGATTTAGACGAGTTTACCTCCTTTAAGGTTTCTTTCCTTTGCCTCCCTTCACTTGTTCATCCTGAGGTTCTGCTCTCTGGATCACCTCGTAGTAGATCACTGCTGGTTCAGGGAGCTCTGGGGAGTAGTTCATGTGAGAGGTGACTTGTCTGGCTCTCTGGTAGCCGTTCCTGGTCTGGACGATGTAGGATGAAGCCGGCACAGAGAAGGTCTCCTGCTCTTCCTCCTCCTCATCCTGCACACCTTTACCTCCTTTGCCTTTACCATCAGGGTTTGCTGGTTCTTCTTCTGCAGGGCCCCACACGGTGAAGTCAGGGAAGGAACGAGACGGCATCCAGCCATTTGGGTCGAAGGACTCGAATCCGATATTTGGCAGAGCTGCCCACTCGTTTGCAAAAGTAGGACCGTCAAACCTGAAGCTTGGAGCGCCGCTAGAGACTACTGTTGCCGCATCTCCTCCAGGAGCAGCACCAGCAGGGTAGGAAGCAGCACCGAACCCACCATGAGAGTCACCAGCGCCGTAAGAAGCAAATCCTTCACCGAGACCACTGGAAGCACCTGTGCCCCAACTAGCATGCCCTGAAAACACAAGTTAAAGTTTGGTACATCTGTTAAAAGTTGAGTTTGAGGGACACTCTTGAAGATCTGACTGACACTGACCTCCTTTGGTCGCAGGAAAAGCAGCTCCAAGGCCGAAGATCATGAAACAAATCCACACAAACCTGTTGAGAAGAAGCAAACGCTGATCAAACAAGGTTAAGTCTGAGGAAAAGTTCTCATTACTCCAGTAAGTTCAGACCATGTGACTCACCCCAGGGAAACCATGATGGACCTGTCAGAGAAGATCAACCTAACACAGGTGTGACACTACAGCAGGTTTCACTCAACAGTCTGCTCAAAGCTGAAGACAGAAGCTGTGGGCTGGACTTCACCTCCACCTGCCCAGGCTTTATACCGGTGCTGCACATGCTCAGTGTGCTAATCAGACTCATTAGCCTCACCTGGTGGGCCGGGCTTTGGTGCTGGAGGTGAGAGAAAGTTAAAGGCGTACTCCCCACTTCTGTCTCCAAGAATGTTTGATTTGATAAATACTGAGATGTAGAAATACTGTTTTTTGGGTCAGGGATGATATGAAGTAAAAATAAGAGGAAGAATATTATCTAAAATGCACTCTGAGAAAAAACAAACAGGCTAACTGTGATATTTATGTTTACATAGAGGCAGATAGCATCAGTATAAGTACAACGTTCTTGTCTGCAGAGGAAACTTGAGCATCTCTGTGAAACTAAAGGAGACTGAAGACGTTCTGAAGGTTGTGAAGAAGAGCCAAACAAAAGCTTCATGTGGGGTCTCAGAGAGTTTCCTCTGAAAAACTAAAACCTGACTGATGAGTTCACCATAAATGGACCGAAGCTAAATCCTCCATGTTTTACTAAAAACAAAATCCCTTTTTTACTTGAAGGTAAACATTTCCATGTTTCTGATCCTTCCTCAGAGACTGACCCTCAAACTCCATCACTGCTGACTTTGAGCCTAACCTCTCTTATCAATACTGAGGTGCAGTTTCCACCAAAACAAGATGATTAGACTCAGATTTAACATCCAAAACTCACAAGAGTTCATGAGCAGAAATCGAGGCCTGACAGTTTTCTGCAGTTTCACATAAACGATTTAAAACACAGTTTGTCTTCTGTCACTTCCTCTCATAGTTCAATGTTTTTACCACATGCATTAAAAAGAAATAAAGTCAGAGTTGATGGACTGAAGCTGATTTCATTTCATGTCATTTATTTAGATCTCCGTTAGCTTTAGTTAAGACCATCGCTATTCTTCCTGGAGTCTACATTTACAGTGAGCTCTCCATCGCAGTGCAAAGACACAAAAAAACATCACGTCACAAATACAAAGACAATGTCAACAACTCACAACAGCCTACAAGACAAAAACAAAACTAGAACAATACAAACAACAGACACATATGACTGGACCTTATTCATTTTCACGATGTAGCTATAGTTCGGAAATAATCAGATTGACGTGACTGAATTAATTTATAGAAACAGTACCCAATACATCAGCAGACTTCAGATATTTCAAGTAAATCAGACAAACACTGATTGATTGTATCTTCATCTAAATAAGGAGCTGTTTGACTAATAAATGTTCTTTTACTAGATCTTTAAATCTGTTTTTGTATCTGAGAGCTGCTCAAATAAGGAAACGAGCTTTAAAGCTTCATCGCTTCAGCAAAGTTCATCTTTCATGAATAGACAGAAGAAAAAAAGACCATGTCCAAGTATGAAACATGAGTTTTATTATGTTAGGGTTAATGTAAATGAATATGGAGAGGAAGAAGGTGGAGCTGAGAGATATTATCACCAAATATCTTTATTAAAACTCTGACCTCCTGATTAATCTGCCATTTTGATCATACAGATCAGTGAAGTTTCTCTCTCTCTCACTGTTGGACCAGGTGGTTCCTCAGCAGGCTCTGATTGTGGTCCAGGTGTTGGTCATGAGTCTAATCACTGCAGCAGTATAAGAGCAGAGGAGCAGGAAGGAGACCATCACACCAAGCTTCAGTCTCCAAACTTCCACAGGCTGCAGAGGAGAAGCTGCTCGACATCAGACTGCTGATTCAACATGCTGCACGGTCTCTCTCTAAGGTAGGAACTCATGATGGGACTGAAACAAGAATCTGCTCTGTTAACTTTGAAGGAAATAACACCTTTTCTTCTCAAACTCTGCAGAGTTTCATGGATCTGTCTGCTGTTATTCAGCAGTGGAGCTTGTTTTCCTGCAACTTCAGAAGGTCAGTTTGGTGAAACTTCTCAAGATGTCCACATTCAGACTCTATATTAATCCAAACTTTTTTTTCAGATTACCGGTATCCCTACACTGAGGCCTCCAGTGATGAACCAACTTTCCAGTCAAGTTTGGAGGAATCCTCTCCTGACTTTGGCACTGAGTCCACTGTTGAGGAACTGTCTCCTCGATCTGGTGCTCAATATGAACCATCTTCAACCCAGAAGCCTGTAGTTGCCCAGCAGGCCCCAGTTGCTCAGCAGGCTCCAGCCCAACAAGCTCCCTCTGGTTCTGGAGCCGCCAGCTGGCCAAGTTACCAGCCGAGCAGCTTTGTGAGACCGGCCAGAGCTCCTCAGAGTTCAGGTTATGTCAGTGCTCCAAGCTTCTCCATGAAGCCTCAGTCTGCTGCTAGCTCTGGACATTTCGCAGCACCAGTTTCTTACAGCGCCCCCACAATGTCGTACGGTGCTCCTGCAGCCTCTCATGGTGGGTATGGTGCTGCTTCCTACCCTGCTGGTGCTGCTCCAGTTTCTTACAGCGCCCCCACAATGTCGTACGGCGCTCCTGCAGCCTCTCATGGTGGGTTTGGTGCTGCTTCCTACCCTGCTGGTGCTGCTCCTGGTGGCGAAACAAGAGTCGTCTATAGTGGCGCTCCAAGCTTCAGGTTTGACGGTCCTACTTTTGCAACCGAGTGGGCAGCTCTGCCAAGTATCGGATTCGAGTCCTTCGACCCAAATGGCTGGATGCCGTCTCGTTCCTTCCCTGACTTCACCGTGTGGGGCCCTGCAGAAGAAGAACCAGCAAACCCTGATGGAAAAGGCAAAGGAGGTAAAGGGGTGCAGGATGAGGAGGAGGAAGAGCAGGAGACCTTCTCTGTGCCATCTTCATCCTACATCGTCCAGACCAGGAACGGCTACCAGAGAGCCAGACAAGTCACCTCTCACATGAACTACTCCCCAGAGCTCCCTGAACCAGCAGTGATCTACTACGAGGTGATCCAGAGAGCAGAACCTCAGGATGAACAAGTGAAGGGAGGCAAAGGAAAGAAACCTTGAGGTGAGACTTTGCAGCTCCTCAAACATCCTGTTCTTCTCCTTGTTTTCAGTCCTGACTAACTGACTTTGTCTTACAGGGCTCTGGACTTCGATCTTCAGCCTGTGTGGAAATTAAACTGCAGAATAAACAAACTTAAACCTGAACTTTGACTTGTCCAGTGTCAATGTTTGACTCTTCCACACTGTCTCACCGGTACTGACTCTAGCTTCTAGTCTAGGTTTTTATGGTCGTTCACATTTTAGTAGCTGTGCAGGTTAAAGTTTTCACTGACACTCTAAGCTCTTTTTCTTGCTTCCTTTGTGATGGACCTGAAGTTAATCCTGACTGTCCTAGTTTGGGATTCTGGTCTTCTATGAAAGCTAAAGGTTTAAAGTCCAACCAGGGCCCATGTTTACTTTAACTTCTGGGGTTTCAACTTAACTGTCAGACAGGAAGTGACTCTTAACAGCTTCATGATTAAGGTCCAGCCCTTAATACAAACGCAACCATTTATCAACTACAGCTATAGCGCCAGTCTGTGGACCTACACGGTCTCTCCGTCCACAGGTTTTTTGATGGTCCTGGACTGATCCTCATGTACTGAGGCCTTCTTACTTTTGCATATCTTACCTGAAAAGGCCTTTCTTGTGAATACTGAGTTTATTTAGTTAATGCTAACCCAGGATTTCCACTGCATACGGAACGGTGACTTTCGCCACACGCCAATTCCTACCAGATCTGTTTGCGAGGCAGATTACAGACAGTGGTAATGGTGAGAACTCAAAACACGCAGATTCACATGCAATGGTGTGAAATACGATCTGCCTGAAACATGGAGTGTTTTATTTTGAAAAGAAGCCGGATGTTTTTATTTTGTGTCTGTGCCCGACTTCCTTTCCAGCACGGGTTAATCTGTGCTGAATTTATCCGCCATGCTCCGGCGATCAATAGAACTCTTGCGATCAGCTGCAGAATGGAAAGAAGCTGATGGAAATTAACACATTAACGTGAACTGTTACAATCAGCTGCGATTGGCGGATACGGCCTTTTAGTAGCCGTTCAGAATGTGGTGGAAATTGGAGGTAACTTTCTGACCTCATGAATCACAGCTGATAATGTGTATAAACTTGGATCCTCTCTTTTTATTTTAACTTTCAGCTAATCGATTGGAATCATCACATAACATCAACACTGAATTAGTTCTCCAAAGAGAGTTCGTCCGCTGCCTTCACCTCCTCCACCCTTTCTCCGTGTCTGACAGGAGGCTGAATGTTAACCAGCTCTGACCTTTCCGTCTGGATGGAGTCAGAATCACAGATGTTCACCTTTTCCCACCCCACTGATCTGCTCCTGGAGTCAATGAAATGTTATAAAATGACCCTTTTTGTGACCTTTCTGTATGCTGTGGTAGAAGCTCCGCTCAGGCATTAAAAACTGTCTGAACACCCTTCAGTTTACGATGTGAGAAAAGGACCATCTTGGCTGCCACTCCAGAGGATGACATTAAAAAGTGACTTTTAGATTCTCTTCTGGAAGATAGAGCAGAAAATAATGTCCTCTGGAAGACCTTCAGTGCTGAAATCTCAAATATCTACAGACTCTAGAAGGTTGTCTTTAACTCGAGTGTTCAATGAGTTTCTTGTTAGATTAACAGTAAAAAAACACTCAGTTTTTAGAAGTTAGATTGGCAGTTTAAACTCTCAGATAAATACAGTCCTGTCTTTATGTGACCTGAACAAACTCACGTTCCTGATTTCTCGTCGGTCTCTGCTCCCTGAACCGTCCGCAATCATCTGAAGAGGCAGTTAAACACTGGAGCTAATGAACTAATTGGTTTTAATTACCCTTCTTTTTTTACATATCAAAGATCTGGACTGACATCAAACAACACGGGTTCAACATGTCTCTAAATCAGAGCATCAGTGTCTCAAACAAAGGCCTGGTGGGTCTGTTTAATAATCTCATTAATAGTTCATGATTTTGAGGGAAGACCGAGTCAGGAGCAACAATTGTCAAACATTTGTCTTTATTCAACGAGGAAAATAGAGACAAGATAAGAAGGAAAATTCTTCAACAATTCAAATCAATCTGACGATCAAACTAAAGCTCGGTGTGTTTTTATGGAGATAAACGTGTTTTTAATGGTTTTCAGACAACAGTGTCAACAGCTCTGAGCGCTCTGTAAATCAATTAAAAACAGCTCAAACCAGTTTCATACGGAGCAATCTGCTGTAGAAAAAGAAATCAGGTTTGCGGGACGCAATATTTTTTCTTGGAGGATGGTAGGGGAAAGTCCCGCCTCCTTCGCCTCTGATAAACTCCAAGAGTCCAAGTGTTGGGCTCTGATTGGTTATTCCTTATGGCTGTGAAACGTCATCGTCTGTCAGGTTAAGGTTAGGCGATTCAGAAGTGTTATAATGTTCTGTAATGTTCTGTTCGATGTACAGCGCAGACAGCCCGCGTTTGGCTTGAGCGTGTCATGACGTTTCCGGCTTTTCTAGCCAATCAGACGCGAAGGAGGCGGGACTTTCCCCTTCCATCCTACAAAAAAAAAATATTGCGCTCTGTAGCCTCCTGCTAGCTAGCCCAGCAGGGGGCTAGCTTGTTTCTGAAATCAATCAGAAGTTTAAATAAAGTTTTAAAGGTGAGTAAATTTGCATTTGCGCAGTAGTAGAGACTAACTGCCGTAAAAAGCATTCAAATACGAAGAGAGGAAGTGACGTACAGTTCGCACATGCGCAGTACAAATCGGGTTTCCGGGATGGATCGGGTAGCAACAGTGCCGAAGTGTCTGAAAGGAAACCTCACGACCAAAACAAATAATAACTCTGTAAAATAAAATAAATGAAGTTGTTTCGGAGGTTAAACATCACACAGCAAACATATATGAACAGAACCGGTTCACAGTCAGACCTCCAGAGCCCTCACATGTCCTGGATCTGACCCGGAATCACGTAACAGTCCGTGGGTCCGGAGGAGTTGAAGGGGATCATGTCCAGAGAAACCTCCGCCTCACACTCGTACTGGAGCATGGCGGGCAGCAGAGGGTTCCTGTGGTTCCGGGGATCTTCTGAGATGACGGAAACTTTGTCAAAGTTCTGCTCCGGGTCTCCCTCGGTGTGCGGCGGCGGCGGAGGCGGAGGGATAAGCCTCTGCGGCCCGGGGCCCGGCATGGCGCAGGCCTCCTTCTGCATGGTGGTGTCGTGGTGGTAGGAGACCAGCTCGTTGCTGAAGTCCACCGCCTCCACCGTGGAGGTGGAGCAGTACTTGTTGCAGCCCAGGATGGTGGAGAAAGCCTTCCTGAAGTCCGCGTTGAAGGCGTAGATGACCGGGTTCAGGGAGGAGTTGGCCCAGCCGAACCACACGAAGATGCTGAAGGTGGTGTCGCTGACGCACGGCGGCTCTCCGAGTCTCTCCAAGTCACAGAAGGGCACGACGCAGTTCAGGACGAAGAAGGGCAGCCAGCAGAAGACGAACACCCCCATGATGATGGACAGAGTCTTTAACACCTTCGTCTCCCTCTTAAAGGACGTCTTCAGGGAACTCTCGTCGTGCGTTGACGCGCGGTGTCGACGGTTCGGCGCGCGGTGCCCTGCCGCCCTCTCCAGTGAGGAGATACGTCTGATTTGGGTCTGCGCGATGCGGAAAATGCGCGTGTACGTCCCCACCATGATGACCACGGGGATGTAGAAGCTGATGAGGGACGAGGAGATGGCGTAAGTCTTGTTCAGGCTGGCGTTGCAGTCCTCCGGGCTCTCCGCCGTGGAGTTGTCCGAGTCCGCGCGGTGCCAGTTGAGCTGCACGGGGATGAAGGAGATGAGGATGGAGAGGGTCCACGCCACGCCGATCATGAGGAAGGCGAACCTGCGCGTCATCTTGCGCTCGTACTTGAAGGGGCTGGAGATGGCCCAGTACCGGTCCATGCTGATGATGCACAGGTTGAGGATGGAGGCGGTGGAGCACATGATGTCAAAGGCCACCCAGGTGTCACAGAAGCGGCCGAACAGCCAGAAACCCGCGACCTCGGACACCGCCCTCCACGGCATCACGAGCACGGCCACGAACAGGTCCGACACCGCCAGGGAGATGACGAACGAGTTGGTGACTTTGGAGCGCAGGTGGCGGAACTTGATGACCGCGGCGCACACCAGAGTGTTCCCCAGCAGGGTGGAGACGATCAGGACGCACAGGACGCAGCCGGTCAGCGCGCGGAGACTCAGACCTCCATCCGGCTCGGGACTGTCCGCCCCCGCTGTGACCACCTGGCGCTGACTCTGCTGGTTCTGGATCTGGTTCTTGCTCCTGTTGTAAAAACTCTCCATGGATAGAGATCCAAACGCGCGCCCTCTTCAGACTCCAGCCCACACTTCTCCTCATGGGACCGTCTCTTTCCTCCTCTGTCCACCATCCCCCAGCTCCAAACCCTGAACTTCAGCTCCAAACATGCAGAAAATGACGGTAAGCCTTCCTGAATTTCCAAATATGAACCCAGCTGTGAGTGATCTCAGCTGGAGACGCGCTCAGACGCTCCGGTTTGTCCGCTGCAGTGCGCGCAGAGAGACTGAGTCTGTAGATGGCGACCCTCAGCGCCTTAAACCTCATTTACCTTTTTCATCCTTAAACATATTCAGACTCACGTGAAGAGCTTTCGACGTATCGATCTCACCGTGGCCTAAATTACAGCGTTTACCATCAGATCCTCTGAGGTGATGAATTCTAAATACAGAATGACCAGAGATTGACAAAAGAGCTTAATGAAGAGTGTAAATAAAACTTTAATTAGTGAATTTCTAGGTTTAATTCATGAAAACATGAAGTTGAGAGGATTTCGTGTACAAAAGTGAACATTTCAGGCAAATCTCTTTTATTTTGGACACATTTATGGAAACTAACAGTGAAACATCTGCTTCAAATGTCTAACCCAGCATGTTTTTCTGCTTATTTTTTACAGTGATAATGTTTTAGTGAGCATAATGTACCATAAACAAGATAAAAACTTCAAAATTCAACATTAAACAGCTTATATTTTATTATTCTACATGTCGAAAATCAAATGACTGCATGTTTAAAAGCTTTAATCCAGCTGTTGCTTCAAAACAATCATGATGTCAGGAGGAAAAGGCGAGTGAATTCTGCCCTCTAGTGGACAAATATAATAACACAACAACAGTGGCCTGATTGGCTGTAACCTCAGAAATGTTTGCAGGTCTTTTTCAGCTGAAATCAAAAGTTTTTAAAATCTAAATCAGACTCCAAAGACATAAAAGGACATTGAAAGGACAACTGGACTTACTTGGGACGTTTCCCCTAACTGTTAGCTCACGCAGTCTCTCACAGAGTCCTGAACTAGAGACTACAGCGGGGTGATGCAGCTCAAGGAAGAACATTTATGATCATTACTTTATGGAAATACAATCAGACCGAGAAGCTAAGACAGAAGAACTACCGCGTCTGAAAATGATTAATATGATGATTTTTACTTCAAGGAAACGATAAAGAAATGATCATAAATGTTCCTCCTTGAGCTGCGTCACCCCGCTGTAGTCCGTAATGGACTGGCCTGAGGTCTCTCTACAAACAAGCGGCTGCTGGAAGAGAGTAGGTGAGTTGTATTTAGTCTCTTTGCTAAAGAAATGAGTCAAAGTTAAAAAGATGTTTGGTGTCTAGTACTATGTCTGTGACCCTCTATGTCCTGTTGATGAAGTTAGGTGCTGTTCTGAGCATTCTTTGTGGCTATAGAGTGGCGTTTTGGTTGTCCCGGTTACTTTTGACAGAAACACAACATTCGTCACTTCATGTGATCACATAAACCCTCTACATGATTTCAGAACAATTATTCTTTTAACTTTGACGCAAAATAGTCTGTGTTAAAAATTAGACTATTTTTCTTTGGATTATTTCTTACAATCAAAATAATCTGGAAATTTTGTCTTTTAAAACTCAAATTCAAGATATATAAACTCGGATCAATGAGGCCTACAGGCCATCAATAACAACTCTTTTTTTAATGAAAATAAAACACACAACAAGTAGTGATTATTTCTGTATTATTACAGTTTTTATGATGAGTCTGAATGTTAGGGCAACATTAAAATGTTTAACCTGAAACAAACACAACATGAGGGTTAATTCTTTTTTAAACCATCAAATCCGTTTTTCCCCCCCCCCGTTAAATTACCCAAAATTCTCAGTCTTACAAATGAATTATCACACTTAAGTGTCTTTTAATTAAAATGATAAAATCTCATTGTTTGATAAATGAGAATTAAAAGCGTTTTTCTATTTGTTGTCGTTAATAATTCCGGTTGTGAAAGGGTTATGTTTACAGTTTGCAGGGTGACGTCAGTGTCAGCTGTGTCTCGCGCAAGCGTTGTCCGCGTGCACGCACGTGTGTGTTTGCGTGCGCGTGTGCGGATGATTCAGCAGCTCGTGCAGCGGCGGCAGCAGTCAGTCAGTCACAGCAGCTCCAGCCGGCGGAACCGGGACCTCCTTTAGAACCGGGACCAGCGGCTCTGACGGTGATATTACCCGCTGACTGTCCGCCCCTGTGGAGCCTCCAGAGGACCGGGAGACCCCGTAGAGTGTTCGGGAGTGTTTGGAGCCCACAGGCCGGAGAGCAGCAGCGAAAACACCGCAGCAGGACCACCGCCGTGTCGGAGCTCTTTCTCCTTCTCCCCGTGGATTTTACCCGTCTCTGTTTGGACTCTTATCTCCCTGTGTGGTTCCTCAGACTCTCTCTGTTTGGATCTAACCGAACCTCGAACCTCCAGCTGCTTCATTCATCCACCTCCTCAAACACACGAACATTTCCGCATTTGGACCGTCTGATGCTCCGTCTCCCCGGCAGGTGAGTTTCAGCCTCAGACCCTCCGGTTACATAACAGCGATAAAAACACACATTTAATAATCTAATCTATAATCCAGGGTTACCTGTCAGATGAAACTGAAACAGACACACCTGAGAAACAGCTGCTTTAATAACCATTAACGTATTAAAGGTGAACAGAGTTTATTACAGCAGGGGGAGCCTGTTAAAACGATAACTACCTTTATAATCATTAATGTATCTGTATTAAAGTCTGAGCCGTTTCATAAACCCATCTCTGTCTGTTTAAATACAGTTATTAAGAGAAAAACAAATACAGTTGTTAAAGAGATCTAAGTGAAATGACACACAGTCAGTATTTATAAGATACAACCGTATGCAAACAAGATACAAACACTATAATAATAAAATGGTTCATTCAGATATTTCAGGTGTGTTTGACCTCTATTTTAAAGTCTCATATGCTCAAAGGTAGTGAAGAGCTTTGCTAAAATATTAGACATTTGACTTATTTTCTACTTTACAATAATATTTTATGATAAAACCTGAACTTAAACTACAAATAAATGATTCTATGAATGCCAAAGAAGCTGCAAATGTCCTAAAGTCTATAATTAAGTCTTAAATTTTAGGTCCAAACTTCTAAAAACCCTAAAGGTTATTAAAGTGAACTGAACATGTGAACACGTCCTGAATTTGAAAACCTTTGAGACTAAATTATTTTGATTGATTTTGTTCATATAACTTTAAACTTTATGACTTTAAAACAAACTTGAAACAAACCTTTTTAGTCTTTCTTTTAACTAAATTTTACATCATTACACTTTCAGTGTTTTAGCATTTATCTCTTTATTGTTTTAATGACAGAATCGTCTTTTATTGAGCTATTTTAATGCTCTTATTTTAGTGTCTTTTACTGTTGTTTTTATTTCATTTTATTTACTATTTCTTAAATTTCATTCAGTGTTTCTTTGTTTTTAGATTTTAAACCTCCAGGGTTTCCTTATCTTGAGTTTTAAGATGATGTTTCCTCAGTGTTTCCGAGAAATCAAACCCTTTTAAGTTCATGTATTTTAATTCTGTTTCTGTTGCGGTTAGATTTTGGGCTGAGGTAGATTTGTGATTTCTTTGTTTCTTTTATCCCCTTGTCCGTGTAAAACACTTTATGCTACATCGTTTTTGTAAGAAAAGTGCTATTGAAGTAAGGACTGATTGATGATTGATTGATTGATATCAGGCACAGCAAGTGTAGGTCTTCTTTGGCACTAACATGAGGTTCGTCGTGGTTTTATCTGGTTTCAGTTGTCGGACATAAAGACACTTAAGTGTTTTCTTCTGGTCTGAACTTGGACAGAAAGAGAAACTCTGTTTGTTTTAGAGTCCGAGTCCATCTGGGGAATCCCAACAATGCTAATGACCGTCTCAGCGTACGGACCGTCCACATTTCTTACGTATTTAACTCCAATAATCTCATTCTTAAATTCCACTCGTACTTTCCAGTAATCCCAGTTTGACCTCTGACCACTGCAGACTGTGTCCAATAAGAGCCCGCTCTAACAGAACCTGTTATTTGGGTTGTAGTCTGGGACTTGGGTCTGATCGGGTTGTTTTGTTTTGGTCTTTCCATGTCACTGTGGTTTCTGAGCAGGTCAGTGTAGACGGTTAATCGAAGTTTTGAGTTTTTTTTAATCCTAAAATTTTTACAGGAATGTGTTTTACTTTTTTAGTTTTAGTTTTTATTTATTTCACCGGTTATTATCAGTCTTGTGAACTTCTTAATACCCGTCTCGGTCTGAAGGTCCAACATCAGTGTCTTCTTCTCCAGTTTTTACCTCTTTGTTGAAAACTCTTTGTCCTCTGGATGTCCTGGTTTCCAGGTTTTCTGCCTCTTCTGGGTTCCTCTGCCTCTCGTTGCGCCTCCTTTGGTTCTGTTTATTCTGGTTCCGGCTGTAGAAGCAGCAGAACAGAAGCTGGATCCTTGGGGAACCTGCTGACGCTGTGACTGATCCTTGTTTCGGTCCATTATCGTCTGGCAGAGGTCCAGGTGTTTCTTCCATCTGTCTCTTTCTTTCTAATGTTTCCGCCCCGCTGCCCTCTCTCTCTCTCTCTCTCTCTCTCTCTCTCTCTCTCTCTCCCTCTGCCGGGTGATTATTCATCCTTCAGATCTGTCCTTCAGCAGAGAGCAGATAAAGTCAGCGATGGAGAAACAACTTCACTTACTCGTCCTGTTCAGTTTAATATTCCTCCTTTTGATATGAGTAATGTGCATCCAGGAAGTAGACCGTACCCAGCCCCAGACTTTAAAAATGCTGGGTTTTCATAACCTGTTGCTTCTGTCACTCAGTTCGTTTACAGTCACAGTTAAATCAGACTAAGCTCATAATTCGTTTTTTTCCTCTGAATCCGACTTCTCTCCTTGTCCGCAAACAAACTCTGTGCCTGTCAGGAAAACACAAATGTTGACTCCTAAATTCACCGTCATCTATTTTTGTCGACAGCATCAACATATCTTTGCAGCAACGCTTTAAAAAGTGGAAAAAGTTCATAAAACTGTGTTCATTAAATCTATATTTTTGAGCCCCTGCAAACTTTAGTGAAGTCGTGAACAGCTGCTTCCTCCAGGTAAATAAATCTGCATGCTAACGCTTCATTAGAGTATCAGGAACTCTTCGTCGTTTCTTCAGGGGTAAAGAGGATGATGAAGATGAAGACGCAGAGGGGAGCGAAGTTTGGCTCCAGCTGATTAAAGATGAATTTCTCCAGATTGTCTCAGGAAACAAAAACACCTCGGCTGAAACAGGAAGTTCACTTTATTCTGTTCGGTTTCCTACACAGTCATAAACTGCTGGCGGCTCTTTTCTCCCAAACTGAATTATGCACATTTACCTCCAACAAAGCTGAATATTTGAAGACTTGTTCATGTCCCTGAGGACCTCGTGTCTCTGTCCGGCACTTGAGGACGAGTGTGGAGGTCACAGGGACGTGAAATATTAAAGAGAGAGGCTCTGACGTGACTCCGGGCCTCATTAATCTCTGAGCTTTATTGGTGAGGAGAAGAATCGTCAGCTAATGAGTGGAGGCTCTCTCTCTCTCTGCTGACTGTCCGCTTTGACGACATAAAATTACTGACCTCTCTCTCTCTCTCTGTCTCTCTCTCCGTCTCTCTCTCTGCTGATTCTCTCTTTCCTCTCTGGAGCTGACTCTGTTTACCGTCTCTGTATGACTCTTTGTTTGCTCTCTCTCTCTCTCTCTTTGTCTTCTCGCTGAGGTGAGAGTGGGCTCGAGCAGCTCAGTGTTTGGGTGGAATTTCATTTATTTACTTTCAAGGAAAAAAGGAAAGATCTGCTAATCTTGTTTGAATACATTTCTGCTCGGCAAAGAGGCTTAAGAGCTCGGACTCTCGTTGTTTCTTGGGTTTGATGCAGATCTCGTTTTAAGTTTTCTGTGTTTAACAACAAAAATGTAACCGAGACGATGGATCGAACTGAGCTAACAGAAATCCTGACTCTGCACAGGAAGAGTTGATTTGTTGAAGGGTCTGACAGTCCGATAAACTCCACAGCAGGGCCGATCACTCCTCTGGACAGTTCAAAAGCTGCAGTTCCCTCAGTGTCCACTAGAGGCTGGCTCTTAAAGTGCAGGACTGCCCATTCACACCCATGACAAAGTGACTGATTTTTACAGGTAGCACGTTTCTGCAGATCTTGATGCTGCAGATTCAGGACTGCAGATCTAAGACCCCCCAGTTAGTGCTTTGGATCACCAAGGACCGCATTTTAGTCGAATAAGAATCAAAAATCCAAACGTTAGCTTCTACACTAATCTCAAATATAACTGTCGGAAATACACAAGGGTGCCAGAGAGGAGGTCCCAGGATTGTGGTCTTGAAACTGCAGCATCTTGGTAGGACTTAAAGGGCCTTTCACACCGGGAACATTTTTGTCGTGCGATTATTTCGGACGTCACTATTTCTTTCAAACCCGTATCCTGTCAATACAAGCGTTCACATCAGCGATGTTTTCCCGTCCTGCGATATTGCGGCATTTATCTTCTCGTATCATGGCCGAATTTTCTAATGTTGCGCAGACTGTGTGTCCACTTCTGACCAATCAGATTTCGTGTTGTTGCGACATCTGATTCACCGGTATATCCAACATGGCCGACCGGCAATGAATTCTTCTTCTTCAGTGTCTTGAGTTAAACAGCTGTGCGGTTTCGGCATCAAGCGCGCCCGGATCCCTCTCGTCATTATCCGAGTCAGTCTCGTTGCTGTTCCCGGTACTTTGATGATTCCAGCTCAGACGACGGTTACCGTAATGCTATGAATATCCACTGAGCGGAGCAGCTTTGTTGCTAACCGAAATTGTACTTACACATTTCAACAGATTTTTGAATGTATTGTACCACATAAAACCGGATTATAAGGCGCATCGTCAATTTTTGAGAAAGTTTAAGGATTTTAAGTAGAGCTGCAGCTATAGAAAGTTTTAGTAATCGAGTATTCTACTGAATATTCTATCGATTACTCAAGTAATTGGACCCAAACGGCAGACTAGCATAGTTAGATTTCCTATAACCCCACAATGAAGGCCAGACTTAGAGAAATAGAGGGCAGTCGTGGAACAAGTGTGTGCTTTAGCGGATTGAAATGCTTGTAAGAAAGCTAATTATGATATTAACTTTCATCATGTCCCTAAAGACATTAGTGTCCGAGAGCTGAATAACTCTGATGTTACCTGATTCTGCTACGACACCAGCGATGTTAGGCTACAAGCTAACGTAAAGAGGAGTGTACAGAGTCGCTAGGTTGGCAACACTGAAAGAAAAGCCCGTCTCATCGTTTATTTTTTCTGCTCCGCAAAACCTAAACAGCGCTAACTCCTCCTCCTGCCGTGGTGACGTAAGTGCGTTGTGTCACCTTCAAGAGAATCCGTGTGAAACAGCGACGATTTGAGCTGAGAAATGAGAACTGGAGGCAGAGAAAATTCCTCGATCATTATTTGTAATCGAGGTATTCGAGGTATTCGAGGAATCGCTTCAGCCCTAATTTTAAGTGCGCCTTATAGTCCGAAAAATACGGTAGATTATTATTCAAAGTTTCACGTTTTCTACTTTATTTCTTATTTTCCAAAGTTTCTCCTCATAGTTCACTCCCTCCTCTCTTCTCATCAGTCTGCTCTGAAAGATAATTGATGTTTTCTGTCTCTCTCTCTCTCTCTCTCTCTCTCTCTCTCTCTCTCTCTCTGGTGGTTTTTTTTGGTGGCAGGAAGTGTTGGGTGAATCTTCCCATCTCTCCGACTCTGGGCGGTGACTGTCTGAAGTGTTTCCTCTGTCTGATCTAATCATCTCAGCCCAGGATGCTTTTACTCAAACACTTAGCGGTGGGAGAGGTTTTTTCGAGAAGATTACTGCAGAGGTAGTTTAGTTTTTCGGTCGCCCTGCAAGACAAAAAAGAGGGGAAACAGTTCGTGTTTGTCTCTGTGTGCATGTTTGAGGATTTTCATGGTGTTTCACTCTCTCTCTGTCTCTCCAGGCTGAAGTTTTCAGGATTATCAGGAGGGAGTTAGCCTGTCAGGAGTTTAGCGCAGAGCTGCAGAGAGAGAAAGAGCTGCTTTGTGGCAGATTAATGATGGTGGTGGAGGGGAGAGAGTGGAGGTACACAGCTCTCTGCACAACAGGGATGTTGTCTGTGCCAAGTTGCTATGAAACCAGAGGGACAGAGAGGGGGAGGGAGAGAGAGAGAGAGAGAGAGGGCCCCCCAACATGTGCAGCCTTCAGGTCCTCCTCATGAGGAGGAATTCAGAGGAAACGGTTTCTGAAGAAGCTAAAAATACGAGGTTGGAGGTTTGTAAAGGCTCTGCTGCAGGGACGATAAACCACCAGATAACAGTTTTTCTGAAGCTTCTCTGTAAGCAGCTGTTTACAGTGAAGCTGAGACTGACCGGGTACTAAATCAGACTGAGTCCACCCTGTTGTTACGGACGTGGACGCTCAGACCGGTCTGAGACTCACAGGGTTTCCTAACCCTGAGGTACATGTCAGCTCAGCCTTTATGTAACTATTTAAAGTGAAACTGAGACCCTCCAGGAATAGATCCGATGGTGAACCAGGACCTGAGCGGGCCAGTGGGTTCAGACTTGACTTTGCACAGGTAGATCTGGTCTGTGTCGGTCTGTGGAGCCTCAGATCGGATTTTAACACGATCCCACATGACACCGTTAATATAGTTTACAGTTTCTCAGGAACTAAACCGTGTATCTCTACGGGATAAAAAGTGTTCAAAAGTTTACCCTTTTGGCGATCTTTTGGCGATCTATCGAGGGTTTCAGGACATTTCTACACCTGCCACAAGGTTTACAATCCAGCCACAAAAACAGGTGTTTGATCAGAGACGTTTGATGGTAAATCTGCAGTGATATACGGTGAAAACATGATTATTGATCCCAATATTTCTTCTCCTGATAGCCAAGACCTGAGAGAATGATGTGCAGGTGAGGAAAGACTCGGTGACTGTAGATTTATTTTTAGATTTATCACTTTCTGTTTTTGTTTTTTGGTCGACTTTGATGGTTCTGAATCTACTGTCACATTTATTTGACATCATTTTCGCTCCATAAACTGACAGCTGAGGTCTGTTCTCATTGGTTGATTGATTAAGATTGATCGTTAAGCATCTTCTATCTAATCAAAGATCTTCTTAACGATCATCCTGACTCAGTGACTTCAGATTTCTGCGGGTTTGGGGACTATTTTCAGTGGCGGATTGATCCAGCTGTGTTCCTGTGATTTGGCAGGATTAAAAAAGTGTTTGAAGGAAACACCTGAACTTCTTCTTCTTCTTCTTCTTCTTCTTCTTCTTCTTCTTCTTCTTCTTCTTCTTCTTCAGTTCTCCTCAGTGTGTCGTTCCTGTCTGGGTGTGTTGGAGGTGAAGCTGACGTCTGACTCTTCAGATCAGACTGTTCTCTGTCGGTCTGTGGGCGGAGTTCATTCAGGCATGGTCCTGCTCTATTCAGCCATTCATTCACCCTGTGTGTGTGTGTGTGTGTGTGTGTGTGTGTGTGTGTGTGTGTGTGTGTGTGTGTGTGTGTGTGGCTGTAAGTGTGTGTTTGAGAGAGTTAAAGAGAGGGGGAGGGTGTGTGTGTTTATTGGTTGGTTTTGTGCCCAACAAGACGAGGCATTCATGCTGTGTGTGTCATAAACAGCCTGAAGCCGGGTCTGAATGTGTGTGTGTGTGTGTGTGTGTGTGTGTGTGTGTGTGTGTGTGTGTGTGTGTGTTCACAGGTGTGTTGTTTCATCGTTGTTCATTCATTAGACTTTATTAACGAGGTTCGAACCCACAGGTCTGTAAAATCAGCGACATTAAAGCTCCACTCAGGAGTTTTTCTGGTCTTCTCCGGCTGTAAGAAAAACCTGTCCTCCTCATGCTTCATGGATCAGATATCTCAGTCTGCCAGACGCCCAAACACACACCCAGCATCCGCCCAGTAACCATGAATAATACACACACACACACATGCACACGCACACAGAGGCTAAATGTGGAGCCTCTATTTAGATCCAGAGTCGTTCTGACTGAGCTGGAGTCAAAAACCAGCTGCTCTGGACTGGATGGAGACTCTGCCTGACCTTCACTGTAGTGATGATGATGATGATGATGATGATGAGGATGAACAGAGTTGTATCTTTGACTCAGTTCTTATTCTTTAAACTCTTCTTTAGTACAGATGGCTGTCTTCAACTTTAAAGTCACTAAAACAAGTAAAACTGTCAGAAGAGTTTGTTTCTGTGAACTCAGGAGAATATATGACCCCCAAACCTCTTCAAATAGAGACTAAACACAACTCACCTACTCTCTTCCAGCAGATGCTTGTTTGTAGAGAGACCTCAGGCCAGTCCATTACAGACTACAGCGGGGTGCCGCAGCTCAAGGAAGAACATTTATGATCATTTCTTTATCATTTCCTTGAAGTAATAATCACCATATTGATCATTTTACAGACGCAGTAGTTCTTCTGTCTTAGCGTCTCGGTCTGATTGTATTTCCATGAAGAAATGATCAAAAATTTTCTTCCTTGAGCTGTGGCACCCCGCTGTAGTCCGTAATGGACTGGCCTGAGGTCTCACTACAAACAAGCGGCTGCTGGAAGAGAGTAGGTGAGTTGTGTTTGTATGTCCTGTTGATGAAGTTAGGTGCTGTTCTGAGCATTATTTATGGCTATAGAGTGGCGTTTTGGTTGGGGGCGTGGCTCTCTGTATTTCTATCCTGCGGTCGTTACTAAAGTTGGTATAACTAGAGAAGTAAGCGGTCGGCAACATTCATCTCTGGAGGGGGGGTCTAACTCGGTGTGTTTGACCCTAAATTAATTTTACACCGGAATATCCCTTTAAGATGATGGTTTTACCTCAGAGTTGAAGACAGAGGAGGAGGAGGAGGAGGAGGTGGTGTTGCTCTGCCCTCTGCTAAGAATATCTCCGTCCTCTGATGATCTGCAGGTAGACTCCATCTCTCCATCATCTCTCTGAGGAGGAAACGAGGACATGACGGAGAGACGAGGATACGTGTGTCTCATTATCTCCTCTGAAGTTTGTCTTTTCGCTCGTCTTATCAGCAGAGAGATAAAACAACCCGGTTACATCATCCCGACCTTTGACCTCCCCACTGCAGCACACACAGTTTCTCTTTCACCGTAGACGTGGAAGTATGAGATTTCTGAACACAGTTAAAAGTGTTTTTTAAAGGCGGTTTCATTTGGTCTTTTAAATAAAAGTTAATTTAAGTGGTTAATTATTAATGTGGATCCTAAAAGACTGAGGCTCTAAGATGGAACCCTGAGGAACACCTCTGTTAGTTTCACAGTCTTAACTGAAAATGTTCTGATTCTGGAGATTTGGGTTTTATTATTTTATATTTTAGTCTTTTTTTTAGATAAATGAACAAATTAGGAAGAAAAAAGTCAACTTAAAGTAGATTTTTAAAAACACAGATCAACTTGTTTTTTTAGAGTTGGTCTGTTTCTAATCTAGTTTGAGGAAACGTGATCTCAAACTTTAGCCCCGCCTCCTCACCTCTTCTCTTTATCGTGTTTATGATTCACACTCCGAGTTTATCAGGTTTCTAATGATCCGTTTATCGATACCTGATAACGTTAATGATCCTGTTGCTGCTGGCAGAGCTGCTGAACTTTGACCTCAGAGTGATGAACGGTGTCCAGTTTTACAGACTCAGCAGGGTCACTGCCGCCGACCATCTGCTCTGTCTCGGCTCCATCTGTGAGGTTCTGCTCTGGCAGCTTCGGGCCTTTTCTCAGTCTGAGGGTGTGAATGAAATCTGAGTCACTGACTGTGGAGGGACTCACCTGAGAGACCGAAGCTGTGGTAGTGACCAAACTTTGAGAGTTAGAGCTGCAGAGGAAGAAGTGACCTTCAGGGTTTGTTCTGCTGTTTGAGGTGAAACCACAGACGGACTGGGACCAGTAGGAACCTCCAGTAGATGTAAGAGTGATGAGGACTCAGATGGATCTCTGGCAGACGGCCCTGGTCTGCTTTCAGCTGAGTGAGTGGAGAACTGGAGCATGAGGACATCGATGACACAGAGGATGACTTAATGGACGGACTGTAAAAAAAGGAAGAGGAGGAGGAGGAGGAGGATAACAGACTGATAGAGAGGGGGAGGGGGTCAGTGGGAGGAGAAGGAGGTCAGGGATGGACGAATAGAGGAGGACAGACAAAGATCTGATCGTGGTCTGATGACTGTTTGATAAAACCTGGTCTCACAAGAACCTGCAGATTCACGTTCAATAGCGCGATAACAAGTTGTCTCTATAAAAACAGACACATAGACATATAAGCAGTAGATTGTGTCCTTCCAGAGGAGGAAATCTACTTCTAGAATCACAAAGTGTTTTATTTTGAAAAGAAGCCGGATGTTTTATTTTGTGTCTGTGCCCGACTTCCTTTCCAGCACGGGTTAATCTGTGCTGAATTTATCCGCCATGCTAGGATACGACCTTTTAATAGACGTTCAGGATGAAGGTGGAGGTTGGGGGTCAGTCCATCTTTCTGGATCATCTTCTCTCTTTAAAGATGTGGGACAAAGTGTCCATGATGTCCAAAAAGGTCGTCCTGTGGTTTCCATGGTTTCCTTGTTGTGATCAGATTTAAAATAGTTGTGTAAATTATTAGTGAACAGATTATGTTGTGTTTTCTTTTCGTTGCTCTTTTGATTTGGATTTTAGTGATATTAAATCATCGTCGTGGTCAAACTTGGACTTGTGTTTTTAAGATAATAAATAATAGATGATATAAAACGGACTCTGCAGCAGCTGAAGCTCTGCAGCTTTACTTTCCTGGCTGCTGGGCCGTGAATCCATTAGTGAGAGTGACTCGTAAGCACGGTACATCATGGGAGCCGTTATTGATCAGCTGATATCAGGAGGGCCAAGGTCAGGACACGTCAGCAAGAAACCTGCTGCAGATCCAGAGACGGACCACACAGTGTACAGGAACACAAACAGGCCTGGAGATTTTCCTCTGATGGAGCGAGCGCCCTGGTTTAGCAGTGAGAGCGCAGAGACAGGTGTGCAGAGAGAGAGAGAGAGAGAGAGTCATTATCATTGTGACCTTGTTCATCCGTCTCAGAGCCTCCTGCGTCCTTCTGCTGCAGTACTCTCACACAAACAGCTCTGACTGCAGGAGTGGGCCGCCCGCCGCTGTGGTCGGTCTTTTCTGTTTCTGTGACACAGCAGAGGAAGTGATGAGTCAGCTGAACGCAGAGATTCCTATGGAAACATTTTCTGAGTTTGACACGTTTGGTCGTCTCATCAGGCTGCAGGTCTCTGCAGGTTGTGTAACTCCGTGGTCGTTTACCTCCTGATTTCTCCGAGAAGTCTCCGTCTGATCCTCAGTATTTCTATTTTTGACCCCCGCAGCCCCGCGGGGCGTGCAGATGATCATATTCTCTAATCTTCTCTGAAATCACAAGTTTTCGATCCATCAGACTTTCCTCTCCGCCGTGGGAGATAACCACGTCAGCTGTTCGAAGTTAGACGTCCACAGGAGCTCGTGACGCTCTGTGGGGCACTATTTCAGGGTACGGTGGCCCTGGGCGGACAAATGACTGAGGTTAACTGACTTAATCACCATGTGTTCAGACCTGAGGGCAGAGAGAGAGATGTGATCCTGTTTGGATGATTACGTATGATGAGACAGAAGGAGGGTTTGATTTCTCTCCTTTTTTAACACGTGTGTTAAAGTCAGATGTGCAGAAACATAACAGAGGTGTGTGTGTGTGTGTGTGTGTGTGTGTGTGTGTGTGTTTTCAGGTTCATGATGTTCAGCATCTTTTTAATACGTAATCTCAATAATAGAAAACAAACACATGAGACAAACTGTTATGAAATATTTAGAGATATGAAACTAAACGTCACCAAACAAAGTCAGTTAACTAAAAAAATACAAACTAAAGAAATATGATATTTCATCTGTGTTTGTGTCTCAGGTGAACTGTCTTTTCTCTCTTCTCTGTTATTTGTTGGTTGATGTTATTTAATGTCACGTCTCTTTAAAAGTGTCTGTCAAGATAAACTCTGAACAAGGTTAGCGACAGATTTACAGCAGAGCCTCTGAATAATGATTGACAGCTCTGACTCAGTGGAAAAATCCACCACACACACACACACACACACACACACACACCCACCCACCCACACGTGTCACCTCTGTGTGTGTGTGTGTGAGTGTGTGGTTGGTAAAACACTAGCTCACACACACACAGAGACCACACCCGGTGTAAAAACAATCAGCTGCAGTTACTGCATGACAAAACCTTCAGATAGAGATCAGACACATGCTCTGTAAGACACGCCCATCATCACATCCTGCAACAGCTCTAAACACACACACACACACACACACACACACACACACACACACACACACACATGCACAGGTGAGACAGGATTCAGGCCCTGGAGGTTTTAAAAACAAGGCCGGCTTGTTTCAGGCCTGCAGGGCTGTGAGACTGTTTGATATTAAAGTCAGATTCTGGGTGGAGTCAGACTTTCTCTTTCTGCAAAGTGATCCGCTAAAGGTAACAACGATAATGAGAATAAACTACAGCAACAATAATATAAACTACAGCAACAACAAAATCAACTACAGTTACAACTATATAAACTATACAACCATGAAAAGAAACTACAACAACAAATAAACTACAGCAGCAACTGTTCAAACTACATCAACAATAATCTAAACTATAGCAAAAACAGAATGAACGACAGCTACAACTATATAAACTACATCAACAAAAAACTACAACAACAACAAAATAAACTACAGTAGCAACTTTATAAACTACATCAACAATAATATAAACTACAGCAACAACTATAAAAACTACAGCAGCAATTTTTAAGAAATACAGAAACAACAATTTAAACTAAAGCAACACCAATATAAACAACAGCAACAACTATTTAAACTACAGCAACAACAAAATCAACTACAGAGACAACAATGTAAACTATACAACCATGAAAATAAACTACAACAACAACAAAATGAACAACAGTAGCAACCTTATAAACTACATTAACAATAATATAAACTACAGCAACAACAATGTGAACTACAGAAACAACTATATCAACAACGGCAACAATGTTATTAACAACAGTAACAATGATATCAACGAAAGCAACAACATAATAAACTACAGCAACAACAATCTAAACTACAGAAACTACTTTATAAACTACAGTAACAAGAAAGTCGACTACAGCGACAACTTTTTAGACTATAGCAAAAACTACATAAACTACAGCAACAATAATATTCACGACAGCAACAACTTTATAATTTACAGCAACGACAAAATAAACTACAGATCCACCCTTTTGTACGGCTCTCAGTTATGAACCAATCAGTGATTCTCTTATTCCGATGTCTGTCCAATCACCTGCTCCTTTTTTATTGTTGTTTCTCAAAGATCATATTTTTACTTTTTTGATGCTCTTTGATGTAATAACCTGAAAACCTCTAAAACAAAATGGCTTCTTTCCTCTACAGCTAATCCTGCTGAGTGTCTCCATGGTGAAGTGGGCGGGGTCTGATGTCAGCCCCTCCTCTTGACAACCCTCCCGCCATGCCCACCATGGTTTCTCGACTACCCAAGTTTGGGTCGCGGCCCAAACAGGATGCACTTTCAAATGGCGCTCAGACCGGGCCGACCGCCGCCACCAGCACCCGCCTCACCAACGGGTTCTACCACCACCCAGGTCCGGCGGGGGTCAACGGCAGTTTAGCCACGCCTCCCGCTGCTTTAAAGCAAAATGGATTCCTCAGGGTGCCGACGTCTTTCTCCATGAAGTGGAGGAAAGAGGCGGAGACTCAGGACGAGGGGAAAGGTGGGAAAGTCGGACAGAACCGACCCGTTAAGAATCAGTACTTTTCCCAGCGGCAGCAGGGGTCCTGGAGTGACGCTAAAAAGCCAACCACGACTTCTGCAGGAAAGGGGCGGAGTTTTAGCCATCAGGGGGCGCCATCATCAGCAACCCAGTCTAGTATCAGAACCCATCCTGTCTCTAAAGGTGGATCTCCTGGTTCCAAACCGGGTCAGACTTCGTTTGGACTGATGAACGGTACCAAACAGGTCCTGAACGGTCTTCCTGGACCCAAACCACGGAGCTGGTCCCACAACGACTCCCTGAGACAGAGTTTTACACACTCTGGTGGTACGAGGCCCAGTTCTGGTCCTGCTTCTCGGTCCGGATCGCCCCTTCAGAAGAAACAGCCCGCTAACCGGTCCCACTCCAGTGACAGCCTCGGGGTCACTCCGTCCGTCCCGCTCACTGAGAGCGATCGCCTTCGGTCCCGGAGCCTCACCCAGGTCAGGCGGCAGCCCTCACCCGGCCTCACCCCGTCCTCCACCTCCTCCTCCCTCTCTCAGACCTCAGCGAAATCCCCCGTCACCAGCCGGACGCCGGGAGGCGGGGCCAAAAGTCACGGTTCTCCGGTGAGGTCAGGCGGCAGCATCCCCGCCCTCCTGCCTCCCTCAGCCTTAAAGAAGCCCCTCCTACTGAGCCATGGCCCCGCCTCTAAAACCAGCGGAATCAGCTATAAGCTGTCACGCCCGTCGCTCATCAAACAGTCCCGCCCTCTCAGGGTGACGACAGCCAATGAGCACGGAGGTGACCATGAACTGCAAACAAGCCGAACAACTTCATCTGCAGAGACCAGCCCAGGTAACGACGAGTCTCCGAAAACGTTTCTCACCTGTTTTTACGCTGCGCTCGATTTATCCCTCAGAAGTCAGATGTTGGAGCTGAAAATGACTTCACACCAGAGTTCCCAGCGTTTCAGTTAACAAATCGGAGGTGAAAACAAGATGGCTACATCTACGAAAGTTAGCACTAAAGTAACTTTCGTAGATGTAGCCATCTTGTTTCCGCCTCCGATTTTGCTTTTTTCCGACTTTGTAACTGAAACGCTAGGAACTTCGGTTGTGACGTCATTTTCAGCTCCGACATCTGCAGCATTAATCTGATCTTAAACTCCGCCCCCTTTCAGAGAGCTCCCCAGAAGCTCCAGAGACCGAGGGGCTGTCTGCAGAGCCCGTGTCCAAGGGAGAGGTGTCGATCATGGGGGAGACGCTGGAGGACATGTCCCTGTCGTCCAGCTCGTCTCTGGATAGAAACGACACCAGTCAGGAGTACATGGACGACTTCGACAACTTGGGTACGAAACCACACAAACGATCACAGAGTTAGTCCAGGCAGGCTGACAGCTCGGCCTCTTCCTGTCCACATCCTTCATCTTAAACAGCGTTTTTTTTTCTGGGTTTACAGGAAACGGAGGCGTGGGCATCCTGCTCCTCTCCGCCAAAAATGACGAAGATGACTCAGGTCTCGACCAATCGTGTGCCAGGTTTGACGATGACAAATCAGCTGTTAATGGTGTCACCAAGGCAACAGGGCTCTGCTTCCTAGACGATGGTGTGGACTGGGCCGGTCTCAGGCTGAACGGTGAGCTCTAAAAGGTTAAAGCACAGAGGAAGTGAGAAAAGTCTTTTAGTTAAACAGGATCAAACTGAAATTTAAAAAAGTGTAAAATGACCAAAAACTAAATCGAGTTTTAAGACAAATTCTTCTTCTTCCAGGTGAGCAGGGCGAGCATCGACTGACCCGACTTCCACATCGCAGGAGGACCAGTCAGCCCGACTACCATGAGCAGGTACTTTCTGAAGCTCCTTAAACCTGAACTCTACAGCTGCTTCCCTTTAACAATAATATAAAACATGTGAGGACCGAGGATCGAACCCTGAGGAACTCCACATTCACCCCCTTATATATGAATAAACTGTTTATATGTGAGATATTTTCTTGCAGTCATGTGGTTGGATCAGAAGAAACATCCCAAGTCTAAAAAAAGAAAGTTTTTCACTCACTTTTAAGACACAGATCGAACATTTCAGATGGAAACCAGTAGGGATTCGATTTAAATTGCAATTTTCACGATCTTTTTTCAATCAAATTTTTGATTTTTAATCTGCATTTTTAACTCTAGTGAAACAGTTGAATGATTATGATTGTCAGCTGACTATTCAAGGAACCATATTTCCCCAGAAATAGACGTCACATTTAAGATTTTTTCTTAAATTGAAAAAAAACAAATCGATTTTTGATCTTAAAAATCGTTTTAAAAATTGTAAAGCAAAAAATTGCGATACTTTTGTGAATCGATTTTCACTCCCACCCCTAGAAACCATGTTCACAGGAAATCTGTTAATTTGACAGGAGTTGTTAATTATTCGTGAACACGTTTAAAGATCTTTGACTCATGGCGGCTAAAACGGCGTGACAGATCATCCCAGTTACTCATGATGAATTAAAAGAGGGTGGAAGGATTAGTTCCCTTTATTTAATCTGTATTTATTCCTGTTAAAGAAAGGCTGAAAGGATGGTCAGCCTGTTTCTAAACTACATTTCTCTGGTTATTACGTCACCTTGTTTCCATGACGATAGAAAAAACGCTTTAGTTCGTTTGTTTTGAGAAAGCGTCTCCTCCTCTCACGTCGTTTTATCGCTGCTGAGAAAAATCTGTTTGTTAGACTGACGCCGACAAAGCGACAAAGCGCCGCTCTCAGATTCACCTGAACATGATGTCATTAGAGTCGCACCTGCAGAGTCACGACGGGTGAGTCAGATCAGAGGGACCGTCAGCTCTGGACTCCACCCTCCACAGAACTCATCAGGGTGTTTCTCACCTGTCAGGCGCTGCTCCACCCAAACAGACTTAATGACCCTGAAGTTGGATTAAGAACCGACGGTGGTTTCTGTCAGAGTCCTGTAGATCCTGATGAAGCTGTTTCACTCCTGAAGGTTTGAGGAAAGACTGACGTTAAAGTAAAACGTGAAATCTTCGTGTTTGTCTCTGAGCTCTTAGAACTCCGACATGACACCATTAATATAGTTGACAGTTTCTACCATGTATCTCTATGATACCCAAGACCTGAGAGAATGATGTTCAGGTGAGAAAAGGCTCGGTCACTGGAGATTTATGGGTTTTTGAGCAAAGTTCTGTTGGGATCAATTTCCGTTTTTGTTTTTCGGTTGACTTTGATGGTTCTGAATCTACTCTCACATTTATTTTACTTTATTTTTGCTCCATAAACTGAAAACAAAGATGTGAAATGATCCTAAATGTGGAGAAAAGTCTCTGTGAACCGGGTCAGACCGGGTTTACAGACCAGAACCAAAACTCCTGAATCTCCAAAGTCAACTTCTTTAAATGACTCTCGTCCTCTCTGTGATCGATCTCAGGGCGGCTCGTCTCTGGACCTGTCCCCCTCCGACAGCTGTGGGTCCGGGGGAACCTACATGTGGGATGAGGAGGGTCTGGAGCCTCTGGGGGGCGCCGTCACGTCCAACTCCATCAACACCAACAGCAACACCACCCATCACATCGGGAGCTTCGACTCCGACCTGAACAGCCTCGTAAGTCTCTGATGTTTGTCGAAGGCTCCTCGTGAAGTTTGGACCTCACGTGGAGCCGTAGAGCCGTTCTTCTCCTCCGCCGTCACATGACCTGATTCTGTCTGTTTTCGGGGTTTCCTCAGACAAAGAGCTCTGAAGTAGGACAGAGAGGATGCTGCTGGAATATTAAACTCTTCTTTTTGTCTCTTTGCCGGTCCGACCCGGTCCCAGAAACAGACAGAATCAGGTCACATGACTGCAGACAGGCAGGAACAGGAGCAGAGCGACTGTAAATGTCAGATTTCTGTTTGAAGTTGAACATTTTTGGACGGGTCTGAACTTGACGTCTCTCAGTGAAGCTTTAATCTGAACAGCTGCTCTCTCACAGGTTAATAGTTTAGAGCTGAACACTTAGACGTCGGAGTTAACCCTTCAAACACGTGTTTTAGTTTTTCTCTGTCAGATCGAACCCTGAACTACGGTGTTTACATCAACAGTGGTGAATAAAAACAGCAGACTCGGTTTATCTCCTTCTGAATATTTAAAGGTTGAAATGTCAGTTAAGTCACTCGGTCGTTGCTGAACAAAAACCCGACTCTCTGTTCGACATGATTAAATAATGAGCTGCAAAGGTCGCTGAGATCAGACTTCTGATTCAGGTTTCAGAGCTGCTGTTTCTTTTTTAAAACCCTCTGACTCCCTCTAGTGTCTGAACGGTGAATTACAACCTCAACTGCTGCAGGGGTTCATTATTAAGAGCTGCTCATTACAGGAGAACTTGATGAATTTAAGTATTTCTGAATATATAAATATTAAGATGAAGTATTCGAGTCACATTAAGAAAAAACAAATCAAGACTTTGAGAATAAAGTTGTAGTAAAATCATTAATTACAAGAATAAAGTAAACAACTAACAACAGGTTAGAATAGCTATTAGCTACGACTTTATTCTGGTAAGTAGTTACTTTATTATGACTATATTCTCCTAAGTAATGATTTTACTACAACTTTGCTCTCTTAAGTAATTACTTTATTACGACTTTATTGTGGTAATGATATGCGATGTCTTAATTTTGTTTTCTTAATGTGGCCCTTATACTCCGTCATAGTGATCTGATGTATTATTATTATTATTTTAGGTCCACCTTTAATATCAGTCCCGATTGTCTTGTTTCATTTATCGTTAAATCAGATTTTAATAAAAACCTCGTCAGTCACATTAAGAACAGACAGCTGAAAGAGATTGTGGGTAGTTTTGCGCCTGATTCATGGTGATGATCTCTCTCTCTCTCTCTGGTGTAAATTAGCTCTCTGTCTTAATGTGGCCTGTGTGTTAACGAGCAGAGTGATCCCCTTTAACGAGCTCTGAGTCTTAACGATGTTAACGAGGGACGTTAACGAGCTCTGAACCAAAGTCTGACTGAAGTCTCCTTCTCTACAGACCTGGAATCAAGATTTGGCTGCAATGATTTAATCTAGTAGAGTACAGGAATGACCACTAGGGGTCAGCAACGAGCGTATATATATATATATATATATATATATATATATATATATATATATATGCGTGTGTGTGTGTGTGTGTTTGTGTGTAAATGTGAATTGAAGCAAAGAGGAGGAAAAGGAGGAGAGAAGAGGAGGAGGAGAAAAAGAGAAAAACTCCTGAGATTACAGTCAGAAAAAAGGGGAGGAAAGAAGGGGAGGAAAGAAGGATACAAAAAAGGAGAGGAGATAAGAGGAGAGAAAAAAGAGAGAGAGGTAATGTTGTTAGGAGGATGACTGCTCACAGCAACAGCAGGGACAGGTGTCTGTGTGTGTGTGTGTGTGTGTGTGTGTGTGTGTGTGTGTGTGTGTGTGTGTGTGTGTTTAAATGCTGCACTTGTTCAGGTTGAATGTTTGGTTTCCTCTCAGGTCACTGTGGTGTGACTAAGCTCCTGCAGACAAACACACTCACTGTGTGTGTGTGTGCGTGTGTGTGTGTGTGTGTGTGTGTGTGTGTGTGTGTGTGTGTGTGTGTTAGTCCTCTTCAGTCTCTCAGAGGAAACCCGTTTGTGTCCTCACTCTGAACCCGTCCTCTCTTTGTTCCTGCTTTTTCGAGGTCAGGTGATCGGGTCGTGTTTAATGAACTCATTAAAATAAAAAATGTCGTTTAGTTTTTATTTTTATTTTTTTCCATCTTTCCATTTTCCTGTCTTTAACAGAGAAATAATTTTTTTCTTATTTTATCTTAGAAACATTAAAACTCGTCAGACTTCATCATGTAAATATTTATCCAGATTTATTCTTGTTCTCGTTTCTCTTCATGAAGCTTCAGAAAAAAATCATCTTCCTTCTGCTTCCATCAAACTTTTCAACCTCCTCTGTGGCTGCGTTCCTACATTTCCCAGAATGCCTTTCAGTGTTTGCAGTCTAAATGTGTGTTGTCTCTCTGTGTGTATGTGTGTTTCAGGACATCCTGAATAACCTGGAGTCTTGTGATCTGGAGGATGACGACCTCATGCTGGACGCAGACGTCCCTGAAGACGGATCTCTGCACAGCGGTGAGTTTGGAGACTCTGAGGTCTGTTTGGGTTTCAGAGGGACGGTTCCTCCTGGACTCCTGCTCTCTTGACTTTAACCCTCTCAGTTACATTGTTGGACGGTTGAGTCTCCATGGAAACAGACATGGTTTAGTTAGATTTCTGTCTGTACGCTCGACCGTTCAATGGTCAGGTTACGATAAGAGCTCCCTCTGCTGGATCAGAAGATCCTGCTGCTCGTTTTTATAAGAACTTCTGGAGTTTCTTTTAAAAAGTGACGTCCTAAAGCTTTATGAGGTTTTCGTCTCTCGTTTGTTTTTCTTCTTTTAAACTCGACCGTCTCCTCCTGCGGGATCTTCCTCCTCATTTTTAAGATGTTTTAGACGTTTTTTCCTCTCCTGCTGGTTCTCTGATGAACTCCCCGGTCTTCGTTCGTTTTTTCTCCTCTCTTAATGAGCTCTTTGTCGTCACTGATCACTCCTGTTTCATCTCTGCTGGTCTGCAGACGGAGATGGGATTTCCCACATGGCTGAGTGGAGGAGGAGGCAGCTCTGCTGGGGGACTCAGGACGTCCACAACGACAACGAGAGGTGAGGGACGGAGATTCAGTCATTCAGGTATTCAGACACTCGCCCCGGATTAACCTGCAGAGAGGAGTTACCTCTCAGAGGTGAACTGAGGCTGCATCAGTTTGTTTGAAGGGAGTTCTGTTTTAATGTGATTTAATGTGATCTGATTCAGACTTTTATCTCTGTTTGGATTGTTTTACACTTTTACTGCCCCCTTGTTTTGAGCGTTACTGTCACACTTATTTTTGCATATTTAGAAAACTTTATAATGTAATCGAGTCAGAGCAATAATGTAAATAAAACTGTGAAGCGTTTCCTGTTTCTTTGCTGCAGGAGTGGAATAATAATCTTCAGTATTTCTGCAGAGAGCCTTTCAAAAAGCTCATTTCAAGTGTTTTATATCAGACATAAAAAAGGAAAGCAACATAAAAACAAATAGAATTTGTATTTTTAAAACATTAGAGTTAGTAGAATTTTTAAAAACAGCTCGTAGAGTCAACAGCGCAGAGAGGTTTGGGTGTTTTAAAGTGATAAACATAAAATCAACTTTTACAGCAGACGTGTTTCTAACTTTAAATTAACGTCAGTATTAGGAAACAGTTTTTACACGTCTTTAAATCAAAAAGGAGGAAAAGCAGACTGGAATATCTGGTTAGTGAGAGCAGAAACACTGAAGTCTTCTTCTCTCCGTCTCCTCAGTGATTTTCAGTGCTACAAGCTGACCGAGGATCCTGGAAACAAGAGGACAGACGGGACCCGAGATGGGGATCTCATTCTGGATCTGTGTTCTCCAAGGTGATTTAAAAACCTCCAAACTGATCTCACTCTAATCATTTTTGTCATTTTATGTTCATAAACTTGGACCCAGTACTCTTCTTGTTTGTCTGACCTCTTCAGCTTTATTCAACGTCGTTTTCACAGGTTAATGAAGCTGTCCAACACAAAAAAAGCTCTGTTTTTTTAGTATTAATAAAGTCTCTGTTTTGGCCTCTTATTCTAAACCCCGTCTGTTCGGTTCTTGCAGGTCTCCCAGTCTGTCTCTGGGTTCTCCTGGTCTGGGTCTGGATGTGGAGGAGCTGGCTGAGGAGTGTTCGGCCGTCAAGTCACAGCTGGAGTTCCTGCAGAGGTTATTGCTGCAGGTGAGAGACGAAGAGGAGGAGGAGGAGGAGGAGGAGAGGAGGAGGAGAATAGGAGGAGGTTTTTCTAAGTTGTGTCCATAATTCAGCAAAAATCATTATTTTATTTTACAGATTATTTTATTTTTACAAACTGATCTCACTCGGCTCATTCAAAAAAAACAAGGGACAGACAATTAAAACAAAATGTTTTTCTGTCAAAGAAAATATTTTTGCATTTTCTGTCTGTGAAGATTTAACAATATCTTTAAGTTGAATAATTTATTTGTATTAACTAAAATATATTATTTTTTATTATTTAAGTTTAATTAATGATTTTCATGTTTTCATGATTCAAATTAATTTCTAAAATATTCTTTTGAATTAAATTAGTTTTTTCATTTTCAAAATATTTTAGATTTTTATTTTTTTTTATATTTTTCAAAAATAAGTCAGTTTTCAAAATTATTAACAATTTTTCTTGTTTTAAAAACATATTTTGTTATTTTTTTCTAAATTGTGTTTTCTTGATTTTTTTTTGCTCGGATCTTTTTAAAATATTTTTTGAGTTTATATGAAATATTTAATAATCTTCTGAATAACCTCATTCAGGGCAAACGTGTCCTCATATTAACCTGTTATGACCACATTCTCTTAAACTATGATAAACATTTAATTTAGCAGATGACCAATTAGACGTTAAAAAGTCCATAATTATGATGTAAATGTTTTTGACGGTGCTGGGACGTCATGTTTGTGTTTGTGTGTCGTTCAGGAGGAGGACGCAGACGACGACACTCTGACCACGGACACGCTGAGTCCTGAAACCAACGAGACCTCCCACAGCTCCGACTCTCAGGTCCGCTTCACCTTCAACCTTTAAATCATCGATCAGATCCTGAACGTCCTCACCTGCTTCTGGACATCATGATTATATTTACGCCTCCCTCTGTCTGTGTGTGTGTGTAGGTGCAGAGTCTCCTGCAGGAGGTGCAGCAGCTCAGAGAGGAGCTGAGGAGCCGAGACCGAACCATCGCCCAGCTCACCATGCAGCTGGTCTGTTTCTATTAAACCCCGCCCCTTCTCATTCATGCTGTCATCTCAGAGTAAAGAGCCGTTCACTCACTCACTCACTCGCTCACTCACTCTGGTGTGTTTCTGTCAGTGTGAGCAGGCTGTTCCCGTGTCGGCCACCAGGTGTCACTGTCAGGAGGAGTCAACAGGAAGGATGGATCGACACACGCAGACGAGTGTGGCGGAGAGAGAGAGCGTGGCCTCGCAGACGCCCTGGAGAGAGCACACAGTGAGAACACACACACACACACACACAGAGACACACACACACACACACACACACACACACACGACGGTTACACAATTACAACACAAAAATCAAAATATTAACGGGTTTTTAGTTCTGGTTCGTACAGTTTTGGTCAAAAAATCAAACAAAAAAAATCGTTTTTTTGCAAATCCTCATTTTGGTTTTGTGGTGAAACAGAGTTTGACTCTCTGACTCCCCCTGGTGGAGATGGCAGGTACGTCAGCCTATTCTAGAGTGTGTGGTGTGTGATAGCGCGGACTCCTGTGTGTTAGCATCAGGATAAAACTGTATCGTCCCTCATACTCCGACATTAAGACAGCAGAGGTCCGAACACTAAAATGAGGTAAAAACTTCGATCAGCTGTTTCGGTGGAAACATTTCTTCTGCCCTCGTTTGGTGACTTTCAGACTCTGCTCACTTCAGCTCGTTTTTTCATCTCCTCAAGTATCTTCAGATATTTCATTTCCCCAAAGTCTTCATATTTTAAATATTTATTTCAACAAACTTCAAACTTATCTTTACAAACTTTTAAAAACTTTTTTGGTAAAAAAAAATTAACTTCTTTCTTCTTTTCTCAAATTTCATTTTTTCTGACTCCTCAGCAGCTTTTCTTTTCTTAGAAATGTATTTTCTGTCTGATAACTCGTGTCTCCTGAAAGGGCTTCTGGGTAATGTAGTTTTGTAGACTTACCTTCTGTCTCATGTCGGTTTTTCAGTCTTTTTTCCTCTGAGCAGACGTCCTCCCTCTTTTTTCCTCTCTTTGACGTTATGAATGAGCTCCTTGTCTCCTCCTCCTTGTCTCCTCCTTCCTGTCTCCTCCCGTCTCTCCTCAGGTTCCTCCTCCTGCTCCTTTCCTCTCTCCTCCTTGGCAGTATCAGCGCTCCAGGCCTTACAGGGGGAGGCCCAAACCCAGCATCCCCTCCCACCTCGCTAGAAAAAGTGAGTCCCGTAGTCTGTCCCCTTAAATCCCGTCAAAACCTCCGAACCTCGACCACGACGACCCTGAAGACTTCCTTCTTCTTCTTCTTCATCTCGTCCTCGTCTTCACCGTCTTTGGATCGATTGTCGAGTAAAAACTGGATCTTCAGTCGAAATAGGAAACAGAAATTGTGACTCAGAGCAGAATTGTTTTAAAAAAGTAAAACAGTTTTATTAAAAAAAAACTTTGAAATCAAAATAACCCAGAAAAGCCTGTGAGGGTTCAAAGGTCAGTGCTGTTTTTAATGGAGACGTGCTTTAACTGAATTAATATTACACTCTGAATTATGCTCGGCTGAGGAGCAGCTGCTCTGAATCCAGACGTCCAAATTAGGAGTTCCTGAGTGAGTCTGAAGGTTAGTTTGACTTATTGATGAACATTAGTGAAGAGAGTCTGAGTTTTAGTTCCTGGTTGAACTTTCTAAAGTCCGTCTCTGCCTCCTGATGTCTTCATTAACCCGCTCCATGAAAACTCTTCTTCACGTGTTCGTCTTCCTCTCTCTGAACCTCCTCTGAATAAACTCTGTTTGTTTGTCCTCTTCTGTGTTTTTATCCCTCTAACACCCCCTCCCTCCTCTCTCTCTCTCTCTCTCTCTCTCTCTCTCTCTCTCTGTTTTTACCCCTCTGCTCTCGCCCAGGAGTGGAAAATCTAGTGCTTTACTTCAGTGACACGGCGTGGTACGGTAGCTCCTTTTTTAATCCTCATCTCTCCTTCTTCATCTTCATCCTCATCTGTTCTCACTTTAAAGCTCCATCAGTGATTTTTTTATTGTTGTGAATTATTTTTTTTTTAAAGTCACTTTGAGATTTTATCAGTCATTGTAAGTTTAATTTTTTGCACTTTTTCCTCTTTTTTTTGTTTCTGTTTTGGTCTCCACCGCCTCTTAAAGTTAGTGTCTGTCTCCTCAGTCAGTATGTTTCCATGACACTCAAGAAAACCGAATTATCGCCTTAAGCCAGAAAGATTTAGAAGATCTTTTGTACCAACAGCCATCAGGCTTTATAACTCTTATGTAAATAATAGGACATATTACTTTTATGGACATATTACGAGAGACAACAGACAATTGAATTTACCTTCGGGGATCAATAAAAATCTTCTTATTCTTATTCCAATTAAGACCAGACAGCTGAAGGTCATGTAAACACCTTAGTCTGACTATAATCGGACTTTGAGAACTCTCATTAAGACTCCCAGATAATCTGATTGGAATTCGATTTTCTCTACCATGTAACCAGCCGGCAGTAGTCGGAGTATGATCGGACAATGCATGTGCGCCACGCCCCTGTAACCCGATGTAGCGCATCCATCATGTTGGACAAAAACAACGCTGTACAATGCTCCATCAGCAGCAGTTGTAGACACTTCTGACGTCTGACACGCGATATTTGACTGATCTGTCAAACCGACGGAAAGGTCACGCCTTCGGAAACATCAGCTGTTTTAAGACACGTCACACAACCATCACGTGACGCTCTGAGGAAGACTGGTGCCAGCATGTCGAAACATGTCAGCGAGGTCATTAAAAAACCCGTGTCTGTGTAAAAGAACTTCTGATCGTAATTAATCAAAAAAGACACAATGAACATAATCCAAGACGATGACGTTTCACAGCCAGAAGGAATAACCAATCTCAAAAGAAAATCGAGTCTGGCATGGACATGCTGTTGTTGTTGACGGTTGTATGGGGTCGGAAACGCGGACAAGGAGGGAAGTCTGATTCAGCGAAAAAGACAAATTACGATCTTAGTCCGATTAAACTGTGACTGTAAACGAACTGAGTGATGGACTCTGATCGTCCCAGATGGTCCTTCTGGTTCGGCTTAGACCTGAGTTTGTGATCCAGGATGTGGTTAGGACAGTAAAACACATAAATTCACTCCAAGTAGTTACGCAGAGGAGGAGGAGTCTCAGTTTCACTGTAAACGGTCTGTTTTGAGGTCTTTTCTTGTGTTGGGTAGTTCAGGAAGTCTTGAAGCGTTTTCTTTTCGATTCCGTTTATTTGTCGACCTTTGCGATGGAGTTTCAGCTGGTAGTTCTGGGAGGTTAATACTTTTGTTTTAATCCTGATCGTTTCACCTCGCAGACCCCATAAATCAGACAAATTGAACTTTCAGAGGCCGACACGCGGCGAGGCGTAGATTTACAACGTAAAGAGTTTATATACAAAACATAAAGCAGTGATAAGTAGAGCTCATAAAGAACTTCCCCCCGCAGAGCCGCTCTCCTGACACTTTTACCCATGATTCATTGCTTCCCCGAGGACGGGTCACACCTTCTCCTTCACACTGAAATGAGCCCGGTGAAGCCGAGTCCAGAGGCCCGTCTGGAGTCGGCGCCGAGCTAAAATTATCTTTCTAAATGGCTCTTAAATGTTGAATTAGACGAGCAGCACTTCAGTCGGGCGTGTTCGGTCACACTGAGGAGAGGAGATCACTCAGGACGCCATCGCCTCCTCCGCACCAGGAGGAAGAGGAGGAGGAGGAAGAGTGTGCACCGAGACAACAACAAGGATTCTGGGAGGTGGATCAGCAGACCGGTTCAATCACTGTTGGGTCAGTCTGCTGTTCTTCACCTTTCTGGAGCGTCCGTCCACCTATCGGTCCATTTTTGGGACAAACTTAGTTAAAGTGAGTTTCATTCAGACTAGAGATGCACCAATCCTTTTTTTTCTGATCCAGTCCGATATCGATACCTGGGCTGAGCGTATCGGCCGATATCTGATCCAGTACTACTGCTGAAGGGATGAACTGTATACCTGTGAGTGAAGGCAAACGCAGGGCGAGTGTGTTGGGGGGCGGTTTGGGGTCTGAGTTTTTGAACCTTAAAAAAAAAAGACAAACTAGAACTAAAGTTACAGAAAAACAAATTAGTTTTATTGTCGATTACTGAGCGACAACATGATGGAAAATAACTCACTACACAAGGAGCCAATCAGAGGACAGCAGAGACAGGAAGAGGGAGTGCAGTGTGAATGTGTGTGTGTGTGTGTGTGTGTGTGTGTGTGTGTGTGTGTGTGTGTGTTTGTGTTTACTGCTGGGACGTCCTGTAAGTCTTTGTCAGGGAAGCAGAAGAAATTTGGCAGACGTCTGACTCGTCTAAGAAGGTGAATCCTCGATGGAAACACCTGCAGGAAGACAAGGACGCTCTTCTCTTCCTCTCCCATCTTCTCTCTCTCTTTTCTTTCCTTCTCTTTCTCATTATCTCTCTCTCTCCCATCTTCTCTCATGCTTGATGGACTCAGACACACTCTCTCACTCATCACTGGCGTCCCTGCAGGAAACAGACATGCTGCAGTACCATCAGTCACCACCAGGTGTCAGTGTTCACCTGTAAATAAGTCTAGTTCTGCAGAGTAACTGTAGATGTCTTCATGTCACTAATACAGTAAACAGGCTCAGTGTTGCCCCCTGGTGGAGGATTTTAAAGTGATTTTAGAGGATCCTTCAGTAAAACCTCTTCAGGACGGAGACAGTTAGACCTTTTTAAAGCAGAAAGATCTTCTCATGTTTATGTTTGTCTGTGCTCCACAGTAATCAGTGAAAACAGAGAAAACACTGAAGTTAAATAGTTTCTAAAAATCATTAAAAAACACTAAAATACTGCTGAAGTGAGCCGGACTAAAGCCTTTGTGTTCATATTTACAGAGAAACTGAGACTAACCAGAAACAGATGTACAGTCCGCCAAAAGAAGTATTTGTTTATTTCACTGTTTACCGTCAAACTTACATTAACTGGAAACTAATAACCAGTAAACTAAAAGTAGTGAAATTTATGATTTACTATAAAACTGAGACTTCTTACATACGGTAAGACAGACTGAAGCCTCGAAGTAGCTGTTATTTACAGAGAAACTAAGACTCACCATTAACATGTTCACAGTAAACCAGAGTGGACCCTCTGTGTTCGAGTGAGACCCATCAGAACTGATCAGAACAGTAACTTTATGAAACTTACAGTAAAACTGAGACTGACCAGAAAAACATCAACATTGAGCAGCAGTTAAACATTTATTAAACTGAAACTCAGTCGACTCTGATTATAGAAACTATCTACTGTTTACAGTGAAGCTAAGACTCACAATCTAAAGATAAACTGTAAGTCAGAGTCTGTATTACCTACCATATACAGGGAAACTGAGACTCATTGGAAACAAATGAGCAGGAGACCAGAGTGAAGGCTCTGAGAGACTTTTTACAGAGAAACTGAGACTAACCAAAAACAGATGTACAGTCCGCCAAAAGAAGTATTTGTTTATTTCACTGTTTACCGTCAAACTTGAAGTAACTGGAAACTGATAACCAGTAAACTAAAGGTAGTGAAATTTAAGACTTACTGTAAAACTGAGACTCATTACAGACAGAAGTACAATAAGACGGCGCAGGCGCACTTTTATGTAAGTAAGTTAAAGTGAAATAAATCAAGTGTTTATTGCCATAGGACGTCATTTTCAAGGCCGCATGTTCAGAGCTGTGATACAGATTAGTGTCTCTAAGACCGAGCAGATGATTCAAACAAACCCATCATGAAGAAGTAATGTTAGTGAGAAGTCTGTGTTTGTCGTCTCTGTAAAGTCTCCTGCATGTTTTAAACATCCCAAGCGAGCGGCTGAGGCAGAAACCCTCTTTGTTTGTCCTCGGAGGTAAAACACCGACTGATTCTGGGATAAGAACTGGATTTTTTTCTTCTGTTTACTGCGATAATTCCATCAAGGAGTCGTCGGTTTATTGTTTCTGCAGGTTTATGGATTCATGGTCTCTAAACTCAACGCTGGTGATATAAGACAAGAGGAGAGGGTCTTCACTGGGGGTCAGGATCTGTCAGAGAAGAAGAAGAAGAAGAAGAGTGGGTTTATTTCACAGAGACTGACAGGATCAATAAAACATGACAGATCTCGGCGAACATCTGTTTCTCTCTTAAATTTCTGCAGAGCGAGAACACGGAGCGGCGTTTGTTTCTCTGATTACATCCGAACCTGTCAGGAGGAAAAACTCTGATTATCTGGGAAGTCCATGTTTTATTCAGACTCATGTTTTTATGAAGACCAGAGTCTCTCTTTGTGGTCCTCCTCCAAAGTTCAGACCCTCGCCGAGTCTGTTTGGCCTTGGCGTGGTCCGTAAATCACCTCGCTTCACTTTGTAATATCAGAGTTTTCTGTGAAACGTCTCGGCGTTTTCGTTTATTCAGGAGGGTAAATAAATGAGAGAGGGGCGAGCGAGGACTGTGAAATCAGAGCACACAGAGACGGCTGATTGGTTTTTACTTCACAGGACTTTACCTCGATCAATAAACCCCGATTGGAGCGCGGGATGGATTTCATCGCTCAGATTTGACTCCCTGACTGTGACTCTGATTCAGATTCTGTCCGCGATCCGGATTATCAGAGCCGGGCGGAGGATTAAAGGTGTCAAAGAAAAACCAGGAGCTCTGTAGTCCAGGATCAGTCAGGGAGGACATTCAGATCAGCAGAGAGAGGACGGAAAGACGAGGGGGACGGAGTCATGAAAGAGAGGACAGAGATTAGAAAAAAATGGGTTTAAAAGGATGTTTGTTAAAAGTGAGATATTTATTCAAAAAAAAAAAAAAGAAACGTGATGATGGAAAAAATATGAGGAAATGATATTTAAGACGTGAAGAGAGAACTGAGGATGCAGCATCTACGGTTTCCAGTTCTTTGTTGAAAGTCCAGTTGTCCTTTCTATGCTGTGTTTTCTACTCCAGAGTCCTGTCTGTTTTTAAAGGGATATTCTGGCGTAAAATTAATTTAGAGTCAAACCCACCACACCGAGTTAGACACCCCCTCCAGAGATGAATGTTGCCGACCTTTCATTTCTTTAGCAAAGAGACTAAACACAACTCGCCGACTGTCTTCCAGCAGCCGCTTGTTTGTAGCGAGACCTCCGGGCAAGTCCACTGACTGCAGTGGAGTTTCGCAGCTCAAGGAAGAACATTTATGATCATTTCTTTATCATTTCCTTGAAGTAATAATCACCATATTAATCATTTTACAGACGCAGTAGTTCTTCTGTCTTAGCGTCTCGGTCTGATTGTATTTCCATGAAGAAATGAGAAACTTTTGAAGACAAGACACTTTTATTCCTAAATGAGCTCATTAACTGGACGAACAGAAGGATCTGGAGGGTACAGAGGGGATAAAGTTCGGACATTTTGATTAACGGGGACTTTTTTTAAAGTGAGGACAGTGTTTTTAACGGGGTCTTCAGCGACCTGCCAACATTTAGGTGATAAAATCCGGGAGATTTTTTCGGCGAGCGTCGGGCAGTTTTGGGGTTCCCTTTTAAGGTGGATATAAGCTCATTATGAGAGTATTTGTATTTAGATTACTCATCCAAATGAGTCTAAGTGAAGCTGCACACTTTTTTGTTTTACCGATAACAAATAGTAATAAAAATAATAATAGCAATGATCTGTCTTGAACTTATTTAGTCCAATAATATTAGTGTTAAAGTCCTCATCTGTTTGGCTCTCTGAACGTCGTCGTGAAATACAGCGCTCTTTTATCTGAGGCTGCCCTGAACGCATCACTACAAGACAGTGAAAGACTATCAACATAAATATTATATCTCACCTTTGTTTCCCTTTCATTAAAGTGTTCATTTTGCAACAAACACTGTTCAAATATAGTTTACAGGTTAAACTGACCTGAATCATCCCAAACTGTAAAGTCAAAGTATCAATCCAGAGTCTGTGAGGCTCAGCAGAAACACAGGACAATCTTCGGTTGTCTGGAAACTTTAGACAAATATAGTGATCTGATTCATGGATGAAGGTGGAACATCAAACTACGGAAGATTCTGGGAGAAAATGGGGGCGGGAGAGTGAAAAACGGGAGTGTTGGCAGGTGTGGTCTTCAGGCCCTGACTCTGTACCTCTGGACAAACTCAGGTTTATAAACCCCTCTACAAAAGTCAGACTCTGGTTCCTGCTGTTCAAACTCCGAGTTCCTTTAACTCGGCTTGTTTCAGATTCAACACGGTGAAGTCAACATGAAGGATTTTAAAAGTTTCCTCATGAGTGGAAACAGCCCGACATAGTTTCAGTCTGTGTTATCGTCTGTGTTACCTCCTCAAACTTTAACCTGAAGTGACTCAGAGTTTCTCTGATTAGATGAAAAGAGAGAAACAAACTCATGAAGTCTTTCTTCTTCTTCTTCAAAAATAGAAAAATCGGTTCAGGTTTCAACAGACGCAAACATATCACACAGCAGGACGCCACAGCTTCATCAAAGCAAACACACACCCATCAAACAGGGCCGCACACACACACACACACACACACACACACACACACACACACACACACACAGATCAAAGCATCGATGTCCGAAATGACCAGCAGTCATCAGAGAGAATAACTCTGATTTTTAATCTCTTATTCTCTCTCAGTCTGAGAAAGTTCGTCTGCGTCTCACCTCCACAGACGATAAATAATGAAACAAAGGAGATTTAGGACAGACAGACTAAAGGACGGACAGACAGAAAGACAGACAGATGGACAGAGGTACAGAGGGATGACAGGACGACAAATAAAAGCAGGACGTCCGCGATTCAGAGCTCCACATACAGACGTGACAAACTACGATCAGATCTATATTCAGATTTATGTCGAAGTCAAGATTTATGGATTTAGAACAAAGAGAGGAGAGAAGGAGGAGAGGAGATAAGGAGATAGGGGGAAAGGAGGAGGAGAGGAGATTAGGAGATAGGAGGAGATAAGGAGGAGAAGAAGCAGAGTCCTGTTAACCTCTTTTTTCTCTTTGTCGTCTTTGTTTCAGTCATCGGTACTTCACTCCTCCAGCCAGGACGACCAGAAACCACTGACAGACCCATGCTCGGCTCCACCCCCACCGCCACTTCAAGCTCCGCCTCCTGCTAACACCTGCCCCGCCCAACCCGCCCCCACCTCCGCCGTCACTGAGGAAGAAACGGACGATGAGAAAAGAGCGAAGAAGGAGAGGAAAGGAAACCGATCCCTGCTGCCCCCTCAGCCCTCTAAGCTCCGCCTCTTTCAGTCTCTGACCCCGAGCTCTGCTGCCTTCACGCCACCACCGCCGCCGAAGACGAAGGCGGTCAGACAGCTTTCTCACGAGTCAGAGAGCGGCGGCACAGCGGGGGTTAAAGTGAAAACACCGGTTTTAAACGGGTTGTCTCGCCTCCCGAAGCCAAAGAGCGGCTGAAACAGAACGGCGACTTTTGACTCTGTAATCCTTAATCCAGATTATTAAACTCGGAGTACGGCGTGGTCACATGACAAGGAGGTTATTTAAATGAGCAGGTAACTTATTTATTATTTTATTTTGAGCACTGACACAGAGACACTTGATTTCACAGGTCCTGAAGTTCCTTAAATCTGTCCTGACAAATCTGTAAACGAAGACTGAGATTATCACGGTTTTAATCCGAGGAGGACGAATCTCACAGTCTCACTTCTTATTGGCTGAAATGTCCCTTTAAGGATTAAAACCTCAGCTTCCCCTCGGTTCTTCAAAACTCAGTTGTTGAAATATTTTCTCTGTAATTGGATTAAATATTCACAGAGAAGGTCAGACGTGAAGTTTAAAAAGTTAAATTTAGTTTTAACTAAACAGTCAATAATCAAATCAAAGTCGTGATAAATCTATGAACTAAATCAGAATAACTGTAAACACTAAAGAGAGACTTAAGAGAACCTCAGGACCGGTCCAAACTCTCTGTTCTGATCCAGTCAGTCTGTTTTTATTTATTTATTTTATCAAGTTAACTGTATAAACTCGAAACCGTCTCTTCCTCACGCCGCCGACTCGCTCGCTCTGACTCCTTGTGACCCTCCTGGTGCCTGATCTTCTTCTTCCTGACTGGACTGTAGAAACTCTCGCTGCTCCTCCTGCCTTCATCCTCTCCTAGTCTTCCTCTCCGGGGGGAGAACTGTTACCCGACACGCCCCTAAATAAACCCCCCAAAAACGCCGGATCCTTCCTGGAATCAGAGCGTCGTCTGAAACCTGCTGCTGCTCCGTGAGTCGAACCCTCCTGACCCTCCTGCTCTTCATCTTTGCACTGTTGGTGTTCAGACTCTGGATTTCTGTCTTTCTCTCCTCTCTTCGCTGTATTCAGAAAACCTTTTTAAGGACGGAGAGTTTAAAGTCCTCCTCCGAACAGGACTCAGCTGTTTCTCCTCTTTAAAACTCTGTCTAAGGGCTCCACAGGTGGTCGAACGCCATCCGTCTGGTGTTGGGAGGAGTCAGCATGTCCACGTTTTTTGTAAGGATGAAGGTCTCATATGCTTCAAACAAATGTCCTTTTCTGCTCTTTCTGAGTGCAGCGCTGCAGATCAAGATTTTACAAACTAAGAACCTGACACTAGAAATACCAGAAATAATAATAACATCCATGAATCTGCTTAAACACGACAAAAAAAGACAGTTTCGCTCCAACAGGCCTGTAAAATCTTCAAACATGCTTTTTTAACGGTGTGTTTGGTGCGTCTACACACTTGATTCACCAACAATAATGATCCAAAGTTCAGTGACTGTGAGCTACTTTTAATCAGGAATACATCCGGATGTTCCTCATAGAAGCTCCTGCATGTTCTGGAAACTTCTCCATCTTCTTCTTAGTGTCAGTTTTTATTCAATTCTTACTCAGAGATGATCGAACTGAATGAATTTTAACGGCACAGTAAGATTCAAAGCCAATGCAAAAGCACAAATTGACACAAATCTGAGACAAGCTTTCTTAAAACAAACCTCATTTAAAAAACGTGCGTTTTAAGAGCTGCTCGCATGTTGCCTCGCAGACAGACCTGACAAATCCTGCCTGTGGAGTTTTTCTAAATCTGCAGCATGATTTTGTTATTTCGGCATCAGTTCAGACCGTTTATTGAGATTAAATCCCAGTCAAAGTTGAATTGAAAGTTTCCCTAAACCAAACCTCATTTAAAAAACGTGCATTTTAAGAGCTGCTCGCATGTTGCCTTGCAGACAGACCTGACAAATCCTGACTGGAGAGTTTTACCAAATCTGAAGCATGATTTAATTATTTCGGCATCAGTTCAGAACGTTTATTGAGATTAAATCCCTGTCAAAGTTAAGTTGAAAGTTTCCCTAAACCAAACCTCATTAAAAAAAACTTGCATTTTAAGAGCTGCTCGCATGTTGCCTCGCAGACAAACCTGACAAATCCTGACTGTGGAGTTTTTCCAAATCTGCAGCACAACTTTGTTGTTTTGGCATCAGTTCAGACCCTTTATTGAGATTAAATCCCCGTCAAAGTTAAATTGAAAGTTTCTCACATGTCGTTTTTCATGACTGGACGTCTTGTCTCCACCTCATGCAAAGACTTACAACAGTGTGATTGCTTTCAAGGCGATAACTGCGCTCGGTTATCCGTCTTTGAAATCAAAACAAAGACACACAGAGAGTTCCTGGAGCGAGACAAAAGAGATCATTGGATGCACCAACAGGAAGCCAATCACAGCGGGCGTTTCAGAGACGGGCAGTGAAGCCGTTTGTGTGAAGCATAAGGAGGTCAGAAACCTTCAGAAAGGGCGTGTGGACTCAGAGGGAAGTGGAGGTTTCTGATTTCGAGCTGCAGAGGAAGAGTCTTCTGTCTTTACTCGCTGACATTTGAGAGATTTTGGACTGATATTTTCATTCAGGAGGTTTTTCAGGCTCTCTCTCCTCACATTAACATTTTATCATTCTGCAGGTAAAAGAGACGAAAAAAAACCCTGCTGAAACGTTCAAACGAGCCCGCTGACATTTACTCTCCGAAGACGCTCCGACAAACTGAAACACGATCTCATTTCTATCAGAGCCGGTCTGTCAGGAGGAGGAGAGCCGCCTGCTTCTACGATAACCTCTATATATGCAATCAAGTATGCAAAAAAACACAAAAAAACATCATTATCCTGTAGGTTTCAATCCCACTCATAGTTCTGCTTATGTGCCCTGGAGCAAGGAAGGAGGGAGGGGTCAAGAATATGCAAATTTACTCTCAGCTTAGGTCACATGTCACACAGTCGGAGACGGTCTGAGGTTCGAACTGGAATTAAAAATCTGAAATCTGAAGGTAATTAAAGAAAACAGCAACAACAACATCGGCAGCTTTTATACCCTCAGCTGAGATTAAAGCGGATTTACCTGCTGAAAGAGTTTCTGCTTCAAAAAGTCTCTATAGACTCGATTTAACAGGAGAAGTTCAAATCAATGTTTCCTTTAGATATCATAAACTCAGAAAGGAGGGTTCGAGTTTCTGATGTGTTCGAGAAATCTGTCCGCAGAGTCAGGAAAGTTTGTTTTTAAGTTTCTTTAATAATGTCCTGATACAAGAAACTTAAAAAGAGAGAGGTAAGATGTTCCTTTAATAGTCCTACGAGGGGAAATTCCTCCAGAAAAGCACTTTAATTAAACCATCCTGTCATTATGATTATTTTTATTAATGCTATTTGATGCAGTCATGTAACAGAAACTTTGATCTGGAGTCCTGGAGTTGTAAACAATGTCTGAAGTGGATCAGATCAAAACTCCAGTGACTAAAGTCAAACAGAAAAACTCGGATTCTGACTGTTTTGACCTCCTAATATCGTCTTTCCTGTCAAAGTCAAAGCGTCAACCCAAGATCTTTTTCTTTAGATCTCTCCACGCTGCATCTGTTCGCCATATTACCCCTTTTTAAAGATTGGCAGGGGGCGCTATGGAGCGGTTAGAAACACCACCATGAGAAACTTCTGCACAAAAACCTTGTTGTTGTTGTTGTTGCTGTTTAACCCCCAATTTCCACCGCATCCGGAACGGCGGCGATCTGTTTGTGAGGCGAATTTCGTGGTGGATTACAGACAGCAGGGATCACAAGAACTCAAAAGAACTCGGGGATTCATGTTCAGTCGCGCGATTACGAGATGTCTCTTTAAAGACAGACACATAGACATATAAGCAGTAGATTGTGTCCTTCCAGAGGAGGAAATCTACTTCTAGACTTCTAGAATCAGCATCTCCTCATCCATGGTGTCATCGGGGTGAAATGACGTCTAAAAACCTTTCACTTGTTCGTCTCCGCCCGTAATGTGAAATAAGATCCGCCGGATGTTTTACTTTGTCTCTGTGCCTCAGCGTCCAGAAAAAGTAGAACTCTTGTGATCAGCTGAGGAGTCCGGCGATCCGCAGAGGAACGGAAAGAAGTCGGTGTAAATTGACACGTTAACTTGAATTGTTACGATCAGCTACGATCGGAGGATACGACCTTTTAGGAGACGATCAGGATGAAGGTGGAAATTGGGGGTTACTTTCAAACACTTGAAGAAATCCGACGTCCGTTTGCCGAACCTTCAGAAAATACCTGCTGGGGTTGATCGACAGTTTCCGATCAGCTGATCGTCCCGCTGCCTCTCCTCTCTTTTCCGTTTTTTTAGAGTCCAAGTTTCAGCTGCCGTGTCGGTGATCATCGCTCAGTATTTAAAAACGATATTTAACGTGGAGTCGCCTTTAATCCTCACAGTTATGAACTCATATCTACACTCTTAACTATTCAATCCTGCTGTTCCTGTGCTTTTATTTTGAAACTTGAAGGGACAGGTATCTTATTCTGAAAAGAAAAGCATCCTGCCATATTTCCTGCTGGTTTTTTTTTTGTTGGTTTTGATTTTTGTGCAATAACTGGATGTTTGACCTGCTGCAGCGTTAACTCTTTATATTTATGTTGAATTCTGTACAGTGCCGTCACTACGATAAATATTCACGTTCACTTTGAATCGTTGCTTGTGAAGCGTCTCAGTCTGAAAGTGCACTTTAAATGAACGCAGAGTGAAAAAGAAAAGTTCGTTTTTGCTGAATTTAAACTTTTTGTCGAGGTTTAAACTGACGCTGCGTTTACGTCACATGGGAAGAGATCGAACCATTTTAGTTTTTAGAAATGTCCTCCAATAATCGGGTCAGAAAAAAGACGTTTAAAGCTCAAACATATCTCCGTCTGACTCCAGAGGTCTGGTTCTGGTCCTCCTGGGTGTGTTCAGACCTGAAGTTAAACTCCATCCTCTCCTGGTTCATGAACACGAGTCAACGAGTCTCTCCAAAGTCGCCCCCTGGTGGTTGATCCTTTAATTTTTATGTTCCTACGGCCTGACTCCGCCCTGAAAATGTTCCCATGTGATGTAAACGCAGCGTCATCGGCTCACACCTCCGTGCTCTGTTCTCATTGGTTGAAAATTTGAACCCTGACGTGATTGGTTTAAAACTAATTGATGTTTATGAGGCTCAGATCATGACCTTGTTTGATCATGTCTGATTATCATGTGTGTTTATTTTACCTGTCAGACCTGTAACAAAAGCCCCTCCCCCTGTTGTTGCTGATTGGTTGATATTTCACATTCTCGCCTGTCATTGGCTGAGAGTCTCTGATGCTGCTGAGAAGCTGAAATAAAAATAATCTGAAACTGAAACTGTTGGGTCTGTTTTTAATCAGGAACTTTATTCTGAAACTGTCGAACTGTTCGCTGTATTTATGTAGATTTACAGGTGAACATCCATGAACACCATATAAGGGCGTGTGTTTCCTGTGGACAGGTAGGTCACAGCTGTCATGTCTCCGGATCAGTTGATTGATACGTCCCTCCTTCTCGTCTTTCCTGTTTTATTTTGAAATGTACCCGTTTCCTGTTTCAGGTACTTCCTGCTCCCTGATCGCTCTGCTGTGCTCCACCTGTGTCTCGTTATCTCAGGTGTTTTTAAGCTCCGCCTTCCCCTCTCTTCCGGGTCAGGTCATCCAAAATCCTCCTTCTGCTCCTTCAAAATAAAAGCGGGTTATTCCAGGTCAGCTCTCCTCTCACTCATGTTGTCCCCCTGAGGTCTGAGACTCTAATCTCGCCTCCTGATGGTTCCCTTAACGCTGAAAAATGCCGCCATTCGTCTCTGACACCCTGAACGCAGCAGGACTGATGGTCAGCTGAGACGGCGCTCCGTCTCGATGCTGAAGGCCGAGCTGATGATGAAGACTGAGACGATGCCTCAGAGATGACGGCGGCGGGAGCAAACATCTTCACAGATCAGCAGAAAGGATGACGTCTAAAGGTCGAAAAAGACAAAGAGCCTCAGAAAGACGAGTTTTAGGACGAGAGGAACTTTAGAGGAGAAAGTTTCTGTTTCAGATGTTTCAGGTAACTGGACCTCAGAGAATCCGCTCTGAGGAGGATCTCTACCTCTGCTGTTTCACCCGAGGCGAGAAAACAGCAGCAGAGAGAGAGAGAGAGAGGACTATACGTCTGTGTGAGAGAGTGAGCTGTACATGTCTGACCATGTGTGGGTGTTTCTGGGGAGATGATGAACATGTGAATGTGAGATGAGAAACCCTGCAGCGAAACGAAGACGAGGAGAAGAACATGTTCTCCAACTGAGCAGGATCCCACCGTGAGAGAGAGAGAGAGAGAGAGCGAGCCCGTGAACCCTTCATGAATAATCCGCCTCTCTCTCTCTCGATGTTGCACAGAGGGAGTTTCTGCTCGTCTTTGGGTTTATAGAGTCTGTTTTTGTGAAAGCCAGAGGCTTTTACTTTGAAAGGCATTCAGGAAGGGCAACAAAAGAGCAGAAGAAGAGAGGAGAGCAGGGAGAGGAGCAGGAGGTGAATTTTTTTTTTTGTAAGATGGTAGGGTAAAGTCCCGCCCACCTTCGCCTCTGATTGGCTAGAAGTGTTGGGCTCTGATTGGTTTTTCCTAATGGCTGTGAAACGTCATCATCTGTCGGGTTTGGAGTGTGATAATGTTCTGTTCGATGTAAAGAGCCGACAGCTCACGTTTGGCTTGAGTGTGTGATGACGTTTCCAGCTTTTCTAACCAATCAGAGGCGATGGAGGCGGGACTTTCTCCTACTGTCCTACTAAAAAAAAGTATTGCGAGCAGAAGGTGCAGAGATGAACGACGCTGTGACTTCAGCGGCAGGACGGGGCTCCGAAGAACTGACTGATTCAGTGAACGAATCTTTTGAACGAATCGTTTTAATGAACGGATTCTAAAGATTCAGTCAAAAGAACTGATCTTCACACACTAATAGGCTGTACCAGGTGTCAATCATAGAAAACAGGAACCTCCACAAACCAGTCTGACAGTAACTACATGTCAACATCAGAAACATTTATATTCTGTGTCATTAATCTATAATGTTTGTCCACAAGGAGGCGGGATTTATGACCTATACTGCAGCCGGTCACCAGAGGGCGCTGTTCTCAGAGTGACTTCACCCAGCGAGGAGGCAGACGGCGTCTATTCTATGTATAGTCTATGATCGGAGCGCCTTTTTCTTCGTTCTGTTCTGACGTTTACAGAAGAAGAAGAATAGAGTGAAGGCTTCTGGGAAATGCTGTTCCTCTCAGATTAATCCACCTCGTTTAGACGGACACTGATTGGCCGTGGTTATTACCTCTGTCTGCTCGTTATAAAACAGCCTCACCTGCGTTTCCTGAATCCTCCTCACTGTCAGCGGGGTTTTTTTTCTCTGATTTTTCTATTAAAATAATCTGTTTGTTCAAATGAGCCGAGCTGTCGACTCCGATAGCAACAGAAGAACCCTCCTCCTCCTCCTCCTCCTCCTCCTCATCATCATCATCATCATCATCATCGTTTCTGCAGCCTGGAGGTGAGTTAATGTATTTTTAATGATCAGGTTCAGCTGTTGTTGTATTTTTAAAGTTCAGCCGAGCAGCGCGGAGGATTAGAGCGGCACAAACACTCTCTGCTGTGAACGATTATTAACTATAAATGTGAGTTTAATGAACTTAGCTCAGCAGTTATTGCAAACTGAATCTGCTCAGAGGTTGTTTCTGCAGATAATCGAGCTGTCACCTCCTGAAAACAGCCAGAATGGATGAGAAGAGGCAGCAGGTTTTTAGCTCTGATGGATGAGTTTGAGGAGAAATCACCGAGCAGACATTTTTATTTCACTTTTCCTCACATTTATCCTTTTAACCCTTTCTTCTCTTTATTTCTTTAGACTGTCGTACAGCTGCAGGAAGGTTAGGACGCTTTTAAACTAAACTCTAAAAATACGACAAACACGACATAATTAATGTTAACTGAGAAAATTTCAACTAATGAGGTCGTCCTTTTCAGGAAGATGAGAGATGTGAAGAAGAGGAGCAGCAGGAAGAACAAAGTTTTACTGCCTGAAGAAGCTGCAGGTTCAGAGGAGAGGTTCGACTCTTCTTTAAGTCCAGATCTCAAATCCACGTCACGAGTCCCAGAAACTACCAGGAGGTCTTTCACGCAAGCTGGGCGACAGTTTTCTGCAGACTCCTCCTGGTTCCTCTTGGACAGTCGACTAAATGTGTAGCTCTTTACTTTGCATCGTTTCGCTCTTCATGCACCGGAAGAACATTCGGTGTTAGGGTTCTCACTTTTTAATTCTCTGAAAGGACGTCCAGAAGACACTTTCTAAAAATGTAATTTCCCTGGACGAACATCCAAATGGAACTCTTTTACATTTTAGTCATCGCAGAAACTGTCAGGAAGATTTTATTTTCAGTAGACACACCAAGAAGGCGGTTTATCGTGTGTTTTATCCATAGTGTTAGTGTGAACATACGTCCTCTTTTACGTCTGGTATGTATAAAATCCTTCAAATGTCCGAGGTTTTGTACGAGAGTTTTGAGTTTGTGTCACGTGGACTATCTGAGTTACTCGAGATTTCCACCGCATCTGGAGCGGCTCCGATTTTCACTGTACGCCAAGTCCTACCAGAAACATTTGTGAGGCGAATTTTGTGGCGGATTACAGACAGCAGGAATCGTGAGAACTCACAAGAACCTGCAGATTCACGAGCAATATATATATATTTATATATAAGCAGTAGATTGTGTCCTTCCAGAAGAGGAAATCTACTTCTAGACTTCTAGAATCAGCATCTCCTCATCCATGGTGTCATCGGGGTGAAATGACGTCTAAAAACCTTTCACTTGTTCGTCTCCGCCCGTTTGCACGGTGTGAAATACGATCCTCCTGAAACACGGAGTGTTTTATTTTGAAAAGAAGCCGGATGTTTTATTTTGTGTCTGTGCCCGACTTCCTTTCCAGCACGGGTTAATCTGTGCTGAATTTATCCGCCATGCTCCGGCGTCCAGAAAAAATAGAACTCTTGTGATCAGCTGAGGAGTCCGGCGATCCGCAGAGGAACGGAGAGAAGTTGGTGTAAATTGACACGTTAACTTAAATGATTACGATCAGCTACGATCGGAGGATACGACCTTTTAGGAGACGATCAGGATGCAGTGGAAATTGCCCGTTAGAAGCGTGTTTCAAAGCTCAAAATTAACCACCATTAATCCGTCCCAAGTAGTCGCGTCCTCTTTTTTGGGGATTCAGAACATGGTCACCCTACATATTCTGCTTTTTACAAATTATTTACCAGACAAGCTTCCAGGAATTACCTGTCAAGTTTTGTATCCAGGAGCGACGTCCTGAGGGAACTTTTGATGAAGGTTGTTTTTTTTCTTTTTTATTAAAGTTAAAATTCTGGAAGAGCGTTCAGATGCTCCAGCAGAAAGGCTCCTCTCTCTAAAGGAGGTTTTCTTTAATGTCGTAGCTGAGACCACAGCTGTGATTTCTTCATACATGACGGCTCTAAAGGCTGAGTGCACCACCGTCACAGACCTTTCTCTCCACTCTCTGGAGGACAGAAACGTCCCGTTTACACCTGACAGGGAACAGACATGAGTGTGAGTCTGAACTTTCAGGTGAAAAGACGAAGAGAAAACATTCATCAAAATGGAAATGTTGGAGCTCGACTTTTCATCAGACTTTTGTGAAAAACTCAAGTTTGACGTTTTCTTCTGTTATTTGTTTTTTAATATTTTACTTTCCAAACTGGAAACTGAAGTTAGAAAAGGAAAATAAAAAACCTCTTGGTGTCGTTCACCGATTCATCCAGACCTGAAGTTTAGACACCAAACTTGACTTTAAAGAGAGAAACGAGCTTTAATATCTGAACCTGAACTCAGACTTTTCTCCTCCTGTCAAACTTCTCTCTCTAATATTCACTCGATTCTCCTCATTGATCGTTTCATTTCCTCTCCGTCTGATACGGCCGCCCCTGCAGGAGGATTTATCTTCTCTTACCTTGTTTTGTCTCGACTTTCAGCCTCTTTTTTTTACTCATTCACTGAAACTACAAACAGACGAGGAACAGGAGGGGAGCAGGTCTCAGCTCGATCCACCGATTTGAACAAGTTTGATGAGATTTTAACGAGTTATGTTCTTTCCTCTTCAATATGATGATGAGCTTTTCTCTGACTGAAATAAACAGACAGCGATGGAGAGACAATAAGATTTAAAAACACCTTTAACTGATAAAATACTGAATACTGACTTACTTTATGTCAACCTAAAACATTTTAACTCCAGTTTACAAACTCTTAAAGTAGCACAAACAAAGCAGCAAAAAGACAAACTTAAGATGGAGTCGAGATCAAATTAAAGCAAAGAGACGAAACAAAAGAGGAATTATGAACCTTAAAATACAAAAACAAAGAGAGAAAAAAACACATTTAAAGGGATATTCCGGTGTAAAATTAATTTAGGGTCAAACACACTGTAACACCGAGTTAGACACGCCCTCCAGAGATGAATGTTGCCGACCGCTTGTTTCTCTAGTTATACCAATGGACTACAGCGGGGTGTCGCAGCTCAAGGAAGAACATTTATGATCATTTCTTCATGGAAATACAATCAGACCGAGACGCTAAGACAGAAGAACTACAGCGTCTGTAAAATGATTAATATGATGATTATTACTTCAAGGAAATGATAAAGAAATGATCATAAATGTTCTTCCTTGAGCTGCGTCACCCCGCTGTAGTCCGTAATGGACTGGCCTGAGGTCTCGCTACAAACAAGCGGCTGCTGGAAGAGAGTAGGTGAGTTGTGTTTAGTCTCTTTGCTAAAGAAATGAGTCAAAGTTAAAAAGATGTTTGGTGGCTAGTACTATGGCTTGGACCCTATTTGTACTAACCTCAGTAGGACATGGTGTAGTTCCGTGTAGTAACAGAACCTCATTGGAAAATTATCTGATTTAACTTTACTGTGCTCTTGTTCAAATATATTAACTCAACAGCACATAAATCCATACCTGTTAACAAAATCAGGATTTTATTGATAATTCGGCTCAATAAAAACACCTTTACCTTTTCATTTTACTACAGTAGAAGTTTATTGGCCCAGCTTATAGACTACAGAGGTGGAGAAACGCCCCCGCTTAAGTTTGTTTTCTTCTGAGTTTGAATGTCCCTATATGATGGAGTAGAGAACAGATTTAAGCAAAGAGACGAAACAAGAGAAGAATTATGAACCTTAAAATACAAAAACAGAGAGAAAAAGACACTTAAGGGACGTAAACAAAGACAGATAACTAAGTAGACGGACAAATATGAAAAAGATAAAATAAGGTGGTTATAAAACACAAACCTGCATGAAAACTCTGATCAGTAAAGACGTTCAGAAAAGTGTTGATGTTTTCTTCCTCTAAGACGATGATTGCAGGTTTTCCTTCAGAGGAAAAAAAAAAAAAAAGCTGTTTTCACTCGTTAGCGTTTTATTTCAACTGATTTCAAATCTCCAGATGTGTGATTACGCCGCGGATCGGCGTTTCCTCTCCTGCTCGGCTGGGATAATTACCAATCAGAGCAGATTTAAACTTTTACACCTCCTGTCCTCATTACGGGCCGAGGAAGAAGACGAAGAGGAGGAGGAGGAGAAAGAGGAGGAGGAGGAGAGTTTTTATCCCGTTTTTGAGGTGAAATTATTTTATGATTTGAAGCACATGTTTCAAACGATCACAGACATGTTTTCAGGGCTGCAGACTCTGAATTAAATCTGTTTATCGAACCTTTAACCAAGAGTTAAAGTGGAATCTGAAAATGATAATGTAGTCAAACAGGATTAAGAAGGAGGAGTTTCTGCTGACGGTGAAGATCTGCAGAGGGAAACACTTTCAGAGCTCCGTGTTTATCTCTGATCGTCCCTGAAAAACACCGAAACTCTGAGTTTGTGACGCTCTGCAGAGACGACACGTGTCGTGTTCGACCTGAACACACCGTCTGTCTGATTTACATGTGATTTACATTTAGATGGCTGCTGCTGCTGCTGCTGCTGCTGCTGCTGCTGCTGCTGTCGTTGTCGTTGTCGTTGTTGTTGTTGTTGTCACGCCGCAGAGAGATGATGAAAACACATGCTCAGTCAGCGGCGTGATTTTCCTCGGCGTGATTCGGATTGATGTTCCTTCGCTGACGGTGGAGTTTAACTTCGTTACGCTGAAACTGGTCCTCTTACACTCAGAGTTTTAGACTAAAAAAAGGACGAATGTTCATAATCTGAAGATGTGGAAACACTCGAGGGAGAAGTTTGATCTAATCCTGGAAAATACAGAACCTGTTAGTTCACCTTTGAGTCAAACTATGACCATGAATTAAAGATGGCCGACTTCCTGTTCGGTCTAGATGAAGATCTGGGCGGTTTAAGATGAACTCTGTGACTGTTATAGTGAGTTTTTGAACTCCAGGGGGCGCTATCAGGGTAGAAGTTGGACAAAAAGAATAAAACATATCTCTCTGTTTTTCATATCATGGCCACAGGTCAAAGGTCAGTACCGTGTTCCTCCTCAGGGTGGTGCTGTAGCTGCAGTGGAGAAGTATAGATGTCTTCAGATGTAGACTTTGATCATAGATATAAAATATCAGACTGATTGATCGCTGTAAGGAGGAGTCACTGTACATCCACTTCCTGTTCGGACGTTAAGCGCCAAAGTTGGATGAGAAGCCACGCCCACTTTGAAATGTGACCAATCGTTTAAAGAGTCACAGGAAGAGGCCGGGATGACGTCGTCTCTGTGTTTATCTGAGCCGCAGTCACAGGAGAGGTCGACCGCCTCACTGCGTGAAGAAACACATCTTTAAACATGAGGCTTCCTGAGAGTGTGTGTGTGTGTGTGTGTGTGTGTGTGCATGTGTGTGTGTGTGTGTGTGTGTGCGTGCACTAATGAATCGACAGTCTGACTTATTCATGTCTCCCTGTTTTCACTTTATTACTTTTTGCTTGAATTTTTCCTTCAATGACCTCCGATGGCGTGATGATGGCAGTCGGGAGACATCTGTGTGTGTGTGTGTGTGTGTGTGTGTGTCAGTGTGTGTGTGTGTGTGTGTGTGTGTGTGTGTGTGTAGTCCAGCTGCAGCCAATCATGAAGGCAATCTTCTGCTCCTGTCTTTCCATCAGTGCCGACATAAAGTCGAGGCGGCCGTAAAACGGAGTGACAGATTTAGGAGTCTCTGCTGCTGATTTTTACGGCTGCCATCTTTGTTTTGGGAGCCCTGCTGCACTTATGACACACGCACACACGCGCACACACACACACACACACACACACACACACACACACACACACACACACACACACACACACACACACATTACTCTTTTTTCTGTCCTTATAGTAACGACATGTGTGCTGGACGTAGATTTGTCTGTTCAGGTGAAGTCAGACGAAGTTTAAAATGACAAACAGACGAAGATATTTTATGCATCGATGTTTTATTTGTTTATTTCATTTATTTAATTTGTGTTTTTGTATTTTATGACATTTTTCACTCGGGTCAGTCCTTGCGTTGGAGGAGGTTCAGGTTCAGGTGTGTCAGAGCCTGATTGGCTGATTGACAGCAGGTGTGAGGAGGTGAAATAAACCCTGGAGCTCCAGTGTTCGCTGCTGCTGCTGCTGCTGACTCACTGATTCTTCCTCACTGATAATAATGAGAGGATCTGTGTGTGTGTGTGTGTGTGTGTGTGTGTGTGTGTGTGTGTGTGTGTGTGTGTGTGTGTGTGTGTGTTTAACCCTCCTCACCCTCAAAGTCGGTTTATATCCTGCAGGAAGTTACAGTGAGGCTGTGAAAATTTAGATTTTTCTGAACTTTGAACTAAAAAACAAACTCGACTGTTAAAAATCCAACATGAGAGTGAAACGATCTCACCTCTAACCTGAATTATTGTCGATAGATTTATGAGGATTTTCTGGGAAATTCGTCTCTTTTCACCTTCTCCACGATCATCTGTTTGCATCAAACATCTAAAGACTGTCAGTACGTTTCCATGACACTCGAAAAAAAAACGAATTATCGCCTTACTCCGATTAAGACCGGACAACTGAAGGTCATGTAAACACCTTAGTCCGACTATAATCGGAGTTTGAGAATCTGACTGGAGTCGGAGAACCACGAACTCGGAGGGACGAAGTTTAAAAGACATTTAAGGGTTAAAATGATCGGAAATAAAACAGATTTTTATGGTTTTCAGATGATTTCAAACCAACAATGTCCAACAGGTTAGTCACATGACTCTTCGCCTTAAAAGTCTGAAAAAACACTCGATCAATGAAGTTAAGAACGGAGAGGTGAATCTGGAGCTGTTAATCTACGGTGGTCATGAATTTAGACGAGGTTTACACATGTTCGGCTATTTTCAAAAAGGGACATTTCACCCTCTCTGTTTACAAAAAAAACTGCACACATGCCACTACAAGGGTGACCATATTCTGACTTCTTAAAAAGAGGACATGACTATCAGAGGCGGAGTCACAGAGTCTCACAAAATTAAGTTTTAGAGATTATCGGGGAGGATTGGATGTTTTTTATGCGCTTTAAACTCAGTTAGTCCATGTGACACAAATCGAAAGAGGACATATGGTCACCATAACCACCACGTTTTCAGAAGAGTTTTCATTTACACTTACCTGTGTATATACGCCGTCAAAAACATTCCAAACCTGTAGGTGGCGGTGTAGCGAGAATCTCAAACTCACGTTAGCCAATCAGAATCAGAATCCTGCGTAGTCGCCACAACAATAACGTCCCTTCCTTCTTTCCTGCGCACAATCTGCCGTCGGCGACCCAAATCTCTGTTTTTCTCCGTTTATATGTAAACAGAGTTTTCCGAAATCTCCACTCTGGCCGCAGTTTTTAAAAGCATCGTTTTAAGGGGTGAATTCTCCGTTTGCGTCTAAAGGAAGAGTGCAAACGATGGTCAATGTCTCTGTTTTTAAAAATAACGTATAAACGAAGAAGTTTGCCCCTAAATTCTCGGGTCGTAGAAGTTTGTTGTTGATTTCGTTCCAGTGAAGTTTTGAACTTTCTCGCCGCGCTCCGACTCAAACCTTCGTCCTGATTTTTCCTGAACTGTTGAGGAAACTCTTCCTGACCTTTGTGTCTGTTTGCTTCTCTTCCAGCTCTGAATTATTTCCGTCTTTCTCTGTTTTTCGTTCGCTGACCTCTCGGGGTCTCAGCCTGCAGTAAATCACCTGTGATCATCTTCATCCCACTTTAAGCCTCTTCATTCCTCATCGTCCAATCACAGAGCGGCGCCTCCGTCTCCGACCAATCCCCTCTTAAAACACTCACATGAGGAGACCTTCTTATGTTTGGAGAAAAGCACCATCAAGGCCGGCGGCGTCTTGTTTGGATGATCGCCCGGATTAGCTGGCGTTGAGCGCGGTTTACATCATCAGATCCTGGTTGTTTGAAAGTCGAGCGCCGTTAAGCCCGTTTTAAACCCGCCGAGCTCGCCGGGATCCAGATTAATTTCTGGGAAAATGTTCGTCAATCTGCAGAGTCTCGCTGAGATTCCAGGTATCAAAGGTGTGTGTGTGTGTGTGTGTGTGTGTGAGTGTGTGTGTGTGTTAGCATGCTCTGTCTTCCTGGAAGTGTGTGTCAGGTGTGTGTTCAGTGTGTGTTTGGTGACATTAGCAGAGATGAGTCACTTAAAAGCCGGAGAGAGTTGTACGGAGATAACCGGAGAAAGTTCTCGGAGAAACTTCCTGACCTGAAAACAGAGACGATCCTTCAGACCTGAACCCACAAACATCTGGACTTCAGTCCGCTGACAGGACGTTTCAGAGCTGTACGGAGTCGTGTTGTTTTTTGTGGCCTGTTTTAGTTTTAGTTTTAGAAAAGTGACGTTACATCAGTGTCTTAGGTTCCCTCAAGTTCATCATGGAAGACCTTAAGATGTCTTTTTATATTCGTGGTGTTTTTCCGGTTATTTTGCGGTCACTTTTCTCCCTTTTTCTTTTTTCTTTTTTGAACGTGAATCCGCAGGTTCTCGTGAGTTCTCACGATTCCTGCTGTCAGTAATCCGCCATGAAATTCGCCTCACAAACAGATCCGGTTGGGATTGGAGGACGGCGAAAATCGTGGCCATTCTGGATGTGGTGAAAATTGGGGGTAAGAACGATTCAAAGAACACGTCAAGGGAAACTTTAGGATTCCTGGCATAATGTTCAGAGAGGAAGGAGAAGAAGAACGAATTAAATCAGAATCGGATTATTTGACGATGACGATGTTACAAAAAAAGGAAATCCTCACATCAGTTTTCTTCTCTGTCATGTCTCCCGCCTCCAGGCCACCGTAGGCTCCCCCTAAACAAAATTGGCGTTTGCAAAAGAAGGCGATAATTTCATGGTTAAATAGGACAAGAGCGAGTCAGTCGTGTTGAGATGAAGAGTAAACCACTCCCCGCTGAAAAGTCTGTCTGAAGGCGGTATCAACCCGTCACCACGGAAACGAATTCAGGAGGAAACGCTAAAGTTTTTGTCGTATTGGCATTTCAGCCACACGGAATCCATAAACGACGACCATTTCATCTCCGTGTGGATGTCTATCTGCATCTCTGGAAACGATCATGTGACACACAGCGTAACTCTTTCATGGCGCCAAAACAACCTTTATACACGTGCTCTGTACTCTTCTTCAGCGTTACAGCACCACTTACTGTCTTGGCATATGTACTACATCATTTTCCGTGGTTTGGTTTTCAGAGACGAGAGAAAAACTTTGTAGTTTTTAAAGTGAAGTTTGGTGAAGTCGTCACTGAGTTGATGATATTCAGAAGGAGTCGAGAAGACGGCGTAGAGGAGGAGAAGAAATGTTGATCCGTCCAAACTGAAGAACTCCTGCTGCAGCAAACAGATTCATCATTCAGTCCGAGGACATGCTGTCCGAGAACGAGAGCAGTCAGCTGAAAAGTCCTGTCAGGTTCAGATGCTGGAAAAAGACCTTCAGGAGACAAACACGCTGATGTATTTCAGAGTTTTTTTAAACATGTCGTTTTTATTCGGAGCACACAGAGAGAAGGACAGTCCGTGTTAATGTTTATGAGTTTTACAGCTGCAGGCCTGGACTAAAGACAACACCAGCGTCACTCTCTGATTATCACCCAGAAACCAGAGGCCGTTCTCTCATCCTCATCTGAACATCCAACATCCCGGAGCGATCATGCTGTGTTATTTTACTGCAAACTTTTCTCCCTTTAGACTTTCCTCTGATATCCTGAAAATGTCGTCTCCCTGCAGCGGCCCCATTCCCCGTCATGTCTTATCGGTATAACAGAGAGATTAATGTCTGCCATTCACTCCGGGAGGAAGTAAGAGTGATGAATACTGCGCAAACACAAAGGTGAGAGAGACAGAGAGACAGAGAGAGCACATCTGCTGCTTTTTCTTCACTGTAAATTCTCACTAAAAAGAGGCGAAGAGCCGCAGAGAGGAGGGACAGGAACACTTAAACATACACACATTTATCACCGGGGTTCGACGACGACGGCGGCGGCGACATGGACAAACAAGACATCAGCTATAAATTCTGACGAGGCGCTGGAGGAGCAAAGACACATAAAGGACACCAGAGTGTGGAGCAGACAGGCTGTTTCAGGACTCATAAAGTCAGGAACACAATAAAGACCAGGAGGAGGAGGATCCACTCAGGACCAAGACCCACTTCACCCAGGTCTGCAGATCCATGAAGGTTAGGGGCAGGGTGGAGATCTGAAGATGGAAACAGAGTGAAGCAAACACAACCTCAGGAACATCTACAGATGATCAGGGAGCGATATCTCCAGGTTTAGGAGCTTCAGGACTCTGTAGTTGGAGTCACCGCATGGGTTTAATATCACCAACTGTCCTGAGGTCTGATGGATCGAACCTAACGCTCTTTTGGAAAGGACAACTGGACTTGTTGGGATATAAGTCCAGTTGTCCTTTCAACGAAGACCTGGAAATCATAGATGCTGCATCTTCAGTTTTGAATCTAACCCCCAATTTCCACCACATCTGGAACGGCAGCGATTTTCTCCATCCACCAATTCCTACCAGATCCGTTTGTGAGGCTAATTTCACGGCAGAGAGGGAATAGCAAGAACTCACAAGAACCCGCGACTGGACTTACTTTGGACGTTTCACCTCAGGCCTTGGGCGAAACGTCCTAAATGAGTCCAGTTGACCTTTTAACGAAGAATTGGAAATCGTAGATGCTGCATCCTCAAACATAAACCCCAATTTCCACCACATCTGGAATGACTGAGACAATTTTAACTATCCGCTAATTCCTCCAAGATGCTTTTTTGAGGTGAATTTCTTGGCGGATATTAGATGGCGTAGGGCGCGAGAACTCACAAGAACCTACTTGCAACGACGTCCAGAAAAAATAGAACTCTTGTGATCAGCTGTGGAGTCAGGCAGTCCGCAGCGAAATGGAAAGAAGCCGGTGGAAATTGACACATTTACGATCTCCAGCTTTAGGAGCAACATCTGCGTCCATCCAGACACAGACTTTTTCAGAGAAGACCTTCAGATGATCCCAAACCACATCCTGACAACAGCATGGCTCTGTAGGAGAAGGTTTGTAGCATCACGACCCCAAAAACAGGACCAAGGAGACCCAGAACCTGGTCTGCTTTGTGCATGAACATCAGTTAAACTCCAGCTGCTGCATCTGTTCTTCTGATTTTGCATAATTTCTGCACATGCAGCACATTTCTCCTGATGAAGATCACGCAGGCCGGCGTTGCAGATGGTCGGTTCTCGTGGTTTCTCTGAACCATCAAACGAAGCGCAAAGACGGCGTGGTAATGAGTTTGGATCTGATCTCTGAGGAACTTTAATGACTCCGTGGAGCTCTCTCTCTCTCTCTCTCTCTCTCTCTCTCTCTCTCTCTCTCTCTCTCACACTCCGATAGTTAGTAATGGATCTCAAACAACGGACTCGTTTGTGTTTGTTTGTTCCCGTTTCCAAACTCTGTTCTCATGCAGAAGATTCAATTTTACAGTTGGAGAGTTTCACTTCATATTTCCTCATCACTCTCCTCCTCCTCCTCCTCCTCCTCCTCCCTCCACGTCTCATTTTCTCTGTCTATGAGCTGAAATACTGACCCACACACACACACACACACACACACACACACACACACACACACACACACACACACACACACACACACACACACACACACTCTCTGACTGTGTGAAATGAACTGCTTGGTTTAATTAACTGGGAGTGAAGACTTCATTGACAAAAGGGGAACTAATGACTTTTCTTTCTTACATCGGTTCTGCGTTGACAGCCGGATTCATCAGAGCCGTCCTCGCCTTAATGTGAGTTTGTATCTGTCGGATGTTTCCGTGGCGATAAAGAAGAACAGGAAGTGAGAGAAAAATGAACTTTGATGCACGGCCGAGAGTTTCCATGAGTGCTGCAGGAGTTTAGAGTGAGCAGGTTCAGGTTTAGATTCAGAGTCCTGAGACTGAAACCCTGAACACATGAAGGTAAGAAGGTTTGATAATCTACCTTAAAGCTGCAGTACCTCTGACATCCAGCAGGTGGCGACTTCACCGTTTACATTCGGTTTGATTGTAAATCTCCTTCAATATAGTGTGATCCTCTTTTGTATTAACACTTCCTCCTCGCCAGGACTGTCGCCAAATTTTAGCTCAGTCTCGCTCACCAGTACCGGCACCTGCGGCACATCAACACACCTGAAAATTGTTTTTTCGATTGTCTGCTGACAATGTGAAGGTCTGGTACCGGGATCTCCACTGGATCCAGTGACGGTAGCACCGCACCCACGGTAGCCGATGTGCTGAGATCGTTAGCCTTTGGCTAATGACTTCGGTATTTTCCTTTACCTCCTCATAGAGGAAAAAACACTCAACAACTCGACTAATTAGCACACCTCTCACTGATGAGTACTTGCTTTTGTTACTGTAACAGGGTTATGATGCATTTATGGCTTTTCTGAGTTCAGAACGACCCCAAACTTGGTTGCATGTTGGGGAGGAGTGCCCTCTGGTGGAAAAAAAAAGAAAAAGAAAAATCCGTCCAAATACGTCAATGGCACTGAATGAGTTAATCTAAATATCATCCTGTAAAATCCACTCGTGTCGTGAGACCGGCAGCTTTATGTGATTCCTTCGTGTTTCTGCAGAATCTGAGCGGTTTTCTATCCCAGAGAGAGATGACGACAATCTTAGATGATATAAGTGTAAATTTTAGTGAAATATTGTGATTTTTCTTGTGAGCTAACTTCGCTCAAAGGAGGCTGTCTTTGTTCAAGATCCAGAAAAACATATTTCACCCATTCTTGAGAGTCGGGACAAAACATGTCCTACATAGAAAAGTCTAATTTATTCAAAACAATTAAGAAATTCTAAATGTTTGACATACTCAAAAAGTTAAATCTAATGGATTTGTGTATACCAATCCTATTTTTTAGCACAGATATTTACTTTTTTGGGGGATATTTGTTTAAATGAAACGTCTGTGGTTAGAAGGTCCATGTTATTGCTTGTGTCCTCAGCAAGAGGTCACAATATTGACCAGCCCCAAAAAACTTTAAAAAACTCTATAATTGTGAAAACATATACATCAAATAAAAATTCAGGGCTATAAATATATAAAACAATGCATGGCCTGAACATCAAATAGCTTTTTGCCTAAAAATCTGCCTATCAAAGTTGTGTCCTCAGTTTCTGTCAACTCCATCAGATTATTCTATAAACCTCATTAAATCATGCAATATCATGGTCAGCTATATCCCTGACCACCCCTTTTCATTTCCTGCTTCTGGTGAATGCAACACCACCACACATGGTCTGGTAGGTTTTACAGTTTTTGATATTTTAGACAAACAATGTCAATATTTGTATGGTCACAGCTGGACCATGTCAACACCGTCTCTCCATTATTATACTTTTTATAAACCATAGTGAGTTCAATTAAAGTATTTTAGTGAGACTGTCAGGACAGCTAGCAACTGCCAAAAAAGTAGCTACCTGGATTGTAAAATAAATGTTTTGGAGGGAAAATACATGCCCTTACGTCAACTCCGTCAGACGTCAACTCCGTCAGATTTTGTGTCTGACGGAGTTGACATGTAAGCTGATGGAGTTGACAAATCCACCTATAACCTCTTAATGTGCTGACATTATGCTATTTTTGAACATGGTTAAGGATAACAATATTATTCCAGGGTCTTATCTGCACATAAAAGTACATATATAGCATATATTACGTTATTTTACCATATACTTCTGTTTTGTAGAGTAGACCATGGGCAGGCTGTCTGCTTAATTATAACTGTCAAACTTTCCCAAAACACACACACACACACACACACACACACACACACACACACACGCACACACACACACACCTAATCTCATTGATTCATTGATTAATGTACAATCCTAAAGGTGCAGTATGTAATTTTCACTACCTAAAATCTACACACTGGCTTCTTATAGAGTGCGCAAGAAGTTCTATGTTGCTCTTTTAAACCCCAGTGTAGGTGGAATACCAGATAGAAGAAAAAGGTTATTATTTTTACATTGTTAACTTGGACCCTCAGACCTTGGGCTCTACTTTTGTGTCCACCGGTGACATGGCGGAGGGTGGCGAACCCCGCGCAGTGGCATTTTCGTCTGGTGGAGCTCAGCGTACAGCCAGTTTGGTATTTTCGTGGACTGAGGTGCACCGAGGTCCGCCAAGCTGGGCGTGGATGTGTGGCAGGGTGAGGTGTCCACAGAATCAGCTGGTGCAGTGACATTTTCGTACTTGTTGCCGGTGTGTAAAGTGCGCTGAAAGCTCGCTGATTCAAACCTGGTCAGCTTTCAGCGCAGGTGGATCCGGATGGGCTAGTGGTATTTTGGGAGACCTTTTGGGAGATTTTGGGAGCGGCATATCGGCCTCACCAGCAGGTTTCCACAGTGTCAGGAACATTTCCGTGCAATAAATAATCAATAACAACTAATAATCTGTGTCAGCACATACATTTAGATCTATATCGATATATTCTGATCTATATCTGATCTGATGAACGCATTTGGCATGCGTTTGGACACTCAACCTGACCAAATTAACACAGCTGCTGAATCCGCATGAAATTGAATCAAATATCTAGTAAATAAACACACATGATGAAGTTAACAAGATATTTAATTTGTCTGCCCCCATTTCTAGCTTCCTCTTCCTCTTATTTCTCGCGCAGCTCAACCTGGACATGTCTCTGTGTCCTCTACCCGTCCTGCTGCAGCTTCTGCTGCGGCAGCTGAACAGATGATTTGTTCCAGTGATCAGATGAGTTTTTTACTTAAAGCCTACATACAAATATTATAGTATTCATTTTTGTATGCCAAATTTATTTTACATGCCAACATCTATGAAAGAAAGAGCCAGGCCACGGAGCGCAATTTACACACAGATGGTTTTGATTTTAATGCCATTATTGGAATTTATGTTGTGACCTTTGCGCACAACCCACCTTTGTCATGTGAGGTTTGAATATATGCAATTTAATATGATTGTCTTTATTTGTGGAAAAGGGTGTTTGTCTTACCAGTGGGTCCAACATTACACACACCAAATCCATCTGTGCTTATATGAGACAGTGCGGAGGACGCCCAATGCAGCGCTTACAGTGACACTTGTTGAGGAGCTGCCTTCTGTCGCCATCGTGTGGCATTGCTGTCTTCAGACATCTCTTGATCTCTTTGACTACTTCACGAAAATTGTAATACGCCTTGCTAGTGGCGGATTCAAAGGCGAGAAGAGCTGATGTTATTGGTCAATACAGGTCTCGGCTGTGTTAAACCCACTCAACGCCTTCTCTCCTCCCTCCCTATGACCTACGCCGCTGGAAGGAGCTGAGTTAGGGGAGGGGGGATACTTATGCCGGGCTGCACAACTCACCAAAATACGAAAATGTGCTTGGAAACGCCTTGTCGGCGCGGTGGTTAATTGCATTAACGGTATGTTCAGTATGAAAACAAGGAGTTATTAGTTCTTAATCTATTTTCACCTATTAACCTATTGTCAATCAGTTTAAAAACACATTTGTTCAATAACATATGCAATGTCATTAACTCCGTCAAGTTCTCGTCAACTCCGTCAGGTGTTCGTCAACACGGTCAGATGTATGTTTTTCTTCAATTTTGGAGAAAAAAAAAATTGTTTCTTCAGTTTATATTGTTTAAGTAATAAAGGAGCATTGGCTCTACATCCTCTTGTGTCTTATTTACTTACAGAAATTGTTTTTATAATATAAAAATTAAAAACAAAGTTTGAAAATGCAACTATTTAGAAATCTTGGTTTTCAAAATAGTGTGAAATCACACATTAGGTTTATATATTATATTTCATGGCATATCAGAGTAACTAAACACTATTACAACATACATCAGAACTTTAGATTCTTGTTGGACTAGAATTATTAAAATTATATTCTTTTTTGTGTGTCTGATGGAGTTGACACAAATCCACTGTCTAAGGGAAACATGTTAATTTATAGAAAAAATGTTTTTATTTAGAGCCTGTTCCTTTACGGGGTTAAATAGCTAAGACCTTTCTCTACAGTAATAAATAACTCTAATCAATATAGTGTGCATTCTCTAAAAAAGTTTTTTAGGAAGTGTTTTGTCCCGACTCTCAAGAATCCCTGATTTATCTCCAGAAAGCTGCAGGTCTTAAGAGGAAAGTAGATTTTAAATTTGTTCTGTTTTACTTTATGGTAATTGTATGATGCTTTATTTGTTTTGTTTTATTTATTTTTATGTTTTGTATAGCTGTAAGACGACCAAAACGAGCTGAAAGCATCGAGCCGTGAGGATCTGGTTCTGTCCTTGAAATCAGCAGAAATGCTGTTTTATGTTCCTACAATTTAAAGGAGTAACTCCTCGTCTGATTGGTTAAAAACGCTCCTTATTGAGCTGTGAGACTTAAACTCAGACTAAAGAGTTTGGTGTTGTCTTCTGTGGATGTCTGAGGAGTTTCTAATTCAGTTTATTTCCTCCCTGCTGGTTTCAAACTGAAGTTTGTCAAACACTTCCAACGTCTGCACTTCTATCCGGGCGGAGAGAGAGAGAGAGAGAGAGAGAGAGAGAGAGAGAGAGAGAGAGAGAGAGAGAGAGAGAGAGAGAGAGAGAGAGAGAGAGAGAGAGAGAGAGAGAGAGAGAGAGAGAGAGTTGGAGGGAACATGGCGAGGAGGAGCGAATTCTTCCGTAGAAAAGGCGTGCTGTACAGATTTCTTTCTCCAGGACGCCGAGCTGCTGAATCCTGCTGGAGGCTTTCATCCCTTTTGGATGTAAACGGGATCGAGCTGAAGGACGTGTAGCGCCTGAGGCAGGCGGAGCAGCACATGGGAGAACGTTGAAGAAAGAGCGTGAGGAAGATGATAATGTGTTCTGTGTGAATATATACTGAACAGTCGAGTCTCTGAGGAGCAGAGTTTCCTAAAGTTTCCAGCCTGTGACTCTTTCCTTAAACCGGTTTCATTTGGCCCTGGAGGAGTCTGCACAGAGCTGCAGAAGAAGAAGAAGAAGAAGAGGAAGAAAAAGAGGAGGAGGAGGAGGAGGAGGCCACACATCACCTCTGATTGGTTCACCCAGCGGTCCTGTCCACGGCTCGGTGTTAGTTTCAGGTTTCACAATAACCTGCTGTTTCATCACCACCCTGACCTGCTGGATAAAGACCGGAGTATAACCAGGGTTCATGTACACTTCTGTGAACCTTTTCAATATTCATGTTTACACGTGTGAAATCTCTTGATCCGATTAAAAATTTGAGGGATTAAATCATCTGAATCAACTGTTTATACGGGCGAAAAATCAGATAATCTGATCATGACGTTCAGAGTAGAAGCATTTGGACACGTGCAGAGTTGTCTGATTTTGTTAAAACAACTGAAGAAGACAAAGAGAGTTTTCCCCTGTCACTAGATGGCGCCCTTTCGTATTTATCTTACCGTTCTGAAAAGGTTGGACTGTGCGCGCAAATGTGACATCATTATGCTGTATGTACGCCTTGTTATGAAATCCTGGGTGAGAAAGTCACGATCGGAATAAGTGTTTACATGGACGTGTTTCGGAATAATGATCGGCATAAACCACCCCACTTGATCGGAATACAACATCTTTCCGATTGAGCCGAATTGGATCAGAATCTCCCAATCGACATGTTTGCATGACGATTTTTTATTCCGATTATTTATTGCAAACATGAAACACGAGGAGCAGAGCCACAAAGAGCAGCTGCTGTGAATCTACAAGTTTCAATGCTCACGAGCACACTGACCATCCAGGATCAGAGAGCATCATGGGTAGATCTGTGTGAGGTTGCATGGTTTCTATATTCTTCTGCATAAAACAGTTGATGGTTTTCTCTCCATAATGTGGTTTTATCTCATTTAAACACCAATGGACCGGCCTTTATGGAGCCTTTTATCAACAGTCACATACGAACACAACACACATGCAGTCTAATCTTTAATGCAAACAAATCCAAACCTTTAGCAAACATCAGACGTGTCCGTGGAGATCCACAGGTGAATCCTCTCAGTCTGCAGAGTCAATAACATCAGATCATGAAGGGTTAAGTCCTCCTACAGTCTCTTCACCCTTTAACGAGTAAACAGTCTTTTGAGAGACTGAAGGCCGTCTTATTGTTTACATATCACAGAGGAGAGTCAGCTGATTGAACAACATCTGAAGATTATTTATGAGGCGGAGCTGTGAGTGGTCTTTTCTTCTCCGTCTCTCTGCTGCAGAGAAAAAGATCAACTCCTGCTCACACTCGGCTCCTGGTTTCATCTCTCATCGCTCTGCTGCTGCTGACACTAAACTATTCATACCTGCACACTTACCTGCTTATGTAACTCTTTAATTCTCAGTGAGTCTGCCGCACACTCATTCAGAACCACTTAGCCCCCAGTTTGCACTTTAGCTTCATTTTACACAAACACTTTAAATTCATCTCCTGCTTTAAATAATACAAACGTTTTTCAGCAGCGGAGCTAAAACCTGAAATACGAGGCTGGGGGATAAAAACGCACATTAGAGACGCACGGACCGTAAAGATGCTTGTGGAGTTCACATCCACAAACATCATCGCCGCCCTCCTCGCAGACGCACACTCGGTCCAGCTCGGTTTGAAAACATGAGCATCTGTTTGTGCGTCGGTTCAGAGGAGGCCCACGGCTCGTGTGTCGACTTTAATATCACCACTCAGGGCGCTCAGCGGCTCGCCTCCTCTCTTCTGCAATGCTAAGCAGCCCCGCTCAGGTGTCTCACCTCTAACACGCCGTGTGGGCGCCGTGTTAAGAGCCAGAGCATGTCCACCCCGCAGACGCACGCCGCTCCCGCCCGCAGAGAAAGACTCACACTGCATCATGGGAAACACCATTAAAGTTGGTCTGCTTTTGTTTCACGCTGGTTTGTCTCTGGCTCTCTCCTGCGCTTCGGATGAAAACACGACTTAACTCACATGTCGTAACGCTGAAGAAGAAGAGAGCGCTCGGCGTGAAGAAGACCTGATCTAAAGGGTTTGGAGACGACGCACAAACTAGAGACACAACAACACAGACCACCATAAAACTAGTCCAGTCCGCATGAGGATGAGGACCAGGATGAAACGATTCAATGATAAATCTGAGAGAGCCAATGAGAGAGCAGAGACTGAGAGGAGACAACGACAGGAGACAAGGACAGGAGACAAGGACAGGAAACAACGACAGGAGACAACGACAGGAGACAACGACAGGAGACAAGGACAGGAAACAACGACAGGAAACAACGACAGGAGACAACGACAGGAAACAACGACAGGAAACAACGACAGGAGACAACGACAGGAGACAACAACAGGAGACAAGGACAGGAAACAACGACAGGAGACAACGACAGGAGACAACGACAGGAGACAACAACAGGAAACAACGACAGGAGACAAGGACAGGAAACAACGACAGGAAACAACGACAGGAGACAACGACAGGAGACAACGACAGGAGACAAGGACAGGAAACAACGACAGGAGACAACGACAGGAGACAACGACAGGAAACAACGACAGGAGACAACGACAGGAGACAACAACAGGAGACAAGGACAGGAAACAACGACAGGAGACAACGACAGGAGACAACGACAGGAGACAACAACAGGAAACAACGACAGGAAACAACGACAGGAGACAACGACAGGAGACAACAACAGGAAACAACGACAGGAGACAAGGACAGGAAACAACGACAGGAAACATCGACAGGAGACAACGACAGGAGACAACGACAGGAGACAAGGACAGGAAACCAACGACAGGAGACAACGACAGGAGACAACGACAGGAGACAACGACAGGAGACAACAACAGGAGACAACAACAGGAAACAACGACAGGAAAAAACGACAGGAGACAACGACAGGAGACAACAACAGGAAACAACGACAGGAGACAAGGACAGGAAACAACGACAGGAAACATCGACAGGAGACAACGACAGGAGACAACGACAGGAGACAAGGACAGGAAACAACGACAGGAGACAACGACAGGAGACAAGGACAGGAAACAACGACAGGAGACAACGACAGGAGACAACGACAGGAGACAACGACAGGAAACAACGACAGGAAACAACGACAGGAGACAACGACAGGAGACAACAACAGAAAACAACGACAGGAGACAAGGACAGGAAACAACGACAGGAAACAACGACAGGAGACAAGGACAGGAAACAAGGACAGGAAACAACGACAGGAGACAACGACAGGAGACAAGGACAGGAAACAACGACAGGAAACAACGACAGGAGACAAGGACAGGAAACAACGACAGGAGACAACGACAGGAGACAACAACAGGAGACAAGGACAGGAGACAAGGACAGGAGACAACGACAGGAAACAACGACAGGAGACAACGACAGGAGACAACGACAGGAGACAACGACAGGAGACAACGACAGGAGACAACAACAGGAAACAACGACAGGAGACAAGGACAGGAAACAACGACAGGAAACAACGACAGGAGACAACGACAGGAAACAACGACAGGAGACAACGACAGGAGACAACGACAGGAGACAACGACAGGAGACAAGGACAGGAAACAACGACAGGAGACAACGACAGGAGACAAGGACAGGAGACAAGGACAGGAAACAACGACAGGAAACAACAACAGGAGACAACGACAGGAAACAACGACAGGAAACAACGACAGGAGACAACGACAGGAGTTTAGTTTTAGTCTTTGTGTGAAACTGTTATTTTAGTTTTTATTAGTTTTAGTTCAAACTCACTTTTGTTTAGTGAAGTTTGAGGCGACAAAACTGATGAAACTAAACCCGGGATTTCCACCGCATCCGGAACAGCTCTGATATGGAACACAGTGATTTTCACCAGACACCAATTTCTACTGGATCCATTTGTTAAACGAATTTCGAGGGGGATTTCAGACAGCGTGCAATTCACGTTCAATCGCGCGATAACAAGTTGTCCTTAGCCACAGAGGCTAACCATATAAGCAGTAGATTGTGTCCTTCCAGAGGAGGAAATCTACTTCTAGACTTCTAGAATCAGCATCTCCTCATCCATGGTGTCATCGGGGTGAAATGACGTCTAAAAACCTTTCACTTGTTCGTCTCCGCCCGTTTGCATGGTGTGAAATATGATCCTCCTGAAACACGGAGTGTTTTATTTTGAAAAGAAGCCGACAACCCGAAAATGACTCAAACTCACCCAAAAACGTCTTTGACTACCGCATCTAAAAATACCATGAGTTAGGGGATTGAGGATGTGCGTCGGCATCTGAGCTGGGCGACGCACAGCCAAGAAAACAGAAAACAACAACAACGCGACTAAAAAATTTTGTTTTGTCACGCTTTAGCAGAGTTTTTATTTTGTGAACCACATTTAGTCTTGTTTTTATTCATCTACAATACTGTATTATATATTTAGTTATAGTCAGTGACAGAAGACCATCATTTACGTTTCATCTTGTCTCATTTTCGTCACGTGATAAAAGTTCATTGACAACAATTCTTATAATCTGACACTGAATGGTTCAAACCGAAGTAAAGTCCACATACAGCTGCTTCACTTTGACTAATTTGTGTGTTTGAGAGTTTCTGACGTTCCTCCTCGGAGGCTCGGATTGATTTGTTGGATTTTTGCAGGTTGGTTGTTTGCCTGCAGCGATTTTGGATGATAGATGACAGAGAAGGAGTGGGACAGACGGAGAGAGAATCACAGATATTTGTGCAGGTGTTTTTCTCTGCAGGTGGAGGTTAGAGGCAGAATCAGATGGAGATGAAGGCCGAGCTTCAGGTCCAGACTTTGATTGCTGAGAGCTGAGGCGAGTCACGGCGAAGGTTCGGTGTTATTCGGGGTCGACCTCCGCAGTAAAAGACTCTGAGAGCTGAAGTACTCTTCATCCATGTGAGAGGTCACCCTTCCTCTCATCCTGACAGCTGTGTGTTTGACTGCAGTTTGGGTATCAGAGCAGACTGGGATGATGAAACCAACACTGAACCCAGCACAAGTCCAGTCCCAGACCTCAGGGAAGCTGGTCCTTGAACGAAACGGTTCTTTAAGGGTTTGATAGAAAATCCAGAAGTTAGTTCTGCATAAGAGGACGGACCAGTTTCTGTGGATGAAAGAGAAATAAGAGGTGGACTGAGTTAGAGAGGATCTAAGTGGTTGGCTGACAGTGAGCGTGTGCTAACATGCTATTGGATAAAGAAGAAGCTGATTAACCAATGACTGTGCTGGGTGATGACAGCAGGAAAGGGAGTGAGCATGAGGATGTTAAATGGACTGAACTTAGACTGGAGCTTCATTTAACAAAATACAGTAAGATACTGTAGGTTTCATTACCTTATCGTACAAATAACAGGATAAAACAGGATACCGTACAATGAGATGAGATACTGTAATTAGACAATATGACATAACAGTATGGTACCGTGACATCATGTTAGCTAATGATATAATAAGAAGTTCATTACTCAGCTAAAGAGTTCGATTTGTCGAGTAAAAATAAAATAAAACAGACAGTGTTACCGAGACATCACAGTACTCTATGATTGAATGGCACCATGGCTGACAGTATATGATAATATACTGTCATAATAATGTGTGGTATATGATAATGATAATGAGAGAATATTATCATATACTGCATATCCCAGTTTATTATCATACACTCTCATTTTCATATATATGGTATATGATAATGAGAGTATATGACAATACACTGTCTTAATCATATATGGTATATGATAATGATAATGAGATATACCATACCATTATCATTATACCATATATGATAATGACAGTGTATTATCAGATTCTCTCATTATTATATATGGTATATGATAATGACAGTATCATGAGTATCATGGGGCCCTTAGACTAACTGGCTATCTTCAGGGTGACTGTTGCTGATTGGTGTTTTTACAGAGTTGATAACTGGATTCATGTGTTTCCTTCAACTATCATGGAGGTCAATCAGAGACAAAACTGCTGTTTCTCAGACCCATACACGGGTTCTTAAGTTTGGTGATTTGCTGCCGCCATATTGGATCCAAAGTGACCGTGAGTATGTTTCCATTCACTCCGTTCCTCATTCCTCTTCTGTTGAACCAGAGACACAAAGAAATAAAGAAAAAGAGGGTTCGACAGAGAGGTGCCATCCTGTCCTTCAGAGCTCTGTAATTAAGTTTTATTATTCTATCTCATGAGGATCGACCTCTTTATCCTCAATGGTTCCTGTCTTTACAGACCCTTTAGTCTTTTTCCTCACAAATGAACAATGCTGATTTAGCATTGCTGCCTGCAGTGAATTTAACCTTTGACCCCCGGAAAAAGAAAAACAAACCCTCTTTTAGATTAAACTGGCTGACTAATTATCACACCGGCTCTAACATGCTCTGCTGCAGGCCCTCGGTGTGCTGTGAAGTGGTGGCGTGCAGCCAGCCTCGCCGTGGAGCTCCAACTTCTCTAAATTATCTGGAAAAAACAGTCAAAGTAGGTCTGGGATTTTGGGATTTATCAGCTACTTTGGTCTGCAGAAATGTTTTTGTCTGGGCTGCAGAAAACACAAATTTCCCTCATCAAAAGTTTGACCCTGAACTCCTCAAATAAACGAGGTAGTCATCAGAGCAGAGGAACAATGAGTACGGGTCCCTGGAGTGGACAAAAAGAGTGCTGCCGTCCAGAATAATGGAGCCGCCTGGAGGATAAGAGTGAGGTTTCCAGGCGGGTCTTTTTCACGTCCTGACTCATTATAAGATAAGAGGCGACAGTCGAGCTTCATTAGAGGAGAGCCGCCTCAGTCAGTCAGTCGGTGTTTGAAGACACGCTGTAACATCTGCTGTCAGGGTCTCTCCTCTGTGATCGTTCTTCTGTCAGTGCAGGCGTCATGAAAAGGCAGACGTTTGAATATTTCTCCTCTCCGGTGGCAGAGGTTTCACTCTCAGGTGAGTGTGTGGGAGGAAAATCTCTGTAATGAGCTGGAAGAAAAAAACGGTCCTAAATTTATTTTCAAAACCTTCGAAAGGCCGCGGTTCGTCTCATTTCATCTCCTGATTGGTCAAGCTTGGATTTACCTTCTGTAAACGTCACCTTTGACCTTATTTCATTGATTTGACTTCAATCGGCTCCTCAGAAAGTCTGATAAGGTCTTCGGTCCAAATCAGATAAACGAAGGTCAGACATTCATCCTGCAGGTGTGAGACGCTCAGATCTCGTGTAAAATGCTAATAGAGGATTAGTCGTATGGCGACTTATCCTGTCAGTAGACGTGTTAAAGATGTTTTTACGTGCCGATGTAAAGATCCTGGTCAGTTTGGTCCTTTAGTATTAACACGGTCTTCTGTCAGGGTCAGTGTTCGCTCTGTTCAGACATTTCTCAGAGCTTTAGTCTCAGAAAACTGAAACTCTTCTGAAGAATTAACTCGATTTTCTCATTAAAGCAGCGATCTGCAGCGGAACGAGAAAGAAGCCGGTTGACACAAATTGACACGTTATCTTGAACGGTTACGATCAGCTACGATTGGCGGGTTAGGGGAGAGGACATAAGAGAGAGGACAAAGGAGAGAGGAGAGAAATCAGAGAAGCAGACAGTCAAGCGTACACAAAGATCTCTGGCTCAGATCGCTTGATAGAACCTCAAAATTTGGGAACCGTTGTAGGTTTTTAATCAAGACCACTAATCAAGACTAGCAGTTTTTGGATTGGATGCCGAATTAGACTCCACTGTTCCCGTTCAGCCCCCCCAAGACGACCGCTGGTGCAAACTGGGAGCCAAACTCAAAAGACTTGGTCAAGACTCTTTCATCCCGAACTCCAAAGTCCAGTCCTCCATCCCCTCCCGAGGAAATCGAGTCGTGGAAATCACCTCCTCTTTCCAATCCTTCCCCCTCCCACGAACCCCAGCTCTCAAACTGCTTCCCCATCTTCCAAGAACATGTCTTTCCTCTGCTGAATCTGGATCCCCATCACGAGGCGAGCGAGCAGTACCTGGGAGCCAACCTGAAAAGCGCTTCATAAATAAACTTCACTTACTTACTTTCATTTAAACTCTATCGTTCACTTTCATTGATGGAACTGAAAGATTGTGTTTTTCTCTGAAATGACTGCCAGAGATATTAGTCAAACCGCTGAACATCATCATCCCTCCAAATACAAACTCATTCAGCTTCCTTTCTTCTCCCTCCACCTCCTCAAACGTTGGTCCTGATCCTGCGCCTCGTCCTCATTTGCTGCGTTTTAACCCGGCGGTGTTTATCAAAGAGCGAGTGTGTACCATCTCCTGCCAGGAACCACCTGAGGTGAGGAGACCTGGAAAAACAAAAAGCAGGAGCATTTCAGATCAAACACTGCGAGTTTTTCTGTTCAGCAGCCCGGAGGTTTTTACTGCCAGCTCTAATCAGACGAGACCCAGCGGGGCTCCAATGGCCCTAAAACGATCGTAAAGCTTTGGTCGGCTTCCATCAGGATCCTGAACACGGCCTGTTTGCATCAATAAGGACATTTTATTTGTGATTATGGTCTGTTTGTGTCTTCAAAATGAGATTTTTGAGTTTCTCAGAGTCTCGAGGGTTCGGGAGAGAAGAGTGGAAGAAGTGGAAGTGAGAAAAGTGATAAAACTGCATTTTAACATCGTTTGACTTTAACAAGAGGACTGCTGACGCTTCAGGGACACGAATCAACAGAGAAGATCAGGATTAAGAAGAATAAAGTCCTCATGGTGGAAATGTGAGGGTTTGTGAGGGTTAGGGACAAAGGAGAGAGGACTTAGGAGAGGGGACAAAGGAGAGAGGACGAAGGAGAGAGGACGAAGGAGAGAGAACAATGGAAGAAGAATGTAGGAGAGAGGACAAAGGAGAGAAGATGAAGGAGAGAGAACAATGGAAGAAGGATGTAGGAGATAGGACTTAGAAGAGAGGACAAAGGAGAGAAGATGTAGGAGAGGGGACAAAGGAGAGAGGACTTAGGAGAGAGGACGAAGGAGGGAGGACAATGGAGAGAGGACTTAGGAGAGAGGACTTAGGAGAGGGGACGAAGGAGAGAGGATGTAGGAGAGAGGACAAAGGAGAGAGGATGTAGGAGAGTGGACAAAGGAGAGAGGACTTAGGAGAGAGGATGTAGGAGAGAGGACAAAGGAGAGAGGACTTAAGAGAGAGGACGAAGGAGAGAGGACATAGGAGA